GCAAGTGGCAAGCATCCAGATGACAAAGCATATGAGAAAGGATAATTTCCTATGCCAGCTGTCCTGGTGATAATAATATGGTTTTGGGTCTCATCATCAGACTCTCACTGGGTTCTCCACAGGATTCTTCATCTCTATCCGTTTTTACAAAACTCTTTGATAATAGTATCACAAAATCCTGCCTTTTCTTGCACACAAGATCGCATAATGATCACAGCTTTATAAAGTTCTATATGCCCCAGTAGAAGGGAGGACGGATTAAACCGCTCTATCTATTCGTCTAAAAGGTAAGTGGATAATGATGGCTTCATTCATAAAGAATGAACCATTGTAAAAAATTCTCAAGGAATGGGTATAATGCTTTTTTTAAAAAAGACAAAATTTCATCCACTTGATTGGTATTCGATTTAATTCTTCAGATTCGTACCGGCTGCTCCTCCTGAATATGCAGCTTCGATGTCGATTTTTATGACACGCTGTCTTACATGTTTTAAGCATACATATGGATTCTTGACGACCGTATCTTTGGTGGTAAGAAAGTTCTGAACTTTAAAATTATCATATATGTTTCCTGGCACCGCAAAATAGAGGAAAATGGTATCGTCACTTCCCTTCGACTTTGATTGGTCTCCCTTCAAGCAGGGTCCAGTAATATATTCAATTATCTCCTTGAATGGTGCTTGCTTGATCGGATGCTTCTCTGATACTGTGACCTGAAATAGCTTGTTGGGCCCCAATGCAAAATCAATGCACGGAAAGGTGGTTATAGATGGTACAAACAACTTGTCAGCTGCTTGAGTGAGCCCTGATAATTCATTTGAAGTCCGGATATGCACCACTTCTGGGTTTGCTGGAAAATCAAGAAATCCTGTTTCGCCTGACTGAAGATCCCTAAAGGGAAATCTAATATCACCACGTCGAAATAAGTGATGAGCATAGACTTCAAACAGTGGGCCTTTATCTATATCCTCTCCGCGTTTGACAAGTTTCGCCAACACATCGCGCCAAGTGTCATCTTTCATTTCCTCGATAATCCGTGATTCGACCCAACGAGATGCCCATACCAGGTGGAAGCCGAGGTGGTCAGAAGTGGGAACTCTATGGAGTAAACGACCACTAAATTCACTCGCTTCTTTTCCTCGTGCAAAGAGCGCTACAAGATCTGCTGGGTTCCTGACTGCGTTAATGGCAGCATTGACGCGGGAAAACGCAGCGTCTTTAGCGCGGTTAATATCTTTTTGCTTTTCAGATAGTACATCGACTGGACACTGTAGAACCTGTCTTGGCACTCCCCCCAACTTGTAAAAAAGCTCCTCCAAAAATTCTTCATCCATTGGATGATAATCCTCTACATTGGCTCTACATTCCTTAAGCTCGTCCAAACTCCAGAGTGACATGTGATAGTAGCTAATTGGTGTAGTTTCCTTGCTGAGTTCAGCGTACTGCTCATTGAGAGTTTTTGGTGATGCCGCAAATATCGTCCTGGCTTGATCTGGTTGAGGATGGTTACCACTGTCAACTAAATACCACGTTTCAGGTTGCTCAAGAAAATGTTTGAAATCTACTCTCTCCCCATAACGTTGGCAAGTTGTTCCTCCGTAGGCATAACATTCGGTATTCTTCTTTTCATGGAAAACAATAATCGGTGGATTCTCTTCGTCATGCTCTGCAAGGAGGCGGACGGCAAAGTAGACCAAAAAGGCTGACTTCCCAATTCCAGGCGTTCCAGTGACAAAGTATCGGTTCTTGCGCCATCTTATACGAGGAGTCTTGATTAAGGTTGTAATATGGTCATAAAGCTTTTTATATTCTTCTCTGATATAAAGATGCCTTGTTCCGACAACAGGGAAGACACGACCCTCAGGGGCAGTCAATATTTTGGAACCCTTGATACCACCAGAATTTCGGAGCTCGCAAGCCACGCTAACAATGCTGTAGTAAATACTATCTCCTGAAAACTCCTCCCCCATGTACGAAAGCAGCTTGACCCTCTCTTTCGAGTTGAGAGGCGAGAGGACAGGCCTACCATTCACTATCCCTTTCGTTACAAGCCCCGCTTCTGTAATCGCATCCCTAAGAGTACCTCTGCTACTTATACTTGGACGAGCTTTTTTAGAGGGTGACTCTGATAAAGGAGATAGAGTGATCAAAGTCAATATTTTTGATTTATTGCACTGCACATCACTCTGAATTGATCAATAACCAGGTTCTCAGCCAAAAGCACTCACCAGCATCTCCATCTTGTTTTCTTTTCTGAGCTAAGTATCAAAGGCGAATAATTAGAAAGAACGTTGAGTTATCAAGACACAAACCAAATGGTGATATCACGTGGTATTGGGCATGAAAATAAGCAAACAAGCTTCATCAATTGAAAATATCAACAACAACCATCAGTCCATCAAGAGCTAAATACATACCTCGCTGTGGTGGCTTGACAATAACATGAATAGTTTCCTCTGGAAGTTCGGAAATAAATATGTCCCCAAGCTTCCTTGATGCGACTGTAAGAGCCTCTTTCGACTCGATTTCTGACTCAAAGATGGCCTCGCCTTTGTCAGGGATGGAGACCTTGTAGAGGGTGAGCTGGTAAGCGTCGATGTCCTTAAATGCATTGGTATTCTTTGCTTTGATGGCTTGCTTGAGTTCGCCGACTGAACGATCAGAAGGAATATTTACAGGAAAACATGAAGCTTCTCCATCAACAATACAAAAAATCTTTAGCTCGGTTGGCTCGAGGATTTTAGGGTCATTGGTGCTTGAAGACTCTTCCTTCGCTTCCCCTTTTCTTTCTTTCTTTTCATACGGTTCAGTTCGAGGTGATGGGCATCGTGATGGTGTTCTGCTGCTTCCCATTGTGTTTTCAAACCTGTTTAAAAACAAGGGCGTAAATAGGCGGAGGACAGAAAATAGGGAAAGGTTGATAAAAATGCTAAAGGATGATAATTCAGTAGCAGGATGGTTCAAAATTGTCTAGAGATGAAGTTGAGGGAGGAAAAGAAAAAAAGAAAAAAAAAAAGGAAAGGAAAGGAAAGGAAAGGAAAGGAAAGGCAATGAATGAAGGCTTGGAATAAATAAAAGAGCAAAATTGATGGGAGCAAAATTGGGGTGAAATAAGAAAAAAGTGAAAAGAGGATAAAGGAAGAAAAGGAAGAGGAGAGTGCAAAAATGAAGTGAAGCAAGTTAAAGAAAGGAGCGACAATTGATAAATTTGTTCCTTTATTTCAAGGTTGGGCTATGCTGTGTGTGTGTGTGAGAAATTTTTTTTTCTTGTTGCACAAGACGCCATGCGATTAAAGGCCCCCAAGTGTGACGTAACATGTATTATTTAAATACACAAACACTATTCATTCTCTTTAACTCTCTTGTTTTAACCACACAATCGAAAGTATGCACACATTCACCCTACATTCATCCCACTATGTACAAGTCAAATACTCCCTCATTCCAAGAACAAGAAGCTGTTACTGATATTGTAAGTGTTCAAACGCGAATAATAATTTTTTTGTATCAGTGCTTTCTTGGTGATATCTAAGCAAAATTATGCTTTAGAGAAAACCCTTGACGCGTCAAACTTTAGGAAGGATGGGGAGAATGACAGCAAAGAAAGAAAAGATGGCAATGAAGAAAAAGAGGAGGATGATCAAGTAGATATCCCAGCAATTATATTAGTTGCCCCATAAAGTCTAGTTCATTGCTTGAGAGTAATAAAGAAAAAACTTGGCATTTGGACGTTAAGAATGGACTCAATAATATTGGTTTTGTGCAAGCCTGAGGACGAAGTTCATGTGCACATGCACGCGCCGAAAGGCAAACGTGGCATGCTCTTGCAGACACTTCTCTGGGACCAAACGTGACATTTTGGCTGGAGGTCTAAAAAATTTCTAAGTCGAACACACTACAGGAAAGGCTCTTTTTTTATTTTTTTTTATTTCCAAATCATTTACACCACAGGGAGCTTTTTTTTTTTTTTTAAGATGAGAATGATGGGAGGTAAATTTCGTAATGAATAAATGAGGTTGTGAAATGAGAGCAAGAAAAACAATGGCATGCTTCACATGTAGGCCATTTTCTTGTGATCTGCAAACTTTGCTTAAAAAAAAAATGACAAAAAAAAGAGCCTTTCCTGCGGTGTTTTCGACTTAAGAAATTTTTTTAAGCCAGTCCCAGCCTGTGAGAGAGAAGAGCAAGCCACATTTGGCTTCCAGCACGTGCATGTGCACATGAACTTCGTCCTCAGGCTGGTGACGAGCCTAGTGAACCCATCTGATACTATAAACACCTGAACACTGCCAGACTACTCTACGTCCCTTAAACAATATTCCTAGCATACATCTGGACTTTGCAAGGGATGTGTCAATACTTCGACAAACATGTAACATTTAATGGCTGCATCACAGCCCTTGGATTGTGGAAGCGCTGAAAGTATGCGGAAAACGGGAACCATTTGTGTTTTTACTAGCAACAAGCGTGGTTTCAAAAAAGTGTGCCTCCAAGGAACAAATCCTATATCCTTCATTGCTCAAAAGAGACAATCTTGTCTTTTCTGCACCCCAAAAGCTCGCCATAATCCTATTGAAGCGTTCAGAGGCATTATTTGCCTCATAGTTTGAGGATTAGCAGACTTTCAGTCAAGCTTTATTGTTTTGAACAAACACAGTAAATCCTGTCCATTCGAAGTTAGTCCCTTTGGATGGCAGCTATTCAGGAGATGCTAATCAATTCCGCTAAATTATGGTGAAATCAAAGCAGATTTGGAAAACCAACAAGCATCGAACAGTCGCCTTAACAAGCGAGTGACCTCTCTGTGGCGCGCACGGAGCATGGAGGGCGACTTTTCAAATTCTTTTATAGAGATGAAATCCAAAGTCGCCCCCAGTTAAATATTTTAGCCGTGATACATCTCAAAAATAAAGAACCGTGTTATTAAATTTCTATGACAAGCCTTTTTATAGGATTAAGAACTATATTATTACTGTAACTGTGACGAAAATTCTAAGATGGTTTCTCTTTGAGCTCGTTGAAGCTGACATGAAGAAGATCTTTGTACTTGCTGATTAATCCAGTGTGGTTTGGTGCACCAGGGGAACCACGCATGTAAACTATTTTAAATCCAGTTACTGGCTCTCCATCCTTTTTGACAACAAAATGTCCATCGTCAATTAAGGCGGAATGATTACCTCCAAATACTTCGTCCAAATATCTTTCAATCTGATTTTTGCCGTCGGGATCTCTCTTATCAAAAGCGTTCTGGATCTGCTTAGTTTGTGTCTTCTCGTGTTCGCAGAAATCACTTATGGACACCTGGATAAACATTGCGTCGAGTATGAAATCAAAGCGAGAATAACTCGAATGACAATGGCTCAGTACATGTCCATAGCCACGTCCAAGAGAAGTCATGTTTTGATGGATTGTCCCATGATCCTTAAAGTTCATTATAATCTCCGTTGGATTCTCGCCGACAAGGTTTGTTGCTCTGAGAACGATTGGCTTGGTTAAAGTCAAAAACTGGACCAACAGTGTCAACTTGAAATCATCACCTACCTCTCCAAGACTAACTTGTCTCAGAATATGCTCATGATGAGGTATGTTTGTAAACGCCTGTAAGAGTGCTTTCTGCACTGGGAGGCACAAGACATAGTTTTTTATGGCTCCGCGATTCTTGTTGAGACGATAGATAAGCTCTAGGTCACGGAAATCCCATTCAAAATCACCACTCTGCGAGTTGTTGCCAAGGAAGACTGTTGCAAGGCTTTTAGCGAACATCTTCTTCGAGACCTCGCTGAGAGCTTTGTAGTAATTCCAAACTACAGGGCGAAGCTCGCTTGTTCTCTGAGCTACATACCCATCAATGCTATCTCTTGTGAGTGGTCTTTTCTCAATTGATCGAATGAAGAGCATAAACTCTCGCGGCACACGGTTTGTAAGTCTCATTACATCCTGGACAATATCGGGTTGGTTCAGGTGGACCTCCAACCATTTTGAAAACACTGTCTCGGATAGTGGGCCAACAAAGTAACATAAGGTAACTCGAGCACTGTCTTCCATAATCTGCAATTCATATTTGACATGGGCTGTTCCTGTAAATATCACTCTAGATCCTTTGGATTCAGCTTCCCATCGAGCGAGGTCCTCTAGATGGTGCAAGAACAGGTATTTATCCGGCAAGTACGGTTTTTCTTGGAATAACTTTCCATGTTCGTCGATAATGAACAGTGTTTTGCGCTCCTTCTGTTTGAATAGGTCGAATACTGCGCGAGCAGCCACAATTGAGTAATGTGCATCTTCAGGAAATTCGAGGAGACTTTCCAGATCAGATGCCGTCAAGATATCCCTGTTGAAAGCGAAGAAGCGCCTTAACAGTGCCTTTGCCGATTTTTCCTCCGTATCTTCATCTAATATCGCGGCATCTGGTATATAAAGGGTAAGCCACCCTTCCGCATATCCTTTTGCAGCAAGGAAATAGGATAGATATGACTTGCCAACCCCCATAGGACCAGAAAGGACTCGCTGATATGAAAATCTTTGTTCAGCACTAATCTCCTTCCACAATTCCAGCATCTGATCCGTAATTATAAATCCCGAATTATATTTCTCAAATTCTTTCGGTGTGAGGCCCAAGGACGGAATGTCAACTTGATCACCAGGCTGATTATCGCTTTTCAGATGACTAAACTTATTACGTGGATCGGGCGGGTGTTCAAGATTCTCCAGCATTGCGATCCAAGAGGGTGGTAACGTGACCATTTTGCCATCAGAAGCCCTGTATTCTCTCCACCCTTCCTCAATGCGCATCTTCTTTGAAGGTGAAATATACCGTGGATCTAATTATGATCATCGTACACATACACAGTTGGTTAGTACCATAACATATAGTCAGTCACCAAGTCAATCTATTTATACAGCAAAAAACAAATTATTACCTCCATCCATTTTTCTCTTGAGAACCTGTTCCGATGACTCTAGAAAGATAAGAGAGCGCGGCAATGGCAGAAATGTTAGCATTTTGATCAGATCAAAGAATATGTTGCTGTCAATGAGATATAAACGCCAGCTAATGGTGTGCGAAACGCGAAACAGATTCAATCAGAAAAACTAACAAATGCATCAATGTAAACAGGTCAAATAAAAATAAAAATAAAAATGAAAACTGTGTTCTCAGACAACAGTGAGAGTCAGAGCATGCGCATGGACCATGGGGGCGACTTTTCAAATTCTTTTATAGAGATGAAATCCAAAGTCGCCCCCAGTTAAATAGTGTTGCCGAGATTCATCTCAACAACATAAAAAAGGGAGAGATACACGTGACCGTGATGAGATAGCTTCATCAATTGAAATATCATCAGTCCATCAAGAGCTAATACATACCTCGCTGCGGTGGCTTGACAAAAACATGGATCGTTTCCTCTGGAAGTTCAGAAGTAAATATCTCCCAAAGCTCCATTGACGCGGGTACGAGAGTCTCTTTCGACACAATTTCTGACTCAACGACGGTCTTGTCTTCGTCAGGAATGGAGACTTTGTAGAGAGTTAGCTTATCTGCGGCAACATGATCAAGTTTTGACTTCTTCGCTACCTTGATGGCTTGCTTGAGCATCCCGACCGATTTATCGCAGAAAATCTCTACTGGGAACGACGTTGCTTCTCCCTCGACAACGCAGTTCAGCTGCAGCAGCAGTGGGATGGCGCGCTTTTTTCGTTGTGGGTGTTGGTTTACTCTTTTTCGTTTATTGAGTGTGGAGGCATCCTCAGGCTTATTTGCAGCCATGTTTTTTTGTGTTGAGCTCCTTGTGGTGGCCATTGAAAATTAAGATGAGTGGGACTGAGTGTGGTTGAAATGCAGGGAGAATGATGCCTAAATAGGCAAAAGTATATTCTTACTCTTTCACCCGTGGTCACGGTATGAAAACTAAAATGAAAAATGTGTAAGGTAAAAAAAAAAAAAAAAAGGAAAGGAAAGGAAAAGAAAAGAAAGGCAATAAATGAAGGCTTGGAATGAATAAAAGAGGTAAGTGGTGAAATATGAAAAAGGTGGCGAAAATGAAGTGGAGCAAAGGAAAGAAAGGAGCAACTGATAAATTTGTTCCTTTATTTCAAGGTTAGGCTTTGCGTGAGAAAATATTTTTTTCAAATCAGCCACGTGCCATTTTCTGGGTCATTGTGACGTGACAATCTTTAGTGCTCAGATAAACGTTTGTTCACACTCTACTTGCTCATTCCTCTGCTTACAACTGCTCCCCAGGAGGACTGAAATGATCATTGAAGAGGACATCTGAAAAGGATTATAAATTTGATCACCTTTTCCGCTTTTACTATAATACAACTTTGATTACAGTTTATGATGGCCTTAAAAGCTTCTATTGCAATTGAGCCCCTAAGAACGATGCAGGACTGTTGTTAGAATGTCCACTGAAAGTTAAGTGGACTACTATAAAGACAATCGTTAACATACAATATGTGCGGTGTTATATGGGGTTCCTGCATAAAATCGCTGTTTATTATCAGTGGAGATTTTTTTGAACTGAAAACAGTTTTACATTTCCAGGCAGTATACAGAGCTATTGTCCTCACTTTGGGCCGAAAAGGAGCGTTAGATAGAAGCAATCTCTATTTGTTTTATTTTCTATCCATATGATGCCGGTACTATGATCTTAAAGAGCACACGGCACCTTTAATAAGTTAGGTCCTCCTATTAACTCAGAGTGGAGTTCTGCTTTCAGTCCAAGGATATCGCCGATGAACTATATCTCTTTTCTATTACTCAAGTCACGCGTATACTATTAGTGCAATTTAATCAGATAATTATTATTAAATGTTACTTTTCTTCTGTGCTGTGCGGATCCCGAGTCGAGTGTCTCCATTGATATTTTTTCCTACGCCAAAAACAGGCCATTGGACTAACACGAATAATTAACTAGGCAATATACCCTGTCAATATTTGTTCATTCCTCATATAGGCCATTCAGCTTTTCGAAGGAATATTGACACATTCTCTTGAGTTGATCATGTTATTAAGATGTTGTGTCTGTGCACCATACAACCCTTTATGCTCATCACATACTCCTTGAAGACCCAAAAAACTCCCAAGCTTCATACCATTGTACGTTAAAAAAAAAAATAAAAAAAAGAAAGAAAGAGCTTGGCAATGCAAGCCACACTTGTGCATGATAGAGGTCGCCAACTATCTAGGCTCGTCACCAGCCTGAGGACGAAGTTCATGTGCACATGCACAGGCTGGGACCAAACTTGACATTTTGGCTGGAGGTCTCTTTTTTAAAGTTGAAAAAATTTCCAAGTCGAGCACACCGCTAGGAAAAGGCTCTTTTTTTTTAAGTCATTTGCGCCACAGAGAATAGTTTTTTTTTTTTTTATTTCGTTTAGTTTTTCTATTTTTTTTTTAAAAATGAGAATGATGAGAGGTATATTTCGTAGTGCAAACCGGATGAATAAATGAGATTGTGAAATGAGAAAAACAGTAGCATACTTCACACGTAGGCCATTTTCCTCTGATCTGTAGAACTTTGCTTAAAAAAAAAAAAAAAAAAAAAGACTTAGAAAAAAAGTATGGACAGAAAAAAAAAAAGCTATTCCCTGTGGTGCAAATGACTTTGAAATTTTTTTCGAGTTTGGTCCCAGAAGTGTCTGCAAGAGCAAGCCACATTTGCCTTTCAGGCACGTGCATGCGCACTTGAACTTCGTCCTCTGGCTGGCTGGTGACGAGCCTAAAACTCCGCTATTACTTTAAAGTCTGTAGGACTCGCTCCACCACAATCCCTGTCTTTCTCTTTGTTCCTCATTCTTTTTCTCATTCATCTTTTCTGACCAGCCATAAGCTTCATCGATATACAACTTATTTTATAATATATCCTTTCCCTAACCCCTGTCTGTGCTCAGTAGAATAGAACATCGTTCACTTCAAAAGTCAATATCAACTTAGTATAACCATGGCTGCGCCACGAACCTCTCTCTGGTCAAAATCCACCCGTTCGAAGAGCGAGTCCGAGCCTCGTACTCGTATACTTAAGGATAATACGCTTGAATCTGTTGTTGAATACATTAAGGAAGGCAAAGGTATATTGACTTACTATTTTAAAGATTATTACATTTTTTTGGAGTTCACGAAGAACAAAAAAAATCTATGCTGAGCTGAATATTTAAACTCAATATGATGTGGAACTTTTATTCCGTGGGCGTAGCCAAAAACATTATTGTAATGACTGGTGCAGGAATCTCAACCGCAGCAGGCATCAAGGATTTTCGATCACCTGGAACTGGGCTTTATAATGACCTTAAACGATTCAATCTACCCTATCCTGAAGCTGTCTTTGATATTTCGTTTTTTAGGGTAGAAGAATTCAAATGTTATATACATCGGCGCTTTTTTTTTTTTTTTTTTTTTTTTTGTTATTGTTGTTGTTGTTGTTGTTGTTGTTGTTGTTGTTGCTGATTATGAAAGAATACTCCTTTTAGAACAACCCTAGTCCGTTTTACAGACTTGCAAAAGAGCTATTGCCTGGTCGATACCGTGTAAGGCTATCAATTTATATTTTGTTTCCGATTGATATGTATGATAAACATCTCATTAACCAAGCTAATCTATATATGTATATACCAGCCAACTTTAACCCATTATCTCCTCCCGTTGCTTGCGAAAAAAGGGTTGTTGTTGAGATCATATACTCAAAACATTGATATGCTTGAGCGACTCACAGGACTGGATCCAGAATTATTAGTCGAGGCTCATGGATCATTTGCAACCTCTATGTGCCTCAAATGCGAAACGTTGGTTGATTCTAGCCTTGTGAGAAGTAAATATCTATCCAGTCACTTTCGTCGGGATTAACATATATATTTTTCCTCTTTCAAAGTGAACTCATTTTTTTTTTTTTTTTTTCCATTATTATTGCAATGTAGAGAGCATTATTAAGGGCGACATTCCTTATTGTTCGCTTTGCAAAGGTCTTGTTAAGCCGACCATTACTTTCTTTGGAGAGGAACTTCCTACACGATTTGGGGATTTGGTCCCAGAAGTATGTTTTTTATGATATCCTGTATCAAAATATAAAGGATATCTATTTAAATCTTATCTCTAATTTCCTTGAATTTTTTTTTTTCTTCGATAGGATTTCAAAAAGTGCGATCTACTCATCGTTCTCGGAACATCCTTATTAGTCGAACCATTTAACCGCTTGATCACTCGAGTGCCTCCAAATTGTCCACGATTGTTGATTAACCGTGAACGTGCAGGCGAAGATATGCCATTTGGATTCGATTTCGATAACAAACGGAATTACAAGTATCAACGAGATGCCTTGTTCTTGGGTAATTGTGATGAAGGGACACGGAAGCTTGCTAAGCTTTGTGGATGGGAGGTAATGGTTTTTTTTTTTTTTTTTAAAAAAAAAAAAAAAAAAAAAAAAAAAAAAAGTAAACACATATTTTCAGATATGAGCCTATTTGCAATGCTGCTTGTACTCTTTATTCTCCTTCATTCATTCATTAATTTATTATTATTACTGTTGGTATTGTTAATATTATTAGGGGGAGCTTCAGGCTATGTTTGACGCCGGTAACATCGAAATGCAATTAGCTGAGGAGTTAGAAGCACTTACTTTGGCAAAGGAGCTTGAAGAAGAACAGAAAAGGCTAAAAGAAGAGCAAGAGACAAAAGGACAGGGGGAGGAGACAGAGGAAAAGGTGGACAGCTCTGGTACCAGCAAGGAGGAATCGGTAGCACTGGATGAAATCACGGAGCTTCTTTCGGTTACAAAATTGTCATCTACAGTTACATCCACCTCCACCGATACCGTTACTACTACTACTGTTACAAATGGTGTAGAAGCATCAGTGTCTGATACGACCACTGCAGTGACCGTTATTCAAGAGAAAGGAGAAAAGAGCAAGGATGAAAAAAATGGTCCAAAAAGTCAAAAGAAGGTTAATAACGATACTTCCAGCGCTTCAGGTCCTTCCACCAAAGGTATCAACAAGCTTTAATACATTCTTGAGTAATCATATGTTGTAATATGGATTTTTTTTTTTTTTTTTTTTTTTTTTTTTTTGGTCCGACGAGAAATGTCTGACCATTTTTTTTCATTTCGTCTCATTTTTAGCCCCAGGCGGTAAATAGCACTTCATGGTTCGCTTTTTTTGTCTAATTTTCAGGTTTCACAACCAGTTTCAACAGATCACGTATTTATTTGACCAGGGATTTTTTTTTTTTAAATCTCTTAATCCTTCTTCTCTCTGACATTTTTTTTTTACATATACTACAATGATATTGATATTTAACAGCTAAAAGGAATGCGGCCAGCTGTTTGTTTGTTTGTTTGTTTTGAAAATAACATATGTGTAGAACGAAAAAATAAAATAAACAGAATAAAAAAATAAAAAAATAAAAAAAAGCTTTTCCAGTGTTTTTAAAACCACATTGTAGTTGAAAAGAAAAGGCTGTAGCCGCGAATTTACATTAATCCCTAACGTAAATCATCGTCGCCATCACTACCCCCGATATCGATATCTTCGTCAGTATCCATCTCCTCAGTTGCTGTCGTTGGCTTGGCTCCTGCATTGGCACCAGCTGCTACAGTTTTTGCTGTAGACAAGGATACAGTTGAACCCTTCTTATTTCTTGCTTCCTCATCACTCTCAGAATTTCCTTGCCCTCGTGGTGTAATTTTCCCACCTCGCATCGACGACGGCCTCTGCGCTGCTGCTTGTTGTTGTTGTTGGGCCTTTTGAGCTGCAAGAATAGATTGTTGCTGTTGATTCTGGTTGTGCTGCACTTGCTGCTGTATCTGCTGCTGCTGCTGCTGCTGTTGTTGTTGTTGTTGCTGTTGTTGCTGCAGTAACTGTTGCTTTAAAAGGAGTTGATGTTTCTGATGCGCCTGCAGCTGCTGCTGGATTTGCTGTTGTTGTAACAAAAGCTGTTGTTGTTGTTGTTGTTGTTGTTGCTGTTGTAAACTAGGTACAGCTTGTCCAATGCCACCTTGCTTCAAAAGATTCTTTTCAGCTTCCTCTTGTTGTTGTGCTCGAAGTTGCTTCATCTTTTGCCGCACCCCTTCAACATCATCGTCTGACTCGGTATCATCATCTGAATCCTGATAATCCTTGACAGGGATGACACTTTGACCCGGGACTGCAGAAACAGTCTCATTGATCATGGGCAGAATAGGTCTTCCAGTATGTGGCTCCACCCGAGGGATGAATCCTCCTTGAAGGGGTCGGATCTGGCCAGCAGTAGCATGTAGCTGGCCCATCTGTCCGAGTGCTTGTAAAAGATTAGGCCCAGCTGATGGCGTCAAAGAGGCCACAGAGACAGCGGGAGGTAGTGTGGCTGCGGCACCATTAACAGACGCCGAGGTAGTGGAAGTGTTTGCCATAGCGTTAGGTGTAGCAGAGGTAGCGGACATTGTCGTTGCTACTCCAGTTGAAGTTATACCGGCCATGGCACTTGAATTAGTGACCGATGCTGATACTCCAGGTGTTGGCTGCGCCTCAACCTGGTTTCCATTTAGCATGACCATACTATTAAGGGGCTGCCCAGTGACCTGATTAGAGCCTGAGTTACTTCTAGAGAGTGGATGATTAATAGCGCCTACACGAACCAATCCATTTGTTGGTGGCGATGTTGAGGAGCGTAAAGCAGAGAGTGAGATGGTCCTCATACGAGCTGCAGTAACCGCTTGGTGGCTCATCATGGCCGATGCAGTAGCTGTGACTACACTGGGCGTCACTTTCTGAGTCGGAATCGGCAAGGGAGATGGGAAATACGTGTCGAGATTGTCGTTCAAGAAAGGTCCAAGCTTATGATGTAAAGAACAGGTCGCTGCCAATGCACGAGCCCGCGCTAAGGGAATCCAAGTTCCAAAGAGTTGCGAGTTGGGTTTACGAACACGAACGCGTCCGAGTTCAAGACTTAAGACAATACTACGTTCTTGTTCTGTCTCGACCCCTCCAGCCAATAACAATGTCGTCGCATTAACGTACCCGTTATCAGCACGCCGCAAAAGTCTATATTCAGCACCTGGATTTACAAGCTTGGTCGTATAAAGTGCAACATTGTCAATCACTGTAAGATGAATATTGGGCACTACCGGGTTGACTGTTGGGATCCAGAGTTGATTGGCTTCAGGTTCACGCGCACCATTCTGGGTGATGAGTCTATTGCCTTCGGTGGTCTCCTGGCTCGAAGATGAGCCAAGTCCCGATCCGGAAGTTCCCTCGGCTCCAAAGGAAGATTGCTGAGTGCCATCAGCAGTCTTGGGTACAGCTGTGTTTGGATTTGATGATGACATTTCAATGTCGTCATTGTCATGGACTTTTTTTGGTTTTTCTTCAAGCTCCTCAAAGTTAACGAAGGGTGTTGTGTCATCATCCGCAAGATGAGATTTTCTCCGGCTATCAATAGCAGTCCCAGATCTATCCTCTGTAGATGTTATCTGATTTCCTGCAGCCACTGCTGCTACTCCTTGTTGCAATTTCTTTTTCTTCTTCTCTGCAGACAACTTTCTTGACTTTCGCGACTCTGCTAACAATGAGTTGACGGAAGTGTCAGGATTTTATAATGTCTGGAAAAAAGAAATTTCTTTTAAGTAATGATGAAAGGGGAAAAGAAGAAGCACATACTTGGTTTGGCAACCTGCATCGGGTCGTCTTGAAGCATCTGAGCAACACCTGGTAGCAAATCCAGTCGATACTCACGACACAGTTCCCTGGCTCTTGCGAGACCGACCCTAATAGAAGAAAGAAGAAAAAACAAGAAAGGACTTGCCTTTTAGCTTTTTTCCTCCCCTTTTTTAAATCATGGGCATTTCTAAACTCTGATTGTAAGGTCATTCAAGAAGACTCAAGTTATTACCAAGCTCCTCGAACTTCCATTGGGCCCTCAAGGACAATGTATAATGTTGTCGGTTCCTGATTGATATCAAATTGCCCATCACCAATGATGGTTCTGGCTGCCAGTCGTAACATGGCTGCGTTCACAAAACCTGCATGTTGATCATTGTTGAGCGCTGGAATAACCTTCTTTTGGATGAGCACGCCTCGTCCATTAGTGTTGGGATCTGGAGGTGCTACCACACCAGCAACACGCATCAACCTGAGATCCGTGCCCGGCATGAGGGTTTCAAATACTTTCAAATTCGCATACACTGCCTCTCGCACAAGTGACTTTGGAGGCTCCGCTGTAACCTTGGAATATATCTGGTCATCATCCTCTAGTTCTGACTCTGTCTCGTCATCTTGATCCTCCTCATCCTCCTCCTGCATCTCCACATCAGCTTCCGTCTTTGCAACAGGAGTCTGAGCAGATGTCTCTTGATTAATAAGAGGCGTGACAGTTGTAGTGGATTGTGAGGGCGTAGTCGTAGCTGAGAGAGCGGGCGTAACAAGCCCCGTAGAGGTCGTTTGAGCCTTTGCTTGTTTCTCAGCCGCTGACGCCTCTTCCGAAGTAGAGGAGGAAGAGCTGGAAGGTGCTGGATTGGCTACTGCAGCAGGTACAATTTTAGTCCCAACTGACCCCGAAGGTGAGGATGACGATGGAGCAGACGTTCCATTGTTAACGCCCGAATATGGGGAAGTTGAAGTGTTCGAGGATGCGTTTGCAGCATTTTGTAGGATACCGTTGGCTGCATTCCTGAGATTGGATTGCCGATGTGGAGTATGACTAATATGTTTAGCGTTGATATTGCTCCAGCCAGGGATCGAAACCTTACGAGATAAGGTAGGGTAAAACGATCCACCAGCTGAGGAACTCAAGAGCCGATCTAGTTCAGACACAGGCATAGATTCTGGGTGATTGAGCTCCATCAGCGGAGCATACTGGTGATCCTTGGAGGTCGAGTTGTCCTGCTGTGAATAATCCATCATGAAACTGCCTCCAAAGTCTGCATCAAAGATACTGTTCGACCGAGGAGAGAGTAGGAGCGAATCTGGTGGCATCAATAGACCACTCATCGACATCTTTCGACTGCGTGGTGATATGCTCATCAGGAACGAATTTGAGGTTGGAGTTGAAGCTAAATGGTTAAAGGGTGATATGGGCGTATTTCCAGTGGCGAATGAAGAAGCAGAGGCTGCAGAGTTTCTAGAACCGGAGGAGGGGATAGGGACGGCCACAGCTTGGGGTTGACTGCGCATGCTAGGGCGACGATCCTCAGCCTTCTTGTCGTCCTCCAAATCCTCGAAATCACCATGCATCATTTCCTCATGGTAATCACTAAAATCCTGTTCTTCATCACTGGACTCGTTCATAGTCTCTCCTGCGGCAACAGCACCTCCCGATATCTTGGATAGTGATGAGGTAGATTGAGGACCTGAATGGGGTGGCGATTTTTTCGAGTCAAAGGACAGAACTTTGGTAGCATTCAGAAGCCCATGCATCCCCGCAGTGGCAGCATTGATAGCATTTGAGACTGAGGAATGAGAGGACGTTGTCGAAAAATTGGATAGAGATCGTGGCGTTGGAAGCTGTGAGTTCTTTTGAATATCCGGCATCTGCAGATCCATGAGCACTAGGTCGTCCTTGCCAAAAACGTCGTCGTCATCATCCTGTTCATCATCATCCTCGATACTTTCATCATCCCCTTCATCCGATTCACTATACTCCTGATTATTAGGGGGCCGCCATTTGGAAGTATGAAAATTTGTTGGCGTTGTCGGAGTAGAAGACTTGAAGCTACCGATGAGTGAGTGTTTAGACTTGAATCGCTTGACTGTAGGACGATTTGTAACAGCCCATGTCTTGACCTTCTTGCGTTTACGCATGACGCCTCTGGATTTGTGTACTGCATCGGAATTCAAATGTTGCTGTTGTTGATAAAGCAGTTGTTGCCGTCGGCGTTTTTGTTTCCGTTCCATAGAATCACCGGACATAATGCCGTCGTCGTCTTCGTCATCTTCATCGTCCTGGTCAAGTTCCGGGTCATCATCATCATCATTGATGCTTCCATTTCTTCGTATGTTTGTGATATCTCTGCTGCTGTTATTGTCATCCGCATCCCCTTCGTCTTCTGAACTCATACTGGAGAAGCCTGAAGATGAATCATGATCTGTTGAGGCTGCAGCAGGGTTTTTGATGATGTGATTGGGGGCGAGGTAATAATGGATCTTGCGTGAATGTCGTTCATCAACGGCCTTTGCCAATAAGGGTGTCCGAGGGGGCTTGTGTTCTGCAGCGCGTTTAAAGTGTTGTGATATCCTTGAGGAAACAGTAGCATAGGGAGTAGCCCCACTAATTAGATCAAAAAAAAAAAAAAAAAAAAAAATTTTTTTTAAGATTCTGGAGCGGGAAGTTCTGTGGGAGAAATTTTGAATCACAGTCGTGCAACATCAAAACTTTAATACTGTCGCTCACTTCAGAGCGATCCCTCGTGGTCCGCGTGGCACATGTACAATGACAACTACACAACATACTTTATATACACACATACACACAAAAAAAAAAGGAAAGAAAAAAATCCCTGACGGTGGTATAGAATATTATAGAATTAGGATTACAGCGTCGGGAAAAGGGTAATAAGGATAAAATACATGCCAGATAAACCGAATGTTTAGTTTTCCAATGTCCGAAGAAAGAAGAATAGAAAAATAGGAAAGGAGGGGGAAATGGCTGTAGATGATGGGTCAGTGAATATAGAATAGAGTTGAACCTCATAACTGAATAATCAAAAAAAGAAATAAAAAAGGGTTGATTTCAAAAACTTTAGCCTGTCATCATTTTCCCTTGTGTGTTATTATTGCATTACTACTTTTGACTAGACGTCCCATCATGTTATTAAGGATAGAGCCCAATTTCAGATCCCCATCCCTTTTTACCAAAGAGTAACATGTCAAAATGGAACAGAATGTACGAAGGAAGGAAGGAAGGAAGGAAGAAAAGGAGATTCCAGCTTCATGGTCAAACTAATCGATGATAAGATTACAATCATAGAACGATCAAACACTCAAGGCTCTAGTTGCATTAACTATGCATGAATGTAGAACTCATTATCTGAAGGGCAAAAAAAGCAAAGAAAAAAAAAAAAAAAAAAAAAGGGTTCAAAGATGTACTGCACACCACCAGTAAAAAAAAAAAAAAAAAAAAAAAAACACCAAGAAAATGAATATGCAGCCTTAGAGCCATATAAGTTTAGATTAAAACGTTTGGCGATGCTTTTTTGGGATGATGGGTTTTATATGAAAAGATAGAAGGATCAGATCTTTGAGAAGAAAGATAACGGATTACTATTAACTCCCACAGTCAATTTTTTTTTTTTTTTTTTTTTTTTTGCAACCTGTCAGTTTCCCTGATGAGATCGACAGTTTGAATACTATCGGATCCCAGGTTTTGTTTTTGTCAACAATAGGTCGCCAGGATTTTTTTAAATAAAAAAAGCCATGCTGGTAAGATGTACATGTTCTGTATGATGACGATCGATTGATACCATGTAGAATATTGAGCACCCGGATTGGGCGGGGTGCAAAAAAAAAAAAAAAAAAAAAAAAAAAAGAATAAAAGGAAAGAGGGGGGGGGAAATAGTCATAACATGCTAATGTCCATAATAATATTACTATTATTGACTGCAGGGGGTTATGTAACGGAAATAATGGATTCAAAAGAAAAGAAAGAAAGAAAAAAACTAGCCTTTTGCGATAAAAAAAAAAAAAAAAAATGCAGAAAACCCTGCGTGTTTGCTTCAATGCATTAAAAAAATAAAAAGAAAAAAAAAAAAGAGCGATAGAATGACCAGAGCTGTTCTTGCAAAGTGATGAGATCCAAGGAACTTACCCCAACATGGTATACTTGTTTTTCATGATACAGTTGGCGAGTTCCTTTGGAGATGAAGGCTTGTTTCGAAGATAGAGCAATGCCTGCAAGATCGCGGCAAATACTTTATCTTTGGAATCATCTGGATGAACGTCTTTTAATGCATATTTAAGTGGAGCCTTACTTGAGGCTGGGGCCTCTTCTTCGAATTGAGCCGAGTTATGGTTGGAAATGCCATTGACATGGTGAGTAGTGGCATGACCATTGCCTGTCAATATGGAATGCCTTCCACTGGTGTGTGGTTGAGTCGGCATGGGCATGAGACAATTGCGTTCGCTTCTTGTTGGTTTTTATAGTATTTTTTTTTTTTTTTTTTTTGTTATTGTTGTATGAGTGATATGAGAAAGTCGTTATGCAGATGAGAGTGATAGTGATGTTAGTTTAGGAGGAGAGGGTATGGGAAAAGGAAGGGGGTGAATGAAGGATGAGATGAAGAAAGTGTGAGGTGTGTTTCTGTTAATACAAAAGAATGGGTGTGAGAAGAGTTATGAGTTATGAGTTATGGCAATGATGCACTGCGGTTAAGGAAGGTTGCAAGCCAATACGGCGGAGTGGAAAAAAAAAAAAAAAAAAAAAAAAAAAAAGAATGTTGAATGATTTGTATTTGTATGTGAGTGTTTGGGGTATGTGTGGGTTGTGTAAGGAGCAACAAGAGAGCCGTGAGTGAAAAATAAGCGGGTGTGGACCGTCTTGGGGGATAGGGGTTGAACGGATCTTTCACAGTCGAAGAGTTAACGACTTTGAGAAACACTTTTGGGCAAAGAAAAAAAAAAAAAAAAAAAAGGCATATCAAAACAAATGTACATGCACACATGTGAATATGAACAGCATTGATGTTGATGTTGATGTTGTGGAGGCAAATTTGGTTGTCCAAGTGTCCGGATGTCCGAATGTCCGAGTGAAGAAAAATAAAAGGAAAAAAAAAAAAAAAAAAAAAAAAAAAAAAGCTTTTGAACGCGACCACAACGTTCTTTACTCAAAGAAAGAAAGAAAGAAAGGAAGAAAAGCATCGACCCCAAGCAATGACAAAGGCTTTTTCATCATTGTGGCCCTTGTGTTGGAGTTGTGTACATTTGCTGCACGAGAGCTAGATAGATTTGTAAAAGATGTAAGAGCATCCTGTTGCAAAGACCATGTCTATCTGCACAATTTAGATCAACGTCCATTCTAGAGCGAGAGAGCGTGGCTTACATACGCAGGTTATCATTGAGCATTCTGAAGGGAACAATTCTTTCAATGTGCAGAGCATAGCCACGAACGACAATGATGAGTAGAAGAGGAGAAAAAGAATGAAGGGCAAGGGAGAAGCTGATCGATCCATATCTGAGACGGAATGCGATGGATGGTTCGGGTGAGGTTTCTGGTGTTAGGGATGATGTTTTTTAGATTTTAGATTGCGAGTTTCTTTGTAGTGTGGGTCATGCACCATAGGATGCAGAAGAGATTGATAAAGGAAAAAGGAAAAAGGAAAAAGGAAAAAAAAAAAAAAAAAAAAAAAAAAAACAAAGGTCAGTGTCGAGTGTGTCAATATGGATCGCCAGTGGTCATCGTTCTTCATTGTCATTCTACCATTGGGATGGCAAGTCGGGTTCTCTTGGCATGGCTTGAAGAGTATGAAGGGTTGCTTAATTGCTTAGGTGCTTAGGTGCTTAGGTGCTTCGGTGCTTCGGTGCTTCGGTGCTTCGGTGCTTCGGTGCTTAGGTTAGTTGCGTAGTCGCATAGTTTGTTGCATCGTTGGATGAGCTTGTTGCTTCACTACTTGTCATTTATACTTTTTTGGGTCTGTTGGTGACAATGTCTTGTCCGCGTGTTGTTTGTTGTTGCAAAAATGTAAACTTGGGTTCCTTAATTTCCTGTCATGGATTACATTGGATGACATTGGATGACATTGGATTGCATTTCACTTTGCTCCTATCCGAGCCCTGTGCACTCTTTCTTTTTTCTTTCTTTCTTTCTTTCTTTCTTTCTTCTTTTTTTCTTACTCCTCTTTTCTTTCTCGTTTCTTTCTCCTCTTTCTCTCCTTCTCTTCCTCTCTCCTTCACATCCTCATTTACGCTCACGCTCCCCTTCCTTCTTTTACTCTTTTATAACTCGCCTTCGCACTTTATATTTTATTTTTTCTTTCCTTTCTTCTCATGTCAATGCATCTCTTCTTTTCTTAAAGCCTTCATCAACCTCATCTCCATCTGACTCGACCATACACATCCTTTTTTGTATTACCTCCTTACTCCTTATTTCTTTCTCTTCACGTCTTTCTCTCTTTCTTTTTTGCTGCATCTGTCTTTTTTTTTCCTTTCCTTTCCTTTCCTTCATCACTTTTTTTTTTTTTTTTTTTTTTTTTGTTTCATTGTTCATCCTTTTACTTTTTTTTTCTTCTTTTCTTTCTTTTCTTTCTCCAGCTGTTATATTAATTACGTTCATCTCATTACTTCAGATACTTTTATGATACATGGCCAGCCTAAAGGTACACAACCACTTTCATTGACTCTATTACATATGAACTTCCATCCTTTTCTGAAGCCTCTTGGAACGCAGAAAAGTGCAGGATTTCATCTGGAATCCCATGTCCTTCTTATTCGTCCACTATACTTTTCTACATTGGACAATTCGTTAACATCCACTTTTTTTTTTTTTTTTTTTTTTTACTTCTTTACTTTTTTCAACATCTCTTGTGTTTTTCCTATCACATATAACTTCTTAGCATGAACTCGACCAGTGGAATGAGGGTGTGATTGCATTCGACAAAGGTCTGTACGAGGACGCCCTTGAGATCTTTGAGGTATGTATTCTCTCCACCCTTCATTAACAAACCTGTCTCGGACGGACTACATTCCCACCCTACAGCAAAATGCAAAAACCAGAAATGAAAACAAAAAGCTCAGACCGCATCATCCTCATGGGCCGAGTCTAATGCTCGTGCACAAACGAAGAGTCAAATATTCATTCATTCTTTACCACAATCAATGAGCAAGCGGAGGCAAAAAACATCTAGAAATGCTTATCCTATAAAAAAGAGCAATAGATATTCACTCCTTGAATAATTTGTACAATACCTTTCTTTCTTTTTTTTTTTTTTTTTTTTTTTTTGAAAAATAGCCGATAGCAGATTCCGCCAAGATTCACTTTAATATAGGCGTGGTCTTAGCCACCATTGGTGACTTTGAAGGAGCTGTAAGTGCATTTTTTTCTAAAAAAAAAAAAAAAAAAAAAAAAAAAGGAACGCAAACTGAGACACTTTATGTGAATACAGCACATGGCAAGTAAGCAAGAAATACCTTTGGTACTAAAAAAATATACGTTTATACATGCCAAATATCGATGTCCTCTGTCATTAATTAGAGTGAAGCCTATGAACAAGCTACCAAACTAGACCAGTACCTTGCCATTGCGTACTTCCAGAACGGAGTTGCCAATGTCGCGCTCGAAAACTATGGCAAAGCTTTGACATGCTTTCATGACGCCTACCTGGTAAGTTGCTTCGAAAGTTGGGGCTGTGAGTAAAAAGGATTTTTTAATCATAAAGACAATCAAATCTTGTTTTAGAAATACATTGTGCTCTTACATCTCATCAAATTGAATTCATATCTCTCTCCGTGTATTCTCCGTCGTTCCTTCAAAAATCAACTTCTCACTTTTTAAGCTAAAATCATTAATGAGTTTCAAACTTTACTTATTCTTCATAGTATCTCCGAGGAAACATGGTCATTGACTACACACAGCTGGGGCTGGACTTCAAGCTGTATTCATGCCAAGTTCTCTTCAACCGTGCCCTTTGCTATATTGAGCTCAATGAGATGGATCTGGCTATGAATGACATGTGGCGTGCATCCCGCGAAAAACAAACAAAGGATCATGACTTCCTAGATCAGGCACTCAGGGATAAAGGACAGGATGCCACTGTCTTCACTCTTCCTCATGGTGTTCTTTATAGACCTGATGAAGCCAAAGTCAAAAATTCAAAGAAGAAGGATTATCTTGGTAGTTCCAAGGTGATTGCCGCAGTAGATGCCTCAGATAGTTTTGCAGGATTCAAGGGTAGATCAGCTTGGCAGGTTCAGATGAGTGGGCCCACTAATGTTGCCGCAGTTGAAGAACGACCCATGACACCGCCCACTGGTGAGTAATCCTTTTTTTTTTTTTTCTTTTTTTTTTTTTTTTTTTTTTTTCTTTTTTTAATAATGTGATTTGGGCGATGTTTGCAGCATCAGGGCTCACAGTTATTCCCAAGTTTTGGAGTAATGCATTGGCAATCATTTTGTCCCTTTTCGACTGCTTCTTATTTGCTCTTTGTGTCCATGGCTCTCAAGATTCATTACACTATATACTTCATTTCCCCTCTTCTGCAACGGCTGCATTACATTCTTGATAAAATACTTTTTTTTTTTTTTTTTTTATTTTTTTGCTCATTTATTCGCATGGAAAACAATATCCCTCACTCTCAAAATGAGTAGACAAAGTTTTATCTTCTGTTTCTGTGTGTGTCACCGACGTTTCATTTTAATTGACCTTTTTCTGCTTCGATTTCATTTCGACTTATTAAATATCTCTCTCCTCTGCTCATCTGTGATCGAAATTCAAAAGGACTTCAACGTCGCGCCACAAGCAGGAGAGATGCAGATACTGATCGACCAACCCTAGAGCATTCTGCCTCGTTCAATGGCATGGATTCCTACCATCGAGGTAGACAAGGACCGGGACCATCAGGTCTTGGTCCCGGTGGCGCAGGCTCAGCTGGTTCTGACGCCGCGTCGAGACCCACATTGCTCACCCGACGTAATACTGAGGTGCAGAGACCCACACCATTGAATACAGACGGAGGCAGCAACTACTTTAATATGAGGGGAGGGGGGTCAGGCTCTGGCACGCCTGGTGGTAATCTTACAGGATCTGCAGGATCTGCAGGCTCTGGAGTACCTGGAAGGAATCGATTCCAAGATGAACTGGATGAGATTGAGCAACACGTTCATGCACTTAGTCTGGAGTCTGGACGAACCATTAATACATACAGGAATGCAGGTGGATCTGATGTACCAACAAGATCCAATTCTGGAAACAGTATGCGTTCAAATATGTTGCGCAAGCCATCGCAATCGTCTAAACCCTCCTCGCCAGATGCGGGAATGAGCAATGGTGGAGCTAGCCCACCACAGCAGTACCAGGCAATGTCGAATGGACGATCCAGTCCAGGAAATGTACCTGCAGTAGCGGATCTGAGGAGAATGAACAGTTCTGCACGAGGATTAAGTCGTGATAATAGTGTTCGAAGCACAGGTTCGGGGGGTGGTTTCCGGTCTCTACCAGTAGGTGTACATGCTAGTCCGTTGGGATATGCTACTAGTGTAAGTGGGCGTTCAGATGAGGGTTCATACGCTGAAGAACCTGTCTATAAGGTTTGTAAAATGAAAAACTTGAAACGTACAGGAGGAAAGATTGCTCTTTAAATTTTTTTTTTTTTTAAAAAAAAAAAAAAAATCATTTGATTATTTCATTTGCTCACTCTTTATATATACATTTATATTTTTTGTAGCTCCGCGTCAAGTGCCATTATATTGATACAAGGGCGGTCCTTGTAAGGGCAGATACAACGCTCCAAGAGCTGTCCCAACGTGTTCAGGAAAAGTTCCAAATGAATCGACCATTGAAGCTCAAGTACAAGGATGAAGACCAACATATGCTCTCCATGGTGGATGATGAAGATTGGCTTATGGCGAAAGAGGCGCATATCATCAATGCAGGCAATCTGGATCGGATGGAGCTTTGGTGTTTTGATGAAGAGTAATCAAATACTATAAAGGGAGGAGAAAAAAGAAAACTCCTTTAATCAATATACTTGAGAGGAAAAAAAAAAAAAAAAAAAAAAAAAAAAAAAATTTAAAGATACGACATTTGGACGCGTTTTTTTTTTTTTTTTTTAGACTTGAATGATAATGATCTTTTTTTTTTTTTTTTTTTTTTTCTGTAACATTAAAAACAAGAACATGAAATTTTTTTTATTGGCATTAGCATCGTTTGTCTTAGAAAAAAAAAAAAAACCAAAAAGGCTGAACTAAAGGAGATATAGTAAGCAAAAGGTATATTTGAAAATAATAAAATAATAAAATAAAATAAAATAAAAAAGTCATGTTGTGGGAGAGGAGACTGTAGCCTGAAACGGTCTTCAGTGCCCCGAGAGATTGGTTCTGAAGTAATATTTATGATATTGCTATGGAATAATATACATGTTATAGTATAGAGCGATTGATGCTCAATGGTCTTTATTATTATTTTATGTATTTATATTTTTTATTTTTTTATTTTTATTTTTATTTTTATTTTTATTTTTATTTATTCTTTAGATATCCATATCCATGCCATATACACCTCCATTACGTCCTTCTCTGTTGTCACGACTTGCAGCAGCTATTGCAGCCAAAGCAGCAACTCCACCGAGCGCTGCTGGGGTATATCCCCCTCCTCTGCCAAAACTTCCCAAAGAACCCATTTGTCCAGAAGAAGAAGAAGAAGAGGAGATTGCGTCATAACAACTCCAGGTAGCAGGATCGTTATGGTCATGATGGACTGCCGTGTACTTTTCCGCTACTGTTCTAAACTTCTCCTCTTCTTGAAGTCGTTGCATCTCGCGAAGTTCCTTTTCCTGTGTCTGCTGTAGCCACTGTTGTTCCTGAAGCTGAGCCTCCTGTAGTTCCTTTTGTTCCTGCAACAGACGATATTCCAAAGGTTCCTTTTCTGCCAAAGCATTCGCAAGGATACTATTCGATAACAAGGCCCCAGCTATTGGTCCGGTCGTTCCCCCTCCATCATCACCGGGCATTGTCGTGATATGAGGTGTAGGTGGACCTGAAAGTGATCCCTGTAATGGTTGCTGCTGTTGCGGAACAAAACAAGTCCAGTTACCATCACTACTGATCGACATATTTGCATTTGCTAATGTTGTCATTGTTATTGGTGTTGCTGCTGCTGCTGCTGCTGCTGCTGCTGCTGCTGCTGCTGTTGTTGTTGTTGTTGTTGTTGTTGTTGTTGTTGTTGTTGTTGTTGTTGTTGTTGTTGAAGATAAAGAAGAAAATGATTCAAAGGGATTCATCCTTGAAGGCGTCGATGGCGCAGAGTTTCCGGTGGTGCTAATAGGATGATTATTTCTAATGGCCCCTCCATATGAGGTGGATAGGTAATAAGCTTCATGCGGACTGGTAGCGGATGAAGGAATTGCGGCTGCAGTGTAGTAAGGATCGAAATAGCCTTCGATTTGATGGTCTACTGCTAAAAGATTTGGGATGGTTGGTCCGGACGTATCCGAGACTGTTTCAAAATAGCCATCCAAAGCTTGTAAGCCTGCCTCATTATCAGAACCCAGATTACGTTTCTAAAAAGGGAAGGAAGTGCACAAGTCCAAGAAAAGGTTCATGTTATTTAAGTAAGTAATACGATTGATTTGTTTCAAGAAAAGAAAAGAAAAGAAAAGAAAAAAAAAAAATCCTTCTTTCTTTGGCTCTCCATCGCACCTCAAAGCCCCAATGAAATAAATTCAAGTGGGGCTCATGACGAAGGAGAACAAAATTAGTGAGAGCTTAATAATCTTCAAATAATTCTCTCCAGGAAGAAGAAGAAGAAGAAAAAAAAAACAACTTGAAAATACGTGGGGTGTGCTGTTGACGCGTTTATTTTTTTTTTTTTATTTTATTTTTTTTATTTTAGAATGATGGTGTGTAAGTGCCAGGCTCAAAAACTCACCTTTGTAATTAAAGGATCCTCGGCCTCATTATCAAATCCTCGTTTTCGAGTGGACATTTCACAAAGACTGACATATTGTACAGGATTCTGCTGTTGTTGCTCCATTTGAAAATGCTGGTTAGATTGTGCTTGAAGATCTGTGTTTTGTTGTTGTTGCTGTTGTTGCTGCTGTGGTTGCTGCTGTTGTTGCTGTTGTTGCTGCTGTTGTTGCTGCTGTTGTTGCTGCTGTTGTTGCTGCTGCTGCTGCTGTTGTTGCTGCTGCTGCTGTTGCTGTTGCTGTGTTTGAACCCACTGCTCCAGTTGCTGCTGAAATTGTTGAACATACATTTGGTGATATTGATACTGTTGCTGTTGGTTAGCAGAGGGAGCTTGGTGATTCTGCATCTAAGGGAGGTAGCTGCGCTTACAAGCCAAAGATAAACAGTTCGTCTTTTTTTTTTTTTTTTTTTTTTTTCCGATAAAATAATGATTAGAATATATGCATTGAAGTAGGGCAGGATGGAAATTGAAGATAAAAGTAGAAAGAGATTGAGAGATAGAGATAGAGATAGATAGAGATAGAGTAAGAAAAGGAGAGAGAGAAAGGGAGAAAAGGAGTAAAGACAAAGCCAAAAAAAAAAAAAAAAAAAAGACTGTAACAAACAAACATCTGTCGCGCGCCAACGATAATTTTTCCAGGGACCGAACATTTAAGGTTAATGTGAAAAAGGTTTGGAGCCATGCAAGTAGCCACCTCTCTAATTGACCGAGGACAATTCAGTTCTTTCTTTCTCATCTCTGGCTCAGAGAAATAATATAATACACGCTTTATTTTCTTTTTCGCTCTTATTTTTCTCGATCTTTCGTTTTCCCCTTTTTATCATGCTCTCATATGCTTTCCCTTTCCCTTTCTTTCTCTCTTTCTCTCTCTCTCTCTCTCTCTCTTTTTTTTTACCATTTATATTCAATCTTCTGCACCCTTTTTTTTCCCACCCTAGCAAGATTCAAATATTGAAGGAAGAAAAAAAAAAAACAATGCAAGGCGATTGATTGCATATAATGAGTACTTTTTTTGTTTTCCTTTCCTTGACTAGTCTTTGGAAGGGGAAGGGAGGGGAGGGGGGGGGGGGGACCCACAAGGTAAAAAAAAAAAAAAAGGGAGAACTAGTAACATGTTCAATCGTGCTATTGAACCAAGTAGTCGCTCCATCAAATCAATAACCCGCTCAAGATACAAAGGATACAAACAAACAAAAAAGTGCGACAACTCAAAACGATTCCACACTTTCAATAAAAAGAGCGAAAGTAAAAAAGGCGAGAGCAAAGAGCATAAGGGATATGTTACGTTGTAGATTTTTTTTTTTTTTTTTTTTTTTTTTTTTGTATTTGGATAACGTTCAAAGAAAGAAAAAAAAAAAAAAAAAAAAAAAATAGTCTAGGAGAACACGGACGAACAACATCACACGTTGCCATCATTTAAGAAAAACTTTATTATTATTATTCATGACAAATGGCAGCCGACATGAATGAAACATTTTCTTCATTTTTTTTTTTTTTTTTTTTTTTTCCCTCTCCGGTTGCTTTTTCATAGCCCTCCCCCCTCCCCCATAAATTACTTTTTTCTGAAAACGTTCACAAGCAAACCTCCTTCTTCTGTATCCGTGGACGGTATTAAAAAAGAAGAAGGAAAAAAAAAAAAAAAAAAAAAAGGAACCACCCCTGAGCCCTGAGTGTACCGTTGATTGTTGATAACAAGCCGAGAAAGGGAGAAGATAAAAAAGGAAGAAATGGAATATATAAAATAAAGTAAAATAGAATAGAATAGAATAGAATAGAATAGAATAGAATGAAATAAAACTCACATGCGGGATAGGAGGGAAGAATATTGGGAAATATTTTTGCCTTGAAAGGAATTGCCTGAATGTTCAATTGTTTGAATGCTTCAATGTTGGCGATGAATGTTTGGATGTCTCTTGCGATGACGGGTATTGAAATATTTTTTTTAAGGAAGCAAAAAGGGTCATTGATATCGAAGGGCATTTCCTTTTTTTATTTGGACAGTGCTCTCTTTTGTTCCCTCACGTTTTTTTTTTTTTTTTTTTTTTTTTTTCCTCAGGTTGGGTTTCAGTGGCTTTGCTAAAAGCGAATCTTCCGTCGATCTAAAACGTTCCAAATTTCTCTTGGCGGTAATAAACATTCCGGGAATAGTCGTTTTTTTCCATCCTTACTTCTTCAATTCTTTTACCATATATTCGTCCAAGCTTAACGTGTATAGATAAAAATAATTGGTTTTTTTTTTTTTTTTTTTTTTTTTTTTTTTTAAATGCAAGGTTTAGATCGAAAGTAACTTTAACTTTTTTTTTTTTCTTTTTTTTTTCTTTTTTTTTCTTTTTTTTTTTTTTTTAATAGAGAATACTAATGCGCGACTTCTACTTCTTGAAATTGAATATGACTTTCATAATATGCCAAAAGTTTCTGTGGACATTTCTTATGCGCTTCCGAAGCCGGAACTTCAGACCATTTGCCTGTTTTCCAGACAATGTGCACGACCAATTGGCTCTCTTGTGAATCCATACCACCTTCTTTTTCTTTTTTGATTTGCTCCACTCCATAAATCATCTTGATATGATCCTCCCATGATATCCATGATGAAGGAGGCGTCCAAAGATCTTCTTCCCGTAGTTCAAAAACCCTTGTCAGTGATGACCCTTCCCCTACTGCACTTCCTGTCCTTGATGGTGATGATGCTGATGGTGCTAGTGATGATGATGGTGCTGCTGACGGTGTTGATGTTGACAAGGCTGGTGTTGATGTCGTTGTTGCTGATGATGGCACTGCTGGTGCTGGTGCTGGTGCTGGTGCAGATAATGAAGAAGAAGAAGAAGAAGAAGTCGATGAAGAAGTTACATTGTCTGGGCGTCTTCCTCGCTTCGGAGGCTGTTGATGCTCCAAACTCTTTCCCGTCTTTTGTTTTTTCCATGCCGGCATAGTATCCTTAGTATCCTTCGGTTCTTCTCGTCTATGGCTTCCACTCTTTGTAAGCGAGGACTTGGCTGAGGACTTGAGTGGATTATTATTATCACTGCTGGTAATATGACTGCTGCCACCACTGCCGTCTGTAGTACCTTGACTGTGGCTGACTGCAGCTGACCCTGATCTTGATCCTGACCCTGACCCTGACCCTGAACCTGTTCGAATTGTGTTTTTAGTTATTGTTGGTGTTGTTGTAGTAGTATAAGAAGAAGTAATTGTCGACCCTGATGATGACGAACCTCCTCCTCCTCCTCCTCCTCCTCCTCCTCCTCCTCCTCCTCCTCCTCCTCCTCCTCCTCCTCCTCCTCCTCCTCCTCCTCCATGGGTATCGCCCAGTATAGGCATTAAATCTGGGAACAATTGATTTGCATATTCTGTCGCCTTCAATTCTCCTTCTGGATCATGTCCTTCTGGATCACTTCTTCTCCCTCCACGTGCAAAATGTCGTTCCCAATATTCTCGGACTAATCCATGACAAAAAACTGAGGATTCAACTTCATAACTGTCCTCACTATCTGGATACCCTTTCCATTTAATCAGGTATTTGAGTCCTTCTTTTGGGAACACTCGATGTCCTACTACTTTCTCCACCTCAAATACGTCTTCATCTTCCTCCTCTTCTTCATCTTCATCTTCGTCTTCGTCTTCGTCTTCGTATACATCCTCATTACTGTCCCTACTCTTGAGTCCTTTGCCTTTAATCTTCCCATCCATGTCCATGTCCTTGCCCTTGCCCTTGCCCTTGCTCTTCTCCTTCCCCTTTCCCTTATCCTTCTCCTTGTCCTTATCCTTGTCCTTAGCTTTGCTGCTATTGTCGTCCATAGAGGATTTGTGCTTAGATTGACTTGTATCATCTTTACCGCCACTCTGTTTCAACGAGCCATGTTCTCTGTTAACATTCTTTTCTTCCTTGACTCTGACGCCATCCATGATGACTGATAGTGTCGAATTATGAGAAAAAAATATATATATATATATATATATATTGAAAGAATGGAATCTAAAAATGCTCAATGCCCTTCTCGAAGATTAAATTAGAAAAATCTAGAATGTGATTTAAAAAAATCAGAATTTAGAATTCTGCGCATTAATTGTGCAGGCCGCGTCAAAAAATACAACGGCGGTTTAATAAAACAAAAAATGCAGACTAACCTAGTAAATGAGGTGTGCTAATTTTTTATCGGGTCAAAAATGATTAGGAAGGGAGGGAAAAGAAAACGCTGGAAAAAAAAAAAAAAAAAAAAAATTCGTGACTTTGATATTTATTTTATTTTATTTTTTTTACTTGGGAAAGGCTTTTAAAGTGCCGTGCCACGTTCGAAATCATCACGAATCTCTTTGGTGTATTTATCATAAAACCGGGAGATCTTCTGGTTGAAGCGTTGATTCGCATCATTGATATAGTTGACATCTTCATCCTCCTTATGAGCCCTACGTTTCGAGAACCTCGTTCGTGCATCAATCTGTTTGGCCACATCGGCCGCCATTCGATCCACTGCCAACGTATCAGGTTTAGCATCCGAAAGAAAAGCAACAGAGTTGGCATCTCGATAAAATCCAGAGTCGCTTGCCACAACTAACTCTCCATCTTCATTCGTGTGCAGTGCTGCTTCCTTCTTTGCATTATATGCAGCAAGATTGGGTTTCAACTCTCCAACCTGTTTGAGATACTTTTTGTGGTTGACTTGGTCCCAGTCTACAATTAAGATAAATAATAATAAAAAAAATCAATGTTAAAAAGATAACCTTTTTTTTTTAAAAATAAAATAAAATAAAATAAAAAAATAAAATAAAAAAAAAGAGAAAGGAGACGTCTGCACTGTCCAAGGTAGAGGAGTTTTTGACAAGTACCTGTAAACTTATTATCCATCCTTTGCCTCTTTGCTTCTTGCTTCTCATTCCACTTCTCAACACTTTCTGCAGAGTAGTTCCAGAATTGAGATCGCTCATAATCTTCCCCTGCTTCCTCTGCATCACGTTTAGCCATAAGCTTCTCTGCTTCCTCTCGTGCCCTTTCCTTCTTTGCTTCTTCACGCTTATTGATCTTTGATTTCTGATGCTCCGTCATCAGATCTGCACGATTTGCTTGCTTGGATGCATTCTAATGGCGAGTAAAACATAGAGACACGCGTAAAAAAAATAAAAAATAAAAAAAGTATGTAAGTGCGTGAATGTGTTGAGCGAGTAATAATAATAAAAAAAAAAAAAAAAAAAAAAAAAGTCAAGAGAGTCACATTACCAGCTTTTGCCGTAATCCTTTCAACTTTGCCATTCTCTCAGCCATCGTCAAAGAGGAACTCTCTTTTGCCGTTGATGCTGGTTTTTCCTCAAGTTCGGAAGAAACATCCATATCTGCTGACTCTTGTGCTTCTTCTTCTTGTTGTTGTTGTTGTTGTTGCTGCACTGAAGACTCTTGGTTCTGCTCAATTGATGCTTCTTCTGTATCCGCTGCCTTCATTTCAACATCTTGATCTGCTTCCTCCTTTAACGCCTTCTTGGATTGCGCTGACTTTTTTGATGTTTTTACTTCTTTTTCATTCTTTGCTTTTCCTTTTCCTTTCCCTTTTCCCTTTTTCTCCTCCTCCACTTTATCTTGCACCAATTCGTTAGTTGTCTCTATAGTTCCTGTTGTTTCTGGTGCTTCTGATGCTTCTGGTACTTCTGGCGCTTTTAGTGTTTCTAGTGCTTCTGTTGCTGTTGCTGTTTTAGTTGTGATAGTTGTAGTGGTGGTAACAGTGGTAACCTTGGTGGCCTTTCTAGTCTTCTTTGATTTCACTTCAGTGACAGCCTCCTCGTTCACTTCTTTTGAATCCTTTGACACTTCAGTACCAGCTGCATCGGCAATGTCGGCTACTTGTGTCTCAGATGAGACAGGCCCCGCCGGTTCTGTGTCTGATTTCACGACCGCTACTTCTGCTTCCGCTGCCGCTGCTGCTGCTGCTGCTGCTGCCTTGGACTTTTTAGTAGGGGCTTTTCTCTTGGGTGGCATGGAATTAATCTTGATGAGTTGATTGAGTATAAAAAAGAGCTAAAATGGTACATTCATTTACATTATAAAAAAAAAAAAAAAAAAAAAAAAAGCACCACAGCCACCCAATTTTTAACTGGCACAAGCACATGTTCACTCTCCCTCATGGCACCTCTTCCAATCATACGTCTAATTCTTCCTGCAACTCATTTTATTTCAGTCTTTGTTTCTTTGTGGAACAATCTGCTATTCATGATCTTGTCGTCAAAAAATCAGAATTGCATGAGGATATCGAAACAAGGATTCTTGTTTGCCTCAATCTGCACGTTCCTCATCACAGGAGCTAAAAGACCCATATTTTCAGAAAGAAATTAAATATAAAGCCTTTGAAAAAACAAACTGATGAATATAAGAAAAAGTCGCAAGGCAACAGAGTCTTATGGCAGCGGCCTTTAGGATAATGAAGCCATTTCCTTCAAAGCAGGTGTTATTGCTCCGTGGACGATGCTTCTTTCTTTCTTTTTTTTTTAATCGCTTAACGCAACTATCTGAACTTACATCTATTTGTACCCTGAAAGATCGCGTTGCAATTGATTTGAAACTTTGATAGTTCATGAGACGCGAGAGATGCTTCATAGAGGTCAATACGTCATGGATGCCACAAAAGAGTTTGGTAAAGAACGAAAGCAGCAGCATGAGACATGAAAATTTTACTCAGATTCTGCATGAGAATGGACGTTTCTCACGAGACGACTTTATGATGTGTACGGTATTTGGTGCTCTATAGCTCCATCCGAGATGAGAATTGGGCCCCCTTAGCTATCAAATAGATGGAAGAGCTTGAGCAGTATGAGCGATTTCCCCTTCTACAACAGAGTAGATCACACAAACAAAGTCTATCTTGGATTTTCTACGAAAATACAGGTGCGGCAGCTTTGCTTTGATAATATTACATCCTGAGAGCTTGGAGTGCGCCCAACGGAGGCACTCCATAGGATCAGACCAATTAGTGACGGCTATGCCAAGGCCTATGAACCAGAGGGTCGAGTTTGTCGTTCTTTTTGGTTAGATCTTTTCAATTACAAGAATTTCGTTAAACAAACCATTTATATTTGAAAAAATCTAACCGTTTGCCAAGCAACAATGATGATCTTGACTCTGATATTTATCTATTTTTGGACACAGGACGTTCTGCGCCATGTAGGCTAATGCAGCGTATAAAATGACTTAGCACTTACTCACGTGGTATAGTCGTCAGTCGTGAAAATAAATATTTAATTCTCAGAGTAGTGTAATTCTAGCTGCATTTCTTACATCTAAAGAGTACAGGAACGTCGTCCCTGCTAAATGGCTTATAGAACTTCGACCAAAGATAACAGAACTCCTTCCTTCACTTTGGGAAGAGTACACTTAAGGGCGATGCTGCTATCGGCTTCAGTATTTTCATCTCTGAGCCATATAACGCGTCTTCATATCGCACAGTAGTAGTCGCAAGCATATTGTATTGATCCGCTATAGAATACAGAAGCTGCAACTGTGGTACGGCAGCAGCGGCGCCAATGCCAAAAGCATGGAGGGAAGATCAGTGATGAGGAGCTTAGTAGGATATGTTGAGCGAGGTTCAAGAATGATCTTTTTTCCAGATGAATTCGACAAGTGTAATCGTGGGGGAGCCTTGAAGATGTGGAGGTAAACAATGATATCGTCTTGAGGAAGGAAGTCACCCACAAGCGAAACAACTTCTGGGATCATCTAGGGAAGCAGCCTGAGACCGTTCATCCTGCAAAAGAGCGGACTCATGGAGAAAAGTGTGGAATGGGAGGTGAATAAGGGAAGGGGAGTAAAAATAGAAAAATGAAGAGAAAGAAGAGTATATCGACGAGTAAAAGGTTTCTTTTCTCTTCATCCTCACAGCTCAAAACTATACATTTTATTCTTTTTTAAGCTCTCCTTTTCTTCAAGGAAGAAGAGAAAGACGGATGAGATGCTTGGCTTGCGAGAAAAAAGAAGAGAAGAGCTTAAAAACGAGTGAAATGCTTAGTTTGTGAGAAGTTAAAGAATCAAGGAGGAAGAACAAAAAAAAAAAAAAAGAAGAAACGAAGGATCTTTTCCCGATATTTACCATTATAATTTCCTTTTCTCCTAGTAAAAATCTATGCACTTAAGCAGCCATGATTACTACCTTAGGCAACAGTGCATGTGTCCATTCATTTTAAGTGGATAGGGGAAGCAGAAACAGAAGTTTCTATTAAATGGTGGGTGCTTTAGCATCTTCGCAACTTGATGTTAAGCTAGCCGATGAATGCAGCTCCATAATTTAGCTTTATTTGAGCACGTACCACACTTGACAACTCAAAATAAAGACAGATCGAAAGAGAAGACGCGTAAAGAATATTCGCGTGCAGGTTAACCTCGATGGATGCAATGCACTTCTGCTCACCTATCCCTTTGGTGCTTATGGTCTTTTTGTGGCTTTATATATACGATTTTGAGGTATAAAGGACTCCTTTATTATGTCTTTCGTCATAACAATCATAACAATGCTGTTAGTAGTCCCTCGAGAGACTCCTTTATCGGAATCATGCTCTGAAAATTAGACTGCGTTGTGATAATGTTGGAAGTGGGTATCTTTCATAATGCCAAGTAATGCCTTTTTTTTTCCCTCTCTTCACTTTGACATCTTTTATTTTTATTGGTCAAGTAAAGTGATGAGGTCCTCCATTCAAGCCACCTGAATAGTGTCCAATTTAACTTCAAAAAACTGTCGCATTGCTTCTGGTGTATAGTGTGGCTATATTGGAGAAATGGAAGTATCCGTGTCGTAGTTCAAGGAGTTGAGAGGTAACTGTTCGATGCTAATTAAACATATCTTCAAGCACCTAACTTTCCTGAAAAGTTGAAACTTATCACTATGACTTGATGACGGCCGGATCCTTACGCTTCGTTGTTGTTTAAAGGAGTACTCCACTGCTGGAGGGCTTCTCAGGATTGACTAGAAATCGTTATTTAAAATCATACTTTAGGGCCTGGCGTGTTTTAAACACCTAAAAAAAAATTTAAAAAAAAAAAAAAAAATGTTGCCATCTTTGTCTGCATACTTTCTTACAGCTTCACTCGAGTGGTTCACTAGCTACGAACTGAAATAATGCTCTGTCCCAGACCATGCAACGTACCATCAACATCATATAAATCGGGCTTTATCCTCATATTCTTCTATGACCCAGCTATTCGGGACGCGTGCCTATGGTTGTTCTATCCAGAAACGAATTGCCTATTGTCGCGCGTGAATTTCAACCCTCTAAAAGCACACATCGATGAAAGCCGCCACGTGACGTAGTTTCAATACAACTTTTTTTTTTTTTATGCTCTAATCGTCCACGAAAAAAAATAAAACAAAAAGCTTAAATGATTTAAGCGGCGTAAACATAGGTACTTGATAGTCTTTTTTCGGGTGTCCGGCTTGTAAATGATTTGTCTGTCGAAAAAGGCAACCGGCTTCCCTAAAAGTCTATTATTATTACCCTGTTATGCAGTTCGGATGTGTTGAGTTCGAGTTGGCCAATGCACCAGGAGTTCAAGAGAAAAAAAAAAAAATCAATATTAAGCGCAGCGATTGTTATTGTTACAAAATGGCTCAGAAGCTTATTTTATGTTATTTTATATATACATATACTTATTTACTTTTTACACGAAGATGAAGATGACGGACAACATGCATGGCCTCTAAAAGATCGTGCAGCAAACAAACCTGCTTGTCAAACGTCAAAAAAAAAAAAGATAAAGTACATGTAATGTGTATGTGCGTAGTGCGTGTGTGAGCAAGATCGGAGAACGTGCATAGACTCCTCAGGAAAAAAAAAAAAAAAAAAAAAAAAAATTCCGCAGTTCTTGTCCACCCAATAAAGCATTTCCGGAATTGCCTGTAAAGTCAAAATGTCCGATCAACTATCCCTTATTCCTTCTTGATCTTTTGCTATTCTCTTATTCCATTATTCAGTCTCAGGAAACAAAAAAAAATAAAATAAAAAATGAACGAGTCATCGGGTCTCTTCACAAGTTTTCTGCTATTGGGTTTAGTGAATGCGAAACAATTCTCGGGACCACAAAAAAAAAAAAAAAAATGCAGCCAGCGTAAAATGCGTTCTTGGCCAATGCTATAGCTATAGTTTTACATTTCCATATTCCTCATGTTCCCATTTGGAGTGCACAGGTCAGGCTTTTTGCAAGTTGATGCATGTTTTGAGACGTGCATCCCTTGACAATAATGTCAAACAAATTCTCGTCATGGTGCAGCTGAGTGTTAATTGATATGACACATTATATACTGTAAATCTTTTTTTTTTTTTTTTTTTTGCTCAACGATAATTATGAGGAGCATGGAGATTGAAATAAAGGGAGCTGAAGAATTGTTGACCCGTCAGAACACAAGAGTTTAATAGACTTTCCTTTTTTAGTCGATCCCCCACAAACAGGAATACAAGCTCTAACCGGTCTGTTGGGTTTAACAAAAATCTCTTTATTCAGTGTTCATTACGTTAAATCAAAGAGAGCGGCAGCACTCGGACCTTCGGCAACGACTTAAAAAATAAGCTCTATTTCGGGATATTGGCCTATTAGGGTGAAAGCATTGCCGTAGATGTACCTCTTTTTCTTTGTGGAGAGGGCTGTGTGTTTGCACGTTACTCTTTTTAAACGTATGAAGTCGATCTAAGAATGTGCACTTGTACAGAAGTGAAAAGTAGAAAAAAAAAAAAAAAAAAAAATCCACGGATATTTTTTGATCGGTGTGGCTGGTTATCGAAGCATGTAATCGGAACGAAATAACGTTCCGTATGGTTGCGTAATAAGACAAAAGTCGCGCATTTTTACCTTTTTTGTGAATAGCTCTTGGTCATTGTCGTTCACGCTGATGGTGACCTCAACCTGTTTTCTCTCTTTAGCAGCACTTGTTCCAGTGATTGATGCAGGGGGGGGGGTAGGAAAGAGCAAACCAAATGTGTCGCAAAAAAAGGAGGGAGGGAGGGCTCAGAAAAGACGACGCACAGGTCAATCACAATTTGATTGTTGCCAAGTCCAAAGTCGACAGAAAATTCAAAATTGGACTTTGGCGCTTCCTGTTGTTCTTTTTTTTCGTCAACAAAAATAGATGTGCAATAGCCACTCAAATGAAAAACAAGTTCTGGCTATTATTGTTATTTTGGGTACAGGGAATGTAGCCAAGAAAAGGATAGTAGAGAGAAAAGGAAGGAAATGTCCTCGGGCGAGTAAGGTATTAAGTACAGAGACTAGAAACTGGTCAATTGCTTGGCAATCTTGCAGCAAAAAGTGTAGAACGAAGAATGTTACGCCACACTTTCAAGTAGATGATTAGATTAATGAAGAGAACAGAACAGTACCGGAGGGTATTGGGCTGTGATTTAGCTGTGATTTAGCTGTGATTTACTTCATTTATTCATCCAAATCTCTTAGTAAATACGAGCCATGGTGCAAGAACAACCATCAAACAACAGGAAAAAAAAAGAACCAAGGCTCCTTCAACTATGATATTGTCAACCAACAGGATCTGGAGCGTCGGCTTTGGGACAGAATGAATATTACGATCTGATATTGTTTGTTTACTAAAGCTAAACTTTTCTTTACTTCATGCGTCCATGACTTGGACCATGTTGCCTGGACTCTTGTTTTTGAGCGAATACAAGCATAAATGCGTGCCTCCTTGGCGCTCGAACACGCAGTGTATACTTTTTTTCCTTTTTGTGTTGTTGTTGATAAAATAAAGACGCCAGTTAGCAATTAATTTTTGTTGATGATCGTCCATGTAATAATCATTTGAGCACAAAGGGGTGGGGTGTCACGGAGGCATCAGAAAAAGGAAAAAAAAGCAAAGGACACATAGCGCGACAATGTTAAAAAAAAAAAAGCCAGGTGAGCCAATGCTCAACAAACATACTTCTTAAACTTTGTTTAAACCTGTTACATTCTCCAAAATCGCTTAAGGAAGGATTTGTTGGCCGAAAAAGGGAAATTGCCAAGAAGGTAATGCGAAACTGTCCGATACATATTCTTAATTACTGTATCGATGATAAAAGTAAAAAATAGCAATTATGAGAGCCATTTGATGCTCGATGCGATGTTACTGTTACGTGGATTCCGCTCAGTTTATGCAAATATATTTATCGGAATTAACTTTTTTTTTTTTTTTTTTTTTTTTTTTACGGAAGCAAAGCACGTAAGTGAGCATAAGGATCAAGTGGAGGAATGGAGCAATTGTACGCGTGTGCAACTATGCCTGAAATGTTTCTTTTCTATTGAAAGTTCGATCGTAATAATGCAAGATGACAACGAACCCTATTGTCCGCCGCTCTTTTTTTCCTTTCGGAATTTACATCCGCAATTTCTAATGCCTTTTTCAGTTGTATTTGGATGACAATATCGACCAGTCATTATAGGCTTGAAGCGTTATTTTGCTCTTACGCCTATTAACCTTTTGTCTCATCCTTGTATGTCTTTTTTCTCTAAACATCACTCGCATGAACATTTAACCCGTATTCCTTATTTTCAGTGATGCCCCTTCGTTTTTTTAGAGCTTCAATACGTCCATCGCTCCCTTAGGGTCGAACAGGTCAACATTCAATGAATGACCAAAAATAGACTATTGTCCACTACTAACTGATCGCCGCAGCAACATGCCTCATCTCTCCTACTCTCTATCTATTCTTTTTTTTTGGTTTTGAGGAACAGCCACCGCATATCCCACAATCTTAATTAACATAAACACCAGACCACAAAAAGCAACACAGCAAAATCGAGAGTAAAAATAAATGAAAATGATACAAAAAGACTGATGGCCCAAGAAGAGAGAAGAGAGAGATGGCCAAAATGGCTGGTCAAGAGAAAAGAATGATGGCGATGCGACATGACATTGAATCCTGCTAGACCTATTATTTTTTCCTATTTTGGAGTCAATATGATATGGATTATATCAAGTCAGTCAGAATAAATCATTTTCTTTTAGTTTTCTTTTAAGGGAAAATGAGGGGGAAGGGAATGGAAAGAAACGGACGGCTCAGCTCTCCGTTAACGCCGTGGATTTAAAAAAAGTAAAAATATATTTTTCTGTAATGAACTGTATTTGATGTAATGGATAAAATAAAATGAAATAAAATAAAATCAAATAAAATAGATATTGAATTCAATCCTCCTTCCAGGTCTTCTGCCATTCATATTATCACATTCCCCCTTTTCTTTACTTTTCTCTGATCAAATATGGTAAACAGTGCCTAAGGTCTTATTTAAAGTATCTATTTTAATTCAATAAGTATCCCTCTTTAATTTAATTAAACATTTCAGTTGCGCAATGCTTGTTAGTATTCAATCAAATCAATTAGTCAATTAATAGGAGACCATAGTCTCTCAGTCATCCATTGTCAATGCCCAGACACTCCCCTGGCAGTGTTTGCTCATTTTTATACACATCAGATGCACAGATTGTGTTATGATTCCTTTGTCTTGGCCTGACTCGAAATGACAGCGAAAACTATTTAAGCCGCGCATGGTTCCCTCTCTTTACTGTTTTTTTTTTTTTTATTTTTTTTTATCTTCATCATATTCTTTGCTTAAACTGTTTTCTGCACGTTTGCTCTTCATTGTTTCTCTTATTACCATTACTCCATTGTTTATCTAGCAACAATCAGCTTCCTCTCTCTTTATTTCTCACTCTTCCCCCTCTCCTCTCTACATTCATTTAATCGCTACTTATTTTTGAAACGTTTATCTGACCCACAACCTATACAAAGGTTGTCTGCTACGACTACACAGCCTCAATCTCTCTTTATTTCGCTCATTTCTATTTGTTGCGTGTAAACGTTTCCATCTTTCAATTGCCTGTATATTGCCTCTTAGCTCTCCTCTCTCCACGTTACGGTTGATCACACCTTCTTGGCCCAACTCTCCCTTCTTCGTTTTATGCCTTCTCGTCTTCACCACTTGTGTTGCACATACTCTATTCTTTGACCTTCGATCCATTTTTCCTCCTCTTTTTTTTTTTTTTTTTTTTTTTTTCTACTTTCTCATCACCTTCTTTTTACTCCAACGGAAATATTTTAAAATAAAGCCATGTAAGTATAATACTCTGTTTCATTTTCATTAATTTGCTCCTTGCGGTGGATCCAGCAACGCGTATCTTTTACCGTTTTTGGAATCTCAATGTTACTGAATGCCAGAGTGAATCCTATAAAGCTTGCAATCCTTATCGGCCGGACTTTGTCATAAAGTCCTGTAGCTTGATAGAAATAATGTCTATCTATTCATCTATTCCCATGTCCAATCTATTTCATCCTGTTTCTTCATTAAATGAGGAGTCCCTTATTGCTCTATTCCGTCACATTAGCTTTTTTTTTGTTGCTACTGATCGAGATCAGTGAACTAGGAATTCAAACAAAGCTTCGCATTCTTTGCTTGCTACTCTTTGTTTAAGGGGAAAAAAAAAAAAGAGGTTTGCACAACAATGTTAGGTTGTATTCTATTTTTTTTTTTTTTTTTTTTTTTTTTTTTGCATATGGCCTAGAGATCACTGGCTTTTGCAGCGCTCAAGTTCATGGAGATAGTTCAGCCCGTGTCAAACGTGTGCAGATTATCCTGTATAGTTCTGCAAAGCCTTGAATCAACGAAAGCCAATGTAGCATTATTTTTTTTTTTTTTTTTTTAAAAAAAAAAAAAAGAAAGAAAAAAAAAAAAAAGAAAAGGTCCGAAGTACTTTCTAGCCAGCCACACATGGCGACATCCTCCGAATGTAGCACATGGAGCTGGCTACCAGTCAGGAAAAAAAAAAAAATGCGGCGGATGTCAATGGCTCCAAAACTCAAATATATACCAACAATAGTAGCGGCGGCTCTACTCCGCTTCTCCACTGGTTTTCAAGTATGAAGGGTTTTATCTCTTTTTTTCTTTTCTTTTTTTATTCTTTTTATACCCTGTCACAAACATTCATATATTCAAACAAACCGGCTCCTCCTTTCGTCAGTCTCCTTCCTGCTCCCGCAGTATTTTGTTTAATTTCATGTGTGACGGAGTGAGTAACGGTTGTGAACCATGCGAGACAGTATTTAAGCATCATTTCCTAACATACAATTTTTTGTAAACTCTTCATCACTTAATCTCCTCCTGCATAGGCACTCTGCAACGTACAATTCACCTCTCTCGAGTGCGCCGTCGTCAGCATCCGCTTCATCGTCTTGCTCGTCGTCGCCTTTCTCTTCACCCGAGACAGGGACTGAGATGGATTTTTTTGATATACCAATGTCAATGTTATTACCATCCTCAGCTTCAACCCCTTCATCTTCTATCGCCGCGAGCTATCCACATAACTTGCTTGGAGTTGATAGCTCTCAAGACGAACTTTTGTTGATGCATCAACACCAGCAGCTACAACTGCTCCAAGAACATCAGTATCAGCAGCAACAGCAACTTCAATATGAAATATCGCAGATCAACCTTAGCACGCCTCCAACATCTCCACTCTGCTACACCTCTGATTTACAAACCACGCAGGACGTGGGGAACGAGCACTTAATCTCGCATCAGCACAGTTCTCATTTGCAACCATCCAGTGCTCCAATCTCATTTGCTGCGGAAAGTCCATTTGTTCCTTCACTCAGCACTATGGGTGAGCATGGATCGGACGATATTGCCCTCTTTCCTCTAAACCCCACAACATCCTCCATGCCAACTAGCATTCATTCATCGATAGCATGCAGCCCTTCTACTTCTTCTGCTCCCTCTCCCTCGACACCATATGACTTCGCATTGGCTGATCTAAACACAAGCGCAAGAGCGAACGCCAGCTGCAGGAGCTCTCCAATTATTCCGTTGGAAATAATCAAGCGTGAGCTACTCTCTCCAATGGCTCCAACCATCTCCTCTGCTCCAGCCTCTGGCAGCATAGCAGAGACATCCCACCTATGCAAATGTGCAGACAAGTATCGCCTCTCCAGCCAACAATATCCTACATCCTCCATATCTTCAGCATCTACGCCCATTTTCAGCACTTCTCCTAGTGCACATGATTTCCTCTCTGTCCCATCTAATGCCTATTCAGTGATTGGTGACAATGAGGGTTCCACTGGATCTTCGCCCACGTCTGACTGGGCGGGTAGTCAGGAGTATGACACGCGGTTTCCCTCCAGCCCATTCATGTCTGGCCTCTTTCAAGATGTCTCAAGTTCGTCTCATTCTCATGGAGAGCGCATTCGACCTAAATCGATGATTGCTGCATCGTCCTCTTTATCATTAACTTGTTCTGCTACGCAACCCTATACATCGTCGCCATTCCACAGAGATGCTATTTCCGTGCCTGCATCCCCTTCAGAATCCATTTCGATGTCATTGCCCATGTCTATGCGCCCACGCCATGACCGTCGACGATCAACGTCAGCTGCATATCTCTACGGGCATAGCTCCTACTATGTCTATGGTGCTGGTCACCATCACCATAGTATTCCCCAATACCCACAGCAGCAACAGCAACAGCAACAGCAACAGCAACAGCAACAGCAACAGCAACAGCAACAGCAACAACAGCAGCAGGATCAACAGCAAACGCCACAAAAGCAACAAATTCAAAATCATCCGCAACAACAATACTTTTCTCACTTGCTCGACCCTTCCATGGTTCCTGAGATCACAGATAACCATGTGTGTCCTGTCTGTCAACGTCGATTCACACGTCCATTCAATTTGCGATCACATATCATGACCCATACGACTGCGCGGCCTTTCCCCTGTGACGAATGCCATTGGAAGTTTACACGACAGCATGATTTACTTCGCCATAAACGGGCTAAACATCCTGGTTCTGTGCCTCCTCTGCCTCCAAAGGCTCCTAAAGCCAAGATAGAGACTAATCAGTCCATACCAACATCTACATCCACATCTACATCCACATCTACATCCACATCTACATCCACATCTACATCCACATCTACATCCACGTAGATATAATATGTTATCAAGCGCTAATACTTTTATGTTTATATTCTAAAACTAACTATCAAATAAAAATATGTTTAAAAATAAAAAAATATCCGCAGTATTTAATGATTTGATGAAAGTAACTGCATTTTTTTACAGAAACTAATGGCATGAGCCCACAATAAATGATTTATACTGACATAAGCTTGAAGTTTCTTGGCAAAAAGGGGTATTTGAAAGAGAGAAAGAAAGAAAGAAAGAAAGAGGGTGCATTTATCGTTCATAACGAAGATGAAGATAAGGTCAATATAAAAAATCTAGTTCAGGTAATCATACTCTATCCATCGTATGTAGTGATAGCCATAATGACTCTTTTTTTTTTTTTTTTTTTTTTTTTTTTTTGACAAACCCTCAAGCTCAGGCTTTGTAAGAATAGTAGAGGTAGAAAAAGGACGATGGGTTGGGCAAAGTTAAAAGAAAAAAGAAAAAAAGTTTATTCCTACAGAAAGTAAGGCGATCATCTTACGCCCAGGGATAAAAAGTTATGGTTTCTTTAGGAATCGATGGATTTTATATTTTCCCGAGATTATCCTCAGAACAAGAACGTGGACAAAAAAAAAAAAAAAAAAAAATGGTTCCTCCTTGCAGCGATGGATTCGTTAACCAGGTTCAAATGGACAGAGAAAAAGGGATGGGGGGAAGGAGCATCTGGTCTACATATTAGACAGTCAATGTTCCATAGGAGACAGATGGTCCAGCCGAAGTATGATCTTCAGCCTGATAAAATTCCAATGATCGTTCATATCTGCAAACTCAGCGTGCTTTTTTTTTTTTAGCCAAGTTGCTATGCTTGGGGCTGTTCTCAAATAGTTCAATCTAAACTTTGTGTGCCTTGGTTCACTTTAATTTTTTTTATACGAGGAATGGATGGGGCCACCTTTTAAAGTTTCCCATTCGTAAAGCAGTCCAGTTATGCGCATGCTAAAAAAAAAATGTCTTGATCCATTTCTTTTCTTTTTTTTTTTTCTTTTTGTTATTTGTCCTTCACCCCTTTCTATCTTCTTCCAATTATCTTCCCAGCCTTGATTATATATATATATTTACATAATGTCTCAAGATAGCAGTGGTGGTATTCATCATAACGACGATGGCACCAGTCATGATGCTGATAGGAAAGGAAATACCGGCAATCAAAATAACAGCAACCTTCTCAGTATTAATAACAGCTACAATAAGCCCGGTCATAAGGATGATTATAAAGTCGGTCCAAGTACCAATGTAGAGATCGATTATAGTATGAACAACAATAACAACAACAGTGATATTTATATGAAGAAGATTAGTCAATCAATTGTCATTCATAAAAACCATGATAATAATTATGATGATGATGATGATGATGATGATGGCAACATCGATGCTAACTCTTCTCTTTTAGTTGGTGGCATCGAAAACATTCACAGCGATCATAACAGCATCAACAACGACGACAACGATAACAATAATGACAATGCGCCTACAAAGTTTTTATATCTATTGATTGGTTGCTTGGCCATTGGTGGGTTTTTATTTGGATACGATACAGGCGTCATTGCTGGGGCACTCTTGCCGATCAAAGAGGAATTTGGTCTTTCGAGTCAAGAACAAGAATTTGTCGTTGGAGGTATTAAAAAAAAAAAAAAAAAAAATTAAAACGGCGTTTTTTTTTTTACGTTCAACCTTGGATGAACGCTAAACTCAACCCTATTTTTTTTTTTTTATTTTTATTTTTTTTTTTTACTACTTCTACTATTATTATTATTATTCAAAGGAACTACACTTGGTGCCATTCTGGGTGGTTTATTAGCAGGAGCACTTTCAGATTTGATTGGCCGTAAGCCTGTAACATTACTTTCGTCCGTAATCTTCATTGTTGGTGCTGCTCTCATGACGTTCGCACATGATTATTGGCTTTTATTGCTTGGAAGACTCGTTGTCGGAGTCGGTGTTGGTAAGAACTTTAATAAATACAACATTATTATATATATATATATATATATCGTGAGAGTTTTTTTTTTTTTTTTTTTTTTTCCACCATTAAAAAAAAAAAAAAAAAAAAAAAAAAAGAACCACCACTGAATTACTGATTTTTCTTTTTTTCTTTTCTTTAAAAAGGTCTCGCTGCACTAGTTGTCCCTCTATATATTGGAGGTAAAGTGAGATAACAATATCAATAATGATAGTAATGCTTCTGGCTTGCCAATGTTACATGCAACTTGTTTAAATGCCGCATCAAACGAACGGAGAAAGAAAGATAATCAACTGATATAATCTAGCACGAACTTTTTTTTTTTTTTTTTTTTTTTTACTTTTAACATATTGTATCCCTTCTTGATGGCTCAATCATTTGCACAACAGAACTTGCTCCCAGGTGAGTGAAAATTAACATGACCGAACATGTGACCTTTATCTTATACTTAAAATTGACTGTGCTTTATTTTTTTTTCTATAAATATAGTGCATACCGTGGACGATTAGTGACCATGAATGTATTGATGATCACAGGAGGACAATTGATTGCATATCTAGTTTCTTCTGCATTGACGGATAAAACAAATGGTTGGCGCTGGATGATGGCGATCTCGGGCTTCCCTGCGCTTCTTCAATTAGTCACACTTCCTTTCCTCCCTGAATCTCCACGGTATTTGGTCAAAAAGGGAAATATTGCTGGAGCAAAGGCAGTATTGAGGCGATGTATGGGACTCAACGATACTAATCATGATGATAATGGGAAAATAACAGCAGCAGCAGCAGCAGCAGCAACAATGGTAACGCCAACACCAACAGCAATAGCAGAGACTACAGAAACAACAGCAGCAAAGACCAGCAACAGAAACAACATTGAAGACTTTATTACTAAAGAAGTCGATGCTATCCGAGAGAGCTTGGAACAAAGTCATAAGACCAGATACCGTGATTTGCTCCGTAAGGATCTGAGACGACCTCTTATCATTGCTTGTTTTATGCAGCTATGGCAACAACTCTCTGGTTTCAATACAGCAATGTATTATTCAGCCACTATCCTCAAGATGGCTGGTTTTCCTAATGCTAAGAGTGCTACGCTTTTCTCATTGTTGATCGCAGGAACCAACATGATTATGACAAGTTAAGTTTTTTTTTTTTTTTTGTATTATTGTATTTTAGCTTCTTTTTTTTTTTTTTTTTTTTTTTTGTTATAAACTATCACAGTTACATTGTATTGACTTTTTTGTTTTGTTTTGTTTTGTTTTTATTTGGCTTTTTTATACAATGTTATATCAGTTGTGGCAATTAAGATTATCGATCGTGTAGGGCGTCGGAAGATTCTGTTAGTGACTATAATTGGGATGATTGCAGGATTGATTGTTTTGGGCGTGGCGTTTATCAAGATTGTGGGCTTCACTGTGAGGCAGGACCAATGTGTTCAATACGGAGACAATTGTGCAGCCTGTCTGACAGATGATCGGTGCTATTTCCAGGATAGTAGCAACACTTGCCAGGATATGGGATGGGATGGTCACGGTAAACGACCCATTTATACAGGAGTATGCCCTAACCGCTCTGGGGGGATCAAAGCAGGAAGCTGGGTTGCGTTGGCCAGTTTAGTCTTTTATGTGGCATCGTATGGTCTTGGTCTTGGCAATGCACCCTGGTTGATTCAAAGCGAATTGTTCCCGCTAGATATCCGTGGAAAAGCAACCGGCATGGCTACAGGTAAAGGATATAAAAAAAAAAAAAAAAAAAAGTGACGCTGGAACACAATGATAACGATGCCATAATACCAACAGTAATTAATAGCTAATGACGAAGGAGAAAAAAAAAATGCTTACACAATCTCTTTTTATATTTTTTTATTTATATATATATATATATATATATATATATATATATATAACATTTAGCCTGTAACTTCGCAGGAAATCTGGTGATTTCATTAACGTTCCTGACATTAACACAGCGTATAACAGCTACAGGGACATTCTGGTTGTATGCGGGCATTTTAGTGATAGCCTGGCTGTTTGTATACTTTTTGGTCCCTGAGACAGCAGGACTGAATTTGGAGGCGATCCAAGAGCTATTTAGGAAAGAAGAGGCTATAAGCGCAGAAGTTGGTGGACCAACTTTGGTGTTATATCCGCATCAACCTCACCATCAGAGGATAGTTGATGGACAAATGGATGAATCTTCATTCGAAGAGGAAGGACGGAGGCGGCGTCGTGGGCATGGGTAGTGCACCCACGAACTATAAAGGCTATTATTTTTACTACTTAATAAAGTAAAATCTTTTTATTCCCGATGAAGCCATGTGATTACAGATCGGTGTTGCTGCTTAATAAATGCCCCCTTCTCCTTTGAATAGATCCCGCACTCTTTCTGTCTTTTTTTTCTTTCTAGCATTAAATAGATCAGAGCAATAAACTTGCATACTGATGATGCCATTTTTTTTTTTAAAAAAAAAAAAGGGTTATTCGTCTACTTTTGAACTGGCAGGTGTTCACCAAGTGTGATTGATTATGGTGTTTAATAATCTAATGATATAATGATATGGAAAAAGGGAGAAGGGATGGTGAGAAAAAATAAAATAAAATAAAAATAAAAAATAAAAAGTCGAACGGAGAATTTGCAATAAGGCAGCTGCATAAAAAAGGAAAAACGATCGTTTAGTAAGCAGGGCAAAAAAAAAAAAAAAAAAAAAAAAAGTATCTGGGATCTGGTACATCTTCAGATCTTGAATGATCATTATGTGTACTTTACGGCTACCCTAATGACCCCATTTGGCCTAATTGTCTCTATCGTCCCAATTTATCCCTGATGATCTTAACAAACCTGCTGAAATCTTTTTTTTATTTTTTTATTTATTTATTTATTTTTTTTTAGTATTGCTCAAAGAGTTGAGCAAGGCAAGAAAAAAAAAAGTATGCACATGGATCGTTTGGTTAGTTGTTAAAGAGAGTTTGCATTGCATTGCATTTCACACTTTTCTTCCTCTCCCTTCTCTTTCCTAATCAACATCATCCATGTTCAAAAAAAAAGCTCGGTCACACAAAGTTTCACTGCTCTTGCTCTACCTTGACTGTCAATTTGTCCCAAGTGTGAATAGCGCTAATTGATGTCAATAAGGATGAATGTGCATACACAAAACTTTTATTGGTGCACGAGTAAGGTTGCTTGCCCTTGACTTTGGATGGCTGTTATATATCAATTGCTACTCGACATGTTTGCTGATTGGATTAGCTAATGTCTCATTGTCCACTAGAATACAGAATGATCCGAAGTTTAAAATAAAGTATTTTGATTGTTCAAAACAATTTTCTCCGCTTGTTAGTTGAATTAGGTCATTCTCTCCCCTTTTATTCCTGCTTTTCTTCCTTCCTTCTTTTGCTGGAAGAAAAAACTGAAGCAATGGGAAGAAAGAGAGGGCAGGGGGGAAAGTAAGAGTGATCGAGGCGAGGGGAATTGGGAACAGAGACTATTATCATAGATTAGATACTTTAATTTTTTGTATAATTTCTTACTTTTTACGAGACTGAGATTGGCGAGGAATGTGTGAAGGTAAAAAGGGTTTTACAAAAAGTCTTAATTCTGATCCTTCACCTTCTTTCTTTCACATCACATTCATGTTTTTTTATTTTATTATTATTATTATTTTTTTTTTTCCCCACTCGTACGTCCATTATCAGTTGAATAAACCTCAACAGCTGCAACATTGTTTTTTTTTTTCTACTTGTGTAAGTAAAGTAACACAGGGCACATAGACACACGCAGATTCCACATGTCAAGACATCAGAAAAAAGGAATGGTGTAACACAGCATCTACCCCCCCTTTTTTTACCCTCTTTCAGCGATCCCAATATTACAATTGAATTATGAGTGTTATAAAATATATGTTACCCTTGACTTCTACCATTACATGGGTCTACCCCAGAAGGAGATCTGGTCTTTCCACTCATGACCCATGTCTAGTGATTTGTCGCCGGTCTGGAGTAATATTTTTTATGTAGCACGGATTTTGGGAAAAGGTGCAATGGTGCGTGATTAAATTGAAAATTATTTTAAGTAAGCACAAGCAAACAGGGAAAAGGGCATTTTTGTTTATTTGTTTGAATATTGAACCAGCATAGTGGAATTGACCAAAAAAAAAAAAAAAAAAAAAAAAAAAAACCAGTCAATTAAATGTATCTGCTGCTCTTATCTCCACCTCCCGCCCTCACCATCTACTCATCCTCATTCCTCTCTCTTATCCAGGCTTACGCAGGTGGATTACGTTCGTCCTTTAGCCGTTTGACCTTTTTTTTTTTTATTTCCTTTTTCTTTATTATTTTATTTTATTTTTTTAACAATTCGACTTGCAACTATTGCAACTATTGCCTTCCTTTATCGTGTTTATTACTATTGCTGTTACTATTACTACCACTATTATTATTATTATTATTATCATTATTTCTTTTTTCTTTTCTTTTCTTTTCTTTTTTTTTTCTCCACGCTTTTACCTCAAGTTGGAGGATGAGAATAACATGGCCTGCTCTTGCCATACTCGATGAAGTATTCATTTTTTTATATGCTATTATTTTTATTTTTATTTTTTTTAAAAAAAAAAGAAGCATGTCTCACTTGATCTGAATGAAACGCGTGAAAAATGGCAGACATATATCTGTTTGTTACTATTTCTTTTCTTTTCTTTTCTTCCTGAATACAACAGATGACTCTTCATTACTGTCGACCTAGTTCCTGTTTGTCCAAAGGGGCTTCCAAAAGAAAGAGATAGAGACAATAATGTAAAAAGATAGAGAAGAGAGTAAGAAAGAGTTGGCACGATTGGGAGTAAATAGCAAAGTTTTGGTTTAGCAAGTCTATAATTTGCATAGCATTTGTAATTTGAAGATCCCAGACCAGACATCCTGAGGCCAGAGAATGATGATCATTGCTCTGTTTAGTCAAACAAATTCGTCATGAAGTATCAGCTTCGTAACTTTTTATATATTTATATATACTTATTGAGAGCATACCGACCCATGTCTTTAGTCAATCATTTATATTGCACATCAATACTGCATTACTAACACCTTTTTTTATTTTTTATTTAAATACTCACAATTTGGCATTTTATCATTTTTTTCTCTTTATCTTTTCTCATATCCATACCAACTGATAAAAAAAATCAACTTTCTTTTTCAACAAACCTCCAATTGCACTGTAGATATTTGGAAAAAAAAAAAAAAAAAAAAAAAAAAAAAGGAACAAGAGTCTCGATACTAGACCCTCTTACTCTAATTACTATTAGCATTCGCCATCATGGACCAAGACGGAAGGTAAGGAAAAAAAAAGAAAAAAAAAAAAAAAAAAAAAAAAGCTTATTTAGAGGTGAATGGGCTTAGTACCAACATATGGAGTTTTCTTTTTGCCTGTTCACCTATCTGTTAACCAGCCCACCTTGGAGGGGTATTGTGTTTACTGACAGGCGATAAAGTTTCAAAGGGAGGAGGAGGGCATTGCAATGGACGCACAATCTAAATGGGTATGTGTGTGTATGTGCATTTGTGGATCAACACGTCGACATGTGTGCATTGAGTGTAACACAACAATCATATTTTAGGACCCTTTTTCCCCCCCTCTTTTTAAATTATTCACCCCCTTTTTTTACGACATTGGAAAAGCGCCCATTTGCGAATTCCCGCGCTTTTTTTTTTATCTTGAATCTGATTGCTAATGAGCCCTCTGACATGCTCTGTGAAACATTAGCCTCACAAAAAACACCCAAAGCGGAAAAAAAAAAAAAAAACCTATTCAGTTCATTGTAAATAGATGTACTCTCACTTGGCCTTTTTTTTTTTACCATTGGTGTTGCAGATGGTGTTGTTCACTTTGGGCAGATTGATATAATGCTCTACAACAGCAGCAAAAAAAAAAAATTACAAGGAAATGCACCAAACTTAGTCCCTCTAATGGTCTCTTAACCTACGAATCAGTCAGTTTGTCCATTGGCCTTTTTTTCTTTTTTCTTTTTTTTTTCCTCTCTTGGACTACGGCACCATGACTCCAAAAATTTGCGAGTTTTGGACTTTTGGTTTTGAGGCTTAGAGCATTTTTTTACACCATATGGCATCATAATGTGACTCTCTTAACGACACTCAGCCTATCAGAGGCTGATCTTGTTAGACTCAAGCTCATATAGTTGACTTGAGTCTATACAAAAAAGGAAATCAGTGCTCTTTACGTCTATCACGTTTTTTTTGACACATGACTACCTCCACAATGCAGTTGCTTCGTGGTACCGTCTCCAATAATAATACAACGCGTAATTTTAATGTCCTTAAAAACCCAACCATCTACTCCCACTTATAAGCAAACAAGCAAAGGCTTCCCCCCCCCTTCTTGATAAGGACTCTAATATTGGTTGGCAATTCACAATTATAACTGATGAATACTTTAATAATGATAGAACATACGAGTTGACGATGGAGCAGAACCCAATCCATGCACGCATGTGTGGGTTTGGTGAAAAGGTAAATTTTTCTTGTTTTTTTTAAGCAACGAGATGAGCTGTATATCATATACCAAAAAAAAAAAAAAAAAAAAAAAAGATCTTAAGGATACATACTCTTATTCATTTAGGATCGACGCCCTATTGATCCGCCACCAATTATTCGACTTACGGTTCGTGAGGCTGATGGTAGCGAAGTTGACCTAAGGTATAGATACTGTATATTATATTTATTATGTTAGTCTTATTAACATATAAGCCCAAGTGATAGCTGTGAAGAATCTAACAACACATGTATGCATACATGCAAAAAAAAAAAAAAAAAAAAAATAGTATGCCAGGCAATGTCAATATTTCGCGATGGATACTTACGGCCGATATTTACTCTGCAGACGGATCCAGTCCCTGTTCACTTGTCACCAACCCTGCGACCACAGCACATTTGAATTCTGCAGCCTGTGTTCAGACCATTGGGGACATCACCATGTCAGTCCTTAATCTCTCGACGGAGCCACCGGTAGTGACTCGTAATCTGATAGGATCCTTAGGAGCATCGAGTGAACTCTTGAGGGACCTAAACGGCCACTTGGGAATATTTTTTGCATTCCCGGATCTAAGTGTTCGAACCGAAGGAGTCTACACGCTCAAGTTTTCGTTTACAATGTTACCAGAGTAAATATATTTATATTCTGAAAAAATTACGGGATCACTAATGGCTCTGCTTCATTTAAATACTGTCTATGTTGGCTAACAATAATTTTTTGTTTTGTTTTCTCATTCTTTTCCTCTTCCCCTAAAGGCCTCCAGTAATGACTTCGACAGTCCTTGCAACGATACTTTCTGAACCCTTTGAGATCTACCCAGCCAAAAGGTTCCCAGGGATGAGAAGTAAGAGGAACCTTTTTTTTTTTTTTTTTTTTTTTTTTTAGTATAATGATAAAAAAGAAAGAAAAAAAAAAAAAAGCTTTTATCTGACATGTGACACCTATTTTTTTTTTTTACGATGACAATTAGAATCAACTGCCATCTCAAAAAATCTCTTTGATCAAGGTGTACGAATCCCATTACGCAAAGAAAAAAGAGTTAGTCGTAAGCAACTTATTGAGACTGAAGCTGAGATTAGGGATGACATGGATGAGGATGAAGAATGACCTGATATCTTGACCAATTCAAGATGTAGTTACACATGATATGCTATTGTTACGTTCATACTTTATGATTATTATTAAATAAATAAATAAATAAATAAACAAATATAAAAAAAATAAAGAGAGAGAGAGAGAGTCCCTTTCAATGTGCTGCAATACAATTCAAGGTTTGTGTGTGTATCTGAAGGCGAGAGGGAGGGTGAGAGTAAGGATGAGGGCAAATGGCCAAGGAATTACATCATGAAAAGAGACGTGCTTATACATGATCTGTATGAATGAAGAAAAAATTTACAGTGCATTGAATCTTCAGGGTATGGATCATCATCAACATTGTCATCATCATCGTCATCATCGTCATCATCATCAAGTCCATATCGAATCATGCCTGAGTAAAACAGAGTAAAGTAGCAAATGTTAAATAAGAAATTGAGTTTCTTTTTAATCGCTCACATAAGCCAAGGCAAATGGGGTAATGAAATGAATCGCATGGCGCCTTTTTCTTTTTTAGTTTTACAATAATGCAGTTAACATTACAGTTGAACAGATTGAAACATGGTCCAACATCGGATCGTATATTTATGATACAAAGTGTTAAATGTATTGTTCCCGTGCTCAATTTACTCAATCTAAAAAAAAAAAAAAAAAAAAAAAAAAAAAAAGGCAGACTACCCGATATATAACGTGTGATCATTTTTTGAATGCTCAGAAGGAGGACGCCATCACCGTCACTCGTCCTAATGGTTTTTAACGAAAAGTTGATGGGCTTTTGTTGGACGTGTTTGATTCGCATGATCTTAATTCAGGTTGTTCTCTTCGTGTCTCTGCCTTCTTTATTATTATTATTATTATTATTATTATTATTATTATTATTATTATTATTATTATTATTATTATTATTATTATTATTATTATTATTATTATTATTATTATTATTATTATTATTATTATTATTATTATTATTATTATTATTATTATTATTATTATTATTATTATTATTATTATTATTATTATTATACTGTAATTTTTTAATCTATTTTATATTATTTTTTATTTTTTATTTTATCTGTTTTCCACGATTCTTTCACAAACTTCTATGCATCCAACTCATCCTTCGATCGCACCCCGATCCGATCATGTATTTTTGTTTTTTTTGTTTCATTGTTTCACCGTGTCATTATCAAATTTATTAATATCAAAATTAATATAATATTAAGATTAATAATGCGCGCTTTATTCTGTGGCCATTTTATTAGACAGACATATATACGTCAGATGACAGCGGGATAGTAAGAACAAGAATAAAAATAAGAATAAGAATAAGAATGAGTAAAAAAGAGTGGCAAAGTGGCAAAGGGGAGAAAGGGGGAGGGGAAGGAGAAGGGGGAAAGGGAAAGAGTAACATGTAACATGTACACGAAGAAAGCGGACAAGGAATACAACGAGAATGGTAAAATGGGAAGGAGGCAAAAAAAACATAAAATTGGGTATTTCTGAATAAAAAAGGTATTTCAATAAATCAGATGCTCACATCCACATCGTCTTTATAATCAACCTTTTTTTCACTACTTTTTATTTATGCTTTTTTGATCGTTAATCTTTTCAACTTTTTTTTGTTTCCATTCTTCTCCCCTTCTCTTCTTCTTCTTTCATTTCATCACTCTCTCATCCCACCATCCTTACCCTTTCCTCATCCTACCTTATCTCATCCTACCCTGCCTCATTTCATCTCACCTCATCATTCCATCGTCCATCACATCATTTCACACCCTCAACTGTTTACCCATCACACCTTTGTCCCTTCTTCTTTAATTCTCTCTTCACACTTAGTTTACTAAACTTCACGTTTCCAATCCATCATAAAACATGGGAGCCAAACACTCTAAAGAAAACAAAGACCTTGCACGACGCACACATTGTATGCATCGTATTTTTTTTTTCTTGACTTTTGATGAATAAAAAAAAGAATTTAAAATCGCGCAGAAGTCTAACTATTTCTTGGCTTTTTGAAACTAGTCTCTAAAAGAGAGATCAATGCTCTGCGCCGAGAATTTGAAAAGACTTCCAATACTTCAAAGTCTAATGTCCTTACCGAGGCACAGTTCAAGGAGGCAAGTTGTTGAACATTTATAAAAAAAAAAAGAGTCTTTGTTGCTACATTCTCTCTTTCAGTCCATTTTTTTTTCCCCCTGTTCCTCTCGAGTTATCCATACATATTCTTCATGGACAATTATTTATACTCTCAAGCGCATGAAAAAAAAAAAAAAAAAAAAAAAAAAGATATGGAACAAATGGGATATCGACATGACGAGACAACATGACACACGACAATCACGCTACGCCACGACAAAGAACAAATTTTTTTTTAAGGAACACAAAAAAAACATTGTGATGACCTTGATTGTAACAGCTGGAAAAAAAGTACCAACCAATAACAGTAAGCAACAGGAGTTTGCGATGGAAGCAAGCAGAAGTACCACTTTTGTGGTGTATAGTACATGCACAAGCTTGTGTATTTTGCGTTATCTGTGTCATGGGCACAAAGAGAGAAAAAAAAAAAAAAAAAAAACACGAGGACAACTAAGGGCAATGTTTTAATTTCAAAAAAAAGGGCTCTCTGAAGATGGGATGGATGACACATCCTTTTACCCCTACCCAAATCCGAAACCCGAACCCGAACTTCTCTTAAACGTTAGTTGGCTTAATTTTAATTGCTCGGATTTCTGATTGGCGTGTGGTCCTCTTTGCACCACGTTTAGTATTATCATTTCATTTATCATTTATCATTTCATTTAATGAAGCCTTTTTACAGCTAAGATTGATGGATGCTCCCAACGGGAACTTTCAATTGCAGTGTCTAATTGCTCTCCTTGTTGTCAAAGAACCAATATTCACTCAAATTACATTGTTGAATATGAGTCTAACTCAACAAAAAAAAAAAAAAAGAATCAAATCCTAGCTCCGTCCCTTTATTCTCCTTGTTATACTCTTCTCTATTATTATTATTGTTGCTGGCGTGCACTGCAATACACACCTTCAGAAAAAAAAAAAAAAAAAAAAAAAGACTGCTTTTCTAACCCTTCATCTACCTTTATTTTATTATATTTATTTATTTTCCCCTCCTTATATACATTAGATTTTCCGCCGTATTTTAAACTCTTCACCCTTAGATGATGTGTTCTTGACACGTCTGTATTCAGCTTTTGACACCAATCCCAACTCCAAGGGCGTCAACTTTAAAGACTTCATTGAGGGTCTAAGTGTCTTCATGAAAGGGACTTCAGATGAGAAGCTCGAACGTAAGCTGTTTATTTGTTTTTTTCTCTTCCTTTTTTCTCTTTCACCATCAGCAAGTGGAAAATATTTTTTGTGGTTTTGTGTTTTTGTGTTTTGTTTGGGTGGTCGGCACTCAAAAAAAATGCGACAGGACACAAGAGGTCAATGCTTAATTAATTCCATCTTTCTTTTTCTTTATCGACCTCCTAGTGTCATTCAAGTTGTACGATATTGATCATGTTGGATACATTACTCGCCCAGGCTTGGAGAAAGCCATGACCCAATTGGTAAGAGTTGTAGTCGCACAATATTTATCTCCGTCTTTTTTTATTTTTTTTATTTTTTTATAAGTGTTAACATTTCTGTACTCTGCACCCACATATTCCTTCATTTTTAGCACTCTGTTGTGGCTGGTTCATCGCAGGACGAAACCCACCAGATTCAAGAGCTGGTGAAGCGAATTTTCGATGACCTGGATGTCAATAACGATGGCAAATTGTCTCTTGAAGAATACAAACTGAACTCCATGAAGGAGCCGCTGATCATCGACTTTTTGAGCCAGTTCTTAGCTGATCAGACTGACTCCAGTTCCAATTCAATCAGTTCAGCTCTGTCTGTCCCACCTTCACCTCGCTCCGGATCTTCGCCACCTTCGCCTCGCTTCAATCATTTCGCACCACCCTCACCCAGACTCCGGGACTCGCTTTATGGCACTGCAGGGCATGTTTTCCAAACGTCTTCGCCCTCAGGAAGTTTCAGACTGAGTAACTCTCATAGTCTTCTCTGGCTCAATGGTGGCGTGAATGGTAGTGGGGACCTTTTGGGAAAAGTAAATGAATTCGAAGGACTTGTCGCAGCAGAAGAGGAACAAAAGGCTCAGGAAAAGAAAGCAGTAGCATTGGCCGCAGGTAATGCTTCTGTTAAAGAAGATAGTGTCGCACAAGCCAGCAAAGAAAGCAACGAGTATAAGGACGATAAGAAAAAAGATACAGAGGCAGAAGTCAGTTCGCCCGTCAACATTGTGGTTGTGCCATCAGAAGAGGCGGAAGTACCAACAAAAGAACAAGGAGCAGCAGCAGCAGCAGTATCATCATCATCAACACCAGCAGCAGTATCTGCATCTTCAAATGATGTAGTGTCACCAACAACAGTGGAAGAATCCATCCATGTGAATGGAGATTTGCATACTACAACAAATGGTGTTCATGCCACTACTGAAGAATCATCCAAGGATAGCCTGGATGAACCTAAAGTCAATGGTGACAACGCCCACATCCAATCTCAGGCCTCACTGGACGAAACAACCACCAAAGTGACCGTCTAAGAGAGCTAAAAAAAAAAAAAAAAAAAAAAAAGACACAAAAGGAGATGTAGGAGGAAAAAAATGCTTCTAGTCTTTTTCAACGCGATGTTTATATACCATCCCTTTTTTTATTCTTGTCTTAATCTTTATAATAAAAAAAAAGTTAATGTGACGGTTGGACATGAATATTTTTAGCTTTTTTTTTTTTTTTTTTTTTTCCTTCATCTTAATCACATCATCTCTTTCACCATTACTAAAAAAAAATAATAGAACCATGGGCAACTACATTTCATTTACACGGGACGATGTCATCTATTCTGCCCTCATCATTGGTGTCTGGCTTATGATCCGTCCTTACTTTGTACGTCTCAGTGAACAAGCTCAGGCCAGAAGTCAGGCTAATCTCGAGGCAGAGGCTCAAGCTAATGACATTCAGATGAAATCCATGGAAAAGAGCAGCAGTAGCAGTCGTGGAAGGAAAAAGAAGGATTAGGATATCTTTTATGGCTATAGAGAATTTCTTTTTTTTTTTTTTCCCTCCCTCCTTTTCCGCAGCCCTCATTCTACTCCATCTGATCAACCAGCCTTGGTTCCAACCCAACACCAATCTTGAAATCAGCCAGCGATGCAATCTCCATCGGAAAATTAAAATCTGTACGAATCTTACGCCTCTTCTATAATAATAAAACTCTTCGGACAACCTGTTTTTTTTTTTTTTTTTTTTTTTTTTTAGAAATTTAATCCGCTCAAAAAAAAAAAAAAAAAAAAAAAAAGAAAAATCTTCTTGGAACCTGGATATTGAAAAGATGATCTCTCAAAGTTAAAAATATATATATATATATATATCATTCCTTTGATTTAATTTAACTTTCTACACTACGAGATTAGGCTAGATCAGTATTTAGGAAAGTCAGGATCAATTTGATCCGACCACTTTTCAAGGCCACCAACGATATCTTTGATTTCACCCCTGGTAATTCCGTACTCCTGCAGAATTTTGACAGCAGGTTGTGAGTCGTTTCCTCTGCGGCAAACCACATATACTATGAAAAAATTAGGAAGCAAAGATGAAAAAGATTAGTCTTTTCCATTATCTGAGATGCAGTGCCGCTACTCTTTCCGTAAGCTAGGATGACATTGCCAATGATCTTCCCTCCCTCCTTTTACCTGGCCGATCCTGCTGTGGGCCTAACTGATCTTTAATTTCATCAATATGCTCTGGAAGATTCTTCAAAGGAATATCTAAGGTGAAGAACGTGTGGCAATTAGTCAATTAGTCAATTAGTCAATTAGTCAATTATAAAAGAGAAAGAAAAACATAAAGCGATCTTTTCCCCCTTTTCCTTCTCATCTTCACGCTCTTGACCTGTAGATAAACTTACTGATCGAGGACGGCAAGCTACAAATGTCAAACTGTACTTTCTCACGAACATCCAAGAGCACATGTGGTGTCCTTCTGTCGTAGATTGATTTGTACGCCTAACATGTAGCCCAATTCAAAAAACGGCTTTATCAATGTCGATTTCCTCCCTTCATCAAATATAAAATAAATAAATAAATATATGTCCAATGTAATACCTTGCATGTAAGACGCTCCTGGAATGGGATGAGGAAAAGATCTGGTGTCTTGTCCGTAGCACTGCTTCCACAGAACTGCACATAATCGATAAGTTTGTCAATCGTTGGCGAATCTCCACAGACGATGCAATCTGGTTTTCGTTTCCTTAGCTTGATAGTTCGAAACATTGTGGATGAATTTGCAGAGAATAGTGTCATAGTCGGCGGATCGTGTTCTATTAAAAAGAAGCGATGATTGCATTTTTTTTTTTTTTTTTATGACATGAATGATATGGGCGTCAAAAAAAAAAAAAAAAAAAAAAAGCTTTAAAAAGTACATTAAATCTTTATCAAACAACGTAAACTGACCATTCATTCTTGTTGCAATCTTGATTGCTTCGAGAGCTTGAAGACAGCCAATCGTACCTGGGACTAATAAATTCATCACAAGCCCCATCTTAATCATGTTTAATATCCAAGAAAATTCTGCAGCGTTCCTTCAAGAGAGAGGTGGCCCCAACCACCAATTTTTTCTTCTTCATTCTTTTGATATCAAGAGGAGTAAATAGTTCAGTTTACTTACCCACTCCTAATACTCCTCCATCTGAGCAATTCGTTACTGTCTCTGCTGGAGGTGGGGTAGGAAACAAGCATCGATAACAAGGACCGCCACGATAATTATAAGTTGTAAGCTGTCCATCAAACCTTAAGGCCGATCCTGACACTAGAGGCTTCCCCCCAAGAACACATGCGTCATTGAGTAGATAACGTGTAGCTGCGTTGTCGGTTGCGTCGATTACAATATCATAGGCGTTAATGATAGGTTGAGCATTTGAGCTATCGAGAACGAGATTGTGCACAATAACTTGACATAAAGGATTCAACCTATTAGACCACACATATAAATTTAAGTAAAGTGAAGTTCGTATTTATCCTCAAATATTGTAGTATCACAAATTTCATTAAAAAAAGAAAAAAAAAAAAAAAAAAGTCCTTACATTCGAACAGATATGGCTGCAGATTCAGCCTTGGGCATGCCCTGACGCGATTCATTATGAATGATTTGGCGATGTAGGTTTGAAATATCGACTGTGTCGTGATCAACGATACCTAAACGTCCAACCCCTGCTCCACCGAGATAAAGTGCACAGGATGCTCCTAGACCGCCCGCTCCAACAACTAGCATCGCACAGTTCCTAAGATCCATTTGACCTATTGTCATAAAAATAAAATTAAGATGGATAATTATAAAACGTTATAAAACTCCAAAGGCAAAGGCCTTTTTTTTGTTTCATGTGCCTTGCCTTGCCTTGAATGCCAAAATTGGGTAAAATTAGCTGCCGTCCATATCGTGCAATTTCTAGGTTACTAAGTTTTTCCACCTTAGGTAATGGATCCAGAGGTGCTTCCTTGGGCAAGTCCGCAGCGAGGGTTGATCTGTTCCATAAAGCCTGTTCTAGACGTAGTGCCTCGATTTGCTGTTCAAGTGCCACTTTTTCTTGCTCAAGACGTCGTACCCTCTGCTCCAAAGGCTCGACCGATGTAGAAGAATCAGATTTGGCGCTTGAATGTGTCGAATTTGATGTATTCATGAAAGAAATGTTGCAATGCTGCACTGCTCGAATAAAGAATGTTAAAGGCATTTAAAAAAAGAAGTGGGGTTCAAAATTTGTGTGGTCTCAAGACGGTCACAACCCGATTAAAAAGCTTTATTGACTATCGTCTATAATTACTCCTATGTGAATCTCTATCACGGTCCCTGTCTCTGTTCCTATCTCTATCCCTGTCTCTATCCCTGTCTCGACCTCGATCTCGATCCCATTCTCGGTCGCGATCCCGACCATCTGTTCTCTTCGTAGCACCAGGACTTGCAGAGCGTGATCTCGACCTCCGACGGTGTTGATTACGCGAGCTCGAACTATCGTGCCGACTACCCCGATCTCGTTGCTGCCTATTATCTCTGCTACTATGATGACTCTTACCACTCCGCCGCGAGTCCTGTTTATCATCAAAAACATAATCGTAACCTGATCGACCTGACGACCTATCTTCATCCCTATACCTTGACCGCTGTTCCAAGTTTAAATCCTCGATCCCAACTCCTCCCCCACCTTGTTTGGATTTAACCTTCTTAACCATCCAGTCTTTATGTAATTTGCTCACGCTCTGAGAGAAATCCACATGAATACGTCGATCGTCAATAAGGACATTGTTCATTTTGAAGTATGCTTCCGAGCAATCTTCCTCCTTTTCAAATTCGATAAATGCGTAACATAAAGAGTCGCCTGTCCTTTTATCCCGGATAACTTCACAACTCAAAATAAGCCCAAACCTCGAGAAGATAAGCTCTAGATCCTCAGACCGTGTTGCAGGATTGAGTTGCGCAACAAACAGGACATTTTCTGGAGGCTTAATCTCTGCAAAAGGCAGGTCGCCCACCATTTCCAATGTAAGAGCTCTGGCTTGAGCTTCCTTTAGTCGTCGAATCCGCTCTTCTTCTTCTGGTGGCAGTAGGGATTCAATTTCCTCGTCATCACCAATGCGTACGGTGTCCAGCATGGCCTGTGTTGGCAAGGGTGATTCATCTGGTACTTCAAGACCCTCAGGATCAGGAAAAGGATCTTCCAAAATGATGGTGTGTTTGATGCGAATGTCCTTAAAGGGACGGAAATTGGAATCAGTGTATGCACTATTGATCTTCTCTAGGACATCCATCCCTTCTGCTACTTTCCCAAAGATGGTGTACCGGCCATCTAAATAATCCAGGTCATTTGCCATAGTGATAAAAAATTGGGATCCAATGACTCCAGCTCCTCTATCGGATCCAAGGACACTATTCACTTCCTGATTTGATCCTGTGCTCGCCCCTGCAATAGCCATGGAGACTGTCCCCTTTTCCTTGTGCTTCAGTTTTGGATTAATCTCGGCAGGAAGGTACTTTTTGCGGGGGTCTGAGTTTGTCTTGTCTAGTAGCCCATAAATGGATTCTCCACCATGGCCTGTTGCCGTAGGATCACCAGTTTGAATCATAAAATCGCGCTGCACATTGTGAAAGCAACAGAAATTGTAGTATTTAACCTTGCAAAGTTTGAGGAAGTTGAGGCACGTTTCTGGAGCTTCCTTGATGTAGAGGTCTATGACAACATCGCCAACTGATGTCTCAATGAGTACACTCATGTCGTCTCCCAGGAATGCGCTCGGAGGGAGAGCTTATTTTTTTGTGTCTTCTGTCGACTATATCGAAGCTACAGATAAACTCAATAATATTTCCCGAGTAAGGTTGTTGTCGTTTCTACAAAGTAAGGCGTGTGAAGGAAAGCATTCAAAGTGAGTGAACTTTAGGCGTAAAAAATAAAGGGTGATCTAGTGGCTTGACTCGCTGATATTTCTAAATCTCAAGTGCTTGCAACTTCAACGAACACGGCAGACAAGACGCACAACAGCATTTAAGTGAACCATCAAAGGGCAAGTACATTCCCAAACAAATCATGTCTCGCCATTCCAAAAACAATACGGCTCGTGGCCACTTCACCTATGCAGAGAAGCAGATGGTGGATTATGGATCGAAAAAGGTACACTGCTCGCAGCTGTTTTTTTTTTATTTTTTTTATCGTCAGTATCAGTAAAGAATAATGTTGAATCAAAGCTCAACCCTCAACCTTCATGATAATGTATAAAAAGAAAAGGGAAGAAGGAACCACACACATATTGATTTATACCTATACCTTCTTATCTCAAAAATAAACAGCAACGACTCGGCCGAGATTCAATGCGAGACTTTGACGCATGTTATCTATGTCTCCAAACAGCACGGGATCCTGTTTGCTGTACTGAAGGCCACCTCTCTTGCAAAGAATGCATTTATGAAAATATCCTTGCACAAAAGATGGAAATTGAACGGCAGGCAAAACTAAGTTTATTGTATCAAAGCCAAGAGGCACAGGAGCAACAGATGAGGGAAGAATTAGCACAACAAATCATCTTGACTGAGTTTGAGAGGAATCAAATGGGAGTTAGCTCCTCAAAAGCAAAACCTACGGTTAAACGCGAAAAGCCTTCAGCAGATTCCCCCACTACAACTACCAGCTCTAATACGACACCACGCGCATCCACTGACTCGCAACAAAGTAAGAGCAGGTTCGATTTAACATTCGATCTGACGCCTAATTTTTTTTTTTTTTTTTTTTTTTTTTCCTATTGGCGAAGGCGTGGATCAAATTAGACTGATTTTATTTTCTTTCCTCTCCCTCTCGCTCCTTCACATCATGGCAAATAGATTCTAAAAAGCGACGCTTTGAATTAGATTTAGCAGAACTAGAAAAAATGTCAAAACAGGAGCGGTTGGATATTGCCAAAGCTATTGAAGAAGAGGTACGTAAAATTTTTTGTCCGCGCTCTTTGATGGTATAAGAAGCAAAGAATGTTTGTATTGCTTTATTAATCAATATTCCTATATCTATTTTTTTCAAGGCTAAAGCTAAGAAACCTGCTCTTCCAAGCTTCTGGGTGGTAAGGATAATGTGAAAATAAAAGAACTTGTTCTACCTCTTTAATATCTTAAGCGAAAGCTAATTACGATCAATATAACCATTATCAACCCCTTTGTCCACTCTAGCCTTCATTAACGCCTTCCACCAAACAGTCAGAGTTCAAGCCAACAAAAGTACATACCGTTTGCACGGCCACTGACAATGAACACAAACTAAGGTAACGTATACTAAGCCCGAAGAAACAATTGAGTAAAACCGAAGAGGAAAATGTCAACTAAATATTACCTCTTTTTCCTCTCCCTCTCTTGACTCAAACAGCTTAAAAAACCTGATCCCAGTCAAATTCGAATTGGCAATTGAAGATCATGATGAGACAGAGGCAGGACAGGTGAAGACATCGTCCATTTGCCCAATTTGTAGGAAGGGCTTTACGAACACCACAAAGATGTCGATTTTAAAATCATGCGGGCATGTGTTTTGTGAAAGCTGTTGTAAAAAGTTTATCAAGAAGGAAGGGCGTTGTCAATCGTGTGACCACAAAACAAAGGAAAAAGATATAATCACCATGCGCGGCGAGGGTTCTGGCTTCTCAGGAGGAGGTGCCAAGGAGGCTGTCAAGTTTGATGTAGCTTTTCAGTAGTCACATCTTTTTTTTATTATAATAGTAATAATAGAGATATTTTTAATCTATATGATATTGTCTATTTTTTTTTTTTTTTTTTTTTTTCAAACGTTGCGTGCTTCTCCCACTTTATGCACTTTCCGTGCATGTTGCATAAAGTTGTCGAATCCACCGATAAACTGAAGAGGTTTCCCTGGGCATCCCTCCCATATGAGCGGACTTGTACGATGATCTTGTGCCCCAGGGATTTCCTATTGTTTTTTATTGATCATATGTCAGATTCTTTTCATTTGAAGGAAAAAAAAAAGAAGCCGGATTGAGTCCTTACTTTGACCAGTTGCTGGAGACGACTATTCCACTCCTTACGTGCATGAGCAGTGATTTCTACCTGAATATTGCTATTGCTGGAAGTGGTATCAAGCCGTTCGGCCAAATTCATAGCCTCCTGGAAGTAATAACATGCTAAAAAACCTTCCTATTTTTTTTTTTTTTTTTTTTTTTTTTCGGTTTTTCTGTGAGTGCTTCGCACGTTTTTACATTCGAGACAGATGGAGATCTTAGTGTACATACAATGTAGTAGCAAATGTCCTTGGGAACCACTTTTGCAGGTTTTTCTGCAAAAAAATAAGACAAGATGCCCATTGAGAATTACAATTGAAAGAGATTCGAGAGACAAAAGCGATGGACTTCCCCTACTTTTTTTTTTTTTTTTTTTTTTTTTTTTCGATCCGAGGCGGGCAGTCACAAAGCGCCACCAATAAAAAGGACTATGATATACTTTCTACTACAGACATGTCATTTAGTATCTCTACTATGAAGCTTTGCTCTTGCCTTGGCCTCTTGTAGCCGATTCTCTTCTTGGTCGGTTGGATGTACACCATCGCGTCGTGCCGCCTTGACCGAATAATGTCGCAATAATGCGTCGCGACGTACAAAGGGGCGGTGACAAAAATCACATGGCCATGTCATCTCGTTGTGCTTTGAGATTTGGTGTCGCTTCAAGTCATGGACGCGTCCGAATCGTTCACCAGGGCAATGTTCGCAACGATACCCACCCTCATCGCGAGTGACATTTGTCTTGAGAGGAGAACGTCCAGCAGCTTTGGAAGACTGTGTTGCAGCTGGTGCAGTTTCAGTGTCCTTAGTTTGTCCCTTTGTCGTTTCCACAGGTTCTGGTGGGGAGCCAGTGCCGACCTGAGGATTTGGTGAACGAGGTGCTCCAGAAAGATTTGTGAGGGAGCTCTGATCTTGAATCGCGACTGCGGCGCTAGCTAGTGTAGATAAGGCATCTGTTTGCATGGGTATACCTATGGGTTCAACAATAACTGGACGCGCTCGGGGTTTTCTTGGTGGGTAGACTTTTGGAACTCTTTTCGTAACCGCCCGTTTTGTGCTGCGCGTCCCTTTGGGTGGAGGAGCGTCCGGTGCTTCATCATTTGCTGAGCCTTTAGATAGCGTTCGCGAAGCAGAAGATTGATCAAGCTCCATAGAGTCCCCTTGCTTCGGTTGTAGTAAGCGTTCCGTCTTGGTAGTGGAGTGTTCCGACTGTTGAGCAGTTTTCGCTTGATGCTTTTCTGCAATTTTTTCGTTGGATTTAGGACTCCGCTCCTTGTATTTCTTTTTACTTTTTTTTATAATCTCGCCCGAAGTTTTTTTCACTTCATCGACATTATGGTACTCTTCCACCTGGCACATGCTGACGAGTCTATTTTCTTCGCGCCTATCATCGCGTACCTCGGGGTTGATGCTACTATCATTGACTTTAGAATTGGTTCCTGAATCCTCTAAAACCTTTTTATCGCCACTATTCATGGATTGATCCTCAGGGCTGTTCATATTTGTGTTTTCACGTACACCTTGATATTCAATGTCTTGCATTTCATTGGCTTGAGTATCAATTCTGTTGTCAATCTCATCTCGAGTAGTAGATGACTGTTTTTCTTCACTATGAGATCGTTCTGTTGTCTTGGGTTGAAGCTTGTGAGGTGCATCATGTCTGTGTCGATGGTCATATTCATGTGTAAAGCTTTGCACATGCTGAAAACTACGTTTGCGTTGATCCAGATTGCTGTGATACTTGATCCCATCCTGAGCATTACTGTAATGCACATGTCGTACTACAGGTTCCATAGACTTGTGCTCTTGCTGTCGACCACCATTGTGGTCAGACTCATATCCCACTAATTGCCTTGATTCTTTTGGGTCCCTATGCTGAGGAGAGGACCCTGTCCTATTTGGCGATTTTTCAGGACTTTTAGATGGCTGTACTTCATGCTCAGAGTCTTGAATAGAATGATCTTGTTTTGAAGCATTTTCTCTAGATAGTTCATGTGGCGATGGATCGATGTCCATGGGTTGAGCGTCCTCATGGCGGTGTATCGATGCCTCAGTGGCTATATCAGCAGAGCTCATAGTCTTAGTAGCAAAAAGAAGCGAATTATGGCCAAAGTTTGGTCCAGCGCCACAAAGGTACTAGTGCCGTATAAGTGAAGTAGAAGAGAGAGTAAAGATCAATAAAGTAAGAGCAAGTGCATAAGATGTCTTTCATGAGTTGTTGCGTAGTGTTCCTTCAGTGCCATCAAGAGCAATGATTTAACGTGAATGAGAGAGTGCTATAGCGTGTTTTTTTTTTTTTTTTTTCTTTCTTGTATTTGGTGGCGGTGGTGGCGTCAACAAATGGTGGCGACCTTTTTTTTTTTTTTTTTTTTTTTTTTTTTTCAAAGTTGTGAGGTGTGGAAGAACTGTGATGACAAGTCCTCGCTTGCGCGCACATACTTAATTCGAAAGCATGCTCGAGAAGACATAGACGCGCAATGGAAGAAACCGCTACTGGAGATGTGAACAAAATGAGCAACATGAGGACGACATGTCCTCTGGAACCATCCACATGATGGAAGACTAATTGAAAACCGTCAAATTTAGGCAGAGCCTGAACTTGAGGCTTCAGCAGATGGATGACAGTGTAAGAAGATCCAGCATGAGCCCAATTTCATTACCTTTGGAGTGTTCTTTTCTTTCGGGTGAATGAAGATTTGTTAAGATGAAATTAAAAAAAAGAACTGAGTTGAATCAATAGAGTAGTGAAGAGGTTGGTAAAAAAAAAAGGCGCCACCAAAGTAGGCTTTTTAAGTCTGGTCGGGTGATCTTGGGTTCTCCAAAAAAACGCACCCATTTTCAAATTTCCTAAACGCAAGCTCCTGTTTCAACTTGCGAATCTCTCTTATGATATGGATATGAATATTATGCAGGCAATCATACTCCCCAAATAATGTATCATCAAGCTTTACCCGCTCTCGGCGTTGAATTGTCAAAGAATTAGTAAAATGAACTGGCAGAACGGCAGAACATAACTTTTAAAATCATGTCTTTCTTATTTCTATTTTATTATGGGAACTCAATGGAGCGATTTCGCCACCGCACTAAGACAAAAAATATTCTCTACATGCAATCCTGAGATCGTCCAAGAGCGGCACGGGCACGTAGAGGAAACTCTTGTTCATTGAAGTCATAATCTCTCACCCCATCCCTTACTTCGAAATCACCCAATTGCTCATATCCAGGAACCTGGCCCCCTCCTCCTTCCGAAGACCTATGTTTGGGGCAGCCAAGAATATTCAATTATAGTGTCAGATTCATCACTCCAAATCTTTGATTCTTTTAGTAAACATTATTCACGATACGACTAATATTCTTTTTACAATTGAATAGATGCATAGTCCAGATACAATTGAGTGCATGTTAAGGAAACGATCTAACATTTTAAAAAATTAGGTAATTATCAGAATTCGAATTATAGAGGCATATAGTATCTCAGCATCCCCAACATCCCATTAATGCTCATGAGCTAAAGCAAACATGAAGCTTACAATAGCTAACAGTATGGCGATATGAAAGCTCATTGCCAGAAGCATGTAGCCAAGTCGTAATATATTGGCTAATCCATACAGGATGGTTTTCTGTATCAAAACCTTTCGAATATTTCGTTGGTGGCGACGCGTGCCTACAAATCCAGACAATGTCCTCGATGGTCGTGCAACTTCAGAAAGACCTTCAGGCCAAGACCTAGTCTGTATCTGCGCCAGGGTTCTTTCATCTGCTTCCTCTTCATCTTCATTTTCATCCTCTACTTCTGAAAGGGATTCAGGATGAATGCCATCTACTACTATTATTGGCGTAGATGGTGAAAGAGACCCAGAGTTTGACCTTGCTTGTGCTCCTCTCCTATGATTAAATCTTTTCTGTTGCTGCTGCTGTTGTTGTTGTTGTTGTTGTTGAAAAAGGCTCATGGAAATTATTTCCAGGCGTGATGTGACAATCCTTTCGCCTATACATATCACACTGGTGAACGCAAGACCAAGTAAAAGACGGGATGTAGAGTTCAATGGGAAGGAGCTCGTAAAAAAGAACAAATGGGTCGCGTCTTCCGTGTCGTATATTATTCAAATGTATAGAACGGAAGGTGGCACGAAAAGTAACTTTCAATGAACAGACAAGAATTGATGTGGTTGCTCAAATGAGAAATGATGATTTTAAAAAATAATGCAATTCGAAAAAAAAATACCTTACCGAGATGAAGGTAGTTGTTCATGGTCTTTCCAAGGGTACTTTGGACTGAAGAGAGAAAGAAAGACAAAAATAGGTTTGACAGCAAAGGAGAATAAGAGTTTCTGAACAAAGGAAGAAAAGGGTGGAGGGGGGGAACATATTCAACGCCCGTTTTTGAAAGGCAGACATTTGTGGGCACCATCACCAAAATGCATACATGTTTTTGTTTATTTACTTTCTGGAATTTTTTTTTCTATTTCTAATAACTATTGTTTTAATAGTTTGGGTGGGATGGAGAACCAGGTGGTTGACCATAACCAGGTCCACGAGGACTCAGTGGCGGTTGGCCTGGGGCAGCATATGGTGATCGAGGCGAGCCCTGAGGATATGGCTCAGGAGGCTGGTATTGCACATGGTTTTGACGAGGCGATGTGTGAGGGCTTGCTTGATTACCGTTTTGGTCTGACTGTAAAACAAATTGACTACTCATGTCATTAGCAACAACTGCATCTTGGCCCTGTAAAGGTTGTTGCGCGGGTTGAGATGAAGAAAGCAATGGTGGTGACTGAGGATTATCAAAAGGAGACCGTGTTAATTGGCCCCGAGAACTCGATCTAGAGACGGATGCACTTGAATCGCATTTCACATCCGTGAGGGGATAGGGGTTGATATTCGATGATTTCTCAAGGACGTTGGTCGCAGGGGTAGAAGGTAATACATCGTTCGGGTTGATTGGGTCACGGCTTGGATCGTAACTGAAATCGCGCTTGGAGTACCTATAAGAGCGATACTTTCTGCAGAGGAAGATGGAAAGGATGAAGAGAACAACCAGCCCACCAGCAGTTGCTATGCCAATGGTCGCAGAGGATGGACCATCACTTTGGGCTTCTCCTATTGTTGAGGTGGAACTAGGAGTTGCAGGTCTAGTAGTCCTGGGGAAAGACGAAATGGATGAAGTCCTTGGGTTGGAGGAGGAGGAAGGGGCTGCTCTGGAGGCAGATGAAGCAGGTCGTTCAGGTTGGGCAGTGGTGGTGCGCCTTGGTGGAGCAGGGGCATTAGTTTGGGTTCGGGTTTGGGATTGGGGTTGGGTTTGATGTTCGGGTTGAGTAGGCCTAGGTGCTGCCCTGGTTGTAGTGGGGGTTTCCATTGGTGTGATGAAGTAAGGAAAGGATCAGATATGGCACTGTAAAAGATAACGTAGTTTGTCGTCACTGAGGAACCACGATCGGTTCAAAAGGAAAGGGTGTAGAGTAGTAGAGAAGAGGAGGAAGAGGAGGAGGAAGGGAGAAGGAAGGGAGATGAGGATGCGAATGAAGTGAATGAAAAAAGAGAGAGAGAGAGAGAGAGAGAGAGAGAGAGAGAGAGAGAGAGAGAGAGAGAGAGAGAGAGGGAGGAAAGGTGGAACAAAGAAACAAGGAGTAATAAAAATAAACTTATAATTGGTTCTAAGCTAAAGATAAGCTAAACGGTAAACACAAAGTTGCTGCATACCGAAGGTCAGTGTAAATATAGTATTTCTGTTTGCGAGCCGTTAATCGTACCGCATCGTTACCAGAAAACAATGCAGACAACATTAATACATCATTGAATAGCTGCAGGAAACCAGCTCGGTACTATTATATTATTTGTTTATTACATACATTGCATACTGTGGGTATATTCGAGACAACCATTTCAAAAGCTATTAAAAACCGAAACTTTAGAAGGAGCCCCTTTTATCATCTAACGCGTCTTGGATTGCCACTTCAGCTACGGCCACTATTCGCATTCGACTCAAGCGCCGTTCGTGCAACATAATCAGTACACTTGGTACTATCGCAGCTATGCACCCAAGCGCCATCCCTGTGCCTACTACCCAGCCTGGTCGCACATGGTAGCTCATGCCCCACATGAACCCACATAAGATCTCTTGCACCAAAGAGTTGACATTGAACGAGCCTACAATGAGGCAAAACCGTGAAGGGCTGATAATCAGATCAGTCGGTGATCTACTTAGCCCTATGGCTGGCTTTGAGGTTGATGGTGGCTGTGACAACTCTGACTCTTCTGGCTGAGGTTCAGGAGAGAAAAAATCGACAGGCTCGATACCTGATGGCATTGTGTATGTGTACCAAGGCCATGCTTTCTGAAGGCGTTCTTGCTGCTGCAAAAGTCGCTCCTGCTGTTTATCGACCCAATCCATTTGCTCTAACGTGAGTGATGGTGGCATAAAAAGTTGCGTTTGATCCTCTGTTAAACTTTTATTATGGCCAAAGGAGTCGTCATCGTGCACAACAAAAGTGCGTGGTACGCCTGTTTCCGTAGTCATTGTCATGGACATTGTCCTGGCTCTACCCCTGGAAAATGCCCGTTTCATTGACATTCTAGACAATGAGGTATATGAAGACCCTCTGTCAAGTCTTCGCCTAGCTTGAGACACTGGCGATCCTCTGGAGCCCATTGATTGTGATGCTACACCTGTGTCCAAGGATAGTTGTTGAAGCGGCTCAGAGCAAGAGTTTTCTCCCGTTTCGACATTTACAGATGTGGGGAGGAACGGCAGGATAACCGAGTGCACCACACGGTGAGTTTCTTCTGCCAGCAGTAAATTCAGGAATTCCTCCGTAATATTAACTTGATCTGGAGTTCTGGATGTGGCTACAACTGAATTGTCGCATGAATGTTTTGGCTTGTCCCTATCAGCATTTGCAAGGTGTTGTAATGGGGCGCTGGATTCCAAGCTCGTTCCTTGGGCGCTGTAATCCCTGGTATTCTCATAGTCAATATATGCTCGATAGGGATCGACCTGATGACTTTTAGGGTTTGAAATTGACTTGGACCGAGGCCCTGCCCTGTCAATGAAGCTCTCTGACGATTTTCGGGAAGCTTTTGCAGACATTGGTGTCGGTAAAAGAGCACCTTCATTTAAATAGCCCAGTTTTTTCTGACGCTCACGGCCATAGTCAGGGAAGCAAAAATAAAAATCCAGCATCCTTAAGAGTTCCTTTCGACGCTCATTCTTGTTGGACATAGTGGCTCCATCCCTATCATTGTTCCCGTTGAGAAATCGGCTGACGAAATGGTTCCTAAGTTTTTTATCTTCTGTCCAAATGCGGTATCCACGAATGAGACCCAAGAATCGTTTTGGATGCACAGGAACATTGGCCAGAGTAAAAAACCCGTTTAAGACTTGAGAGGCAATTTCAATCCAGAGCTTTTGTGTGGCATCATCTCTGAGCTTGGCCAAGTTCCCCATTAAAAGTACCAGAAATGCACCCCACACCACAACTGAGAAGCAACAAAAAAAAATGAAGAAGTTCAGCGGGGACTTGATTATCAGACGGCAACCATCTTTAAAATACTGGCTCCATGGTGTATTACGAACCCAGTAGCGGAGAGAGAAACGCTTTTGTTGACCCACAGTCTTGATTTTCTTTTTCTAGAGTGCATGCATGGGTGCTTACATCAATAAAATATCAGCAATAATTAAGCCAAAAAAGAAAAAGAGCTCAACAAACCACTATATTAGATTGATGCATTACTGGTAGAGGCGACTGATTTACTTCGTTCCGATAGTCATCATCATTGTCATGAATGCTAAGAGCATTGTCGGAGAGAGGACGCTTGATGGCAGGGTGATAATCGATAGACCTCTGGTCTCCTACATGCCTTGAGTCCGCCATTATATGATTGTATTCTACTCTTAACTCTCGAAAGGAAAAAATAACCTTGTTACAGGAATGTTTTTGTTTTGTATTTTGACACACTTTCAAGATGACCAGTTAATTAGAAAGCTCTTTTTCTTGTAGAATGTAATTTAAGATCTTTTAGGAATGGCTACATCAGAACAAGGAAAAGTGAAATGAACTATATGGATCTAAGATAAGACGGAGAGAGACAAAGCGAAGGGTGCGATCGAGATCCAAGTGAAGTAAATGTTGAATGGTTTAATATGTCCTATCGTTACTGCCCTTTCGCAAAAACAGCCCAAGAGCATGAAAAATATTACAACAGCCCGTGCCACACCTGTACGGCTATTGCCCAGCTTTGGTTAATAGATTTAGTTGTCGCTGTGCCTGTTACAGCTGGGGCTGCTGTGGAGGCTGACTGAGAGAGAGCGCCAAGTCCTGCGCGTGCCTGTGCCTCAAAGCCCTTGATGTCCCGGACTCGATGACTAAGCAGAGCTTTGTAGGTATTGGACGTGCTGCTGGCCTCAAAGCCTCCTCTTTCAATTTCTACCGCCAGCTTTTTGACAAACTCAGCGAGCCTAACATTCAGTGGCACAGGCACAAACGAAAGAGCATTAATGAAATAGACTTTCCATAACAAATTAAGATTTACACCCAGGCCAAAAGAAACACTAGTCTACCTTGCATCAATATCAATCTTCGACATGGTCGCCATTTTATCGTGAGTACTCTTCAAAAGATACTCTAGCGCAAAAGACTTGTGCGAGCCTTGAAAGAGCGAGGCTAAGTTTTTCTCTATCGTCTCATAGCATAGTTCTCGAAATTTAAGCAACACTTTGGTCGATTCATAATGAATAAGCCCATACTTGTTGCTTGCTAAAAAAGTATCAGCTACTGAAGCATTCGACCGGATGGTCATTGGTGCAGGCTTTCTGTAATAGGACGCATCCACAGTACTTCCTATTTATAGATATAAGAAAAGATGTTAATAGTGAATATAGTTGCAATGAAAAATTGAATCGTCATACATAATGTTATCAGATACACACCAAAAAGCAATTTTCTCCGCTTCGCTTTTCGTTCAGCTTCAGAGTCATAATCCTCATCGTTCTCATGTAAGCTTCCTTTTGAGTTGTCGCTGGCATTGTCGCTATTTGTGTCGCTATTCGAGTTAGGATCGCTTTCTTCATCGCCATCATCCCCTACTAAATCTTTGTCGTAACGACCCAAGACGGCAGATGCGGATTCCCAGCATCCTTGCACCTGCACATTCCCATCTAAGCCAATGGACGTCTTACTTCCCCCCATATACTGTACATAGGCTCCATTTCCTTGAACATTCGATAACTTCTGGGCTTTCTCCCGCACTACCTTATCAGGCGTCTGACAGATGTCGCAGCGAGAGCCATCCTTGCAAACAACTTGTTTATCCAGATTAATCTCGCCAAAGTACTCGCAGAGGTACACGTGTCGGCATTGAGTGACATTTTCACAATAGTTCACCATGCTCTGAAACGATTGCAATGAATCCATGCCTGGAATTCGCCTTTGATCAGAAGAACCTATGGAGGATTTTTCATTCTTAGATTGAACACGCTCTTTCTCGACTTGAAGAATAAATTCGATTTTGGCGCGATCTTCACGCGAATAGTAGAGAATACAATGAGAAAGAGCCCCATCTCTCCCTGCGCGTCCACTCTCCTGATAATATCCTTCAACATGTAGTACAGATGCTCGTTAGAAATATGTCCATTAACTCTATGACAGACAAGAACTATTTTCTACTTTTTTTTTTTTTTTTTTTTTTTTTTTTAGGAGCTTTTGTACCTTCAATAGTTTTTGGGAGCTCCCAATGACATACAAAGCGGACATTAGGCTTGTCAATGCCCATCCCGAAAGCAATGGTAGCCACAATTACATCCACCGGGTTTTCTTTTGAACCATCCTTATTATGAATTAGTGCTTTTGAGTCTGCGCACCATCGACGCTGAACACTCGCCTTCTGCTTCGGAGTCATTCCTGAGTGGAAGGGAGCAGCCATAATACCATCTTCTACAAGTCGCTCAGCCAATTCCTCGCACATTGCACGCTGTCCACAGTAAATTATTCCCGCAACTGATCCATTGCTTTGCATCATACACTGCTTAGTCGAAGTTGGTTCCAATTCCTCCAAAGATGTAGCTGCAGGACTTTGGGACGAAACATGAGTTATGGATGATGAAACTGATGTTTCTAAGGAATAGTCAGCTAAGTGAATGTGTTTCCTCTTAGTTACTTGGTTCTTTTGTTGTTGATTCTTGTAAATATCCTTGAGGAAGCCGAGAAAGTCTTCATACCGATTTCCATCTTCGAATCTAACCTAAACAAAAGCGTAGTGGATAAGCCATGAGCATTAGCTACTTGTATTAAATAAACAATAAATATATACATGCGAGAGGCTCACATGCCTCGTAATAAAGGTTCTCACGGTTGAAAGAAGACATAAACATGGCTAACTTTGGAGAGTCAGGCAAGCCTAGAGTAGTAATAATGTCCTGCCGCACTCTTTAATCATTACAAAAAATAAAAAATAAAACCAAGTTAGATTTTTGAGAAAGCTCTTACTGTCATTGGTAATTGATACCATTTGTGCGCGAAGATGTAAAAGATATATGAAATGAACCTCTCTGTTGCTGTAGCAGTCAATGCGAGGATCGGCAGCTCTGGGAATTTATTCCTAAAGTAATCAAGTTTCAAATAATCTTTTCTGAAGTCATGTCCCCACTGACTGATGCAATGCGCCTATTTATAGTTCAATAAAGAGTACAGAATCAAAATTAATTCTTACGAAAGCTTGATTAGCAAAGCGCGCCTCTTTTTTTTTTTTTTGGATCCATAGTATCAATACCTCATCAATGACGAGTCTAGACAACATTTTCCGGCGGTTTAATTCAAAGAGGTGCTTGCGGAATTCCTCTGTGGCAAGCAGCTCAGGAGTGACTACAGAAAGGTACATTAATATTCATTTTCATAGAACATGTGTGCGATTAACTTCGAAACCAAATCAACAAAGACGATAAAAATAGGGATTCATAATGAGCTATTGAAAATACAGGGGAAAAAAACGAGAGACCTACCGTAAAGGAGCTTCGTGGTAGGCACTGCAAGCCCGAGATCTGCCATGACACTGGCGCGTTCTTTTTTGCCAATGGACGAATTCAATGCTGCAGCCTTAACACCCAATTTTAACAAAGCATTTGCTTGGTCATGAATCAGCGCAAGTAGAGGTGAAACAATTAATGTGACACCTGTACTCATAACAGCAGGAAGTTGATAGCAAAGTGATTTGCCTGCACCTGTAGGCATAATAACAAGCGCATCTCGCCCTAGATTATATCAATGCAGATCATTATATTTCAGATCCGAGTGTGAAGCTCGATGGGTGGTCACAATCATAATAAATTATGCGTTGGCTTTTACCCGCTCCAGCGCTAATAATATGTAAACTGTATACCTTCCAGAACCGCTAATATGATTGCTAACTGATCGCCGCGGAACTCTTTTAAGTGAAATACTATCCCGGCCGGTTCAAAAGACGAATACAATGTGAGCATAAACAAACGATTAAAAAAAGATGCATGGTAATTTGTTTACTCGTGGGTCCAGTTAGAGTGTTCTTTTACCTGATCGTAGATATTTGTAACAATCATCTGCAGTCTTGGACGATTGTTTCTTAAATTGCTCCTGCTGGAACGCACCTGTGTTGCCTGTATGGGCTTTAAAGGAGAGCTGTGTTTGAACGCCACCACTGCTGCTTGTGCCTTTAGTGCGTTTCATTTGGAAGTAAAAAAAAAAAAAAAAAAAAAAAAAAAAGTGTCTGCTCCAAGCTAGATATAATGAAGTCTTTTTCTTTTTTTTTTTTTTTTTCTTGCAAATCAACAAAAAAAAAAAGAATGAAGTTTTTGCAATCCTTTTTAAAAGATTTAAAGTTCTTAATCTCATTTAGTGGCAAAGCTTGTTTCATTTCCATTCCCAAGCCACTCATACTCCACATACCACACACAGTTTGCCCGCTAAAAAAACAGTGCCTGGTCTGAACAAACGGCTTTAATGGCGTGGGAGAACAGGGAACGGAGGTCTTTTCCTTTTATTCTTCTCTTTCTATTACTGACCCTGCTTCCTTCTTCCTCATTCATTCATTTCTCCTTGTTGCTCTTTCCTATTCTTGTCTTTCATTTTCAGTAGTCTAACTAACTATGACTAGGCCTTCTCCTGTAACAGAAGCTCATGCTCTGGAAGCATCTCCAGCGTACCGCATTACCTACTGCATCTTTGACATGGATGGGTTGCTCATCAACACCGAGACCCTTTACACAGAAATCACTTGTAAGAAAGCATTCTCTATCTTATACTTCAAACGTCCATGCACTATCACTTTCATATTTTATTCGCTACCAGACCACAGGATTTTTGTCTGTTTATTGATTGAAAAATGAGGCTAAGTAAAAGACATTTTTAACGAAACACGTTATTGTCAATGCCTTAGTTGTACTCATTTTAGATATTGTCGCATTCGTATCTCCATTGTTAATTTTTTTTTTACGTTTAAATGAAACATATTCAGTTACTGCGGTCAATTGTTAACTGGAGTCCTTTGTCTAAAATGTCATCATATTTCTACATAGCTGAAATATTGGGACGCTATGGTAAAAAATATGATTATGAGCTCAAGGCGAAGTTGATGGGTCTTCGTGAGAAAGAGGTAATAGTTCTACCAGACTTCGGACTGGTTTTTTTTTTTTAAATTAAAAAAAAAAAAAAAAAAAAAAAAAAACTTTTAGATCAACTGACGCCGCTCCATTTCGGTAAACTTTTTAGTCTGCGGCAATCCTTGTCAGAGAATCAGGTGCAGATATGACTCCAGAAGAGTACTTGCATGAACGCCATCTTTTACAGTTGGAGCGATTTCCACACTGTGTGCCCTTGCCCGGTGTAATGGTAAAAATCTCCAAATCTTACTATCAATAAGACACGGTATTGCGATGAATGTAGATTTAACTTGATCTAAATTGCTTGACTTTATCGTCATCTCTCTCTCTTTTTTTTTTTTTTTTTTTTTTTTTAACAGCGCTTGATCAAGCATTTGAAAGAGAGCAAGGTCCCAATTGCAGTAAGTGAATATATTTTAAAAAGAGTGCTCCATATGTCTGTATTTCTCTCTATTGCCTAAGTAACTTAGTTGGCTTTTTTTATATTATTATCTTCATGGCAAACAAAGGTTGCAACATCATCATATCGCAAAAACTTCGATTTAAAGTCAATGAACAATCAGGAACTGTTTACTCTGTTTGATGTCATTGTCTGTGGCGATGATCCAGCAATCCACCATGGAAAACCTAACCCGGACATCTTCTTCGTGGCAAAGGATCGTTTGGAGAAGCATTTTGGGCATGAAAACATTCCAAACGAGGAATGCCTTGTCTTTGAAGATTCCCCTATCGGAGTTCAGGCGGGAATGAATGCGTCGATGAAAGTGCTATGGGTCCCAGACGAAAATATCGGACGACTATACCCAACCCTGGATGGACCCATTCTACGTCTCGAATCTTTGGAGCAGTTTGATCCTACTTTCTTCGGACTTCCTCCTTTTAAAGAGTAAAAAAAAAAACACATTTAGACTGGCACTTAAGGGCCAATTAGAGATATGGAAAACCTTGTATAATTCTTTTTCTTTTTGTGTGGCAAAATAAAACATTTAAACGAATGTATCGACCATGGCTCAGTTTCAACAATAATGGAGGGCGACTTTAACGATGTTAATGACATGTCATTCATAATAGAGGGAGATGACGACATCGTCAGGAACCTAGACGATGATCACAATCAACCAATACCTGTCAACAACCAGCCGTCTGTTCAGCCACAGCCGGACCAATTATCACAGTCCCAGGATCAGGACTTTCAGAGTCAGGTTGGAGTGGTATTACGGCCAAGAAATGAAGCAAGCCATATGAATATTCCGCAGCCACGTTCCCAGGATATTGATGCAGAGGTGAACATCTCAACGGAGCACAACGTCAGCTAAAATGAATGATAAAAAAAAAAAAAAAAAAAATTACTAAGACAATACCACAGGATTCATCGAACTGCTCGATTTGTTTAGAACCATGGACTAACAGTGGTAATCATCGTCTGGTCTGTACCAAGTGTGGTCATCTCTTTGGCGAGAGGTATTTTTTTTTTTTTTTTTTTTTTATACCAGACATTCTTGGCCGGATGTAAAATCCAGAGTGCTCATATTTCTTTCTCTTTCTTGATTAGTTGTATCCTCAAATGGATAGCACAGGAGAATCGAAAAAATAATATAGCGAAATGCCCTGAATGCAAGTATGTCCTCTTTCAATAAGTTTTTTTATATCATTAATCATTTATTTTAGATATTCAGGCCTGATATTGATTATACACTTTCTGTTTACCAGCTATCCTGCGAAGCGCAAAGATTTACGACGCATCTGGAGCAAATCCATCACTACACTAGATACAGCGGAGAGAGATGAGACTAATGCTCGTGCAAAGAGAGAACACGATATGAGGATACAATGTGAGCAGGAACTTGCACAATCCAGGATGGCATACGAAATGCTTAAGATTGAAATGAATAAACTTCAAAAGAAGCACGATCGCCAGAGATCGCTAAAAATGAGGTAAGAAAAAAATGTTTTTGATTCTTAAATGGAGCAGCAAAATGATATATAATGTAACAACATGGCTACATGATTACACGTTGTAAAATCTATTCCACAGGTATCGAGCAGAATTGAACCAACTCAAACCCACACAGGTTGAAAAGGATATCGCGAAGCGATCTGCCTATGCATTTCGTAACGTTCTTGTTTTACGTACCATGGTAAGGCGTGCACCAGCTTCCTTTTTATCACGCTTATCATTGTCACTATCATGGACAAACATTGGTACGAATCCTTGAGCGCAGTCTAATTTGTACAATACAAACAATGATCCATTCAAATTATTTCTGGTGCAATAGCCTTCAGGAATTCCATTTTACATGTCATATCGGCCGGATGAGGAGATGCTCGCTTGCTCGAGATTTATGAATGGCGTGCATGGTCTTGCTAAAATATCAATGCGAGACTTCTCCAGCAGCCTCCATGACATTATCCCCATACATTCACAGCCTATCCGCGACGTGCAGTGCTACACAAGCGATCCTACTCAAAATAAATCGTTGATCCTCACAACCAGTCAGGATAAGACGCTCAAAGTGACCTCGGCACTATCCAAACAAACCGTTCTATCGTAAGAGCCTGATTTGCCATTGTTTTTAAAATGATCTTTACTAAACGCTTTATATTTCACAAAATCATCTTCCGGAAATGATTTTGCAACTGATGGATCCAATGATCATTTTTCGATTTAAAAACAACCATATAGGTATGATCTGAAGGCACCGGGTTGGTCCTGCTGTTGGTCCACATTAGATTCGAACATTATGTATTGCTCAGTCCAGGCCAAGGAGAAGGTCCTGTCGTTCGATATACGAAATACAAAAGGGCCTGTGGCGTCGTTTGCTCCAACGAATCATCATTCTCCCATTCACTCTATGATCCATATTGGCCCAACAGAAACTCGGAAGCGAGAAGGCATTCTTTGTGGAAATTATGCTGGTCCCTTTGTGTATACCTTTGAGTCTAGCACAAAGACTGATACGTTTAGTCAAGGGTCTGTGGTCGGCGTAAGCGCTAATGAGGGATCAATTGCGGGAGAAGAAACTGCTAGCAATGAGGGCCGACAGGAACAGGATAGATCAAAATGGCCTACTTGTTCGTCAGTTTCATACAATCCCATTACTCGCCACTGGATGGCGTCGTACAAGTTCATTGAAAAGCCCTTCTTCACGCAGCATGTTAGGGGTGTCCTGGACTATGATGAGTCAAGTGGGGAATTGGGACTCAAAAAAGAATTCAAGGTCGCTGGTGGCGCTCCAGTCCCATGCATGTCGAGAACAACCGTGTTCTCGAGAAAGGATGGGTCCATCCACATGGCGGCGGGATCCATTGGCAAGGTGAAGACGATGTGTTTATTGGAATAGCCCTTTTCGTTATTCTATTATTCACAGCGCGTGCTAATGTCTCCATGTTGTAACTTGTTTAGTCTTATATATGGTGTAGCGACTCAAAGTTAGAGACATCGAATGTTTTTGACGTAAGCTTGTCCCAGTTGTCCTCAGGTGATGATTCCGTTAAGCGTATTATACTTGAGCCTGAAAAACGCCATGCGTTTGGCCATCAAGCTCAAGATCCTATTAAAGATATCAAGTCTGTCTTCGTTGGGGATAAGGAATATGTAACGACACTCTCGGATCGTCAAATTGTTTTCTATGAATGGTCAGAGACGCAGAAAGTCAATGAATTAGACTTGGAGGAATTTGATGACAGTGATGAGGACCAAGATATAGAAGAAATTGAAAGTGAAAGAGAAAAGGGCAAGAGGCGACGAATAGAGGTTAGGAGTATGAGTGACCAATCTAATATTGGATATATTGGGTCGCAGAGCTCTGGAGATCTAGATTATGCTACTGAAGATTAAAATTTACACAGCAGTTGTTGTGTATGTGGAGAGGGCAAATCGACTGGTTTGTATATCGGATCCTCCTTTGAGGGTGGATAGATAGAGTATGACAAAGAGGCATGAACAATGCCAATGCAAGATAAGATAACTCTGATAAAGTTGGGTCTGAAGTGAAATTCAATGGTATATATATATACATATATATATACAAATGTATGTTGTACAGTACATGATGGAAATAAAGCGAATGGAAGTGCATTTTATGCCTTTCTATCTTCCTTCCTCTCCCCCAAAAAATTATTTTTGAGGTTTGTGTATCACCGGAGAACAAAGTGGTCCATGCATTTCGTCGCTTCGTGGAGTCATGATATGACATAGAAGTGTCGATCTCAGTGCTAAAACAAACCATCTCTTTTAGGACTAAAGAAAAATTAGTGATTTTTTATTAAAAGATGGTAAGGAGATAAGACCACAAAGCAGGTGAATGATAATTCATTCGGACCTTTTAGAATATTCTATGACAAGCAAGCAACATTGAGTAAAAAGCGTAACTGTTGACAGTCTAATCCCCCGCCCTTTTTCTATTTTCTTTTTTATCCAATGAGGACGGAAGAGATAAAGCAATGTCCTGCCATGAGAGCACGTTGTATAATTATTAAACAATGGGGAAGGTATATCAGCGCCAACAAAAAAAGAACTCCATCAGAAACCATTAATTACAGAGTCTATAAGCTAAAATGATTACACTATGACAGCATGGTGAGAAAAAAAAAAAAAAAAAAAAAAAAAACTATAAAAAGGGTGCTAGAAAATTACAATCAACATTCCTTCTTATTCTTTTATTTTTATTTTTTTTATTTTTTTTTCCTTTATTTCTCACACTCTCCTCTCACTTCTATCGTCTGCTTCCCACGTCTTCTTACCCAGTCTTTATCTCTTACCATGCCAGCCAACGACGACTCATCAACCACTAACCCTGCTGAATCTGTGCCACAGCATCAGCTTCACCATCCACACACCCTTTCCACTTTGGTAACAAAATATGAAGAAAAACGGAAAGCAAGATGTGTTACTTACTATCGATATGATACAAATGAACATGAATTTACTTAACCTCGTCCCTGTTCTTCTAAATAGGACTTCCAAGGCGCTAGTAGCGCCGCGGCTGCCAATGCCATGCGCACAGAGCTCAACCGTTTGATTTCGCAAGTCAAGGAGCCTCACGAGCGCGAGGTTCGTCTTTTTTTTTTTTTTGCTTTTTGTGTAGACAAAAGTCGGGGAGCCTTGTTATTACACCAACAAAGGCTTTTTTTTTTTTTTTTTTTTTTTTCCCCTTCGCTATTCTGAGGGATTTTCCATGCATTTCTAATTTTTTTTCTTTTCAATTATTATTATCATTGTTAGCTCTTTCAAAATGAGATGGGCAATTTCTTCCTACTTTTTAATCGCTGGTTAGCTGAGAAGAGCAAAGGAACCAAGATTAACTGGGATAAGGTCAAGTCCCCCCCAGAAGATCAAATTGTGCCTTATGACAGGATTCCCAAGGTCGAATCTAGTCCTCATCTCAATAAGCTTGCTGTCTTGAAGCTCAATGGAGGTCTCGGAACCACGATGGGTTGTGTTGGTCCCAAGAGCGCAATCGAAGTTCGTGATGGCATGACCTTCTTGGATCTCAGCGTCCGACAGATCGAGGTACTAAAAGAAAATTCCAGATAATTACATGAGAAAAAACGTAATGCAAAATTCAGGGGTGCTTACTTACAGAGCTCTAATTTTTCGGCTTGCATGAATGTAATCTAGTACCTGAACAAGAGCAAGAATGTGAATGTGCCTTTCATCTTGATGAACTCTTTTAACACAGATGATGAGACGAAGCGCATTGTGCAGAAGTATGCCACCCACAATATCGAGATCTTGACCTTTAACCAGTCCCGGTACCCTCGTATCAAAAAGGATTCGCTACTCCCTGCCCCTCGTCACCCTAACGGTGATATTACAGATTGGTATCCTCCTGGTCACGGAGATCTCTATGACTCGCTTAATAACTCCGGCCTCTTGGACCAGTTAATCGCTGATGGCAAGGAGTATCTGTTTGTGTCGAACGTCGACAACTTGGGTGCTACAGTTGATGAGAGCATCCTGAACCACATGGTGGAGTCAAATGCAGAGTTCTTGATGGAGGTCACGGACAAAACACGTGCTGATATCAAAGGTGGAACGCTTATTGATTACGAGGGCTCGATCCGTCTATTAGAAATCGCACAGGTTCCTAGGGATCACGTCGAAGATTTTAAGAGCATCAAAAAGTTTAAGATCTTCAACACCAATAACTTGTGGGTTAACCTCAAGGCAGTCAAACGCATTGTCGAGAACAAGGAGCTGAACCTGGAGGTCATTGTGAATAACAAGACTACAGAATCGGGTGAAAAGGTCATCCAGCTCGAAACAGCTGTAGGTGCGGGTATCAAACACTTCCACAATGGTCATGGCGTGAATGTTCCTCGTAACCGTTTCTTGCCTGTGAAGTCGACCTCAGATTTGTTCTTGGTGACTTCGGACCTTTATGCACTGAACCATGGCGAGTTGTCCATCAACCCCAGCCGTATGTTCAACACAGTTCCTCTAGTCAAGCTCGGCGATCACTTCAAGAAGGTCAACAACTTTTTGGCCCGCTTTAACAGTCCACCACATATTCTGGAGTTGGACCATTTGACTGTCACAGGCGATGTCACCTTTGGGTCCGATGTTACCCTCAAGGGTACCGTTATCATCGTTGCTAATGCTGGGTCTCACATTGATATCCCATCGGGTAGCATCCTCGAGAACAAGGTTGTCTCTGGCAACCTTCATATCCTTGACCACTAAAATTCTAATTTCGTGGTCATTCCTTATTCTTTCTCATTCCACTGTAGATATACCTCATAAAAAAATACTCATATTTTTGTAATCAGAATAAATACGTTTGTCAGTTCTTCTTCAAAAAAATGTCATTGTTAAAAAAAAAAGGATGTAGTTGAATTCATGGCCCCTCACGGCCCCTTTTGGTTGACCAAAGTTCCCTTCTTGAAATAGTCTTTCCAATCACTGTATTGTTGTGAATCAGGAATTGTATCCCGAAGCTAATTAGTTGTGTTTACTCTGAACTCGGAGAATCATGATCCATTTACAGGACTGCTTTGCTCTCTCAATTTTTCCTCATGAAAAAATAATATTCGAAGCTTTTCTTTCTATCCTTTTCTCTACGTTCTAGGCAAAACAAAGATGCAAACAGGTTCACAGGCCCTGTCAGGCCTACGGCGACTTAGCAGCATCGCAACGAAAAGTGAGCCATTCTCAGTTTACATCCATTGGCCATACTGTTCAAGGTACGGCTATCATAATGATGTTGTGTATCCCGATTAAAGAAATCGAGATGAACACTAGAATAACAAATTGTTTAATGCGTAATCTTCATACTTTCTTTACTTTATGCCTAAGCAAATGTACGTATTGCAATTTCAACAAATATGTCGATCCATTGGTAGATCACGAGCGTATGCAAGCGTCGTTATTAAGGGAACTCAAAACTGAGTTGAAGCATTGGAATCTGGATCAAAGGTCTCGACCAATTCGTTCTATATACTTCGGAGGTAAATATTATTCTTAATCTTACGGGTTTTAAAAAACCATTATCGGGCCCTGTTTTCATAACCGAGATTCTTTTTTATTATCATTCAAGGAGGAACTCCAAGTCTTGCGAAGGTGAATGTGATATTCCATTATTTGACATAGATATTGTTGATCATAAGAGAATCGTTGCTAATTTTTCATCTTTTTCGTTATGAAATAGCCAGCAATGTTCCAATCTATCCTGGAGACACTGGACGACATGTGCAATATGTCCCAGGATACAGAAATTACCATGGAGGTAAATGATTGAATGGTTTGCAGGCTTCAGCCTTTTACCTATTGAGCGCTATTAATGAATTCCTTTTAATATCTTTCCTTTTTTTCCTACCTTCCAAGGGAAACCCATCTGTAAGTCATACCTATCGTAGAGTAGTAATACATCGGATCCTAAAAACTGAACCTCAACCTTTAAGTTCACATAAAAAAGCTGATGGGTATTCGATTATAGTCAACTACATCTGTTGAAACATTGAAAGCCCTACGAGAAATCGGAATCAATCGATATTCCTTAGGAGTACAATCATTTCAAGCGCATATTTTGAAGGAGCTTGGACGTGACCACACACCATCATCAGCACTAAGATCCCTTCGGGATGCAAGGGCTGTCTGGCCTGGGAGAGTCTCTATGGACTTGATCATGGGACATGCCGGCCAAACTCTAAGCGATTGGATTAAAGAGTTACGCTTTACTCTAGATGTTGTGGATGATCATCTGAGCCTTTATCATCTCACAGTTGAGCGAGGTACAGCGTAAGTGAGTCTTTGTTTTTGTCTTTAGCTTTGTCTTTGTCTTTGTCTTTATCCGCCTTTGGCTGGAAAGATTACTAAATTGTAAAGATGTAGTCTTCATCGCGATGTGGCACAGGGAAAAATCCTTTTACCAGACCATGAGTTGGCGTCAGACATGTACGATGCAATGATAGAGGTAAAAAGATAAAAAGGAAGGCATTGAAAGCGTCCCTGTTATGAAGAACCCTTTACAATATATATTTCATTATTGCCATTGAGGCTAAATGGTAACAACCGTTCTAGATAACTGAGGATGTTGGGTTCGAGCATTACGAAGTATCCAATTTTGCTAGAAATCGTGCCTATAGCCTGCACAACAGTGGTCATTGGTTGGGCATTGATTATCTTGGTAAGTATGATACTAATGAATAACTGAATAAGTAAATATCAACTTGTCCTCATATTTTTTTTTTTTTTTTTTTTTTTTTTATCATTTACGAACATGCTTTGGCTCGAAGGAATTGGGCCAGGTGCACATGGCCGTGTACGAGATCCTATTACAGGAGATCTTTTCCGTACTTTTAATGTAAGTCGAAGGTCAACTTCTCAAAAAAATAATTAAAATGACAACCAAAATATTTACTATAGTATGTCTAATCTATGTGATAAAAAAAAAAAAATTGGTAGATTCGGGATCCAGCAGGCTGGATGCGACAATGTACTGAACAAGGCACAGGGTGAGTCTTCGAGCGAAGTGTAGCGCTTCCGATAAGGAATATAAATATTATGCTTCATGGTTCTTAAACGAGAACAACTTTGGCTGCATTTGATAGCTGTAGAAGAAGAGTGGCAATTGAGCCAGACGAATTCAAACAAGAGTTGATCGTACTTGGTATGCGTACTAGTCGAGGTATTGAGCTATCCAGGTTTTATCAGTTGACAGGTCAAGATCTTATGAAGGTAATAGGCATTCTGAGTGATGAGGTTTGATATAAACTGTAACTATGGCATGTGGGATGATAGCCTATCAACATGTGTATAACATAACATTGTTTATTTTATAGTATTTGAACAAAGAAGCAACAGAGTCATGTTTGTCTGCAGGTCTGTTACGTGTAACTCCAGCAAAGGTATATCCGACTGAGCGAGGTATGGCAGTAGCAGATGAACTCGTTGCAAGGCTGTTGCCTTGAATGGACTTTTAAAGCTAAAGCACTACAACGCAGGCACTATAGAGTTTTTGTGCGTAAATAAATAAAATATGTGCCAACATTCCTGTTTTTAATCCCTACTGTTTATCGATATAATGGTCTACGGCTCTGGCATGCTGTCTGCTACTTACGAAACAGCTTAATTCTAACTCTGTATGTGGACTACATACTCGTTCTATCGACTCATTCTTTTACTATTATTAATGAAATGGCACAACGGACATTAACCTTGCTATTTCCGGCCGTAAGTTCGAATTCGTTAAGGACGAGATGCCTAGACTAATTGGCCATCGTTAAAAGTGTGATAATAATAGGTAGAGTGAAGTGTTATGTATGACAATTTGTCAACCAGAAGGTGCGTGTATGTGCCGCGTGTGTATGCCGCCTATGTTCGACATGATGATAGATTTCGCCTAATAGGTCAGGATGACGAGTATGTCTAATGCCTTGAGCAGCGACTCCTTGCATCTTGAGACGGCAAAGGCCCCCAACTTGGCGACAGTCACTTGGCCAATCGGGTCCATAAGGAATACACTGAGCTCTTGAAGGGGTAATCACTTCATTTACAGGAAGCTCAAGGAGAGCAAGTTCAAGATCCCTGCCATCAACTTTAATGACTGTCACAAAATCCAAGCCCAAGAACCTGTATAGAGATGCTGTTGCAAAGGTTGCTGCTACTGCTGGATATAGTGATGTCGACAAGATTGCGCTGCAGCCTCAATATTCATTACTTCTGCCAGTTAGCAGGATTTCATTCGTGGTGATGCTGCAATGAAAGATAGTTCGACCGTTTGTAACGTCGGAATAACGCTGTTTGTGGCGTTAGCTTCAAATCTCGAGGTTCACCGCCAAGTTGACTTCGTCCAAGTTGAGTGCTTCTGTCTTAGTCCTTCAAACGCGAGCACTACCGCTACTAAAGTACGGAAAGCTTCAACGGTGACTAAGAAATATAAATATAAATATAAATAAAAATAAAAATAGAAGCTATTTCTTTGTTTCTTTGTCAAAGTCTTTCCGACGCGCGCATTAAACCAAAGACAGTCATCCATGCATGTGTCCCCACGCGGGACTGTGCGTGGTGTATAAATTTAGAAACATGGATACTTTTACTTTGACAAACTTCTGTTGGATTGACAAACTTCATTCACGTCCTGTATAATTAACCATGAGCTCAAGTAGTAACTCACAAAGTGCAAATGACGCAGCAGTAGAAGCAGTAGCAACGTCATCTAATGCCAGTGCTAATGCCATGCTCTCGCCCTATATTGCGTCTTCTGGCACATCTCCTTTGCAGACAGCTACATCACCCAGACTAATGCCTACCAAGTCAAGGCCGACTACAGCACTTGTCTTTGACCAACCTACACAACAGCAGCAGCACAATCAAAACGACACAGAGTCACTTTCAAGCGACGAGTTTGTTTTATCTTCAGCTTCTTCTATGACTAAAGGAAAGGGAAAGGCTGCTTCTGTGAACTTGACTGCTCGTGGGCTCAAGGGTCTTGCTCTATTGTCACCATCACAGGAGGAGGTCATCCCGACACAGACTTATCATCGTTTCCCTGGCCTAGGCTTTGACCATGATCATGATCAGGATGTTCATTCAGAGAGCAGCGACGATGCAGCAGATGGTCGATTAACAGATAATGAGGGTGAGCAGAGTCATTATCGAGACAGCAGAACAGGGACACCAGTGATAGCTGCTGGACACGCACATTCACATACACATACACATTCACATACACACACACATTCACATGGCCCTGTTCAAGATCATAGCTCTAGCCCTACAACTGCTCTGCAATCATTACGAAAGATTGAAGAAAATGACAAAGATGAACGTCGTTATCGCGTAACAGCAATGACTTTAGCTACGGATCTTGACCAACAGAGCGAAGGAGGCGATAATTCTGATACCCATCCTGAAGCCGCATTGAACGCCACGCAGATTCAAGGTATTGTGTAAAAGTACATATAAGGGGGAAAAAAGTTTGTTAGTTAATTCTAATATGTAATGTCCAATATCTAATCTTTATCTCCATTTTGTTCGTTTAATCAGATAAATTAAAAGTCTTAAAACCAAAGTCAAAGTCTGGCAGGCCAAAGTCGCAACTAAAAAGGTCAATGTCGACAAAGTCATATGACTCAGATGATATTTCCGACAATTATGGTGGCTATAAGAAACATAGTGCAGGGGAAGACCATACGACCGTTGCATGGACAGCGCATCGTAAACATTTCTTTATTCTAAGCAGTGCAGGCAAACCAATTTATGCACGATATGGGGACGAGTCAAGGATATCGAGCTACATGGGCGTGATCCAAGCCTTGATCAGCTTCTTTGCCGATAATGATGATTCGATCCGGTGCATCAATGCTGGGCAACACCGATTTGTCTTTTTACTTAAACCGCCTTTATATCTCGTATGTGTTTCCCGATCAGGGGAATCCGAGACACAGGTAAAGAATATAGTCTAAAAAGAGCGGGTTTGGCATGTACGTAGCCCTGTTACTAATCCACATTGGTGCTTTTTTATGATTTGTTTTCTTTAGCTAAGGGATCAGCTCAATTATCTCTATGCACAAATTATCAGTGTTTTAACACATTCACAAATGACACGAATTTTTGAACAGCGCAACAACTTTGATCTAAGGGGACTCATCGGTGGAACTGAGATTTTTCTGGATAGTCTCGGCAAATTAATGAATAGCTATCCAGGATTCATGCTCGGAGCCATTCAATGTCTAACTATGCCTAAAGCTCTGCGTGATAAAGTAGGCACAGTCCTTGGACGAGCCAAATGCAAAGTAATATGATCGCATCTCAAGTACAGGACAATGCAGAGGAGATTTGTTTATTATTATTATTTTAGGAAGTTAGGTTCATTTTCACTTATATTTTCGCCTACTTGGAATATTTGTATTTTGAATAGCCATTACTGTATGCCATCCTATTGACTCCTACGCAGCTGATCACATTGCTGCGTCCACGGACACATTCGATGCATCCTGCAGACCTTCATTTGATTTTCAACCTGCTTTCAGGATCAACAACGTTTGAAAGTTCTGAATCCTGGACTCCGATCTGCTTACCTAAATTTAACAACAAGAGCTTTCTACATGCTTATATCTGCTACATTGCCAAACGAGTCTGTATGCTCTTGATCTCACCGGACAAGGACAGCTTCTTTGAGATGTCAAGTGTGAAACAAAAGGTCGTTGAGGGTCTCGAGGCTGGCGGCATGTTGGCTTCTTTAGAGAGTTATGCAGCAGCAGGATCTAGAGGTGGATTTGCTGTGGGTAAGTATTCAATACTCTTTTTTTTTTTTTTTTTTTTATCTTTATAAGGTTGAAAGCCAATTAATAACTCATTTTCTTGAAAAAAAAAAAAAAAAAAAAAAAAAAAAGGCGATACGGGTATCCCAGGATTGCGCCATTTTCTGTACAAGTCTCGAACAAATGTCCAATTCACAATGCCTGAATTGACAGATGCTTATAGCAGCTTGAGTGCTAAAAAGCGCCTTCTCCGGCAATATCAGCATATGCATGAGAGAATGCACAGGAAAACGCGCCCACTAAAGCTGCTGTATCACGTGGGGGAAAATGAAACCATGCTTGGCTGGGTAAGCAAGACTATGTTTTGAAAGTTAAAAAAAAAATTACAGACACTAATAACTTTTGACTCTCCACTCTGGGAATGATTTTTATTATTGCAGATCACAAATAGTTTCGAGCTCTATGCCGCATTCGGCCCTCTCGTCTCCAAGAGTGCAGTGGTCCTCATGTCCAATAAGCTTCTCAAATGGATACGGAAACAGGAAGATAGTCTATTAATCCTAAACTCTCCCAGCTTTGAAAAGTTCAAATAGCAATAATAATAATACTACTAATAATAACAACAATTGTCCCGCCGACAGAAAAAAAAAAGCCTTCATTGATGCATTCTTCATAGTTTGTAGTAATAAACAATTTGACCCAGTTTTCCTAATTGATTAGCGATGCAAAAAACAAATGTGATAAAGCTAGACTCTATTTACCAAGGTACTTGCCCAGGACTGACATTGTCAGCACCTTGTACATGTTCTCACCCCTCAAGCTGACAATTCCATCCTGCACATCAACGCCCATTAAAGTGCCCAATGCACCACGATGCTCACCAGACAAAACTTTGACACCATCATTCTTGACAGGCGCCACAGGTTTGAGATACTGTATTGGGATTTGGACAGTCTTGCCGTCCTCTGCTCCGCCCATCAGATGGACATCACACATTGCCGTAGATGACAATGCGTTCCTTGGCGGAACTCGGGTGGTTCGGCCCACCATATCATTGTACTTGCCTCCTTCGAATGATGAACCTTCTTGACTACTCGTAATCTTGACCTCGATGTCTGTTGTGGCCCAGTCATACGACGGTGCATTGGACCCATTTGCGCCTCCTGCTCCCGAACCATACCCAGGAACCTGGCCACCATGTGAGTCAATGCCGGAGTAGTCCCCTCCTGTTGGCATGAAAGGTGTTTGCGGAAAGTGACTAGCAGGTGTCATAGGCGCAGAAGGACCTGCTGGTGTTTGAGGGGTTTGATTTGCACCAGGAGTAGACATCGACTGTAGCCTAGAATTGGAGGCAGCTGGTGTTGCGCCAGGCGTCGTAACACTTGCAGCATGTGATCCACCATTGCTGTTGGCATGTGAACCACCATGACCACCACTAGATCCTAATGAAGAAGCTGCAGGGGTTTGAGGGAAATTGTTGCTGCTAGGTGTGGGTGCAGAGTCATAGCTGGATGAAGGTCCAGGGGTGTAAGGATAATTTGAGAAAGGTGCTGGTGAGGGTGCCCCAAAGGGCCCTGGCGTGGACACGCTGCGGTTCATCCAGTCCCCACTGGCAGCAGGTGTCTGAGGGAAACTGCCAGATCCAGATCCAGAGTCTGCCTTGTCGCCCCAAGCATTGTATCCTCCAGATCCGGAGCTTCCGTTATTTTGATTACTAGAGCCAGAATCTGAATCACCCCAGGCGGACCCGCGTGCCGGAGTTCTGCTACCAGAGTCCCAAGCATGACTGGAAGAGCGGCTGCCGCTATCCCATGCAGAGGAGCCACCATATCGAGGCGTCTTGGACCCGACATCCCATGCTGGCGTCTGAGATCCATCAGCATATGGATTAGGCGTCCTGGAGCTAGCACTCCATGCAGGAGTCTTTGAACCAGCGTTCCAAGCAGGTGTTCGTGAACCCGAGTTCCAGGCAGGTGTTCTTGACCCAGAGTGCATGGGTGTCATATCTCCTCTCATGGGTGTCATACCACCGTAGCCACCATAGCCACCGTAGCTGCCTGCACGAGGAGTGGATGGTGGGTTCATTTCTGCCATGCTTGATACTGGCGTCGTAGTTCCATTGGCACTAGAGATTAAAACAAATTATAATCAATATTGTTAATAATGGTGATGATACTGGATTTGTCCCTACACAATACATGACATCTTTCGGAATATGAACGTACTTTGTAATAGCTAATTTGACCTTCTCAACTGTAATGATACGGCAGTTGGTATGGAGTTCGACACGGGCAGTCGTATCAGTCGCATCCTTCACAATACCAAGATAGCCCTTATGAGGTCCACGAATAATTGTCACGGTTTTGTCGATCAATGGATCACGACCACCTCGTCCGCGACCCATCATCATGCCTCCACCCCGGCCACCACGTCCGTTGAAACCGCCACGGTTCATGTTCATCATAGCAGGATTCATAGTATCGAGACGCATGCCTGGTTGAGATCGACTCTTGGATGCCATACTGACAATAAGACGCGTCGATTGCACAAACACTCCGTTATTCTCCATGTACTCTCTGTTATAGATAAAGGCGAATGTCCTGAATAGATGTAAAATTTTACCCTCACGCATCTAACGGGATCCAAAGACATCAATATCAGCTTCATTCCCAAGCCTGATAAAAAAAAGAAAAAATTAACATTCCGCAAGAGTAGAACTTACAGCACCGCCGATTTCCTTCACAGAATCACCATCTTGAATACTATTTCCCTCGCCATCCGTGGCAATAGCTCGTGAAGAGTCCCGCTTCTGGGTAATGAGATGAGGTTCTACTTCTCTCGTAAGACCACTCTGATCTAAGATACGAGCAAACCCGCGTTCGACCTTATAAATGACTCCAACAGTGGATGCGCTATATATAGAAAGAAATGATGAGTAAGCTGTTGAGATAATATAGACTTCATACAAGTCGATGTTTAGCATTCTTACTCGAGCTGAACGAAATCATGTGTCTCGTATTGTCCGATGGTCCCTGTTCCAGTGGAGACATTGGCAGCCATTTGAAGATCCTTTGAAAACACCTGAATATCCTTGACGTTCAGGTCGGTAACTACAGTGACAACGCTGTCCTCGATCTTAATAATCAGACCAGTCTCGTCCTTATACTTGCCGTTTACAACCTTCACATGATCTCCCTCTTTGAATAACTTTCGAAGTTGTGTTGGAGGAAATTTAAGAACGCTGCCTTTGAGATCGTCGGCAAGGGGACGCACCATGATCATATCGCTGCTCACAGAGTCAACCACACCATGGACATGCTTCAGCTCTCCTTCCGTCACTTCTACTTTTTCTCCCGGTTGGAAATGACTAGTCACCGAGGCACCCATAGCCGATAACGCAACCGCGGATAGGTCCAAACCGCCATCTTCGTCATCAATACCGCCTTTGGCGAACTTTTGGATTTCGTCCAGAGTTGGATTGATGTTCTCAGTAATCAGGCTGGAGATTTTCATGTCCTTCTCAAGATATCCCTCTCGGAAAACATCATTGTTCCAAACATACACACCTCTGCCTCTGGACGTGGGCTTGTTGAGCTTATCCACTTTTTCTGCTTCTCGAGCATTAAACAGTTTCGGTGGAGGTCTCGCTGCGAGTACGTTGCTGGGTGGTTTGCGCTTATTATTTCCAAGACCATAGGATGAATCTGAACGAGGTGTCATGTCCAGACGAGGAATAAGCTTGACCTTGGCCATATCTCCCGAGTCTGCGATATCTAAAATCTATTAGTAACGGATATTAACATATATATCAGTATCAAAGTTCCATTACCTTTAATACAAAGTTAGTGCTATCCACAGTAGTTCATGGTTTACCTGTGCAAGATCCGAGGCATACTTTCCACGTTTGATACGAACCCAGGTTCCGGGTCGAATCTCAGACTCTTTGTGTTTGACTTTGAGCACATCTGTCATCTCCTTTATTGGTACAAGTGTCAGCCTTCCTGCAAAGACATTGTTGAGTCCTTGAAGAGCCTATGAAACCAGATGAAAATCAAAATATGAAGAGGGCATTTAATTCAGCTGCCGAACAATCATTTAAAATTTTTTGATGACTTGATCTTTTAAGGTATAGATAGCAACTTACAGCTTGGACGTTAGCTTGACGTAAGCACTCAATATAGATATAGCCTTTGAGCGACTCGCGACAAAACACTGCGGAGATTTCGAGTGGTTGCGCCGAATACTCAGTATCAAAGAACTTTCGCATGAGTGAAAAGACAATGTCCTTTTCTTTGCCAGGTTTGCAGCGAACCATCCAGAGATGTGGTGATTGGACATCGGGCATGAGCAGTTGCTGAGGAATATCTTCTTGCTGGCCTTGGAATGCTCTGCGGGGCGCATAATCACGTCGGCCGTATCTTTCTTTAAATCGGGCAGCTTGTTCTTCCAGATCTACATCGTCTTCTTCGCGTCGTCTACGGTCCAAATCTAGATGTCTAGATGCCCTCGTTGCTTCCGCTGCTTCATCCTGTTCGTCTGCAATGAAACCATCTCCAGCGCCATATTCATCCTCGTCCTCCTCTTCATCCTCATCCTCGTCATCAACTTCGGCTTCCATATCAAGATAAGGATTGTGTGCACGCTTTTGTTTCTTGCTGCGTTTCTGTTGGACAGACATAATCGGCATCAATACGTAAAAATAAACAAAGGAGAGAAATGTTCAAGCCGGTATGATTTATCAGTATAAGGCTTTTGGAGCATGACGACTCAAGGAAAATTTGCCATTCTTTTTTTTTTTTTTTTTTTTTTTTTTTTTTTACGATCAGATAGAGTGCTTACAGATACATTATCGTCTTCATATTCTTCATCCTCCTCCTCCTCCTCGTCGTCGTCATCATCATCATCATCGTCATCATCATCATCATCATCATCACGTTTCTTGTTACGACGATGCTTTCTACTACTATTGCTGCTTCTCTGTCTGGGTGACTCCTCCTCCATATCAGAGTCATCGTCCTGGTCACGAGATTTGCCCAGGTTCTCGTACTCCTCGTCCTCGTCGTGGTCACTATCGTGGCGGGACATGGCTTATATTTGTTGTATTATAAAGTGGTGTAGTATATGGTAAAGGCCCTGGTGTTCGTCTGCCTATTTTGTCGTCCCAGTCGTCTTTGCTCTGACTGTTTACTGATTTATGGGTTGGTTGCCTTGAGAGAGGATACCAAGTTTACTAATTCCTGTAATCGAATACTTTGTACCTTCGGGAAACACTCGAGCTAATTCGCGTAGATCAGCAGATTTGACTAAGCTGCAGTTGTGACAGTATAAATGCGATTATGTGTGATGAATAAAGGAATTACTAATAACAAATAGTGGGACCAGGGAAAAAAGTGCTAGTGGTGAGGAAGGAAGATGGGAAGAGAGGAGAAATATAGAAAAAAGAGAAAGAAAGAGGAGAAAGGAACGATGAGCTCAAAATCTGAATCTGCAGCTGCTTTTATACTATCGTTTTTTTTTGTTAAAGGCATCTTTTTTTTTTTTTTTTTTTTTTTTTGCCCAAATGGGAAGTGCACCCTAACATGCACATGCAGAATACGATTCATCCCTTTTCTGCACTTTGAGTCTCAAACATAAATGCACGTGCCCGCTCTTTTAATGCACCTTAAACGCCAATGTTGCGGCTGATATCAGCTTTTTACTTTCCTTCATGGTCTAGGCGACCTTCTCCTCTGGTTTTCTCTTCTCCGACTCCTATGCTTTACCCTTGCAGCTCGCGAACGAAGAGAAAGCTGTGGAGGGATGCTGTTCACAAAGGAAGGACCGAACAGATCATTAGAACCTTCCTTGGCTGAGACACAGGCTGGAGTCTCAATATAAACCCTAGTGATGAGATGTAAACCCTAGCACAACTGCTGGTTGGTGTTCATGTGCAGAGAAAATACAGTCATAGCCTACATTAATACAAAGAGTTCTTTCAGGCAAACGACTTTATGTAAACTTACACGCATGAAGTAGACCACACCTACTTGGCTTCTACATTCAATTCCTACAGCAGAAAAAGTAGACTCTCGTCATGCAAAATTGGTCAGGGACGTTTCAATACTCTGAATTTTTTCAAGACAGCGGCAATGAGCGGTTGTATTACATCTGCGATACCCTGTTGAGACCATTCATTCTTGAATTGTAGCAGCGACAATAATAACAATCATAGCAACAAATTCGCCAGCTGATAATAACAAGATGTGTTCCAATGATCAGTGGGCATTGGATATGAACATCCATGCAACGCACGTGGTTGTTTCTTCAGGCACATTTTTGGTTTTAACATTGATTGCCCTGACCTATTTTTAACTGACAAAACTCCCTCTTTCTCCCCTTTTTATTCCATTTATTTTTATTTTTTAATTTTTCTCATCGCTTTTTTTATTTGTTTGATGACCATTCTCATTCACTTTTACTTTCACTTTCTTTGTCATTGATCTCCTTCCATCTAACAACCACTACGACTATCGCCACTCTACTACCATTACTATCATCACCATCATTAACTATTAACTACATACATCCAACCATGTCTTCTTCCGCACGGATTTCGAGATCTCCTTCTCGTTTCACTTACTTCTTCCTCTTCGCTATCCTCGCTCTCTTTTTAATTACAATTGCAAGTCCTGTCCTTGCTCAGGAAGAAGAACTTCCAGTCGACCCTTCACTCCCAGAAGAACCTGCTCCAGAAGAACCTGCTCCAGAAGAACCTGCTCCTGAAGAACCTGCTCCTGAAGAACCTGCTCCTGAAGAGCCTGTCCCTACTGGTGAAAATCCACCTGTGGAAGTCCCTACAGGTGTGCCTACAGCCATCAATCCAGTGCCCTCAGCTACAGTACCTGCACCCACATCCAGCCCCACACCATTCATACCCGATCCCATCTTCTCAACCTCAGATTCGTGTGAGGCCTGTAGACCTCAGTTCTTTGCTATCCGAAACTGCACCACACGCATTCCCACTGGGGTGAACCTGACGATGATTCAACAGGTTCTTCCATTTTATCAGTGCATCTGCCCCAATGGTGGTTCCCAGGTTGATGCGTTGCAGCAGTGCAGCATCTGTTTGCGCTCGACAGCTCAGCAATCAGCATTGAATCTGATTTTTTACAACGTCACCAACCAGGATGTTAAGGCCATGAAGCAAGTCTGCACTGAGACCGCAGACGGTACCAAGGTACCCAGTGGGGCTGCTGGATTCTTATCCTTTATGCCCTCTGCTACTTTTACATTTGCTTCTGTTGCTGTGCTCCTTCTGTTGATGCCTTTTGGTGGACTGTAATACTACGACAACAATTAGCATACAAATACATAGCTTTGTCATTTTCTTTTATCATAAACCACATTCGACAATAACATCCTTGATAATAATAAACTATCGTGTAAACCCATTCATGCAGTAACAATAATAAACTTGCATTGGTATGTCAGAGCAAAGATGGTTGGTTGTCTGTGCAAGATTTAATGTGTGATGTATATGTGTTCAAAAGAAGCTGGAACTTTTGCGATAAAGCGACCAAAGGATAGTCTAATGACATAACAAATCAAAAATTGGCGGCGCTTCTTCATTAAAGAGGAACAAATCTTTTTCTTCTCATCTTGATGCTTTTTATTTGTTTTTTTTTTTTTTTTTTTTTTTGTAATAACAACAATCATTCATAGATTTCTATTTCTCTTTTTTTCATTCTCATCCCAACAACAGTTACTCCTTGCATTACCCATCTCAAACCTCCCCTCTCAATAGAAAAAAAAAAAAAAAAAAAAAAAAAACCTGTAGAAAAAAATGTTCGGGGGACAGCATATCATTACGAGGCAATTGAACAAGGGTGTTTTTGGTGGCGCGAGTGGTGCTGTTCGAGGTACTCAATTTTTCTTCTCGAAGAGACACACATCTCCACCCATACGCGCCAATTTTGGCGATCATAAAACCCGTTTGTATTCTTCTGTTACACCTACACCTCCTACGAATAAGACCAATTCTACTGTTGCTACTGCTGCTTCTGATACAGTCAAAAAACTAAGCAAGTTTAAACAGTATGCAGAGCAGTTCAAGAACAAGCCTGCAAGTCATTTGATTGCCTTTGGACTCTTGCACGAAGTGACAGCAGTGGTCCCACTTCCGATTGTTTATTTTGCATTAGCACAATCTGGTATGACCATCCCGTTCCCAGAACAGGCCATGGAGGAAGGAAACAAATTTGTCACACGTGTGGCCAAGTACTATGGCTGGAATTTGGAAGGAGATACAGGTGCCCGCACAATGCTAAACATGGCAACAAGTTACGCGCTTGTGAAGGTAATAAATAATAAGAATGTTAAAAATATTTTTGATCAAGCAAAAGGAGATGCGAGTTGTTATTTAACTCTTTGGTTAACTCTGTTTTATTGTAAAAAAAAAAAAAAAAAAAAAAAAAAATAGGCAGTGATGCCTTTACGATTGGCATTGTGTGCATGGATGACGCCGTGGACAGCAACCAGGGTTATATCACCCGTCATGAGTATCTGGCGTCGATTTAGGAAATAATGAATATTAATAAATTCACCTCGTTGGTCATTCATTGATAATGTATCATCTCTTTGGGCCATTCATGAGGATTGCCCTTGAGAAAAATTGATAGGAACAATTGGATTAGCGGAGGTTTTGTGAAATGCGAATGTTGTTATAGACACGTTCATATTCATTTCCACGGTCTCCATTGCTCTTCCTTTTGTCCAGTAGCTTTGCTTGAGTCGTCTGAGGAAATAAGAGTCGAGGGCTGAAACAAAAAAGAATTAACTTTAGGCAATGAGGCTGTAGTGTTTATGGGCTGGATTCGTACATTTTTTTTTCTTTTTTGAGTGGTCAAACCAGGGGCCCTGCTCCCACTCGTGCGTGGGGTATGGAGATGGAGGAAAGGGCGTTGTCTACTGCCGTGAATATATTCTGCAATATCCTGTTTGCTGTTGTCCAATCTTCTCCCCCGACACTCCTTTATTTAGGGAATTTTTTAGTATTCACTTTTTTTTTTATCCTTCCATCATCTCTTTGCATCTCTCATCCCTCATCCACCTTCCCTACTACAAAGATGATCACACAGAATGAGACATTCTCAAAGTTTAGGAATAACTACCTGGCTGTCTATCTGACAGTAATGAGTATGAATGGCTTGCATATCACTTCATTTGTTTAAAACTATCTTGGACCTTGGACTTGGAAGCATTTAAACACTGAACCACTTTTTTTATTTCTCCTTTGTTATTTGTACGCATAACAGTGAGCGACTGGCTGCAGGGTCCATATCTGTATGCCCTTTATCAGAAATATGGCTTTGAGATGTATGACATCGCTGTCCTCTTCATTATTGGTTTTGTCAGCAGCGCTGTCTTTGGAACTGTCATTGCCAACACTGCAGATGTGTGGTAAGGCTATATCATTTGGTGGAAGCAGAGTATCATAATAACAATTCCAATACACACCCACACTGATAAACAGGAAGAAAGAAAAAAAGGGTCAATTGGTTCGAACATTTGTCTGACAAAAATATATATATATATATATATACCGATCTTTCTTTGTCCTTTGTATTATTACTCGCAGGGGTCGCAAGCGTATGGCTTTGTTGTTCTGCCTTTCCTCCTCTACCGCAAGTTTGATCCGTCTCTCACAGAACTATCAATATTTGATCCTCAGTCATCTGCTCAGTGGTCTCAGCACTGCACTCCTGTATTGTGTCTTTGAGGCTTGGTACATCTCACAGCACCAGCGCAAGGGTAAGTAGTATTGCTTATAAAAAAGAAAAGAAGATACTTTGTATGATTCTCACATCTCTTTTTTTTTTTTTTTTTTTTTTTTAAATTTGACAAAATAGGCTTTGCACCTGCTTTGATTGGTGCCACTTTCAGCACGGCCATCTTTTTGAATGGCTTGGTGGCTATTTTAGCTGGTATTGTCGCCAACATCGCAGTCGAGTTTTCTGGAACACTTGCAGCGCCTTTTGTTGTTAGTGCTGGCACATTGGTGCTAGCAGCATTTTTGATCATGCGTTCATGGGAAGAGAACTATGGAGAGAGCAAGACCAATGTTACTGGATCTGTCCTCAAGAGCATGTTGGAGGGTCTCATTGTTCTCAAGAGTGGTACTTTTTTTTTTTTTTTTTTTTTTTTTTTTTCAATTTGTTTGTTGAGAAGAATCTAATTATCATGTAATCTAATCGATGAATGAATCGGTGGCTGTATATTTTGATCTATATGTGGATAGATACCAACATTTTATCATTGGGTTTGGCTCAAACGGTCTTTGAGTGCTGCATGTATACGTTTGTGCTTCTGTACACTCCTGCGCTCGAGAAATCAATCAATAGCTCGTCAGGTTCAGATACTCCTTTCCCACTGGGCTACCTCTTTTCAGCCATGATGTTCTGTAGCATGTTGGGCTCATTGGGCTTCAAGTTCCTAACTCTTAAGGGCACCTCCACTGAGAATTTGTTGGCGACAGCATTGTTTGTGTCAGGAGTATCATTCTGCTCTATTGTGCTCAACACCAGTGATGCTGCATTGACGATATTATCGTTTTTGCTGTTTGAATTCACAACAGGAATGTACTTCCCATCGATTGGCACCTTGAGGGCTCAGGCGATCCCGGAACAGAACAGGACAGGAGTGATGGCGTTCTTGCGTGTGCCGATGAACTTTGCAGTGTGTGCAATCTTGTTGCATGTGGATGCGATGCCCATGACCCAGATCTTCCAGATCTGTGCACTGTTGTGCTTTGTGGGAGGCTTGACCATCTTGTGGCGTGCATTGGATCCGGAGCGCCAGAATCGTCAGACTTATGTTGCAGCAAAGGCAGAAGAAAATCACGAGTTGTGAAAATAAAAATAAAAAAGAAAATAAATATTTATCATGTTAATAAATAAATATATATATATATATATATAATATAATTATCTAATATTTATATATACACTTGTGTGGATTGCAAAGTTCAAGTTGGTTACACCGTTTAATGCTGTCATTTAAAAAAAGGACTAGGGATGTCCAAAAATAGTCGTCAATAAACATCGTATCGTCGACTCTAATACTCTAAATGTTTTTTTTTTTTTTTTTTTTTTTTTTTTTTTTTTTTTTTTTTTTTTTTTTTCGTTCTATCTTCTTCACTTCTTTATTCTCTTCTTTTCTTGTCCTATTTATTCTGTTTTTTTTTTTTTTTTTTTTTTTTTTTTTTTGGATTGTTACATTAAACTCATTGCATTTCGCATCGTCTCGTTTCATTCTTACTCGATTCAATCATGTCTACAACACCTGCTATTGTGCCCTGCAAGTACAAAACAGGTCGTACGCTAGGCGAGGGTACATACGCTGTTGTCAAGGGTAATCATAGTCGTCCATCATTTTAATCTCAATCTTTTAATCTCAATCTTTTATACGGATGTTATATCAACCTTATTCGTTTCTCTTCTCGTTTACTAACCTACTTTATACTCTCTCTTCCTTTCTGTCTCTATAGAGGGTGTTCATGTAAGTGGGTGGAACAACATGTTGGCTCAACTATGTCTATCGTTACGTTAACTACAACAGCTCTGGGAATAGTAACAGCAACAACAGCAACAACAATAACAATAACAACGATGACAAATCATCACTAATTGCTTCAAGGATCTGGATTACTGTTCGTTCAACATTAGGAACTACTGAAGCATATGTACAACTACTCTCTTCCCCCTCCTCCCCCCTCCTCCCCCCTCTTTTTTTTTTTTCGCCTTCTTATTTCTGATAACTCACCTATCTTTGCTTCTATTTACACTTGCATTCGAGGCAGATCGAAACAGGAAAGAAATATGCGGTCAAGGTCATCAGCAAGAAGCTCATGGAAGGAAAAGAACATATGATCCGCAATGAAATTGCGGTCCTTCGACGGATTTCGATTGGACATCCCAACATCTTGACGCTTGTAGATTACTTTGAGACATTAAACAACCGTAAGCATCCTTTCTATTCTTTTAACAAGTCTGAAAAAAAAAACTTTTCAGTGGCTGATTTAGTTTTTTATTCTATTGATATAGTCTATCTTGTAACGGAATTGGCGGAAGGAGGAGAATTGTTCGACAGGATATCCCAAAAGGGTAGCTATTATGAACGAGATGCGGCCCATCTTGTTGCAACTATCTGCAGTGGTGTTGCCTATCTTCACGAACAGGGTGTTGTTCATCGTGGTAGGTAAACATTTGAAAGTATTGTGGTATTCAAGTAATCTGATGAGAAAAAAACAACGTCGCGTAAATAGATAATACCAAGATACTCACTAAAAATGTCTTTGTTCTTGTACTACGTTATTAAGATTTAAAGGTATGCAAAAAAAAGTTTATATATACATATGATTATATGATTATAGGACATTGGGTGGTTTTATCTTTAAAGTGTATGCTTATATTAACTCTTTATTTATTTTTTTCCGCAGCCTGAAAACTTATTGTTTAAAACTGCCGATGAAGACAGCCGGCTTTTGATTGCGGATTTTGGATTGTCAAGGATTATTGACCATGAATCATTTCACGTGTTGACAACCACTTGCGGTACTCCTGGATATATGGTGAGAACAGAGGAGCAACATTTATTATTTTTTATTTTTAGTTTTTATTTTTTTAAGGTCATGTTATCTAAGGAGCTTGTATTCTTAATTTCTTTCTTTATACGTAATTCGATACATGAAGGCACCAGAGATTTTTAAAAAGTCTGGACATGGCAAACCCGTTGATATGTGGGCATTAGGTGTCATCACCTACTTTTTGCTCTGTGGCTACACACCTTTTGATCGTCAAAACAGTATGGATGAAATGCATGCAATCTTGCATGCTGAATACCATTTCGAGCCCATCGAGTATTGGGAAGGCGTATCTGAGACAGGTAAAGAGCTTGTGACAAATGTACTCATCGGCTTAACATCCTCTGTGTCTATCCATTACTCAATTCTTTTTTTCTTTTCCTTCCAGCCAAGTCATTTGTCAGTAGGTTATTGACGGTGGATCCAGATTTGCGTATGACAGCTGCCGAGGCACTTCAACATCCATGGTTGACTCAACTTCAACCAGAACGTTCTCAACTAGAACAACAACATCAACAACAATACCAGTCAACCTCGGTATCGGGCTTAGCACAAGCTCAGGAAGGATCTTTAGACATGGAGGGGGTTGTCGTTCAACGCGATCTGTTGCCTAATATGAAGGCCCGTATGAATGCCCACGCCAAAAATAAGTTCCGTAATGCTGTCCAAGTAGTGAAGGCTATCAACAAGATGCGAAGTGTACATGAAGAGTTGGCGCGAGTTCACCCAGAAGATCCTTCGCATGTATTGCGTCGTGACGATGATATGGACATGGTGTAAAAAAAAGAAAAGAAAAAAATACTCCAAAAACAAATAAACATTTTTCTGCATTTGACATGTAAAAATGGAAGCATGTTTTTTTTTTTTTCTTTTTTCTTTTTTATGCGTATTATAGATGCTATGCTAATATACCAGTCTTTGATAATATAAATGTGACATTAATTAATAAGTTATAGATTATTTTGTGTGTGTAAAATGTGTATGTGAATGGGTGAATGGACTTTGATAAATAAATTAATAAATAAATAAATAGATAAACAAATAAAAACTCTAAGCTTGATCGTTTCCGCTTGTAGGCATTCCTGGGACATGATTGAAGGTTGGAGTTGCGGGTGTGGAGGGGATCCCAGTCATGGGTCTTGTTCTGTACAGGTTGGGAGGGATGGTTCAAAAAATTATGGGTAATTGTCAGTTTTTTTTTTTTTTTTTGTCTATATCAGCCCGGACTTTGCGAAATGACGCGCGATCTTGTCTTCCTCCGTTTCCCTTTTAGTTAAAGGAATGAATGAGACAAAAAAAAAGGATAAGGTCGAAAGTTGCGCGTTAGCATCTTACGAACGCTTTTTTTCTTTTTCTTTTTCTTTTTCTTTTTCCTGTTCTTTTCTTTTTCTTAAGCAAAGATACAGAGTTGAATAACTTCTAGAACATTCAAGGAAAGCCAATTTCTCTGCACAATACAACGTTCAACTTATTCTCTCCTTCTCTCTCTCTTTCTCTTTTTCCCTTCCTTCCAGTGCTGTTGTATGGGATTAGTTTTTTTTTTTTTTTTTTTTTTTTTTTTGGAATGAATTTGCTCACCTAGGTTCCAAGGCCAAGCTCAAATCAAAGAGCTCTGCAACTGTCTTTGTATTGTCCATGCCTCGTCGGATGAACGTCTGGATTTCCGGAACGGCAGTTAGACAATAAGGAACTGACTGGTACTGTTGAATCTCACGGATCACTTCAGCAGTACTGACACGCTTATAGAAATTAATGTGGTTATCGGTCTTCCTCAGGAAATCCGCATTTCCATCCTCGATCATCACCAGATCAGTCAAGTACACTCCCACAAACGGTACACACGGTGGATTGACCGAATGCAACTCGGCTCGATAGTCTGCCCAATTCTTGGCCGAGCTCGTGACGTTCTGAAGCATCGTCAACGTATTGACCGTCTTGGCAGGAACTAACTCCCAAGTTCGTTTCAATCGATGGATTGGAGAATGTAACAATGCTGCTGTGGTATTGGACAGCATACTAAAATTGTTCAGCTGGCGTAATCTCTATTAAAAAGTATGAACAAAAAAAAAAAAAAAAAAAAAAAAAGTTTTAGCATCACATCGTATCATTTTGTTCAGGATCGAAAACATTAAAGCAGCATATATATATGTATGTGTGGCGAGTGGCGTGTGTTGTGTACCTCTGCAAGTGACACCATATGCTTAATGACGGCGGCACGCTTCTTGGGTTCCTTTTCACTCAACACAATTTCATTGATCCAGTTGGCATAGAGATTACTGATCTCGATCATCTTCTTAATATTCACTGCCTTAGCTGCCACCTCTGGATCTTCACTTGTCCAAGCCTTGGCCAAACACTCAATAGGCTTAATCTTGGTGTAATAGCCTGCTTCCATAATGGTCAATTGCCTTGCCAACTCTAACGGATCCAGGTCCATAAACTTGATTCGCTTCAGGTTGCGTGGTGTGATCGGCTGAGGTGCCTGTGTTGTCAAGTTCAAGACCATTTTGCGAAGCGATCCATCCGAAGTCTCTCTCTTCTCCACCAGCCTTGTCAGCTGTGTCGCCGGGATCTTCATCGTGTCTCGCATCAGATTCGACTCTGAGAACTCTTTGATCTTTGGCAAAATCGCCCGGTCTTCGGCCTCGTCCTCGATATAATAGTTTTCGAGCCATGACTTTATGATATTAAAGACTCGAAGTCTAATGGGCGTCAACTTCTTCTCCGTCCAAATCTCTAGTTCTGATTCATCCAATCCCATCGGTGGTGTGATCACAAATCGACGGAACAAGAGCGAGAACAATTGCTCAGTAGTCGCGAAAGATCGGTATGTGAGCAAAAAAGTCTGCACAAAGTTGAGATCGTGGCCATCATGGAGTGTAAGTCGCTCTACGAGCGCTGGCAACGTTCCACCTCGAACATGTCCCTCCATATTAAAAGAAATATCCGCTGGAGAATAATCGTGTCCGAGATACCATGGCTGTTCTGGTTGCTTCGGCTTTGGCTGAGGCGCATCATCACCCAACATCTTCTTTAGCTTCTCACCACGAGCATCCTGTTTTTGAGACTGTGAACTAGTGCTGACGGGTGCGCTCGGCACCAGCGGTGGTGACAATGGACGGTCACTGGGGAGATGAGTAGGGAAAGGATAGCCATTGGGCTGTGAGCGCCCCGTATATTCAGTGCCTGGCGTTGTTGGGGCAGAAATATTGGAGACAGATGAGGTACTGGAGAAGGATGAGACCTGAGAGTTGGAGCGGTATCTTGAGCTTTTGGCAGTATCGCCATCCATATCTGAATCATGTTCTTGAAAGTACATATCAATCCCTGTCTGCCGAAGGTGTGCTGCAAATGAGGCTGACTGAGTAATGAGAGTTGCACTCGAATCAACCTTGGTTATTTGAGGGCGTGTTTGTGGCTGATGTTGCTGTTGCTGCTGCTGCTGCTGCTGTTTCTCATTATGCTCCCTATCTAATGCTAAAGCGCGAGCACATGTTGCGAGTTCTAGTGTAGATTTTTCTGTTGTCGCTGTGGCATCCAATGCCATTTCAAGTACGGAGGTTTGAACCATTGGGTCTGTGGCCAGCTGAATGGCCATGACTAGCGCAGCAATGTGATTGTATAGGATCTGTTTTGCGTTGCGAACGTCGATAAAAACATGGTCCTGAATCTCTGGATGCTCATTCAGTGTTTGGGTATAAAATTCGCCTATAAGGTTCAGCATCGAGCCAAGTTGAGAGATGGTCTGATGGCACTGATTGACGAGCTGGGCTGACTGAGCAGAGTTCAGAATAGGTGATCCTAAGGAGAGACGGGATGAAGGGGTGGGTTGTGCAGGGTTCAGCAATGTCTCTATTGCCCTCTTAATTTGTGAACTGAGGACACTCAATGATTTGCATGATGCTTTAGTACAAAAATCCAAATGATTCAAAAGTCCTGTTGCTGGGCTGTTGTTGAAGGTCCTATCGCTAGCTTCACTCGAGACACGCGAGGCATTAGAGACTGCACGGCTCAACCTTCGTGCAGGCTTTGATTGGAATGGACTCCCAGGATCGGAGATTAATTTTGGATCTACCTGATGGACAGTGACGCCCACGCTTCGAGCAATGAAGATGAACTGATGCACTGCCTGGGCTACGTCGTTCGCATCAGCTAACATTTTTGTGATTGCACCTTCAGCTGGCCAAAAGGAGGAGGCCATCTTTGCGGACAAGACCAACTTTGACAGCGCCGCCATGATCTGACGGTGATGCAGTTTCAAACCACGATGCATGCGTATGGGGGCTGAATCTTTATCAACCATTCCAGATGCAAAGAGCATCACCCGAATGGCCTCGACCACTTGAGAAGCCTGACTTTGGTAATAAGCTTTGTATCCATTTTCGGCCGAATGTATTAAATTCTGCAATGCCCCCGTCGTATGGTCTGAAAAAGATTCCCAAGTGGGCTCTGGATCAAACGGATTTGAGACAGTGGGAAGAGGAGGCAAGGACAGTGATGATTCATCCTCACGAGCTGGAGTAGTCCATCCCGAGGGTTTTACAAGCCCTGAAAGAGCTGTCTCTGCTTCATGTGAAATAGGCGACCCTGCTCTTGTCTATTGTAATATAGTTTAATCATTATAAAAATAAAAAATTAAAAAATTAAAGGGAGGAACAAAATATGAAGAGGCGGGTTGAATTTTTTTTTTTTTTTTCCTTCTTTTTACTCTCCCTGGAAATGAAAAGAGTGTAATCTGTACAAGCACAAGTATACACGGAGAAGAAAAGGGGCGGGGAACAATCCAAGACAACCTCTCAAGAAATGATGCCCGACGGGATACAAATTCATCAAAAACAGCGCATTGGATAGTCAAAGATGGATGGAGTTGATGGAATTGAAGCCCGCTCTTCAGTTCTGCAACAGCAATTTGTCGTTGGGCCAAACAAAAAAAGAAAAACGCAGGGCTCAGAATCAGAGTGATACAGGTTCATCAATGATATGACGGGAACTACACCATGACATGCATGGCATGTCAATAATAACAAAAAAAAATAAAAAAATAGACAAATAATTCATGCAGAGGTAAAACAACGTTTGATGAGGCATGCAGAGATTAAAAAAAAAAAAAAAAAAAAAAATATCGCCTATGGTCGAATGATATTCTTACTGTATCCATTTTTGCCAACCCTTCTTCCATCTTTTAATGATGCATGCGTCACAGAGTTGAGTTTGCTCCAGCTGAGTGTAATGCTGTGTGTGAAAAATGAATGCTGCATGACACATGGCAACCACGCGTGTTTTTTTGGAATGCAAAGCAATAGCCTTTTTTTTTTTTTTTTTTTTAATGTGCATCTGGAACATAAGATCCCATGTAGCCGAACACCGGTACTTGTGCTTTTGTATTAACGGATACCGTTTTTGGATGTGTTCTGTTTCTCTCTCATTCATTTCTCTTCACACGCAGATGAGACGCTTTCCGACCATCCTTTCATTCTTCAGTTGGACCTTGTTCGGTCTTTGGTCCTTAAACACGATGTATTCCATCACTCACACAGGCTCAGCCTTTTCATCTTCTACTTCAATATCATCAATCCATCCTATTCATTCATTACTATTTTTTTTTTTCCCTTTTCTCAGAGTATTAAAGAAAAATATTTGTTCTCTCTTTTTTTTTGAGAGCACTGTGGAAGCAGCAAGACGACAACAATATCAGTGAAACAAACAGAGGAAGGGCTCAAAACAAACGATCTTCAGTCTCTGACATGGGTCCCGCACCCAGCTCAAGTCCGATTTCTGACTTTCCGGTATTTGTTGTTTTGTGGCTCTCTCTCTCCCTTTTTCGCACTGCCGCTGTCATTAATATTTTCTCCCACCCCTCACTTATTTAGTTTATGACAACACAAATCAAGCTTTTTTTTTTTTTTTTTTTTTTTTTTTTGCCACAATTTGTTGTTTCTTACTGGAATTGCAGATGCCTGCCAGGAACTTCGTCGTGTTGATCCACCCTGACTTGATGCATCGTTTTGATCATAGCGTGGGCCAGCAAACGTCCGAGAATTGATAGTGATATTGTTGTGGTTATGCTGCAACGGTTCTTCTTCGATCTCTGAATTAATTATGGGTGTATTTGTATGTGTGGCAGCGGATAGTGTTCGATTGACAGTGATGACATCTTGTTGAATACCGTTGTAAATACGTTGTTTGTCGGATCAAAAAATAAAAAAACATTAAAAAATTATCGCATGGTCAAATGTTTGTTTTCTCTCTGGCTCACTTGTATCCTGATAGTATATGCCGTAATACAGGTTATAAACTTACCTTCGTTATTCTCAATTTGTTCATTCATACTGGGATCAATGGCATCATCATCAACGGCATCTTTATGTCGCTCTGATGTTGAAGGGATCATCCATGATGATTCGCCAGTACGTGTGTTAAAGTAAAAGACTTGGCCATCTGCCGTCGTCTGAGGAAGCCAAAGGTCATCATCACTTGCCTAAAAGAGGTCAAACCATAACCATAGTCAGCAAAACATCTGGCAATCACCGTAGCTCTTAAACAAGTATCTCAGACAACCCACACACACATTTCCAACATATCCCAACCTGCTTCCAAGCTTTCTCCGACTTTATATCAACCCAATTCAAAATGACAAAAAAAAAAAAAAAAAACATACCGCCTCATCCTCACTGGCACCTTCGGAAAGAGAATCAAAATTATCATGGTCAAGAATCTCAACATAGTTGGAAGGGAACCAGCCACGCTCATCACGGCAGTAACCATACCACCAGCCCGACTCTAGTTGAGTAAGAACCTGAATCAGCTCTCCCTTTTCGAACGAAAGCGAGGTATTGTCCTCGGAATGGAAAGGGTATAATGCGCGGACAACGAGATAACCATCATCCTCTTGATCATCTCTAAATTCATTATCATGGTTATTTTCGTTGTTATTGGTATTATGATTGCTGCTATTGTGGTTGTGGTTGTGGTTATCATTAACGGTAGTATAGTGTATAGTCTGGTGATCTTCCTGTGGTTGCTGTTGCTGTTGCTGCTGCTGCTGCTGCTGCTGTTGTTGTTGTTGTTGTTGCAGGTGCTCGTCGTGCGCCTGCCATTGATGCGGTGCCAAGTGACCCATCTGAATTGGATTAGGGAAGAACTGGGGGTGAGTTCAAGATGAGGTAAAGGGGGGAAAAGGGCGATAGAGTAAGGTATGAGATGAGGAAGAAATGAGAGGTGAAGAGAGAGATAAAAAGGTCCGACGAAGAGAAGAGTGCTGTGTAGGAGATGTGTTGAGAACACTCTTTTTGATCCTGATTGGATTCGTTCTAGCGGCACAGTTCAATTCAATAGAGGCGAAAGGGTAAAGAGAAGAAAGTTGGTAGTGAGAGTGAGTGGTCTGTGTCGGGAATGCTTCTTGTTCAGTGTGTCAGAATAATAAGACGTTGATGATGATTGAATGTGATTGAATAAATGCAATACTAATATATGGATATATATAATATAGATGATCCCCTTTCAATTAACATGCAAAAAGAAATAACTAAAAAAAGATAAAAAAAGAAATAAATAAGTAAATATAATAATAATAGTAATAATAATAATAGTAAAAAAAAAAAAAAAAAAAAGAGGATGAGGGGATGGAATGAGGATGAGAATGGAGGGGATGGAATGAAGAAAAAAAAAAGAAAAAGAGAAAGAGGGTCAAGAATAAAAAGTTGGCAACCAGAAAGAAAGCGCAATGCAAGCTCTGCATAATCGCTGGTTGCATGGTTAGGATGCTTGCCCAAACATAAATTTGCATTAGTTTAAACTGTGTTTCGTGCCTTTGTCCTATCAAAGATACGGACACACATTTACTCTTAAACACTATTTTTTGCTTTACACTTTCTCCGCCATAAATATAGTCCGTTACAGATATATTTATATTATTTTTATATATATACACGTGTATTGGAGTATTTGGACAATGACCTAGCCAATGTGCTCTCCATCCATCAGGTAGTCGATGTCCATCATGATGGAATTTTCTCTTCCTTTGAACGTTTGAACGTTTTTTTTTTTTTTTTTTTTTTTTTTTTTTTTTTTTTTAAAAAAAAAATTATCATTTCAACCACATCTCTTTTTCTATGTCAATCCTTGCAGCCCTTTGTCCTTCCCTTCTTTGTTATGCACACTCAGCTTATTGTGTAATTGATAAAAATAAATAAAACTAACCATTTCGCCAGTTCAATCGATCGCGCATGCAACTCTCACTTCACTCATTTCCTATTTCCCTTTCTATCTTTTTTTTTTTTTTTTTTTTTTTTTTTGTAACTAAAAAAACAATGACAGCCAACTCATTCAGTTCATCCAAAATAGTCTATCCCGTCGTCAGCTGTTCAAACTATCTTTGCTATCCAACCAAAAGAAAAAAAAACACACTTTTTAAGAAAAAGAGATGCATATCTCCTCTCTACATCATTCAAAAACCATTATGGTTTTGATTACTATAAAAAAATATAGTTTGTGGTCAAAAATACTAATGCGGATAAAATATATAAACAGGTGCGCACTAAGCATAGCACAGCGAATATTGCATAGCATTTGTAACATGGCACAAGGTTTGTATAAAAAAAAACTATGAATCAAAGTTGTCGTGAACATCGCTGTACAAAACACCAAAACCCACTTTTTTATGGTCCATCTTTTGCATCCAAACATTACATGTTCATGCTGGCCCAAAGCACCAAAAAAAAAAAAAAAAAAAAAAAAAACCTCGCTTCTATGGTATATAATGTAATTGATGCAAATCCATCTTGCTATCCTACAAAGTTTATTTCATGGTCTGATGTCTCCACATTATTATGCGCTCACAAGTTGATTTAAAGTAGGTGGCAAGCAAGGCACTCGACGCGCAATTGCGATCTAGGAACTATTATCATATTGATGAAATGAGGGCGAATACATTACAGATCATGGATGCATAATGAAAATCATTCAAACCCATACAGATGGAAACATTTCTAAGCACATCTCAGTTGCATTCTTTTTTATAATCTTTCCATACTTTACCTCAATCTTTCTCTCTTCTCTGTTTCTGTTTCTGTTTCGGGTTTAGTTTCTGTTTCTGTTTCTATTCTCGTGAAGTTACTTTCTCCTCTTCCTCTTGCTCTTTGACTTTCTCGATCTTGATGATCATAGTTATGTATGTTTGTGCTGCAATACGTATGCATTTTTTTTTTTTTTTTTTTTTTTTTTTGTGCCTTGTCTTGTCTAGTGAACAGATCAAACAGACAAAACAACGGCTCCAGGGTTCCAGGGCAAAAAAAAAAAAAAAAAAAAAAAAAAAAAAACTTTTCGACACACCTAATAACATCCTCAGCCCTATAGTCCAATCTAATTCCTTCTCCAAATAATTCCTCGAAATAACTCTTAGCATAACCGAAATATCCCTTCATGCATTCAATCCAACCCCCTGCCGAAATTGTCATGCAGCAACGACAACAGCGAAGGCCTCAAACCACTTGCTCAATCGTCCGTTATTTGGCTTCATTTGCTGAACGGAAGCAGTCGCTATCCACACAGATGCCTGCACGGCTGTTTCCCGTCCACTCAAGTATCTCACCAGATGAAAACGAGGACAAGGGCGAAGGTTCTTTATACATCATTACACCCACTCGAAATGTGTCCACTCCAAAGCAGCAACGACACCAATCAGCCTTACCTGAGGCTCTATCGCCAGATATTCTCGACTGTAGTGATTCTTTGCCACATTCCTCCATTCTAACTATTGCAGTACCGCTCTCGAGATCCCATCAAAGCTCATCCTCTTCTCTTTGTATGCCTACATTCTCGCTATTGGATGGCCTAGAATCAAAAGAGAACCAACAACAGGATTGGCTCCAACAGATACCTCATTCACTTGGTACTCCTTTTTCTTCTTCTTCATCTTCTTCACGTCCACTGAACGCCAAAAAATCAGTTCGAACACTCGTTAATAGAGTCATGTGGTTTAGACGAGGCAACCAATCTGGTACCGCAGTCACGACAAATGAACTTTGTCATTTTCAAGACACAGCCTCTTTTACTTCTGCTCCTGCTTCTATTCCTACTATTTCTACTGCTTACGTTGCTGCTTATGCTGCTTCTACCGCTTCTACCGCTTCTACCGCTTCTACTATTGATTTCATTCGCGGTACCTGTAACCGAGCGCATGGACATAGCCCGGCTATTAAAACTAGTATAGCGTCGCGTGTTGTGAGCGAGATCCTGTCCATGATTTTTCGACATCTCATGGATCGCAAGAGCATTTTAAATTGTAGCCTTGTGTCAACCCATTGGCACGGCCCTGCACGGATAGAGTTAGCGCGTATCATCCAAGACATGCCCTTTAACGGCCAAGGTCTTGTCCATGCTATTCGGTACAGTAAAACAAGAGAAAAAAAAAAAAAAAAAAAAAAACTATTGGTTTCTTATTAATTTATTTCAAAAAGATTGAGTGGTCCAATGGTCAGTGCAAATGGGCGCTTTTTTTTTTCTTCTTCTTCTTTTTGGTGGAATAATAGTAGTCTGTGCCCCGTCCCTGTGCACGATTGTACGATCGCGACATGCATAAATTCTCGTAATTTCCGTCAATGTGATAAAAAAAAAAAGAAAACCACAGTATCCTAAAAAGACAAAAAAAAAAATAAGATGCGCCATAGACGCGTTGATCTTGTAAACACGGTAAACTTTAGAGAGTCTATCCTGATAAATAGAATGGAACTATTAGAGAGAGAGAAAGAGAGAGTACACAAATAGGCTTTTCCTCTCAATGCCACTCGCTCGTTTTTCACCACAGCCTCATTGTCGACCACATTCGAACACTATAATACTTGTTATACAATCCTCATTTTATGTTACTCTATTTTGCTTTACTTTATTTCATATACTTCATTTACCATGGTTGTTATCTGTATTTAGGACGCGGTTTGCACAGGAGACCTTTCCGGTCTTGTCCATGTCTCTTTTTGACAAATTAATCTGTAACCTTTCGGAATTATACTATCATTCTAACCCAGAGACCAAGGATGTCTTTGCACCGGCATATGCGCCCGACATGCTCTACCATCTCTTCTGGACCTTTCTCTTTATTGATCAAGAGTTTCGTAACCCTCGGTCACGTTCAAAAATCACTTGCAGCTATTTTGTACGTCTGATCCAGGATGAAGGTGGGGGCTATCCTCAGGAACTCTTTAACAAGAAAGTTCTCAAGGTAAAAAAAAAAAAAAAAAAAAAAAAAAAAAAAGAAAAAAGTTAATTGTGTCGTGTACTTATTTATTTATTTATTTAATTTATATTATTCTTCAATGATTGTTACAAGAATATTTATAACGATATTCGATCTCGACCTCTGTTGCCGGCACCATACTTGATCAACGCATTGAATGGCGTTGAAGGAAGATCTGCCGCACCTAGTAACAGCAGCAACATAAGGCGAAGGCGAAGGCGAAGACAAGGTATTCATCCACGGCAATCATCCTCATTGATGAATCTAATTCCTTCTTTAAAACTTGAAGAGTCCTTTAAAAAAGCTCGGGGGTGGTGGAGAAGTAGAGGACGCGAGGACAGAAGTTTAGCTTATGTGCAAGCAGGCGCGACTGCAGCGGAGCCGGAAATGATAACAGCAGCATTGGTCGACAATAATGATGGCGTGCAAAGTCCAAGTGCGAGAAGCTCCTCTTCCTCGCCAACGTCACTGTCGTCGCCATCACCTCTATCCCCATCCTTGGATTTCACCAACCACGGCCACTATCAACAACGCCAGGCAAATTCCTCTATATCTTTTCCAAACTCGGTTTCTTCCACCTCTTCCCTCCAACTATCCGCCTTCTCCGCTCCACTAACTCACTCTGATTCTTCGGCATGTCCATTATCAACACCATCGTCCAATCGCAGCGATCCTGACCCAATGGCGCTATCAAGAATACAGCCTGAACATGGTATTTACAGAATGAATAGGACACTTAAGCACAACTGTGGTGATATGCCATGCTATGGTCATAGTAGGCGCCATGGCAGTGGTAATCGACGTAATAGCCATAAGCGGCGTCCAAAGCATGGGCCTTGTCCGATCATAACTCAGGGCTTTACTTCTGTAAGTCATGGATGGCATCCTGAGGGCGATGGCCTAGACAATGTCATCAAGTTCCCGAAACCTAATAGGCCTAGTACATTAGGGAGTCAGCATCATATTCTACAATATTCCAACCTCATGTTGGAAGTAAATTAGAAGTTGCCCCCCCCTCCTTTCCTCACTTCTCCTTTAGAAGTGCCTTCCTACCTATTTCATCTACTCTAGACGATACGCGAAATGAAGTGACAGTCATCTGTCTTCTTTTTTTCTTTCTTTTATTGATTTTCATTATTCTAATTGATATTTACGTCTATTTTTACAATGGAAGATGGAATCTTTGTTCCATAAAAAAGAAAAGAAAAGAAAGCTGAACATTAAACTCTCAGCACATCAGCATACAGTGGTTTCGAGCATGTCTGAGCCATCTGCTATAAAGAAGGTTTCCACATCACCCTGTCCTCGTTCAAAGTCAAATGCCATCACTAGTAATGGTGCGGGGCTCTCAAACCTCGAGTCCTTATCTTCAAAGACCTGTACTACCGACAAGTTCTTGAGTGCAATTTCAATCTCGCCCCATGTCGTCAGGCTCCGAATCCCATTCAGAAATGCACCAAAGAATTGGTTCACAAACTCAAAATTGTACACACACTTGTTGTCTATCACAGCAGCCTGCTGCAACTCCTTGGCCTCCAAGACTTTGGTTCCAAATGAATAGATCGAGGTTGTACATTCTACTAGCCTGCGTTCTGTTGAATCAAACATCGAGCTGTTTCCAAAGACCCCGTTCAGACTCAAGTTTAGGTCCAACTTGATCTTGAAGTATAAGAATGTGCACATGGTCTTTTGGTAAAGATCATATAGTGTCGGAAACTTTCCTTGGGGTAGCTGGTGCACATTAATACTACCAAAAGACTTTTGTCCCAAATCACTTGATCTCGCTAGCGAGTGCATTTGAGCAATATCCGGTGTCAGGTCTGAGATATATTCTGTATAGAGCCCAAAAACGCTAGGCCAAAACGGATATGCAATATCGTTCACTAGATCACTCATAGTCGAGCCCTCTCGCCCGAAGGCACTGCTAAGATTAGTTTTGACTGTCGTCGTCGTGGTCATTGTCTCGGATGCGTTATCGTCAGAAGAAGAACTAGAAGCAGAGACCATTGTCCCACAAGCTGGACTGCTTCTACTTTTCCAGCTATCCGCAGCCAAAGACACGACAGAGTCTAAGACAGAGCTGTTGTTCCGATAAGCTGAATGGCTCATTAGTTGCTGATTCATTGGCTGACCAAGTACTGGGCTTGACAGGACGTCGGACATGATGGATGACATGCTTTGCGAATGTCGATGCCTCCTTGGCAGCTGTCTTGTTTGAGGTGATGCCAGGTGCTGGTGAAGCTGGAATCCATAGGATGGGATCGCTGTTGTGGAATTACGTCTCTGACTTAACACATCATGAGCTGTAGGCGCAAGAGGCGTGGTTGGGGTGGTTGGGGATGGCTCTGGGCTCCCGCATGTGGAGAGGCATCCGTTTGTGATATCAATCGCTAGGTCATCTTCGCCGTCTCCGCTATCCATCAACAACTTCATAACTAAATAGAAAAGAACAAAAGGCAGTAGTGTTAGTTTTTCCCTCCCAGAAATGGAAACCGTCCGTTGCGTTACAAACTTACAGGCTACGTCGCTCTTGCGCGTGTTTTTGAGTACTTGAATATGAGAGGAAACTTGCTTACGAGTGCGTATTTTGTTGGTACGCTTGTAGATATAATCCGCAATGAGCTCGTTGCGTCCGCATGGTTTCCCATCGACCAAAACCTTACGGCGGCCGAGTTTTGGAACCACTTCTAGTGCTGTTTTTTTTTTTTTTTTTTTTTTTTTTTGGTTATTTTTTGGTTATTTTTTTTTTTTGTTTGCAAGAATATCATTCATACTGGTAATGAATTCTTGGAAAAATCAAATTCCTATTTTTTTACCTTCATAAAAGACCCTCTCTACGTCTGCTGGCCAAACCTCTTCGCGATCATTTTTGATCAGCTTGTCTCTAGTCAATCTGCGCTTTAGCATCGATGACATCCTTTGAGAACCTCCTGTGGTATTTGTGGCTCCAGACCCAAAAAGCATGGATGTCTGCCGCTGCTCTCGCTGATGTAGTTGCAGCTGTTGCAATTGTCCTTGCTGCTGACGATGATGTTGACGTTGTTGTTGTCGCAACTGTAACTCAAGACTCTCGAGTGCTTCTTGTTGTGACGACTGATGCTGCTGATGAGGTAAGAGTTGTTGTTGCTGTTGTTTTGATGGCGATTGAGGAATTTGGTGTAACCGAGACTGACAGAGATCAGACGGTGATTGTTTGCCAACTGGGGTAGAAGACAGGGTGTCGGCCCCAAGAGAGGTTGACGTGCTATCTTGCAAATGCATAGTCAAGAGCCCAACTGATGGAATATGTTCGTGCTGGGCCGAAGGCTCAACCTGCCGTTGTGGTTGAATGAAACAGTTAAGGTTTGCTCTTCGAAGATCAAGTGAACCTGATTTTTGATGATAATGCTGTTGTTGATGGTGAGGACGCTGGATTAGAGGAGAGACGAAAGGTGGAGGAGTGTGATGCTGGTGAGTCACCAGAGGGGGCTGCTGCGCCTGACGACTTACACTGTGGCGCTTGGCTATGCCTGGCATCTTTGTCAAGCGTTTTTCTGTAATGGGTTTTTCTCTATCTGCATTAATTTTTTTTGCTCTAGGAGTGTCTTTGATGGGTTCAATTTTTACTTCGATCATCTCTACATCTTGGGACGAGGAGGAACAAAATACTGGTGATAATGACAATGATGATAATGTAGAGCAAGGTATCGATGATGGTATTGAGGCTGTCGCTGTTGCAGCTGTTGTCATTGTTGTCGTTGTTGTTGTCATTGTTGTTGTTGGCGCTACTGATGGTGAGGTAGAGAATAGCAGCGGGATTGCTGTTGCTTCTCTTCTCTTCATTGTTGGAGCGGAGATGTTAGAATGAACAGTAGCATTTTCAATTGTTGTTGCTACTACCATGGATGACGGCGCTAAGATCAGATCTGCAAAGCTTTGGCTACATAAATCAAAGAGCCCAAGCTCGAGTTTTGGGCTCTTTTGCTGGGGAATTGAACCTAACAAGGAGGAAGTGCATGTCTTCATGGGATGGAGTGTAGTGGCGGGGTTGAGGACGGTGCTAAGTAGCTGCCGACTGAAAAGATCTTCATCACAACTGGTCAGGTCTAGGGGAGAGGGTGTTAGCTCTGATGAAGGAGTGCGAAAGATATCTTGGTTAGGACTGGAAAGATCCATTGAGGAGGATGAGCTGATTTCAGATGTAGTCGGGGTCAAGGAAGAGGTATCGAACGGATGGATGCTGTTCTGAGGAAATGGAGACCAGCCGCCGGCACCCTCACCTTCTGAATAGATCGTTGCAAAGACATCGTTCGGCAAGGTGTCCATCCCCGTATTTCCTATGTGGGTATAGGTATAAATATGACTTTGTTTGTTTTAAAATGCTGGTAAGCCGAATATGGCAAGGAAGGGTAAGAGAGTCTACTTGCACGGTCTGGTAGGAAAGATAATAAAGAAAGGACGAATAGAGAGAGAGAAGTAACAGGTCAAGAAAGGAGTTGAGAAGAAATAGGCAGAGTGAAAAAGGAAACTTAAGATGAAGAAAATAAAAAAAAATAAAAAAAATAAAAAAGACAGTAAGCACAGACTATATTAGGGTTGTATGGCCGGAAAGTAATGATGAAATGGAAGATGTATGTGAAATACGAAGAGCAAAGGATAACTAAAAAAGAAAAAGGAAGCAAAGAAAGATGACGACGATGGGGAGGGGAAGCAGAAGTATAAACGGATGAAGAAAAGAGAGAAAAGGATAAAAGGATAAAAGACGCGGTAAAAGCAATAAAATAAAAAATAAATAACAGTGCAAGGAAATACGATTTATTGAATGTAAACAATAATCACTGTACTGTATGCTGCCTGTTGTGCCATCTTTAGCTCACCCAGTTTTTTTTTTTTAGGTCATAGAACCACAGGCATCCGGGAACAGTGCGTCCCCTAGACTCAGAAGATGACGATGCATGGCAGAGTGATCTGTATTTTTCCTTTTTTTACCAGGGTTCTACTTTAATCCTTTGATTGAATGTAAAATAGATTAAAACCGCCACTTTTTTCCAAGATCAAACAGTGTCTGTGAGCCTTCATTCTTTTCGTCCAGCCCACACGCTTGATTCTGGCTGTCCATCGAGTCTGAAAACGCGCAGAACACGTATCTGCCTGAATGCATAGGAGTGCCCACTTGCAACAAAAGAGAAGACATTCAGTTATACACATGTACGCATTTGTGTACGCTACACAATTGAAAACAAACAATGATATCCATAAAGTCTAAAAAGAAGAGCTGTTCCTTCAGGGCCAAAGGTAGCTCGTTAGGTATAATTATTGACAGCATGGACGATTACATGAAAAAAAGGGCCATAATTGAATATGGTTCCATTACTAGGGAGCCAAACGGACAGACTGGACAGAACAGAGGGATTGATTGAGAGAGGAGGGGGTTTGGTCCAAGAGAATTACAGCCACGAAGCGAAAGGATAAAAGGGGTAAAGTCGGGAGAGAGAGAGAGGGGAGGGGACGAGGATGAAAGAGAGTCAGATAGAGTAGGAGGAACAGGACAATTGGCTGTGAGTGGTTAAGAAGAGAACAAGTGGAGCAAACTGAATGTAAGGATGCTGCTACTGCATCTATTTACTACAGCCACAACAAGCGAATGCTTTTTTATCTAATTGATCTCTCTTTTCTCTTGCTGCAGTGTTGATTAAAGGAAAAAAGAAGGGGAAGGAAAGGAGGGAGGCGGTCGTTCATGGGGTAAAAAAAATTGGGCATGCACACTTTGAGGGACATGGTTCGTATATTGCCATCCACTCATTCAAATACATGTATTAACATATCCTACTCAGACATGGTTTATCCATGAATACATTTACAGTGAGTAGATGGAAAGAGTGGTTTTTAATGAGCCACTCTTGTGATGGTAAACAGGAGGGAGGCCACGACCGGAAAAAAAAAAATCAAAAAAAGTGAAAGTGATTGTCAAGTGTGCATGTGGATATCAATGTGCTGAAAATGGAAAGAAGGAGCATAAAGGGGAAGAGGGAGAGCGATGGGTGAGGAGAGAGATGAGGAGGACTTGAGAGAGGGAATAGGAGGAAGAGAGGACCAAGATGACTACGATGACGACTAGGCAAAATTACGAGGACTCATTTTCTCTCTCTCCCTTTCTTTTGCCCTTACAGACAAGATCAAGTTCTCGGGGTATCTATTCTCACATCCTCTACTGCGATAGACTAGATAAATGTTCAATGCACTGTGGCGTCAGTTGAGGATGAGAACGAAGATTAAAGAACCGATTTCGATGCAGGGTCAAGTATGCCCTCCTTCTCTGTACTTGGCTCTCAACACTCACCATTGTGGACTGATGATTGTCCGTCCACAGCCACTCAGATTATTTTTAATGTATGGGCAGCAAAGCCCATCAGCTCTCTCCCCACGTTTCGTTCACCACATCAGAATTCAGCACAAAGGCATAAAGGCACAGAGGCCTTCACACTCCATCTGGGACCAAAGATGTCTACTGCATTTTAAAGGGGGTCATGAAAGCGTATGAAAGACAAGATCAGGGCTACAAGGAGAGTCAAGGTTATTTCTGTTCATCTATCCATTGTCTTTTTTTTTTTTTTTTTTTTTTTTTTTTTTTAAAAAAAAAAATAAAGACGAAAGCCGAAAGGAAGATGGGAGATGGTAATGTGCTTAGAGTAAAAGGGCGAAGAAAGGCTTCCACGCAAAAAGACTGAAAATAATAACAACCATAGATCGCTTTGCTGAGCATGAGTCGGATGTGTGGTTCATGAGATCTTTCTCTTTCCTCTATTTCTTTTTTTTTCTTTTTTTTTTTTTTTTTCTCAACCTCAGAATGCACTGGAATAGATATAAGTAGGAAGAGCCAATACCAGATGTTTCTCTAATACTTTATACAGAAATAACAGAAATAGAGACAGTATTGTGGTCATGTCTTCTTGCCCTTGGATTTTCAATAATCCTCGATAATAGTGTTGATGATGTTGGTATTGGAATAGCACAATTTTTGATTGAATTGACTGGATTGAAGTTTTGACATTAGTTTGGCATCAGCCACTAGATGCATAGACTGCGCAAGCATTACGCTTCCTGTAAATCTTTCTATTGTTTTTGCCAATGGATATTTTAATTAAGATAGGGGAGGGTGTCATCATCCAATGCCACAGATTCGCCTTGGATCATGTAAAGTAATGTTGTGGGCCATTTTAAAAAATAACCCTTCATTCATGTGTTTCCGGATAATCTGTTATCCAAGTGTTTTTTTTTTTTTTTTTTTTTTACTCTTCCAGGGAAATAAACAACTGTACTTATTCATAACCCTTGAAAAAAAAAAAAAAAAAAAAAAAAAATACAAATTCTACAAGCATTAATATTAAGCAACGTGAATTACAAGTAGAATAAATCAATGAATGACAAGTAAAAATGTACTGGCTCTAATCGTCGTTGCTCAGGTTGACTAAAATGCATAAAAATCAATGGAACACAAGCAAAACTGTATGGAAAGGTCTATCAAAATACAGAAAAGTAAATGTCTACCATTCAGCACGCGATATTCCATCGTTGCGCTCCATCCGAAATGGCGTAGCTAAGAATGAACTCATACTGTGGCTCTTTTATTGTATTTTATCAAAAAACATCACGCTTGAAATCTTTTGATGGTGTGAACGCTGAAAACCGCTCGTGGGGTTGATGGTCGCGATTGCTCCGACGCCCTTTAGCATCCCAACGGCTAGTCCCTTCGCTTTTGTAACTCGCTTCATGAATCTCGGATATTCTTCTCCAGCTGTTTGTCTCTGTTCTTTCTGAAGTATTATCTTTATCATTAGATTTGACCTGCAGTTTTTCATATCTCTGTGCTACTTTCCGGTCTCGGAGCTCTTCCCTCTCCCTTGCTTCTCTTTGGGCTTTGTTTTCATCATACTCGGCTAAAATGGCTGAAAGCTGTTGATGCAAGTCCTTGGCCTCTTTCAATTTTCTCTGGAGCTTCTCAACGTCCTTTGATCCTTGAAGATGAGATAAGTTTTGCTCTTGATTAGCAATGTCTGATGACGCTGTCGGTTTGGAGTCTCGTCTAGCTGACTTTACTGCAGCATTATAGATCTTGGTAGCCAGTTCTGCCAAATCCGCATTGGCACGTGGGTATTTTGGGTTGCGGACGACTTTGGTCCAATGACTTTCTTGAAGAATCTGAATGGCCTCAGGGATATGCTTGGTCTTTATAGCACATTTGAGAGTCGAAACCAGTGTCCATGCATCATATTCTTGAACAATTGGGTTGATGAGTCGATGGCGTGTTGGGTTGGTATCCCTATTGGTCATAATAATATCTTTCATTGTTGAAAATATTTCAAGAGACTTTGGCCAATTCCTGGCTTTCAAACATGCATCGAGACCTTGCTTAAATGTAGCAGGAGTATGGCTTAGCCCTAGTGATTTGATTTCATCCCACGACTGGATCGCTTTCTCATATTCCCTGTTGCTGATTTGAAAATGCATCAAAGACGCCAAGAGTTGCGAGTCTGGCCTAAAATCAGGGTAGGTTGTTCGGATGAGATCCATGTACCGCTGCGCTTTACCATAATCCTTAAGCTTAGAGCATATAGATAGAAGTAGCTCCACTGTCCTAGGTTGAATGGTACGCATTTTCAAAATAGGTCCGACTCCAAGGGTTTTACTAGGATAGAGTGCTTTATCGAGTGAAGTCATATTGGACGGCGATGGCGACGACAACTTCTCTGCATCGGGTGTAGGTTCCCCTGAGGACAAGTTTAGATCATATAGTGACCCTACGATCCGATATCCTCTTTTCATAAAAACTGAGCTTCTAGCCTCCCGACAAGCCAAAAGAAGAGCGTCAATCAGAGCTCCGTCCAGATCCACCTGATCAGGACGTTTGGTTTTGGCATCCAAAAAATCCTCCCAGATCCTCCATGCTTGTTCAAAACCTTTATCTCCGCCCATGCGTGCAAAGGAGTTGATCATGATATTGAAGGTGACAACATCCGGTGAATTTGGCCCAACTTTGGGCATTTCGTCATAAACTTGTTGTAGTGCTTCATAATCTGGTTTACGAGCGCAAACCTTGAGTAATGCATTTGTATGTACCACATTGGGATGCGTATCTTCGCTATCTTTCATTTGTTGATAAAGCATCTGAGCTCGGGAGACACTGTTAGGTGAAAAGCTGTTGATTGCTAAAGCATTTAGAAGAATAGTGAATGTCCGATCATTCGGTTTATATCCTCTCTTCTTCATCTATAAAACAGTAAATGCGTTGTAAGGGAAAAGAAAGGTATCCATGCAATTGTGAGTTGTTTGTTACCATATCAAACGATGTTTTACATTTTTTTTTTGTCTAACATACATCATTCAGGAGCTGCCATGACTGATTAGTTTTGCCCAACTTGGATGATTCCTGGATAAGGTGATTCCAGACGACTTCGTTCTGGCGGCTCTTGGGCGACTCGAGGACGAGGGTGATAGCCTCATCTAGCTTCCCATTACGAGCAAATTTGATAATCTTTTCCGAGAGCAGATAAGGGTCCCTTGGGACAGTGATTTTTTTGTCGAGCACCTTCTTTTTAATAGGACAGCTTGCTAATGAGGTTGCTGAGAATACTCGTATAGTGTTGGGCGTTGTTGCTGTTCTCTTTATAGTCGAGGCCGTAGTAGTAGTACGGATCCAGTAGTGACCTCTCTGCGCATAAGTAGATATGGATCTAAGGAGCGTCGACATGTCTGTGGATGTATGTACCAATGTTACCAACGTCTTTGTTTCTTCTTTTGAGGCCCTATCCTAGTATTACTTCCTATATATGAGATTTTCTGCTAATCCTCGTGTTGCTATTGTATTTGCTTGGATATTTATAAAAGGATCCGTTGTGGTAAGTAAAGAATGTTTTTTTTTTTTTTTTTTTTTTGTTTTGATATGGATCTTCTAAAGCAAAGGTAGTGTGACTGCTCAAGCAGGATTGTTAATTTTTTGATCTGCTGCGCTGTCCATTTTGTCTAATTACACAATCAATTAAGGATTTTGTATCAGCCTTGTCTCAAACTGTCATTGCTCTCAACTGACTTCATCCAGCAGTTTTTTCTTTTCATTGTTTAAACCATGCATGCTTGAATCCGTGTCTTTTCTTTCGTTCTCACTCTCGTCCTCTCTTTTGTCTTCTTACACGTAATCTGATCCTTCATGGGCCCAGGCCCCTTCACCGGCTTCATGGCTTTTCGTTTGCCACTGAGAAGTCTTGCCACGGCTGCCCAAAATGCCACGACCACAGCAACCTCTTCTATTAGCATATCTTTTACTGCATCCTCACCGCGCAGTCTTTTATCTTTTGCTCACCCTTTAAAATGTCAGTCTCAATCTTACTTTTCCTCTTCGCTCCGCAATACAACTTGCCCTATCAACAATGTCAACTTGACACTGATCCGTTTTGAACGTCCTCAACAAGTATACATACGCGTCTTTACTTTTTATTAATACTTCTTTCAAAGTGCTTTTGAATGTTAGCCTCATAAATGTTCATTCCATTTGCTTCTTGGTATTTGTTTTTATATGTCTTTACACGACTAGACATCATTGTATTCCTCTCTTACCCATCATATTCAGAAACGACCTTTTATGCGTCAAACTAGTCCGCGTCTCGATGCTAAAAAAGAAGGCATTAATACAGGATTTGGGTCGAAATCCTCTGCAGACACAGGCGCAGGCGCAGCTGCTGCTATTAAATCATCAAAGCCTTTGTCACAGCCTGTTAATGCATCTGGCTCGAAGACTTTAGAAGGAACAGCCAGCAATGCAGAACAAAACCGATTGGACTGGAAGATCTTTAAAGATCTGTCAACCTACATTTGGCCTAAAGATGATCGTGGTGTTAAGATCCGTGTCGTGGCCGCATTGGGACTGTTGGTTACCGGAAAGATCTTGAACGTCCAGGTGCCTTTCTTTTTTAAAGAAATTATTGACAAGCTGAACGTTGAATTTCCAGCCGAGGCCACTGTCCTTGGTGTCGTAGGTGCCGTTATCTTGGGTTGTAAGTCCAAAAATAAAATAATTTTTTTTTGTCATATTTATGATTGATCACAAACTTACTTGAAGAGGACAATTAACATTTATTGAAACTATTTCATTTCAAATAATTTAGATGGATTGGCTCGGGCGGGATCATCCATCTTTGGTGAACTTCGCAACGCTGTTTTTGCTGCGGTGGCTCAAAAGGCTATCCGACGTGTTTCTGCAAACGTCTTTGAACATCTGCATCGCCTTGATATGTCGTTCCATTTGACAAAGCAAACTGGAGGTCTTAGTCGCGCTATCGATCGAGGAACAAAGTAAGTCGCTGTCATTTCATAAAAGAACGTATACACCCACAAACTTGCGCTTGTGTTGTAATGCTGCGCTTTACTCTTTCCAAGGCCCGCTCATTGGCTATCTACATAATAAACTCACGTTTGTCACTGTGGTTGTATCTCCTTCGCTCCACGTCAATTCAACATAAATAGAGGCATTAGCTTCTTGCTCTCGTCCATGGTTTTTCATCTCTTACCTACTGCGCTGGAAATCACGATGGTCTGCAGTATCCTAACCTATCAGTTTGGCCCATCCTTTGCTGCTGTTACCGCTGCGACCATGGCGGCATATGCTTGGTTCACTGTTCAGACCACTGCATGGAGGACAAAGTTCAGAAAGCAAGCCAATGCAGCCGATAACCAGGCTGCAACGGTCGCTGTGGAGTCTTTGCTTAATTTCGAGTCTGTTAAGGTAAGCCAACAGTTATTCAATATCTTTTTTTTTTTTTTTTTTTTTTTTTTAACGCTCGCAACATTATTTACATTATAATCTGAAATGAATGTTAGTATTTCAACAATGAAGGATTCGAGTTGAAGCAATATGACGAGGCATTAGCGAATTATGAAAAGGCATCGCTTAAGATTGCTTCCAGTTTGGCGTTTCTGAATGCAGGGCAGAATGTGATTTTCTCAACCAGTCTGACTGCCATGATGTATCTCGCTGCCCAGGGGGTTCTCGCTGGAACAATGACCGTTGGAGATGTGGTCATGATCAATCAACTCGTATTCCAGTTATCGTTGCCCCTCAACTTTCTAGGATCTGTTTATCGTGAACTGCGTCAAGCTTTAATCGACATGGAGACAATGTTCAACCTCCAGAGTGTCCATGTTAAGGTCCAAGATAAACCCGGCGCAAAGGCGTTACAGTTGGCCGCCAAGGGAGGAGAGCTGCGATTCGAGGACGTTGTCTTTGGTTACCATCCTGATCGGCCGATCCTGAAAGGCGTCAGTTTTGTAGTCCCTGCTGGCAAAAAGGTTGCTATTGTTGGCCCATCTGGCTGTGGAAAATCAACACTCCTTCGACTTCTCTTCCGCTTCTATGATCCTCAGAGCGGCAATGTGTATATTGATAACCAAAATATTCGTGATGTGACACTGGATAGTTTGCGATCCCAAATTGGTGTGGTCCCACAGGAGACAGCGCTTTTCAACACGACGATTAAGCGCAACATTCACTATGGTCGAGTGACAGCAACGGACGAAGAAGTTATTCAGGCTGCGAAGCGTGCTCATATCCATGAAGCCATCATGAAGTTACCTGAACAATATGAAACCAAAGTTGGAGAGCGCGGCTTGATGCTATCGGGTGGAGAGAAGCAGCGTGTGGCGCTCTCAAGAGCTATTCTGAAAAATTCGCCCATCATGTTCTTTGACGAAGCGACATCGGCCTTGGACACTCATACAGAACAAGGATTGCTTGCTAATATCCGATCTGTCCTTCAGGAGAAGGGCGGCACTAGCATGTTTGTTGCTCATCGACTGAGGACTATTGCTGACGCAGGTAAGCGCCTTTTTTTCTTTTTTCAGTTTTTAATTTTTAATTTTTTTTTTAAAAAAAAACATCCTTTACTGTTGTATTGAAAGTAAAATAACCTTTTTTTTTTTGACTAGATGAGATTATTGTCTTGAAGGATGGTCAAATTGCGGAACGTGGTCGTCATGAAGAGTTGCTCAAGAAGGATGGTATTTACCGACACATGTGGGATACACAGGAAGGGGAGGCAATTTTCTAAATGCTGTATGGGCTTACCAATATCATCTTTCTTTATTACTATTACACGGGATACAATATCATTATTATTATTTTTTTTTTCTTTTTTCTTTTTTCAAAATAAATATACATTATGTAGACTATGATACATATTGAGCAGCTACAGCAATAGGATGTGAAGAGCGGAGGGATATATTCAATTGTCGTATGAAAGAAGAGTCATGGGATGATCCTTATAATGCGAGATCATGCTGTGATCAAGCGTATAAACGCTGACAGTGCCAGAATCCCCGCCAATAATTAAGTGTTCGAACAAAGGTGATGCGGCTAGGCGTGCGATAGGGCCTAGATTGGCTTCAAACGACCAAGTCTCTGCATCCTCAGTAGCTCTGCGAATATCCCATAGTTTGACCGCCCCGTCACCTCCACCCGTCATCAACATGGACTGACTGGTTCCTGAACCCTGTGACCACCAGAGCGCTGATGTGATACCTGCATTCAAGTCATCCTCCCCAGTATCCGCATGATGAAGCCGGTGCAATGGCGGACGGTTCATGAAACGGCGATCAAAGACAGCGATTTCATTGCGATGTGAACAACTGATGATATAACGTTCACAAGGGCTGAAATCCACAACATTGACGTCCTCGTGGCCAGACACTGCAGATTCAATCTCTCGGGCGTGCATTACATCAAATACTCTAACGAGACCGTCGCCTTTCTCGTCATCGCCTGCGTTTGTTCGGCCGGAAGTGCCGCATACTAAGAATTGCCCTTTTTTTGTAGAAATGGTAACGATGATAATAGCAATTAGGGGAAATTGTGGTTTATCTTATTTTCTTTTTTCTTTCCTTCTTTTTTATCACGTCGCTTTATACATACCAGAACTCGAGAAAGACAAGGCCGAGACGCTTCGTGTGGTATGACAAACACCGGCTTGTCGAAAGCCAAGTTCAGCTACGGCTTTCCTTGTCAAAACATTGGCATCATAAAAGGCAATCTATAAATGGGGGAGGGGAAGTAATTAAATCTGAAAATAAGCCTTTATCCTAGCATTAGAAATGACAATTTTTTTTTTTTTTTTTTTTTTTTTTTTTTTAAGCTCACATGGCCATGCATGGCATCCCCATGAATGCCTTGGTCCAATCCTTCTACACCGGCCGCGAGACAATCCCAAAAGTGACCATAGCCAAAGTTGATACTTGAGATACTTCGACGTCCACCGGAAGATTCAAGCTCTTTGTTTCCAACTTTTACTTTGCCTTCCTCACTCAACGAATAGATGTGGATGAGACTTGATGAATAAAGCAGAGAAAAATACATATTAATAATAATGAAGCCTTTTGATCCGCACATACTAACAGGATTGGAAAAAGCTTACCCTCCTGAAGAACATGATGCGAAAATGTCTTCTCCATATAGGGAGTCCTCCATGATGGCAACACGGTTCACACGAGACCGCGCATCCTCTATTATCATATGATTGAAATATCATTATATCATTAATACCCGTGCAATCTCTTTTTTACCTTTTTTACCTTTTTTTTTTTTTTTTTTTTTTTTTTTTTTGGCAAATATATATATTTCAACATACGAATGACATTGAGCTGGTTTCCTGTTTCTGCATCCCAAACCTGATAGTAAGCATCAAATGGAAGTGATTAGGAAGCATATTAGGGAATAGTTTATGAAAATGTTGCGCGAACAGTTGGACTTTGAAATTTTGGCTTTTCTCACACTTTACCATGACACGGTGGTCATCAGCACCAGAGAGGAAGAAGTTTTTTGAGTACGAGAGCTTGATATCATTGACAGTAACAGTTAATGCTAGAGACAGCAAAAATGCCAAGGAAACAGCGTACAGCAGTGATTAGCGAAAAAATAAAGAAAATAAAAATAAAAATAAAAATAAAAAACTTGTGCAAATATCAATTTACTTTGATTTTCGACTTGTCCAGGTCGCTCATGACCCCAAAGTGTTTTTGTAACGCTTTTGTTAAGGTCACATAGCAACAAGTTCCCATTACGGTTGTAGATATCCTGCGTCGCCACATTGGCTACTGCCAATTTAAGACTAGTCAAGTTAAAATGAAGTGGGGCAAAAAGAGAAACGGTTAATTTTACAGAAAATGAATCATGGTACTCAGGCAGAGCTTCTATTTCATAATAAGATCCATCGAAATAATAATCATCATCATCAAGGAGCCTTTACGTTGATGATTTAAAAGCCATGTCCACAACACTACCACTGGAGAAGTTAAATGATGTAGCATGTCCATAATTCCGTAATTGCCTTAAAAGCAACATATCCTAGGGAGTAGGGAAAAAAAAAAAAAGGTTTCCAAGGAATACCAAGAAGCAACAATTGTAATCGGGTTTAGCGCTGTGTCTCCTGGAAAGTAAATGGCCAAGAAATTCATTCCTTTGCTTTTTTTTTTTTTTTTTTTTTTTTTTTTTACCTTAACAACGTGGCGTTGACTTTGACCCCGCTCTCTCATGTTCAGTAACCTTGTAAACGAAGCCTTGCTATGAAGTGTAAGCAGGTCTGGTGTACAACGTTCTGCTATTTTTGGGAATTGCTTAATAGCTTCCTCGAAGGCTTGAAGACAAACAAATCCAGGGCGTTGATAACCTGTGAATCGAAACACCTCACTGTTTTCAAGTAAAAAAAAAAAAATCAGAGAAAGGGAAATTGAAAGAGAAAAAAAAAAGGGGTGAAGGAAAAGACTTACTTGGCCACTGCATTCCAGTCAACTTTTTTCATTGTACTTGTATAATCTGCTACCTGAGCAAAAATGATACTCATTTCTTCTTCTGTAATATCTGATGGCGCAACGACATTGCGCTTGGCAACGTGGCCAGAGACCAGAGCTTGATCCCACTTTTGTCGTAACATGTCCTCCTGATAAGTCTAGAGCAGTTTATACAAACAAACAAATATATATATAGACAGATGAACTTGCCAGCATTTCAATGTAAAGAACAAGTGTGAAAAGATATTGTAAGTTTTTTTTTTTTTTTTTTTTTTTTACCAATAAGCGATTTCTTGAACTGTGATATGATTTGTTCATTAGATCCACAAAATCAATGCCTGGTACGTGCTTCTTCTTCAAAATAGACGGCAACTATTATAAACAAATATAAAACGTGCATTTTATCTCACTAGAGTCAGACTTGGCTTTTTGAGGCAACCAAAGAAAAAAAAAAGATAATAAAGTAAGATGTAAAAAAAAAATAAAAAAAAATAAAAAAAATATACCTCTAGTTCGCCACCTAGATGCTGATCAGCGTTGTAGTCGTAGTCTTCTTCAAAGTCGTCAGAGTCATCCTCAGCATCAATGATGGTGCTAATGATACGGGCATTTTCATTATCGAGTTTAGTGATAGAATTCGATTCCTGAAGCACATGGCTCAATCCAACAGTATCGTGTGTATGATCACGAACAGATTTTGACTCAGGGCCCGGTTCAAAGATGGCTTTTTGGTGCAGTGTTAAAGGATTTAGTTCTGTCTTGATCTTAGGCGATAGCTGTAAGATAGATTGTTGTTGCTGTAGAGAACCCCCAGCATCCAGATCACCGTCGAATGAGGTGGATGGATCTAGCCTTATGATTTTTGTCGGCCTTGTGGATGAGGATGTTAACTTGACACGTTTCCTATGAGCTTTATTGTTTCTCTCATGGTTGCCATTATTGTCGCCGCTGTTGACATCATGATTTTGGTCCCTGCTACTGATATTGCTATCACTGACACTCTCTTCGTCACCTGATGAAATACAGATCACGTCTGCTGGAGCTGGAGTTTTGTGCGCGTAAAGATTTGCTAAAGCCTTATTAAGCCTATTACGATGTTTAATTTCGAGGGTTGCGTCCGTCTCCGAGTCCGAGTCTGAGATTAACCAGACTTGCGATCTTTCCACTGAACTGGCGAGCCATCCTTCGCGCTGAGGTCCTCTTTTCTTTTTATCTGCAGACATTCAGTGATGTAGACTGTAGGAATAACACTCCTTGGTTGTATCACTGTTCAAGGACAGAGTCTTATCCCTGCAGATCCTTTTTTTTTTTTTTTAAAAAAAAAAATAAAAAAATAAAAAAAAATAGAGAAATAAGGACACACGATGGTGAACCAATGATCCTGCAGGATTAGGTGGTGATTTCCTGAATGAGATCCAGATCTGATACCCTGTTGCTCTGCGTTAGCCTCGTGAGTTCAAAGAGTGTGACTGCTCAATGATTGATTATTTCTATTGCCACCATTTTATTGCCCTCCTCATTCTGCTCCAACACATGTATCGTTATTCGACGTTATTGATTAACGTCCATAGTATTCGGTAGTTCGAAAACTGAACTATCTTTCGCAAGTACGGCACTATTGGTTGGTATGCCGAATGAAGAGTGACATACAAAAGTAGCATTTCTCCATATGATTTTTAATGACTCTTACTTTGTACATCTGCCTCTAAGAGAAAGCCTTCTCTACTAAGCAAATGTTTTGTATGGTAGCATGGTCAATTTTATAGGAGTTGTATCTCTTAACTTGATATTAGCTTCAGATGGAAAGTTGATGATCCCAAATTAAAGTATATGGCCCAGCACATTATCTCCTATAAAAGCTGATACAAGAACATAAAGTTGGACCGCTGCCAACGACATCTGATACCGAAACCAAGAATGCCATATGATTTTTAACGCTTACTTTACATATTTGCCTTAGAGAGAAAGCTCGCTCTACGATACATGTATTGAGGCATCTGTGGAGCATGAGCTTTTATATAGGCAGGTCAGAGCTAATAGAAAGCAAAGGTTTGATTTGTCCGATTTGCACGTCCAGAACTGAGTAAATGAGTAGGTATACTTTTCTTACCGATATTACAATAACGGTGATCCAAGATCAAAGGATACCATGCAGCCAACATCCATGGCGACGAGGCAAGTCCTCGTTAGATGTTAAAGTAAAAGTAAAAGTAAAAAAATAAAATAAAATAAAACATTCACTCAGTTTTGCGTGTTAGTGTAGACAGATATATATTCAATTTTTATTTTTTACAATCAATATAGAGAAAATTTCTAATCCTTGTTGATGTTGCGAGGGTAGGTGGGTCCAACCTGCTGGATAACTTGGTGGGCGAGATAGTGACCTTTGGCAACAGCATCGGCGATGGAGGCGCCTTCGACAATCTTTGCAAGGAAACCACCGCAGAAGGCATCACCAGCACCATTGCAGTCGACGATATCAGACTCGGAGATGGCAATGATGGGGTATTCCTGGATATTGCCCTCTGAATCGACCACAATAGTGTTATTAATACCCTGAGTGAAGACAACGATGCGCTTGCGGCTATCGTTCTCCTTTGGAAGCTGAGAGATGTAGGTGGCGGTGGCCTTGACATCCTTGGGGTTAGGCAAGTTGTGAGCCGTGGCATAGGCTTCGGCTTCACCCTCGTTACCAAAGACAATGTCCATATAAGGAAGAACTTCGTCCAAAACCTTGGTAAAGAATTGAGGGATAAAAGGAGCAGAGAGGTTCATGGTGAAGATCTTATTCTCTTTGGAAGCATGCTTGGCAACCTCGAGAATACCCTCAGGGGTGACGGTGAGGAAGTAGCCTTCTACATAATAGACGCGGGCATTCTCAACGAGACGCCAGATACGCTCACTGCGGATATGGTCAACTGTGAACTTTTCCGCAGCGGACAACTTTGTGACAAGCGAGCGGTCATGACCTGAGATCAAGGCAGCGCAGGTGCCTGTGGGAAGATCGCCAGGAATGGTGACGTATTCGGTGGTGAGACCATCAACAGTGGCAGCAGCAACGAGCTGGTCGCGGAACTTGTCCTGAGCAGTAGCGCCGACATAGACGACTGACTTTGGAGGAAGCAGGCGTTGTGCGCCGCGAGCAGTGTTCTGGCTGGCGCCGCCTGCAACATAGACAACGTCCTTGTACAGGATGATCTCTTCATATCTATTAATTAATTTTTTTTTTTTTTTTTTTTTTTTTTTTTTCATTAGCAAAGCTATTTTGAATTTCCTATGTTCCTGTCCGGTTTCCTGAACATGAACAGAGTTGGTCCCCTTCTTTCTTTTTTTTTTTTTTTTTTTTTGTTTGCTGCATTATCTTCCTGTACTGCATCATTGATGTTATTGATATTCCATGTTTGGTTGTCCAATATGTTTATGAAGACACATTTGTATTTTTTCAATTGATCAATAAATAAAAGACACATACAGAGACTGATGCGATTCATCAGCGAGAATGGCATCGTTAGACTTGAGATGGTATCTAATGCAATTTTAAAAAAATAGAAAAAAAACGATCACGATGTCAATGAATGAAACAATAAACAAACAATAAAAAAAAATTGATCTGCTAACAGCTATTTACCTTGCAAGCAGATCTTCATCAGCCTTGACTTGGATATCAAGCAAGGGGTTTCCCATACAGAAGAGAGAGTAAGAAGCCATGATTGATTTTTCAAGAGACAGTGTCTGTGTGTGAAAGTATGGAAGACAGCGAAGAGGAAGAAAAAGAAAAATGGGGCTATTTTGATTTATTTTTTTTCCACGCGTTTTTGTATTAAAGGATCCTCATATGAAAAAAAAAAAAAAAAAAAAAAAAAAAAAAAACCTGGGGTATACACATTCCGACATATACCCCTCACAAGCTTAAAGTTTGCACTAAAGGGAAGTAAGAGGTCCAAAGTTGTAAAGTAGTATAGTGGATTACAGGCAGAATACCTGAGAAGATACGATGGCCATTAGGTTGCAAGTGTGTTGCCTAGATCATATTTTGGTTGGCTATCATTTTACCTTGGACTAGCTGACCATCGATCTCTTCGGTATGGAAAACTCGACGCGTCCTGGTCACCTTAGTCGGACAGTATACTACCGCATATATGGCTTGACCAATACATGTAAGCACATGCTGTTAAATCTTTAATGGCTCAATTAAGGACACTTTGTATTTTCGGCGTATGTAATCTACGCTCTTTACTGTTTTTCTTCTCTCAAAGATAACAGTAATGTCTTCAGAGACTGCCAGACCACTATTCAGTTACTTTCTTTTTTCATGGGTTTGCCCAACTATTTTGCGCAGGAATAGTATTAATAAAGTCCAGTAGACAAAGATGAACGAATGTCGCGTTTGCAATTTTGGAGTTTGCATTTTCAGAGGATTGAAATATGCCAGGATCATAATAAGTTACTAGAACGAAAGAAAGATGTCTTTATTATGATCCAGGATCTTCATTGAATAAAAAGGGATAGAAAATCTTAAATGACTGCTAATCGCAACACGGATAATCAATTTCTTGCATTGATGGGAATTTTTTTTGGTAGTGCCGTACTGTGGGACGATTACATTTTTTAATGGTGCAAAGACTGGGTTAGTACTAAGGAAAATTAACCTGTTCCATACTCAGTTCGGGGGCCATACCTCTCTGTCCCCTGCTCTGACCCAGGAGAAAACGAATCTTCCGGGTTTGGAACCCAGATCCTCTGCTACAGAGGGGAAAGCTTTAGCCGCTAGGCTCTTGCATTGATGGGAATGGATACATGTATGTTTGTGTTGTCCACGTGATATAAACGTAAAGAATACACTTAGGGCCCGGAGGGCCAAGCTTGTCGCTCTTTTTGGTTGGACCTTTTCAAATATAAATGGTTTACTTAACAAATTCTTGTAATTGAAAAGACTAAACAAAAAAAGCGGCAAGCTTCTTCTGGTAGGCACGTGCTGACCTCACAACCAGACTTGAAGTCTGGCAAGTGCTTTGTAATTTTAAATGAGTATCAAGCATTCAAGAAAAAACATCATTATGCAATGGATACTTCTTCAAAGCTCCCACACCTTCAGGAGGTATTCAGTTTTTGATGGGGAATCTGAATCGTGCTTTATATCGGGAAATTATATAGGGACTTGTCATTCTTTGTTTGAAAGTTGCGAGGTCTTAGAAAAATGGTGTTTGAGATGTACTTCTGATTTTAGACTCATGAGCCATCTCTTGAAGAGCCCTGAAGCCATGCTGGATTGCGCCTACCTGTTCTTTATAGTGTTCCTTGCATTTGCGGGCCCCTAGCTCTATGTTAGGGCGTGCAGTATTTGGTTTAGTTCAGTGTAAAAGGCAGAAAATGACGAAAAGATTTGCAACGTAACTTTTCACCCTCATTCCTCCTCCATTCTTGGCTATATTAGCCTTAAACTGTCTCTATTTGTAGCTAGGAGCCTGTTCTTCCAGCAACCATAATTACCGAGGTATATTTATCGAAAGACTAACACGTTAAGGACGACTGTTCTGTCCCTCGATGGCTGATTGATTGGCTACTGGATCAGGACAGACAAAAAAAACACTCGCTGAAGCTTAATTTCTGATCATTCTAGCGATATACCTTTTTTTTATTCAACGAAGATTATGTTATTTCATCTTGTAAACTATTAGAGCCTATTCATATTTTATATTTGTCTAGAAATTACTTATTCGCCGTTGTCTCTGATGTTTATTACAAAGTTTGAGTCCTGGTAGCACTTACTTTCTTTGTCTTCACTATCATTATCATCGCTAAATCTGGTTCTATCTAAACCACTACCAAGCTCAGCTAGATGACGGCCTCTTGAGATAGTTCGTAAGTCTCTGATACTAAGTGCACTATCGCTGCCACCGATAAAAAATGAAAAATAAAAAATAAAAAATAAATAAAGCTCACCAGAATCTCTGCAATGTCCGAGATCATTCCTACAGGTTTCCCATCAAGAGCGCCAGATGAAGATAGTAGGTTTCTGCAGGAATACTCATTATGAATAGGAGCCGCTGCTTGTAGCAAAGTGAGGTTGATGTGTGGATGTGTGCTATGAGTAAATAATCGCGCTTTAATCAACGCGCGCGATCGGAAATAATGCGTTTAAAATTTCTATCGCATTTATTGCATTTCACTTGGGGTAACATTAGGGAATTCAGTGTATAGTCCGAGTCATTTGGTCGCGATCCCTTATATCTTTTGAATACTCTTAAGTGCATTGGCAGCCAATTGACTCGCTTATTATTGCAAGTCCATCACGTAGTGAGATACCACCAAACTTGAGTTGAACCGAGTTATATCTTTGTCTTGTGACTGTAGGGATACTTTGTCTCGACATCCATGAACCATGCGATCTCCTCCAATATCACAAAAGAGAGCCTGTATCAAGACCCCTTTTGTTCCCTGTATACATTCAAACATTGCGACCTTGGAAGGATTGTCGAGAGGCGGAATACGCTCCAGCAGCTGCTTGGCATCTTCATTCGCCCAGAGGATGTCAATTAGGGCGTGTTCAGACAGATACACAAAACGGGGTGACCTGGTGGCAGAACCACAAAAAGATAATTTTCAGATGAAGGTGGAGGGGAAATTGAGGGTTCAAGACCAGCGAAAGAACCGATGTTGAACCCGAGGGAAGGTGGTGGTGGTGGTGGCGGTGAAGGTAGTGGTGGAAGCGGCACTGGTGGAATCAGAAAAAGGAAATTTTCAGATGAAGGAGGCGGAGGAGAAGTAGAGGGATCAAGACCACCGAGAAGGATCTTTGCTGGGTCCAGGAGGAGAAGAAGAGACAAGCCGGCAGCAACAATAGGATTTAATCTACAAATATGACTAGGTCCAGGAAGGTGTTCGTCTTCAAAAAGTTGTAAGTTTGGCAACCCTTTTTTTTCTTCTTGGTTAATTTATTTATTCCTTTGGGTAATACATTTCTTGTTCTTTTTACAATTAGATGGAATGTCCCGTATTTTAATGGAACAAACTATACACAGCAACCATTTTCAGTGCACAATGCGCTGCTCATCTCCACGCGATAAAGAACATGCCATCATTCTGTGAGCTTAATGAAAAATAAAAAGAAAACTATAAAATACTTTGTAATTTATACATGCACATGTAGCTCATTTATGGAGTATAAAGGTTCATGTAAAGACCGCTACACGTTTGATTCGTCGATACTGAGACAGAAGAGGCGCTGATGTTCGATCCAGGAAATGAACAGACCGTGCTTTTTAATCCTGACAGGTTTATCATCAAATCGCAAAACAATTAATACCATAGGGCTAATTTTTTTTTTTTTTTTTTTTTTTTTTTTTTGCTCTCAGTAACCACTTTCAGAGCCGATTGCCCATTGCACCAAATTAAGGATGTAAGAATATTGCCGTTCCGTCTCTCTCTTTTCTTTTTTTTTTTTTTTTTTTGTTTCTTTTGTGCAAAGTATGAAAGTGTATATGAAGGCGTGTATGTAACAGTAAGAGTAATAAACCAAAACCAAAAAGTGGAATCTTGTTCTTCTCCTCTTTTGTCGTTTGTTGTCTTTTGCCTTTGAACCTCTGGAGTCTGTTTTGTAAAGGCTCTGAAGATCGAATAGATGCTGTTAAACCGTTAGTTTTTATTTTGTGCTGTTTATTGTGGGTGTGCAACTCTCTTTTTCTTTTCCTTCTGTCCTTTTTTTTTTTTTTTTTTTTTTTTTCTTTCCTTTCTTTTCTCATCATTTCCAAGTTGCATTTACTTTACGATAATCCTCCTTCTCTTCCGCTTGTTCTCTCTCTTTCTATTTGGATATTCATTTATCTTCCTTCATCTCATCCCCACTACTGATGTCCCATTGCCTCTATTGCAATTACACCCATTGCTCTGTTTAGTTTATTTAGTCTTCCTTTTTTTTTTTTTTTTTTTTTTTTTTACACAGATATATATTATATTTTAGTTTTTCTTTTTACACTTCAACTGCAACTACAACCATTCATCAGGAGTCACCACATACTTGACATTCATTCATTGAGCAAATATGGTCTCAGAGAGTCTTGACATCCAAGTCCTTGTCCGGGCTCTTTACGACTATGACTCGGAAGACACAACAAACTTGACTTTCAAAAAGGACGATGTGATTCAGGTCTTGGCTCAATTGGAGTCGGGCTGGTGGGCTGGTTACTGTCAGGGACGTCAGGGCTGGTTCCCTTCTAACTATGTTGAAATCTTGAATGAAGACGACCTCGATAGTCAGGACGAAGACGAAGAAGATTATGTTGAAGAGGACGACCTTGATGTAAGTTCATATCTTAATGCTAGAACTTTGTCCATGGAGCCTAGATTGATTTAAACCCTGCCTTCGTTCTCTTCTTACTCTTCACTTATCTACTATCATCTTCATCAAAGCAATAATGGACATTGATGATACCGATCGTACAACTTGTTTTTATTAACCCAGCAATATTATCTTATATTCATATGAATAGAGTGCCGATGACTTATGGCTACCGCAGACAACGCCTGATGGTCAAGTCTTTTATTACAATCAACGGACGCAAGAGTCAAGCTGGACTATTCCAGAACCAGAGGATCAAACTAACACGGAGGCTACAGCTACCAGCGAGAAAGATAGCTCAGGCAAGTACATTAGATTGTCTAAATTATATAAGACGTCAATTGAATAGCAACTTCATTGTTATCTCGGTCGTGAAGGCATATCGACTTCTAATATCTAATATTCACAGAGTGTACATGTTACATGGATTTGACGTTGAACTTTTCAGTGGAATTGACTGAATATGAACATGGTTGCAACCTCGAGAAGCACAGCAAGTTACAGGGGCGATCAACTCTCTCCCTCCCCCTTATTTTTTCCCTTTTACCTGTCTGCACTTATCAACCTTTCTTTCTTTTTTTTTTTTTTTTTTTTTTGGTTCCTTATTGGTCTCCGAATATTTATGTACTGAACTGAACGGACTGATCGCTGTAATTTTTGGCTAATTTTGTTCCCTTTTGTTCGTACATTTTTTAATGTAAAATAGCCAAAGCTGGATGGTCCGCGCGCGCATCAGCATCAAACGGGAATGGCTGGTATAATTCTGAGGCAGAAGAAGAGGAACAGGAGGCGACGCAGGATGCACAGGAAGGCCAAGAAGGCCAGGAAGGCCAGGAAGAGGACGGTCTGTCAGTGTCTTCTAGTAATCACCATAATGCACATTCTAATAAGGTAATATTCATCACATTCTATTCCCACAATTTGAGAGTGGTGCGGATGGGTAAATTTAAAATAACAACCTTGTTCTGGTGTTACGCACTTGACCAACAATAACGTGCACCGACGCCCGATTGGCATCGTATACTCTATCCCATCAATCAGACGCGTCATGTCTTTCTTATTAGTTTGTACCCCACATTTACTTTACAGGAAATGAATGATTGGAGATCTCAATCCATGCTGTAATCTTATTAATATTATGCATTTATATTTAAATTTACAGGATGAAGCTGATCCAGCACAAACGTTAGCAGCTGTCAGGAAACCGTCAGGATTAGCCCCAGCACCCCAGGAATCAGTTGAAGGTTTACCCCCATTGCCATTACTGCCCAATCCCTTTGATCCCGAACCTACTTGGAATTCCCTTTCAGAACACACTGCGGCTGCTGTCCAAAACCTGATTTCGTCTGCTGAAAACGGTTATAAACCTTATTATCTTATACAATCATCGATTGTCGTTGAGGCTATCCGTGTCATGCTCTATGCTTCAGGCACGGTTGACAAAGATGCAGCAGTGATGCGTCAGCACAGGAGCCTCAAAATGCATCATCGTCAGATCATGGCGGCTCTTTCGAAACTAGTTCTGTCTGCAAAGATGGCATCTGGCGTTTGGCCTGCGTCTGATGCTGTCGCCAAATTGTTAACAGACGCACGTGAAGTAGGTACTGCAGCTCAGAATTATGTTGCAACAGCTGTAGCAGCCAATATCACTGTTCATCAGGTGGATGCTCGTCTCATTACAAACGTCAGGAGCCCTCATAAGGATCAGACAGATGGCCGCTCGCTTGAAAGAGGACTCTCGAACGGATCTCAAAAGATCGAACATGGGCTTGGTGATCGCAAAGTTTTTGGATCACAGATGAGTACTCAGAGTATTCTTAGTCAACTGGATTATTATTCCAAAAGCGCCTCAAAGGCTGTTTCAGTCCTGGCGATGCAGATCGAGAAGCTCATTGATAATCCAATGCCAGCCATGCGAAACAATGGTATGAATGGTATCTCATCATCTAATCCTGTCATGAACTCATCCCAGTCAGCCCAACTGGTATCACAGGCAAGACAAACTGTCTCCCAATTGGGTTCACTCCTCACCTTGGTTACAGACTTTAGTGCTACCACCCTGGCAGAGCAACCTGGCATTCCAGAGCGATATTTTTTGGATGTCAAAAATGCGAAACAGGCCTTGCATGGAAGCACCGCTTCGTTAGTTATGGCTATCCAGTCAGCGACTGACCTCTTGGCCGTCGGACAAACCTTGGATCTGGCCTTAAGCACGGCTGTCTCCACTGAACAGGCCGCACAAAGTCTTGCACAAGCTGCACGTGTGTTGAGCCAAGAAAAGGAGATGGCCGAAGCAAGTGCTCCATACATGCGCACTTCTAACGACCCTTATAGCGCTGTACGGATGCCATCTGCGGCTCCACCAGCCGATGGCTCCTATAACTATGATCATGATTCTGACATCGAACCTGATAGAGGCGCTGCGCGTGGGCAGGCAGATCCGTCTGCTCAACGTAACCGAGTTGCTTCGCAACCTTCCGTTATCTCTAATACATCTGGACAGCAAACTTTGGTTGGAACGGATTATTCATCGAAAACTGCATCGAACGGTTATCCCTTCTCCACAACAGATCCAGAAGGCGGTGATTCAACCTACGCTAACAGCAGTGTCCCTGGCCGGTATGAGAGTCGTGATAAAGTGAAAAAAGTCCTAGGAGACGGCGCACCAACACGACCTTCTGCTCAGGCTTGGTACTTGAATTATGATTACAAGAGGGACGATCTCATTTTGAACGCAGAGGGACAGGTCAAAGGAGGAACCCTGCCTGCGCTGATTGAACGCTTGACGCTACATGATGGGCTTGATCCCAATTTTATTGCTACATTCTTGTTATCATATCGCTCTTTCACCACTACCAAGGACCTATTTTCGCACCTCTTCCAGCGCTTTACAATTCATCCTCCACCCGAATTGGATTCTGAAGAGCTTGAGATTTGGACTGAAAAGAAGCTAACACCTATCCGTCTACGAGTTTTTAACATCATCAAATCATGGCTCGAAAATTATTATTTGGAGGATGAAGTTGATGACAAAGAGGCTTTAGGGATGATTAAAGAGTTTTCAGGGTCGACAGCAATGAAGGATACAATGAGCTTTGCGGCTGTTCAGCTCATTAAGTTGGTTGAAAAGCGAGAGCAGTCCGAAGGAACTTTCCGCAAGATGGTACTCAATTTGACGACACAAGCGCCACAGCCTATCACGCCGCGCAACCTCAAAAAGATCAAGTTCTTGGAATTGGACCCACTAGAGTTTGCTCGTCAATTGACTATTATGGAAGCAGCGGTTTATAACAAGATTCGTCCGGTTGAATGTTTGGCCAAAGCATGGACTAGCGAGGATCCTGAAGTGGCGGCCAAAGCTGTAAACATCAAAAAGATAATTGAAACCAGCAACTTGTTTTCCAATTGGGTCAACGAATTGGTCCTTAGTGAAAAGGAAATTAAGAAGCGTGTCTTGGTGATCCGTCATTTGGTTTTGATTGCTGAAGTAAGTAATAAGAAAAACTACTATATTACTAAAGCCCATCTTTGTATGTTCAATTTGTTTAATATTCTTTGAATGTCCTCCAAAGACTAATTATAATGTATTTTTTATATGTGCATCTTTTTTTTTATAGAGATTGCGCCAACTCAATAATTTCAGCATGCTATCAGCAACAATGGCTGCACTGGCGCTTTCGCCCATCCACCGTTTGAAACGAACTTGGGAACAAGTGCCTGCAAGGACGATGACATCTTTCCAAGAATTGCAAAATTTGATGAGCGTGGCTAAAAATTGGGCTGATTACCGTGAGGAATTGCACTCAGTCAACCCACCTTGTGTGCCATTTGTGGGCATGTACTTGACAGATCTGGTTATGATTCAAGATGGTAACCAAGACTATTTAAAGAAATCAAATCATCTCATCAATTTTTACAAGCGTGTCAAGACTGCAGAAGTAATTCGTGAGATTCAGCAATATCAATCCGTGCCTTATTGCCTCACGCCTGTGCCAGAGATTCAGGCATTCATTCGTCGTGGCATGGATGGCACAAAGTCTGTGGCGGATCTCTATGATATGAGTCTTGCACTGGAGCCTCGGTAATTCTTTTTTTTATAGTCTCACATGCAAATGACCCGTGGCAATTAAATTTCATCATTTTTTTATTTTTGTTGTAATGCGAATTATACTAATGAATTCATGTTTTTTATGTGTCTTCATGGGAGCTTGTAGAGAACGTGGAGACGAGAAGATTGCACGCATGTTGACAGAATCAGGAATGCTGTAGAATATTAAACGTTAATAAAAGTTCTGAAATGGCGCAGTCGGCGAGCACGTGCGTAGTATGCACTTTTTTAATGGATTGCTCTCATCGTTTCCATTCTTTTTACCCATAGGTCTAATGCCACAATTCTTTTTTTATTCCTCATTTAAGAACATACATCTCTTACTTCGTCTCATTTCTCCTCCCTTTGCGAGGCTTTTTAAAGTGTTCTTTCCATTCTTCTCCTTTTTCGTCTAGCGTTACAAAAGTGACGCAGCCATTTCTTTGATCCATTCGGGGACAAACACATTCCATGCCTTGCTGGCCATGGGATCCACCTCCTGCGCAGTCAGGAGTCATCTCAACGCAACTCACTCCCGCCAGCACGCCTTGCAGCAATGCCACAGATTCTGCTGAAGCCGATGTAGGCACTGGCTATAATGACCACAACCACAGCATTACCTCATACCATGATGCTACTGTGCTAGAACAGACTATCCTTGGCAAGAGAAGTGGCGATAGTAACAATGCCAGTCACGCTCTTGATAGCTATACTATCAATCGCCATACCTCAGGGGCAACCGCTTTTTCTTTAGGAGACATGGACACCGTTTTAACATTTTTGGACCTTGAAAAGGCATCCATTTCTACAGCAGCCACTGCACTAACACTAGATTCAAACAGCTCGATACCCTTTCCAACTACCATGGCAACAGCCCCTCACAGTTCAAACATGGATGTGTTGACTAGTGTTAATACTCTACTCCCAAGAGATGCCATCTCTGAACACTTGGTTGCCAGCAGCAATGGCAGCGGTACTGATTTCGGTGACTTCTCAAGGGTTCTACGATATTTGCAAGCACATAGATTGACACCAATCCGTTTAAATTCTATCGGCAAACCGCATATTACAGGCATTAGTCATTGGAATGATGATACAGTGCCGAGTAAGCTAGCAAACCATCCAATATTATCTAATTTTGAAGATAACCTGTCCTTGTTCAATCCCACGATTATTAAGAACTCGAGTTCAGATGAGGCTCAAAATGCCCTTCTGAATGAAGACAGTCATAATGATTTGATGGCGGACAATAAGAGGTCTTGCCAACAAATATCTCAACAACAACAACAACAGCAACAACAACGGCATAGCAAGAAGAAGCTAATGGTGCGCAAAACCCTTCCTATCGATGAACCTTCGAGTTGTTCTGGTGGAGGCGGTGTTTCATCAGAGTCAGATCACAAGGAAACGATGGCTGATCGAATAGATCAGGAGGATCCTTTTAGACATGAATTGATTGCGTCTATGCCCTTGGAGCTTGAAACCAATACGAGCCATGTACACGAACTTCAAAACACAACTACCACTACTACTACTCCAATATCTGTTGCAATTGAATTACAGACGACTGAGCCAGTACCAAAGGCTGTTCGCGCGACATACCCTCTCATTACAAAGAAGAAGCGGCCTTGGCGTGTAGAGCGCGTCCTAAAGCAAATGAAGGCGCTTTTTGTATCTGAGCAACAACAAGAGCAGCAACAACTAGAACGAAAACGGGAATTAAGACGACAACGGAGGTCACTAGTCCAGAAACGACAACAAAACCGAGTAGATAAATGCCACCAGCAAATATTATTAGAGCAACACCAACAGTCGATACGACATCAAACAACAGAAGCAACAGCAACTCTAATGACCTTGACGGAATGTACAAGCGAGGAGCAGCGTGCATTAAAACGTAGCCTGGCTATGAAGGTTAGGGACACTTTTCCCACATCTAAGGGAACCTTACTATTAGCGCAAGCGCTCGCCCAAGCGAACACAGAGGTCGGCGGCGGCCTAGAGCATACTATTGCTATTGAGATGGCGCCAGTTGACACTATACCGCTTGGGAATTCCAAGTCCAAAAATACATTTACGATGTCAGGCTGCAAGACCACACAAGTATGTACTGTGGATCTCGACACGCCAAGTGGTGGTGTTAGTAGTGACAGCAATGATAATGAGGAACAGGAGGGAGATGAGGAGGGGGAGGAGATGAAACAATCGAACATCCCTCCATCCGAACGCATCTTTATTTTTGTGGACAACTCCAATATTCTTACAGGGTTTTATCATCATCAACAAAGGATCTCTGCCGCAACAGCGGCTCAAAAAGAGCGAGACATACCCATAGGTCAGCATCATGTACACAGTCCAACAAATCAAAAGGACAGCGTCTCTACAACACCAGAGCGTTTACTGGATAATACCAGAGGCAACGTAGAACCGCCAGACCATGTAGACACAGATCCAGAGGAAGAAACAATCCTTTATCCACGCCAGCCAAAGCGTCAGATTACTATGGACAAGACTCAATTGGCTGAAGCTACTTTGCATTTATGCGGTTCAAGCATTACAATGTCCGATAATGCTGCTGTTGGGCAAGCAACCTCGCCTGAACAGTCGTCACCAATTAAAAATTCTAAACAAGCTGAATGCGTTTCGTCGTCAGGGGCTAGGATGGTCAAAGGCAAATTCCCTAAATTCAACTACGACAAATTTTTTCGTTTGCTGAAACGAAATCGATATGCAGAGCGGCAAGTCTTGGTAGGGTCCTCTCCTTTATTTCAGGAACTAGATGTGGCCCTGAAACATCAATACGAAACCATTATCCTGCGACGTGTTCGCAAATTTGTTCAAGGCGAACTGGGTGCCCTGCCAGTGCCTGTAAAACAACTACGGTATCCCAGTAATTACCAAGAAGGCAGTGGCAGCAACAATAGCGCAAGCAGCCTTAATGCTGATGGCAATAGTACTCAGTTGACAGGGCCTACTGATGGTAGAACTGCATGTACTACTAGCTATATCGCAACATCATCATCATCAACAACAACTACAGCTGCTACAGCTTTTATTACTACAACTACTACAACTACCACGAAAACAACTGCTTCCACTACCATTTTGGGGAAAGACGATGCTGTTGGAATTAATCATGGTCTAGCGACAGCAGCCAAAACAGAACAATGCGTGGATGAACTTTTGCATCTCAAGATGCTAGAAACATTGCTAGACCATGAGCCAGCCACCATGGTAGTTGCTACTGGTGACGGAGGAGATAGTGAGTTCGGAGGTGGCGGTTTCTATGGCGTGATCAAGCGGGCACTTGATCGAGGGTGGCAAGTCGAGATTATAAGTTGGGAGGAGCAGCTGAGCGGCGTTTACCTAGAGCTTGCGCTCGAGTATGGGTACATGTGCAATAGAAGTAGCACTAAATCGGGTAGAAAGCATGGATGTGGTGATAGCACGTCATCATCTAATCGATATTGCTCAACACAGCCCAAGCTACAGCGGATCCATGGTAGATGGCGGGGATCCAATGAGGAAGAGGAAGGAGAGAGATATCATCATCGGCGTGGCCATTTGCGTGTTTGGTGCCTCGACTGGTATGGGGATCAATTCTTGACAGACGGAGCAGAGTAAGGTAGTTAGTTTTTTATTCTCCCTCGGAAGATAGAACTACATATTCCACATTTGTCCTCTAGACAGAAAATATACACAATTTGAAAGCTGCAGCAACAATTTTTTGTATAGCTTTTTTTTTTTTTTTTTTTTTTTTTTTTTAGAAATAGGTCTCTGGTGATACTTTTTATTATTGTGACGATTACGAATGCCCAGATTAGAAATAAATGTTGGGTTAGGTTGAGTACCTTGCCTGACTCAATCTTTTTTTTTTCTGTTTCTTATTTTACACGCCACGCTCCAAACGATAACGCGACTCCTCGCCGGGTGCATATAGGATGCCATTGACATGAGCCTTGGCAGTATTGGCATCCAATCCAGCGCCGGCGGTGGAAACAGTGATGCCTTGCTCTGAAAGACGGGCCATCTCTTGAGATACCAATCCCCGATCATCTTGTGGGAGCCAAATAGGCATCTGTCGGCTATAGATGGCTGGATGGAGATAGGCCTGCTCCTGAAGACGCCGAAGCTCAGGATCAACACCAACATCTGAACGGATTGAAAGTGTTTCTTCCCGTCCATCTGTATGGGCAAAGCTGCGGCCAGAGTGATCGACAACAGATGGACGACCAATAGATGGATGAAGAGATTGATGATGAGAATACGAGACAGAATCGACGACAGAAGGATTGGGCGTCGGTACTGCTGGTAGTTGCGAGGAGACTTCAGCTACTTCATCATATTCTTGCTTTCCACCACTCATCGCTCCCACTTTGGCACCATGGAGGCCACTGACCATTGTTATGGGGGCCTTTTCAGAAAGTCCTGCCTCTTCATCTTGAATGGCTTTTGGATGTTCTTTTTCTCTCAAAACACCATCCTTGTCCATCTTCAGATCCTTGGAGAAGAGCGCGACAGGCAAGTATGTGACAAGAGGGTTAAAGGCCTCGTTCAAATTGACGTATGAGATAGCGGTCGCAACGATCAATAGGAGAAGGATAACTAGGTGAGCAATGGTATTGACGCCATCCGCAATCTTCAGCAAGAAAATACCAAAGACTGTAATTTCGAAGATGAAAAGACCCGTGTAAGCCTGCTTGACTGCAATTGGGAAAGCCAACCCGCCAGTCTCAACCGGTTGCTGGTAAACATACAAGAACTGATGGCGGTAAACAAAATAGTATGAAACGAAGTAGAATGCTACAAATGGCAGGACTAAGGGCGCCAGAGTTGAATATAGGATACCGACGCTAAACATCAGGGTCTGTGGAGGGAACAGAACGCCAAAGTTGACGGAGCTGATACGGCCCTGGACATTCCAGATCTGGCGTGGGCTCTTGGCCAACAATTTAGTGAACAAAAAGTTGAGGATCAATGGCGCAATTTGAAGCAACTCCTTCATGGGTCCAACGAATCCTTGAAGCAATGCATAAGTCACAAAAAAGGTCGATGCAGCAGGGAGTTTCTGGGCTAGAATTCCAATTATTTTGATGATGTCGACATTTTTGTCGATCCCACCAAAAGTCTTTAAGACACCTCCAGCGAATGTAGAGACTAGCAAGACGTTGATCACAAGGAACATAAAATATTTCTTCATAACAGCGAGTGTGATAGTGCTGTGGCGAACATGACCCTCAAATGTTGACAAAAAAGTCAGGATCATAGGCAAGACAGCCATAAGGATGGCCAAGAAGACGGGAGGTAGAATACCCTGGATAATACCTGTGAACCATTCGGGCATATCGAGCAAGAAGGAGAGAAAAGGCAATTTTGCCGTCAATGCTCCGATTGAAGAGATACCTGCTACGAAAAAAACGGGAATGAACCAGAAGATGGCTAGTGCAGTTGCTGCGGTCATGGAGATGATTGTACGAACTTTGCGAGAAACAGTGCTCAAATTAAGATTGTCCCAAACGACATCCAGAGGTGAGATCTCTACAAACATGGGCGCCATTCGGAAGGGTGTTGGATGAACCACGGTCTGGACAGCACTGTGAGCTGCGAATTGAGTATTAAACTGAATAAAAGCCGAGTTTAGGTTGGTCGAAGTGTCTGTCTTTTGAAGTTGTTCGATCTCCTGATTGAGCTCATGGAGGCGTTTAGTATAAAAATCAATCAAGTCGACTTTGGGGCCATAGAAAGGAATCATGGAGGTGCGACCGATAGGTCTTTGAGCTTCCTTAACATCGGTTTCGCCTTTTTTGTTCTTTGTATCATAAGCAGATCGAATGTAATTATACTCGGCATTCTCCAGTTTGACTGTGACCTGATCACGCTCCTCACAAAGCTTAGTCAATTTCTTTGGATTCCTATAAGATAAGGATAGAAAGTTTCGTAGAGAAAGACAGGGAATTAGCTTGGGTTAAGAAAGAAAGAAAATGTGTTCGTCGTCTTCAATAAATCAAAGAGCGAGAATAACAAAGTATAAAATGAAAAATTCTCTTTACTTGTTTATCCAGATGGAGCGAATACCACCGGGAAAATGTTTAAAGATGTCATAGAGTGCATCTTCTGTGTCAAGTCCATGTGGGATACCCGTAACAAGAATGGTGGTTGACTGAGGAGTCTTTGCGTGCTTTTCACTCAGGAGATAAACATGACGACGACGAGTATACTCGACCATCTCTTTCCACAACATGTAGACAGTAGCGCCTATTGTAGGCCATTCACAAGAAAATAAATAAAACGACAGTTTGATTAGCAAAGGAAAAAAAAAAGATTGCATTATAGGAGATGGACAGGAGAAGGGCGGTGATAACAGGTATGAAAGTCATGACATTACATGAGAAGATGATGGTTAGTGCCAAATGAAACCACAGACGCCAGCTTTGTGCCACGTTTCCGACTGTCATAGCCATCAGTCCTTCCTTCTTAACACCATTGACGATATTCAGAGGGATGAGGATAGGGATAGAAATTAATGTGAATCCGCTAAAGAGGATGCTATTTTCATGATATTGGAAATGACATAATACCAGAAAGGACGTCTATTAGTGTCAGTTCATTTTCATTACATGTTTATCTGAAACAGGATTAACAATAATAATTTAGACTCACGCAGACATCCTGAGGAAACGAGTGAACATGTAGGCATCCAGACCAATGCGTTCGACAAGGTCACTATCCTGGACCTTGAAGGAGGCTGTGACCCAGCTAAAGATACCATCAGGTAATTCTGTGGATCGTATACTATTGAAGTTATGGTAGGGATATAGACAGATGACATAAGAAAAACGCCGTTAGCACCAAAATAACAAAGTGAGTAAAAAGTGTGAGCGCATAATATCCGTACTAATAAATTCTCTAATTTCTCCTCTCCTTATTTTTTGTTCGATCATGATGATAACAATGTCCTTTTTGACATGATCTTGTTGCATTCAACGTACTCTTCATTGACAAGATATGTTCTGGGTTGATAAATTCGCTTGCTCCAATGACGAACAATGCAGAAGGCAACAAAAATGCCGGCTGCTACTGCTGCGTTGAAGAGCAAGGCAGTGGTGAACGTGCTGATTTGGGAATCAGTTTCCAACTGCTCAGACCCATAGTCGGTCGAGTCTTTATCCATGGCTATAAACCGTGGTTGTTTGTCTTTAAGTTATAGTAAAAAGAGGCTGATGTGGAGTGAAACTCTTGCACACACACGCCCTATTCGAATAACTTTTTTCTTTTCAGGAGCAAGGAAAAAGAAAAGGTTTCAAACGAGAATGAGCAAAAGAGAGATGTTGATGAGGAATTGAATAAAGATGAATGAAGAATCTGTCTCTTCTTTTCTAATATTTAGTCCAGAAGGGTAAGTGAAATAAGGACTAAAGGGAATGGAAAGAATGCTACTTCAAAATATGACAATTCAGAAGAGAGAGAGAGAGAGAGAGAAGTGAAAAGAAGAGAGGATGGTGCTTTTTTCTTTTCTTTTCTTTTCTTTTTCTCTTATGCTTGATGATGTTAATGGTGGGTGATGTCCTTGAGAGCTCAATTATGATTCAAAGACTACTGATATCAGGGCTCCATTTTCGCCACTTTTGCTTTTTTTTTCTTCAGTGAATAACAACTTTATTTAGGGACAACGGTCTATTGCAGAGCAAGTTGTGCGTGCAGGGTGTGCACACATGTGTTTTAATTGGGACTAGGAATAGACTATAGAGACACCATTTGGTCGTACAAAAAGTGTGTTTTTATAATTATTTTTAAAAAATAGAAAAAAAGGGATTAAAAAGATGTCCTTTCCCTTGCCTTACCTTACCTTGGTATGTTTTTACCTTGATGAGAGATGATGGTGACATGATCACTTTTGGGTTCTTTCTCTCAGATCTAGACTACAGTTAGTTTGAAGATGTGAGTTATATTTTCTGCAGGAAAAGAAAAGCGTTACAACAAACACAAAAAGAATGAACGACTAGAATGAACGAAAAGGGGGAGACCAATGAACTAACACGAGTTGCAATCTTTGGGTCTTTTGGAGTGAAGGAATAAGACGCCTACGATCCTTTGTTTATCTGGGTTGTCCTGTCAGCGAACGGCATGCATGTTTGTTGTTCAATTGCTTTTCGTTGATAGGGTTTACTCCAAAAAAAATAATAAAAGAGCGCTTTCAATTCTCCGCTGTCTCTGTCGAAAATACTCTAGGCACTCACTCACTTTCTCGTTAATAACTAAAAAGACATCGCATTTTGTCTATATCATCGAGATACTGCTATACATACCTGATTCTTAATTCACTTCTCTATGGATGAAAGCGCATGTTGCATGCTTTAAAACTTTAACCAGCATGACACATACAAACCATGCCAACCACGTCAATGCGCTGTAATATCGTTGTCGTCCGTGTATGCGCTTGAGCGCAAGTGCTTACAAAACTATTTCAATCAGACCAGACGTCAAAGCCTGGAATGTCTCTATCTGGGCCAAGGCTTTGTATAAGAGCACTTTTTCATAGAAGGGTATACATGTATATACTCCGATGCTAAAAAAAAAAATAAAAAAAGGTAGGTGTATATAATATAATATAATATATACACATCTCTCATCTTCAAGACACAGAGCGCCCATGAGCAACAATGGATGTATTCAAAAAAAAAACGCCTTTCTTTGCCCATGGTAAACAACGACTATAGAACCGTAACTCCAAATGATCAGATGGTTGTGTAACAACCTTCCACAGGGTCCTGACTCGCACAGCGATTGACAGGCATGAAAATGATCGATCGTTTATATACAAAATCTCATGACTTTACTTTGCTGATTACGTCTTCCAGAACAGACACAACTGCATCAATAATCTTGGTAAGGGTAAAGAATAAACACACTTCCATGCTTCTTTATTCGTACAAAAATAAAACAAATTATTTGAATGAATGCGCCAAAACAGTATTCGATGGAAATGTATTTTTCTTTTTTCTTTTTTTTTTTTTTTTTTCCTCTTCTCTTCTTTTCTTTTCAGCGCATAGTATGGCCCGTTCCCTGGAAAGGCACAATATCCGGCTTTGATTCCGAACTGACAGTAGCCTGCGCCGGAGTAGGCGCTCTTGGAGTGTTCGCCGCGGAGGGGATGGACGGGCTAGGTGAATTGGCTCCACTGCCTCTTAGCGCATTCTTTCGGGGCGGACGAAGCGTCTTGCCCACGCCCTCAAAGACAGGTTCCTTCTTGGCCTCTTCAGCTTCTTGAAGTTTTTCCTCAACTGATTTGGGAGGGATGTATTTGTAGCCAAAGTACAAACTTCCAAGAGGTAAGTCCAAGGCTGCAGGTGCTTCAGTCCCACTTTTTTCCAAGACATCAATGACCTTCGCCAATGGGACGCTTCCAGTTGGAGTACTAGGGGCCTCAATCGTTTCCTTTGCAATAGATTTACTATTCACAAATTATTTGCTTAGTGTTATTCAACAATCCATTTAAAATACCAGAAATATCCAGAAATAAATAAATAAAACTAATACCTTTTGTTAGTTGATCCACTGAGCCGTTGACCTTGACCTTCGAAGGGCGATCTGCTGGTACTATCAGGCGTTGCCATTCGTTGTTCAACCTCTCTTCTAAGCTTACTCTCCTGTAATTACATTTTCACGCGAGATTATATAATGAAGTTATTTGTCTTATCTTAAAAAAACATTAATAACGGCTACAAAAAAATAGAAAATAAAAAAAAAAAAAAAAAAAAAATCAATTACCATAATAGGCCGGCCTCTCGGGACAGGTGTAGGCTCTTGGTATCCAACTGGCGGTGCAAAGTCAACCTCTAGATCAGTTTCCACAATTGAGATGCCGACACTTGGAGGCCTGATCTCCATGACAAGAATCCCGTAGATCTTGTCATTATATGATATTTCAATGTTGTCGCCTACAGTTAACGTCGAGAAGTTCCGCAACGCGTTTTCAAGCCTATGGACAAAAAAAATAAATAAGTATTTTTCTTATCACAACAAATGCTTCTCTATGTACATGCCCAAAAAACAAAAGAGAAAAACGACTCTTCCATTTGTTTTTGTTTTAGTGACTTACACTGCCTTAGGATCACTAATGTCCAGAAAATCAACGCTCTGTGGCTGGATCTTGACAAAGCTTCCAAGTGGAAGCTCTACGCTCTTGACCGTGACCAGATCGCCTTCCGATAGTGTAAGTGTTTTCATCATCTATGGTGGATCACGGGTATATGAAACAGATTAGATTTTATTTTTTTTAAAAAAAAATAAAGGTATTTTAGCGTCATAGAGTGTCATAAAGGCTTCTCTATATTTACCCAGTGTGGCAAGTACACACGTCCTTCCTCAGCAATGAACTCAAGGACACCAGCATGTGTAGAGTGGGACCCACGTGAAAGCTCGAACAGCATTGGGTATTGAATATGAAGTGATGCTAGCCGATATGATATAGAGACGTGGCGTTAGCGGACAATATTAACGTATTGATGATATTGATCGACGAAGGCGCAGTACTACTACAGTCTCATGAGCACAAAAAAAACTGAATCGTTCATACCAAGCTTTGCTAAGGCAGACTGGGGCAAGATAACTAAAATTATATAGGTGTAAAGAGGGTACACAGCTTAGTCATTGACCAAAAAGCAATGCATTGATTATCAGAGGAAAAAAAAGAAATGGCCACTATTCATGACAAAAAATTTTATACACGCACTTTTGCCACCATGGTTAACATTCTGACGTTCGTTCCCTTGCATCATTGCTACCGAATAGCATCGGTATTGTTCATTGAATGCTCCACTACGAGATCCCATGCCGCCATAGCTGTATGAAGGAAAATCGTCGTATCCGTTAAACTAGCCCATGAAATTAGCAGAAACATCAGTATTAGGAATACAGTAATTTTAGGGCTTCATGTCCTTTCTGATAGCAATTATTCTTCTCCTCCTTTCCCCTCGATGCTTTGATGGTGTATCTCTCTCTTCTGGTGGATTGAAAATACACACTGAACAAGTTGCTGCTCCTGCTCAAAAAGTAGTTTGCGTATGCAACTTTAGTCGACGTCATCCTCCGCTGTAGTACTATCGTTAATTGTAGCCCCAATGCTCCAGTCAAAAACCTTTTTTAAGTACCATTGTGAAAGAATGGACCTGCTAATGAATAAATTCGTATGTGAATGTTAGGAAGAGGCTCGAAGACAGAGGTATGAAATGCACGTTTACGCACACTTACACACTTACACACTTTCACCGCAGCATTGGAAACTTGAAAAGGCAGTCCTGATCCTTCACTATCACGTGTTGAACATACTTCAGGAACTGTTCAAACTGTCGAATCTCACTTTTTATATTTCCTGCGGCAGGAAAAAAAAAAAAAAAAAAAAAAAAAAAAAAAAGCCATGCAAAATCATTTCTTGCAATTACATCGAGGGCAAGGAGCATCAGGCTGAATATAAAAGTGGAGAGAAGGCAGAAGCATTTGTGAATCTGCAAAAGACAGGAGATTTATAAATTGCAAAAAGTCAAATACCTGTCATGGATCAAGGTATTTTTAATAAAATAGAAATCGGTTTCCAACTATATGCTAATATGCTAATAATGAACCTTTTAAATTTTTGTCAACATTTTGCGAGGCTTCGATACATAATACTGACTAAATAAGGCGGCCGCATCTCCCCCCTTTTCTTTTTCTTTATTTATCTTTTAAGCTGCAGATGATAAATCGGCGCGGCATATTGTGTCACAGACAGCAAAGCTCAATATAGGCAGTGCTGGCCGTAGCATCTTTCCATACGAAGATGTTACGGCTCTACTCGATAGCGCAACCAAAGGTAATCGCTAAACACTGGCGAAACTTTGGAATATTGTTTGATTGACAGACATACTGAATGGGGTGCTGAAGAAACTGACTTTATCTTATTGATTTAATTTAGATCTGAAAGTGGGTCAATTGATCCAACTTGAATCGTTCAGTTTATTTGATGCAATGTGCGCAATTGTGGTAGGTATTAGGTACTTTAACAAATTGTATTACACAGTGAAACGGACAAGGAAGGAAAAAAAAGCGATCTAATGTATTTCATCACTATCCCTTGCTTCCGTCGCTTCCATATTACCATGTTTTCAAAGATCATGGATCCAAAAATGGATACAGGAATGATCCTAGATGAATATGCGGCACGTCCTCACTATGATGTCAACCGCCTATTGAATCCCAAGGAGTTTATTTGGATCATTGACCAGATCCTCATCGGACAGGTATGTCTCCAAGGAAGTCCTATATATATATATTTTATTTTATTTTCTATTTTCGTTATTGATACATCGGGCAAGTAAAAAAGACTTCTAACATATAAAGAAAAATAAAAAATAAAAATAAAAATAAAAATTATAGATGACATGGCTCTCAGGGCATGCCCTTTCCCAGACACTCTTCACCAGTTGCTACATTCTCCGTGTTTTCGAAATTAATCTGGAAATAAGGGAAGAAAAGGATGACATCTTAAAGGCATCAGTTGAATTTGTTACTATTGTACTCAAGCCATGTGTGTTGGCCATCGCCAAGACATGTGCTCTGATATCGAGCGAGATGAAGAAAGGCCAAACTTATGAGGAAGAAGACTTTATGACCAACATGTTCGGCATATCACTCTATGAGCAATATCCGATGGCCTCTTTGGTAGCAATGCTCGATCAGGCTGAATATTGGATGGAAAGCGAAGGAGCTCGATGGATTAAAGCGACAAATAATGAGACCGAAGCTCCAGATCTGATCAAAGCTGTTATGGAGAGAGTTCATTATGCTAGAGTAAGTGCCAAGCGAGGAATCCTTGACGTTGACCTGCTAGTCATTTTTACTTTCTTTTCTGAATTTCATGGAGGCTAACTCCTGTGCGGCTAATCAGTCCTTATTTTTGTCACTCTTTCAAGTCCTTGCGCCGAAATGCTCCATGTTTCTTCAGGCGGTACCACAGCTGGAGAATGTGCGTAAGCATGTTGAATGTATCAAGGCTACACATGCTTTGGGCATTGAGGTCAACGGTGCATTCGACAATACGATCCATCGTAAACTTGTGACAAACACGCCGCCTCGAGCTACCGCTCTCTTGACATCTGAAGAGGTAATAAAAAGAAAAGGAAAAGAAAAAGGACTGGGCTACTCTATTGCTTTTTTTTTTTTTTTTTTTTTTTTTTTTTTTAACCATACAGCATACTAAATCTTCCGGATATGATCACCACTTTGTTTTTGGATGAATAGACATTTGATCAGTTGGATCAGATGTGCGTGGACTTGACCCGTATTGCGAAAGCTTTGCTCTTCCGAGATGCTACCAATCTATTTGTGAGTGAAAGTCATACTGTCTTTTTTATGCGTCTATGTCTATCTTGGCTGATACTCAACTACCAAGAGATCGTTTACGTAAGTGACAGGTTGATTAAATAATATGTCTTATTTTCTCTCTCTCGATATACATTTCGTAGAGTTTTTTCGTTCAATTTGCTGGGCAAAAGCCTGCACCGGGTGCATTCCCAAGATCTGTTCTTCAGACAGCACTTTATAGTGATGGGATCATCATGGGATCTCGCAAAGTCCAGGAAGTGATTCGGGATAGCATTCAAGCCACTGTTACGCCTGCATCATGGCTCTTTGAGTCCTTTGACACATTGCAACATAAATTGGAAGGAACAACGACAACGACGAGCGGCTCCTCAAGCAATGTTTTGGAATCTATACCTGAGCATGAGGAGATGGAAGAGAATGATGAGCTATCCTTGCTGAAAAGACAGACTCAGGCTAAGGTGGTTCTTTTTGTAGATAAAGCGATTAAACCTTTTGTAGATACACTACAGCTTGCTGGGCAAAATACTTCGCGTCAACGACGAAATCTTCGAAAAATTGTACAACTCTGGGAAACATTTCAGGATGAAGCCGAAGCGTTTGATGATGAAATTCATACAGTAGCGGATGAAATACTGGCACATGAGGATCTTGAGAGTTATATGATTCATACTGCTGCAGTACAAGAGGGAACTATTATCAGACCGTTCTACTTTGTGTCATGGGTGTATCATATGAAGCTCTTTGCCATGGAATGGCTGTTGCTTCTTGGCTTTGAGCTCGAGCTTTACTCTACATTTGAGATCTCTATGATATACGGGTATGAAAAAAAAAAAAAAAAAAAAAAAAAAAAAATCACGGAGCGTATGTACATACAAGCCCTATTAACAATCACAACATTATATATATTAGATACGTCGAATGTGTATTGGGGGCCCATTCCCAACATCTTCTACGGATTCAAAGATTTTCTGAATCAGAAAAAAAGCATGGCGAAAACCCGTTGTCAAAGAAGAGAAAAAAGAAAAAGAAAAAACCTTTGGGAGCCGGTCAGAATACGTTTTCTACACCAGTGTCTGTTGAGAACGCCCAGTCCGCTGCCTCTACAACTCAGTTAAGCTTAGAGATCCCGAATGCTACCACTGCAGCTACTACTGTAGATTATAATACGAAAAACAATACTACTCCTACTCCAACTCCCGGTTCAGTTGGGTCACCATCCACATTGGATTCGCATCCTCTGGAGTTAGCATCTACACCAACGATTCGAGTAATGCAAGAAATTATCACCGTCCGATTGCAACTGGCTTGTGGAGAGTTTTTGGTTCTAGCTGCATTAACCAAGGTGGGTCATCTCACCACAACACCACCATATCTGGCCAGCCATGGTCTCAATGATTTAGAGACACTTCACCAGCATCGGTTCAAAGCATTTCACCACCTTTCTTCTCCCGAGACTTTATCTTATGAGGCCTATCTACAGCGATTGAACTGCGGTGGATTTGACGTAAGGATGAGCTGCATGAAAAAGGGACTTGGAATGAGTTGTTTTTTGTCTTTGCTAAATTATCAAAATATCTTTTTTTTTTTTTTTTTTTTTTCTTTCTTTCTTCTAAGGCTTGGCAAATTTTGACTGACGCGACTAACTATTTCAGCGAAGCAAAGTCTCACTTGGATCGCCTGCAGTCCATGTCTACGGTGGAGGCACGAGTCGAGCTGTCTGAAGAAACTTGGCGCAAGGTATATGTGTGATTCGAATTTTTGAAGAGACTAAAATCCATATCAGCTTTTGACTTTCTTTCTACTTTCTTTCTATCCCTTTATTATTTCTATATATCTGTTTATGTAAATAAGGACATCAAGGATATGATCAAGGTCTGCATCGCCAGCAAACTTGCAATCGTTAATCTACTAAAGGATCCACGTATTGTTGAACAAAAAGAATACCGTGAAGATCAGGAGAAGCGTGCTGCTATCAAGAAAGGCAAGGCGAAACATGGAATCATGACAACATCCATTCGCAATGCAGAAATCGCTTCAAAACGTGTAGATCCACCCTATCATTTCAAGAACCCGGCAAGAAAGCCTCATTTTGAGTGGAAGTACCATGCCTGGTGGCCAGTCGTTAGTCTTGTTTAGTCTGGCCCCTAGAAGAGCTAGTAACTGTTATGATGTTTTATGAAAATATAGAACTGAAACAAAGAAACTAGACTACTAAGTAGTAAATATAGTCTGCTAATACGCAGAAGTCTCTGCAAATTTAAGGATCTCGTCGAAATAGTCGGAGCTGATCTTCTGTACAGTGTTCACGCGCTCGTCCTCATCCAGAGGTAGATCTGTCAGGGATGCAGTCTCCTGTATGGACTATAATGCCATAAATATTTTGTTAGTATAAATTTGCGATTCTCTTCCAAAAGCGTTTATGGATATGATAACAGGATACATACCAACTCCTTCAAATCTCGCAGCAATGTTGTGCATCTTGATGCCATTTCTGAAACACAGACCTGGAGCGAAGGACTGTCTGTAGATTGATGCGCTAGAAGCAATGGCAACTTTTTTAGCAGTGCCTGTACCTCGCTTTGAAGAATTTGGGTATCTTTCTGAGGGACCAGATCGTTTGCGTAAGACACTTTATTGCCCCTCATCAGCAAATAACCATCACGCCCTTCAAAGTCTGAACAGCACTTCAGATACTCCTGATAGATCGCTCCTCCATTGGCCCAACCCTGCACTTTATTCTGATTAATCATTCCCAAAACCCTGTTGAGTGTCGATAGGTCGCCTTGTAGGATTGAAACAGGTGCCAGACTTGACAAGATGAGCTTGTGCCCTCTTTCGTATTCTCCCGCTTTGAGTAAACTGAATACCTCCATGTAAAGTTCACCATTGTACTTGGCTCTAACGGCTCTCGCACTCCAAAGCCATGCTTCGGGGATCCTGAGATCTTTCAATAAGAACGAATTCTTTTCACCCTCAAATTCCCATCGTTCAGTGTCAACGGACGGAACTAATGTTGCCATCCCTTTTGAAGGAGCAGAGATAGATGACGAAGGAGAACACGAAAGCGTTGGGAGATCGACATGTCGTTCAAGAATCTGACGAATGACCAGCTCCCTTGATGAAGCCGTCTCAAGATGAAGCGCAACAAAGACCGCCCATTCCCACAGGCCTAGATTCTCTAACTGGAAGATGAAGCTTTGGCATATTTGAGCATGAGACAGCTCTGATCGAAATTGGCTAGCATGGAGCGACTGACAAAGCACCATATAGAACAGCCAACTTTGACGGTAATCCAGGCAGACAGGACCCATCCCTAATGGATGGAGCACATCCTCCAAGGCCTTAGATGGATGTGTCAGCAGTGCAATCAGTTGAAACAAGAAATCAAAGTGTTCTGGCTCACTGTCCGTGTTCCGTTGGTACCATGGTGTTGGCCTTGCTACAGATTTGCGCTGAGACATTGAGGCACTATAATGACTCAAAGCCTGCCCTAAGTCTGCACCAGGTGTATTACTGTGCCATAAATACAATCCAAATGCTCGCCGCCAGTCTAACCCGTCTGTCACAAATGATTGAGGCTCATCCTTGGGCGCAATATTAATATCCAGTGCACCACTCAAAAGCGCATACGCCTTCATGTAGCTAGAAGATACCCCTCTGCCTTGATCAGCTTCTTGGTAGATCTTCATTTGGTTCTCTAGTCTCAACAAAGGCTGTGCTCCACGACCTGATTGAGCGATGAGTGTAGCGAGACGCAGGTTTCGAGACTGCACCGCCGCCACACTAGCCTTTTGACGTTTGTTGCCCGCTAAGAGCACAAAGATGGCTTCCTGCTGTGCTAATGGTCCACCTTCGGCTTCAATACGCCTCAAGTCCGCTTCCAGAGACGACTTCGTCACGTATGAGAGCCAATTGCTGCATCTAGTCCTGCGACCAAGTGATTCATATGATTCACGCGCTAGGTCGTGCATCTCTTCCATGTTGGCTGGCGTTGGTTGAGGATCAAACAGAGATTGACCTAAGATCCATGCGTACACTTCCTCGGAAGTCAAGTTATGCTGTAGCTCCTTGAAATGATTCATCAGCGTTGTAAATGATGTACCTTCGTTAATGGATGCCCTAGGTTCACCATTCTCGTTCACAGTGATATTGGTGTTGTAAATTAGAGCCTGCATCGAAATAATGTGCCGCAATACTTCCTCATTTTCCGAACCCGCGACAACCCTGACTTTAAGAAGTTGGATATTTGATAATGAATCCTGGCTGGGCTTTTTCTGTCTAATCTTTCCTCTTTTGTTTGAAAACCCGTTATAATAAGTATACATGATTAAAAACTTTATTATTTATAGTAACTTTCATCCCTATACCTCAATAAACCACGAAAAAGCAAAATCTTACCCCTCCTTGACATCCTCGAAACCACAAAGAGTTCCATGGACCGCCAACATGCCATTCGGACCCCAGCCAACCTGGCAGGAACGTCCCATCATCAGGCCAGCATCTGCCAAGAGATTTCCCTTTCGTGTCAAGAGTGAATCTTCATAGAGTGATCGTGTAAACTTGCGTGGCGGTCGTCTCAAGGGAAATGCTTGGGCATCAAATCCTTGCAGAAAAGAAGACCGGGTCTGGTTTTCATCCGTGGCGGTTCCGCCGATTAATGATTGAGCAGTAATAAAATGGGCCGTTGAAACATTTATCCAATAGACGGTTCGACATATCCAAAAAGTAAAAATAGAAAATAAAAAAATAAAATAAATAATAAAAATAAAAATAAAAAGGGATAAATGGTGTCAGTTAAATGTTCACTTTATTCACGAGTCCACCAAAGTATAAATGGCAACGGGCAGTTTCTATTGCCCAAATTCATTGCTTTTCTCTTTTTCAATCTCATATCGCTTTCTCTTTTTCTTCACTCGCATCGACATCTGATCTGCATCTCGTTATGTAGCCATCGCTGGCCATACCCTCTCCGATGAAAAACACACATCAAGCCAGGCTTACCTCGGCTCCCAAGCCCCCAGCGTGTTCTCCTATAACCTCAGAATGTTCGGCATTGTCAGAGGAGGTTGACCAAACACTGGCACGTTTAGAAAGTCGGCCCTGATGCGAAGATGGCTCTGTAAACAGTGAGGCCCGCATCATATTCATACGTTGGGGATCGCGATTCTTGGAGAGGCGAGTAGAATTATAGGTGTTGTCATTACGGGAACTTAACGCAGTAACATCGTGTTGTTTTGATTTCGACTTTAAGCCATCTTTACGTTGACTTGAGCTGGCCAATGTTGGAAATAAATGAGAACCATCACCTTCATTGAGTGTATTCATGTCCTTTTCATCGTCATCCCCCAAGCCGTATGTCGAAAAATGCTCTACTCGGAATGTCCAAGTGCCATCATCTGTGTTGAAATCAATGAACGTTGTCTCGGGTTGTCGCTTGAGACGCTTCAGGAAATGAGCGTATTGAGGGGATGATTTGTCAAACTTGATAGGCTCACGCGTGGTCTTATCCATAGGCCAGCATTGCTCAAGAGATATAAGGGCTGGGACATTCAAACCCTGGCCCCGCGGGGGTTTATTATGCTCGTCTGGATAAACAGTGCAGACCCTAGGCCGGAAAATGACAATATGCCCACAAATAGATGATAGCGAAGGGACAGTTGACAGATCGACAGGCTCCAAGAAGCTGACACTACCGCAACCAGGAAGTCCAACTTTGAAATCCTTGACACTTTGAAGCTCTGAACGCGACATCTTGCGGAGATCTTCCAGAGAAGGCTCCATCCAGTATTCCCCTTCAAGTTTGCTTTCTGTCAAAGCGAAGGTGGAAGAGGAGGAAGGCTCATGTCGAGAAGTACCTGCTTGGGTCTGAGTAACGGGTTTACCGTTGGTAGGAGTAGACCTCTCAACATTAGACAGAGACTTTGAAAGAGAATCACTTGCTGCAGATTCCAAAGAAGGATTGAATGTGACGCCTGCCCTCTGCGACTGGTTAGTTTGGAGCAAGGGCTGGTCCGTTGCTGTGCCTCGAGGCTTCAAATCAAGTTTCTTAACACTACGACGCGGAACGTAGTCATCCGAAGAAAAGGCAGAATCATCGCTAAGCCCCTCAAGGAGCAAAAGGCTCTTTCTGCTAGCGGGTAAGTCGCCCCCAGCAACACTCGATGAGAATGTGGCGGTAGATGTTGGGTGAAGACGGATCTGAGTGTGACGAGGACTGAACCGGACTGGAGGAATTAATGCAGGGAGCTTCTGTGCTGGCTCTGATCGAGATAAAACAGCGGGCTGTGACTTCGCTGCTGGGGTAGTAGTATCTCTTTGGAACAATGGGTTGTCACCATAAATATTAGCATTCACAGAAGCTACCATTGCTGGCTGGGTAGAAGCAGTATTGGATGCCCCTCCTAAGAAACTGTTACCAAGGGTGCTAGCCCCAAATGGATTGCCTGTTGTTCCAGAACCAAAGAGCGAAAGTGCTTGCGTGGTACCAGTGGTTCCAAAGGCTGGAGTTGTTCCGAACCCTGTTGTCGAAGGTTGTGAAAAAAGCCCGCCAGTAGTTGCGGGTTTGCTCGTACCAAAAAGACTATTAGTAGCAGTTGAAGATCCAAAGGCTGGTGCAGCTGAAGCACTGGGGTTGCCGAAAAGGCTTGTCGATGTTGCTGATGCAGTAGGGAAGAGTGACGATCCGGCGGGGTTGCTGCCAAACAGCCCACCACCTGTGCCAGAGGCTGGAGTTGTGCCAAATCCACCGAAAGTTGGCGCAGCTGCAGTTGAGGTTGCAGTGTTTCCAAATAACGAAGAAGTAGCTGGCTTGGTGGCGCCAAAAGCGTTTGTAGTATTGCCAAGTCCAAAACCTAGTCCGCTAGATGCTGGTGCTGTCGATGTTTGAGTAGCGCCAAATGCTCCAAATGCAGATGGTGCAGAAGCGGCTGGTGCACCAAACGTGTTTGTCGTTCCAGAAGCAGGGTTGCCGAATAAACTGGGGGTACTTGAGGTAGCTCCAAAGGCGTTAGTCGTGTTCCCAAATCCTGAGGCAGGTTGACTGGTGGCTGTGGCACCGAATCCGAATCCTGAGGCAGGCTTAGCAGCTGTCGCAGCGCCAAATCCTCCAGCTGATCCAAATCCAGATGTGCCAGTAGTGGAGCCGAATCCTGATGAGGGTTGAGCACCGAACGCATTAGTAGTTCCACCAAAACCAGAAGATGGGGTGGTAGTTGCTGCTCCAAATCCGGCTATCATTGAGTTAGAAATGGGTAAAGGTTGGTTAATAGCTTGATAAATTAATAGATGGCTATACTAATATTTCTTCACAAGCCACTTGTGATAAATTGACATACATGTTGCTGGAGCGGTTGATCCAAAAGCAGAAGTGGACCCAAACCCGCCTGTTGCGCCTGTTCCAAAGCCAGATGTTCCAGTTCCGAAGCCCCCCAGACCAGATGTCGTACTGGTGGTTCCAAATCCAGTTGAAGGCTGGGATCCAAATCCCCCTGTAGCAGGTTGCTGACCAAAACCAGGAGCAGCACTTCCAAAACCAGCTGCTTGGCCTGGAAATTTACGGCCTTGTTGGTAATCTTGCAAACGAAGCTCCTGTTAAGATTGGAAGTAACAGCGTGTATGATGGTTAGAATATAATCCATAGGCATAGAGAGCATAACATAAATGCTTCATTGGAGTAAAGTTTATCTATCTTTTACTTGCCTCAAAAGAGTATCCACGATATGCAGGCATAGCAGTGATACTTTGATAATGACTATTTTGTCCCGTAGCTGGTTCCTTTTCCACGAAAGCTGAGAATGGAGGGTTGATGGTGCCATTACCGCCTGCTGGGTTCATGCCTCCCCCAAGCATGCCTCCACCACCAAAAGTGTTTGTTGCTAGGAATCAAAAAAAAAGTAAAGAACCCAAACGATCAGTCACTTAGCTCATCTAAATTTTTAAAACAGCTTAGCACTACCGTGAAGAAAAGAATAAAGCAGCTTTACCTCCTCCGAAACCAGAAGTTGTTGCTGCACCAAATCCTGGGGTAGATTGAGTTCCGAACCCTGAAGTACCTGGTTTAGGCCCAAACCCAGAGGTAGATCCAAATCCACCTGTTGTTGAGGCTGCTAATGTCACAAATTTTTTTTTTTTAAAAAAAAATAAAATAAAATAAAATAAAATAAAATAAAATAAAAAGGTTAATGCACTGGTGTTTTAAACTATCACGATATTTGGATATTTTACTTTATCGCTACATAAAATTTAACTCTTACATCCAAAGCCGCCAAATCCCCCGGCTGTAGTTGGATTGCTGGCACCTGAGTCAGAGTTAGGCATGACAGAATAAGTAAGTTTTGAGGAAAGGTAATCAAAAATAACTGGAGAATTAAAAAAAAAAAAAAAAAAAAAAAAAGAAATGAAAGGGAAATGAAAATACAACGAACCTCCAAATGTGCTACCGAAACCACTCTGTGGCTGCGCCTGCGCCTGAACACCGAAGCCTGTGGGAGTGCTACCAAAGCCGCCTACAAAAGATAAGGAAAAAAAGAGTGATTATCAGCGGTGATGTAAATCCCATGAAGGTCTACTTCGCAATTATATGCTTTTACTTATTTTTTTCTTCTTCATTTTATTTTATTTTAAAGAAAAAAAGACTTACCTCCACCGAATCCTGTGCTAGCTGGTGCTGCACCGAATGCATTAGTTGTTGCACCAGTACCGAATCCTGTGTTTTGTGTAGCTCCACCAAACCCAGTGTTGGCAGCTGTTCCAAAACCAGATGCAGGAGCGCCGAATGAGCCTAGCAAGAGGACAAGAAAAAAAACGTGTTAAAAGAGTTCTCTAGATGTTTATGTCTGAGTGTTTAATCAGTTCATTTATAGTCATTTATAACACCGAATGGGAGTGATCAAGAATTTGTTTATTATTTAATCGGGACTTACTTGTAGACCCAAACGCGTTTTGACCCGATCCAAAGCCTGTATTTTGCTGTTGCTGACCGCCAAAGCCAGTGCTGCCGAATCCAGAGTTATACATGATGGATTTTCTGACTGGCAGCTAATCCTACTGAATCTACTTTTGGAAGAGTATGTTTAATGTTTTTCTAGAGGAGTTATGAAGGAACAAAAATGTTGACAGTCCTGCCAGCAGTCTGAATAAGAGAAGGAATAGAATAGGAAAAAAAACACAAAATAGAACTAGTGATAATGGGAAGCTGGATTTTGCCGCCGGCGTCGAGCACACAAGAAGATGTGAAGGATGCGCAGATGGCAGGAAGTAGAGAGGTGATGTAAAAATGAATGTGATTATTATGATTTATGAGCTTTTGTTGCGCGTTATCGCTTTCCTTTTATGTGTGGTTGCACTGCCAATGATGTTTGTGGCGCAGTGAATAGACTCACGTCATGTGATTCACATTTTTTCCCAAATCACTATTCTAATCTGCTGTGCCATGTCGGCACAGCAGATAATTTTTAATATCATCATGCATATTAATCAAAACATAGCCACACGTTATTGTTCCCAAGCATCTGCACATGAATGTAAATGTAAAGTCTTTTTTATTAATAAAGCAAAATGGCCAAGTAACAGTCTGGAATTTTTAACAAATTAATTACTGTGTCGTCTGTCTGGCTTGATGCCACGCTGTGCTAGTTCATGCTATCAGTGTCTAGGCGATTACCCTCTGTTTGAGCTGCATTGGCCTCCATTTTTTGCTTGCCATCATATTTACGCGCGTCACAATCTTTACTTTGATCGTGGTCTTGTACATTGTCTTCTCCCTTGATTTCAAGCTCATTGTCGGCTCGCTCTTTTTCTTCATGAGGTTCTCCAGCTTGGTCATCACCTTGAGTTTGGACAGGTGAGACCTCTGACGCTGTGCCTACCTTCTCTTTCGTATCGCCGTTACTAGCGTTCAGCTCTTCGTTCACGGGCTGGTCCTCGCCCTTGGTATCCCTCGTACCTGTTCCTGTTGATGTTAATGTCTCATCCACTGCAGTTTGATTGTCTGGCCCTGCAAGCTTGTTTTGCAAACTTTGAGGAGCTTTGAGTGATGGTGGAGGCGCTTTACACATGGTTGTGGCCCTGGATGCCAATTCGGCAATACTGATTTTCTTTCGGCTCTTCCAATCTTCGAGATCAGGCTCCATATCCATACTTGCGTTTGTATCATTATCTTTAGTGTGGATCGATGGTGTTGGCGATGATGGTATCTCCATACCACCTAGCAGAGCTGTTGTATCCAGATGCGGGTTAGGCAAATTTGATTGGGAAGCAGCTACTCCATCGTCACCTATATCTTGGGCATGGCCAGCACTGGAATCTTTGATGTCATTATCCTCAATGATAATCGCGGGAATAACGCTTGCCGAATCATTGAGAGCCATCTTCTCCATTTTTAGTTGGTCGCCTTCCTGATCATACTTTTCGTCTGCCTGTTGCGGTTGCTTTGTTGATACGGCATGATCTTTTTGCTGCTGTGGGCGATTCAGCTGGTTTTCTGGTATATCCTCAGAGGCATTCATGCCATTGTATTCTAAATGAGTTTCAACTGTTGTCGAAGCCGAAGTCATACTTACATCCTGCTCTGTGTTGCTGGATAGTTGCCGTACCAATTCCTTGGGATATAGTTCTGCTCCCCCGACTTCGATAAACAATTTGCTGTAACATACTGCCAACAATTGGCCCATCTCACCTTCTGGAGCCATTTTCTCGTTCAACTTCTTAAGCTCGCAAAGCCTCTGTAAGACCACTAACCCAGGTAAATTTGTAGCACCTTGCTCAAACATCCTAGCTTCATAGATGGCTGCCTTTTCTCGAAATTCTGTTCTCGGAATCACCTCTGCCACTGGAATTGCGGGAGGTGATCCCACAAGATCTGCAAGTACTGCGAGGTAAGAGTCATAAAGCAATTCCCAAACTTCTTTCAGATCTAATAGCAGGCCGGTAGCTCGGCGGATCTTGCGCGCAAGACTATTGAGGGTGTCAACATCTTGTGTCTCCTTGGCAAGGATAATAAGGAATTTTGTGTACTCGCCCACATATATGAAATGTTTGCCACTCCGCTCAAATTCAGGTTTCCATACAGAGCTGACTAGTGTTTTTTGATTGCTCTTAATCTGAAATAGGCTTAACATCTCTGCTTTGGCTCGCTCCGCATCATGGTAGATGTAATATAGAATACATGCTTGCTGGAAAGATGATTAAAGAAAATTCATGAATTTTAGCAATCAAGCACTTTTTTCATCACGAAGACAAAGTGGTCAGTAGCAAAGAAAAAGATACATCGTGGAACTTACCCTAAATACAGGTCGGTGATGCCAATGCCGTTTATCGGCATGCCTAATTCTTGCTAAACCTTCACACAGCAATCGAAAGGCATCTCGCTTTTCTTTACCATGACTATCTTTCTTAATTAGTGAGTCGGATGCGGCAGCACCACGATCTTCCATATGAGGCTCTAGGAAATATGATTCGCCTTCTGCAGCATTCAGCTTTGAGCTCATCAGTGTTTTTGTCATTAAAGGCTTAACAACGGCTGGCTAAACCAAGGTATTTGGTTAAAAGTAGAATAAGGATCTGTTAGTAACAAACGTAAATGCTTTCGGACAGATTAACCGCATTCTTATTAAAAGCATCGTTCATACATTAATCATATCTTTAGCCAGGTATTTGGACAGTGTTGAAATGATTTTGTAAACCGCCTCAAAGATCCTCTCATGCCCAGGCTGCCCAGAACGATGAGGAACTTTTTCCGCTGCCAGCTTGTACAATGCCAAGACTTGTGTTGGTCTCCCCTTCAATTTCTCAATGCATTTGCCAAGCATGAAAGGCGTCCGCCAGTTCTGGTCATTGAGCATCATCGAACGCTTAAAACAAAATGCGGCAAACTTATACACTTGCTCCTCACTGGGCGCTGGAATAGGCACCATTTTTGTACCACCAGTATCAGAGAGTATCTCCAGCCCCCCACTTCGACGCATAGCCTCCATACGCATGGGGCGTGACAGGATGCCGTGGACTAGATTTCCAAAGTCGAACCAAAATAGTGCTTGGCGTTGATACCACTCATCATCAGCGTTAGAATTTGCTTCTGGCTTCTTTATAGCCCCCAAGTCACAGGTTTGGTACGATTCACAGTCCTCAGAGGCCGCCCGCTCCTTCTCATTATTGTCTTGACCGGCTTCATTCCAAAGCTCATTATTGTCAATTCTATGTTGGTGACGGTTCATTTCAGGAATCAAAGCTATTTCATTGACGCTGTTCTTGGCTTTTACTCGAGATAACCTCTTCGGCGCCAACCGGACTGCCTGTGCAAAACATTGAAATGCTCTCTTTTGCAGGTCTGTAATCTTTAAAAAGTTGTTTTTGATGTCTGATGCGCTAAAGATCAAATTTTCATCCGCCAGGTACGCATAGCAACTCGCCAGCGAGTACCATGAGTCCCAAGATTCTGGATTTACATGAATATCCGTCCTGAACTGATCAATTGCGTGCTGTAGATCCTCGAGTGGCTTAAACTGATTATTCTTGGCCTTATTCCGAAACTGAGCTAGAAAAATCTTGCCTTGGATTGCGTATATTCGCCTATAAACAGATGCCAGTTTGCTTGATGGTGGCTGTTGCATAGTGGGCAGCCGGCTCACCGAAGCGATTTGGATAGCCTCCGCGAAATTGATTTCTGACGCTAAGTAACCGTCAATTATCTGGCGATTCATCTCCAAAATGGCGTTGCTCTCGTATGGAGGAGCTCCCAGAGCCTCTTCAACCCGGTCTACTGCATCCTTCAAATCGCCTCTAACCTGTCCTCGCAGTACTCTATCTGATAATGATCGTTCCAAAAGTGGGAAGAACTCGATGGCGGCCGTCTGATCAAAGTCGATGATCGTTGAAGAGTGTTCGATAGGGTATTGGCCGTCGACACTGAGCGATATGCCGTAGAAGCAATAGTAACACTGATTTTCTTCTTTTCGATAAAACGCTCCTTGCATGGGCGAAGAAACTTTGAGCGCTAACTTTATCAATTGATCTGATAAGATGAAGATATGATTAAATGGCAAAGTATGTTAAAAGAAGCTAAAACCCCAAAGATACAATTTATATAATGATAACAATGTAATCGTCTCCACTGTGAACACAAGGAGAACATACTATTATCAATTCCACAGATCCCGCGAACTCCTAGGTCGTCATGAATCAACGCAATAAGTTCCATGTATAACTCTTGTGATGGGCCAGCATACATGCGAAGAGGCGTAGACGAGTTTGTAGTCAAAGGTTGATGCAAAATACGCTCAGCTGTCTCATGATCCACATCAATATCCTTCATTAAGAGAGGCCGAATCTCTAAAGGTAGCCGCTTGGTATCGACCTTGCTTTTATCGCTCAACACCTGGCCATGGATACTATCGCCTGCTGATGTCTCTTGTACCCAGCCCGGAAGCAACAAAAGTAATACCACCCATACACGGATTAAAACGAGGTTGAATTGCTCGAGGTGTGGACGATGTTTCAGCAAGTCTGAATATGAAAGCTTTATATCATCATCCACTAATCGGTCTTGATGAAGTACGTTGACAAACCCTAGACGTGCTACTGCCAAGATGCAGCAGACAAGCCTTTGCAGCAGTCGGCTTTCGAGGGAGCCGAGCAGTATTGCAAGAGCAGTCGATTGAAGTGTCTCTCGCAGCAAATACAGAGTGTGAGCGACTTGGCCAAAAAGAAACCACACCTCAGTTGCCTCACTCTTATCTGTGATAGTGTTTACAAGAGTTTGCACCACGAGCACGAACATCTCTACTATGCAATGAAATTGAAGCTCACGATTTTCAAGCGCTTCACAAGACTACCAAAAGAGAGTTGCGTAACGACATCGATATGTCAATAAACAGAGATGAAAGATGACAACTCACTCCGTATTATGTGAACAAACTTAACTGCTATCTCACCTTGTAGAGCAACTCCATGAGTTCCAGCTTCTCTGGCAAAGAGCCCCCGATAAAATCTGTAATATCAGACTCTATATTCCTGTCACTTTCATCATTTGAGTGTGCTTGGTCCCAATTTTGGTCTCTATTCTTAAGGAAAATTGGACATAGTCTTGTCATCACTGCATTGTAGTCCTTCTCGTTAAATAATCGAGCAGCATCCAGGACATATTGGTGAGCCTTAAGTCGCCTCAGTCGCTCGTGTATTTTATCGGCTTTGACTTCTGTGTCGTATTTACTGCAGAAAGTATGCCGATAAGAAACAAATAAAGGAAACAGTCAATCCCAAAATGACCCCGATAAAGTAAAACTTTCATTTTCTGTGTACGATCAGGATGTAAACACTTACCAATTGGGCAACTGAATACTTAAACTTTCATCGTTCTTGAGTATCTGGACGCAGCCCTCGAAACATGCGATAGCCTGTGGTGCATTCCCAAGACACTGGGCATGCCTTCCCTGCATCCATTCGAACCGCATAAGGGCTGTGCGGAGCCATGGCTCTGTATTAAGAGTAATGACCATGTCTCGCTTTTTCAATGGAATATTTAAGCCAAGACTAACCAGGTACAGCCATCGCTGAAACTGCTTGTCAAGCTTGGCTACATGTTCCGCATCCACTTTCTTAGCTCCTTTACCCTTCTTTGAAACAGTCGTGAATGGATGTAGAATGGTGTGTACTATTTCATCTAGATACATTTCACAAATTGCTAACTGAAGCTAAACAGAAAGCGCAATCAGATAGCTATCTTTTTTTATTACTTTTTTTTGTCTCCAAAATTATAAATATTAAAAAAAGGCATCCTCTTTAATGCTTATCTTACCTCCAATACTATGCATCTATCAAGCTCTTCATTGGGCTCACTTGTTCGGCTCTCCTGGTTAAGATATTCGAGCAAATATTCCTCAATCATGCAGACAATGGTGTAGACAGTGGTCCGAAGTCCCGGAGGCCATCGTCTTTGCCAATTGCTATTTGTTCCGATGCATACTAATCCTGAGAGAACAAAAAGGACAAATTCACAAAGGTACTCCAACACTCCAGAGTTGTTTTCATTAGTCCTTAGGATAAAATCGATGAGAATAGCTTCATCCTCAAAGAAAGACGCCGTGGGAGGCTCAGTCTTTTCTAGATTAAATATGGCGAAGTGATTCGTCTTTTGTCTGCATAATTATCGGATTTGAAGGGACAATTGATACTGTGTCAGGGTTTGAACCATACAAACAGCAGACATAATAAGGAAGCTAAGTGCTGGAAAGGTACATTACTGTTGCACATGATCAATACTCGAGGCTTGTACCAGTGCGTTAGGACGCTCCAGATGCTTATTAAAAATGATCAACAGTCTTGATAATCCTGTTGGGAAAATATCTTCCGACTTCAGCGAATCATCTTCCTTGCCTGTAATATAGGCGTTCTCCATATCCATTCCAAATTTGGAAAGGACTAATCTGTACTTAGTTAGCATCTCCTGCTCCTCTTCTTCACGCTTTCTCTTGGTCTCCTCAAATTGTTCCAGCTTATCCCGTACACGCTTCGATGTTCTAGGTTAATAGGCTTAACAGTTAGCATGCCGGAGATCTAGAGGCCGTTGTCTGACTCAAATCTGTTCTATATATACTAACCTTAGTCCCGATCTCTCCTCGACTTCTCTTCGTTTCCGCTTTATAGCCGCGCTTTGCTCGGAATCCATAGCCTCCTTTTCACCATGCTCACACAAGTCCTCATTAATGGATGAGGTCAATGCACTATTTTCTGAAGGTTCATCTGTTGGAGGTTCGTTCTCAGTCCTGTCGTCAACCTGCATGGTATCCTCTCCTGTCGTTCCTCCTTCTAGGGCACAGAAGGCTTCGGCTTCGCCCCTATTGACTGGCTCCTCTAACATTTCGATATCTTTGGTCTCGCCTTGCAAATTATGGCTCCGGATTACTATGCGCTGGTTATGAAATTTCTTCTCGGGTTGAGCTATTAATGATCTGTATTCCCCCAGTAGCAGTCCTCCCAAGCTCTGCCATGATAGCTCTTCTAACATAATCTCTTTAGGGTCTGCAATATGTTCTTTCAAATATAAGGGTGTATCCACTTGTTTGCGAACTAGATTACTAGCGCTTCCAATCTCCTTCTGTGACCGACTGCGGATCAGATCCTGAAGTTCAAGCCCACGTTGAAAATGTGGTGAAATATTGAAAGCCCTTTGAATGTATTCTTCACAGGCCGTGAAATCGCCGATTTCGTAAAGGATCTAAGTAACAGGGTAACTGGTAACGTGAATAAAAGCAGTAATGCTTTTTTTTTTTATCGCTAAATTTTGATCCTGGATCGCCATGCAAAAACCAATGCTTCGATCTTGCATACCTCACATAATGTCTCTAAACATGCCCATTGAGTCGGTGTCAAGTCCTGGTATGAAAAATTATCCAGCATCAAACTATTCTCTGAGGATTCATCCGTAACCTGAGATTGCACTTGTTGCAGGCAGGACTCCAAAGCGTAGCGTGCAAGCTTATATTTCCTCTGGTTTGCTGCTAAAATACCAACCTTGAGCCAAAGCGAATTATCGGAGTCATCAAATGCGATTGCCTGTGCAGTAATTAAACGGAGCCAGGTTAGCCTTAAATATTACTGCTACCATGCGATTCAATTTCTATATTTGAAAAACCAGTACCGATCTTCCACTACCTTCAAGTAAAACTGAAGAGCCGAGGCATTATCATGGATTCTCTCCAAGATATATGCATAATTCTGATATACCAAATACTGCAGACGTCGAACAGGTGTCCCACGCGCGGCTATTTCTGACTAGCATGGACAAAATTCTACAGTCAATAATCAATACTTTGTGTTATATGTCACCATTTAGTTAGACAATCACTTAATCGGCATGTTGCAATCTTCCATAGATCTACTCACATTGCTGTCAATTTTTAGCATCAAGTCCGACTCGATAAGTTCTTTGAGCAACTTTCTTGACTCCTCTATTTCACCCTTCTGCAGTAGCCTAATGGCGCTCTCGTAGACACCTAAACATTTCTCAGCCTATAAAAAACAATGCATGTTTTGTTTCAGTACAATCAAGTTAGGCGCTCATAGATACTGATAAACGCTACGACCATATTGCGGTAAAAGGTGTCCTAGATCTGCTTCCTATACCTGTATCTCCACTGACTCTTCTTCCTTAGACTTGACTTGCTCTTCTTCATTCAGTACCGCGAAACGAATCTACCATAAGCGTTATATAAAACCACACACGTTGAATGCCAGTGTGATGGGATGTGCTCCGATTAGCAAGATGTTAAATGATGCAATGGCAAATTCCATGCTTGACGAAACATTCCCGTGAACTATTACCATAATATGGGTATGTAGCTATTGATTCTAGTAAAATAAGATTAGGAGCAATGCCCAACACTCAGTTTTGAGTCCAGAAGGCGATGCTTTAACTGGACGGATTAGATACTGACTAAAAAGAAAATCACACAGAAAGAGCATGGCATGCACTGCACACGCGTCCAAGGCGAGTGGCTTTGTGCTACGAGGGATTGACATAAAAGCGGTTGGCTCAGATAAGGTTTAATTGAGTCGTCTTTATTCGACGGCTGATAAGTGCTTTCCTGCCCTATAAATTCAAGAACGACTAGAAAAATACTGCAACCTTGCAAAGGCTGAATCTTTAGGCCCTCTAATTGCATACCGCCGACCTCCTATAAATTCATAAGACGCCAAAATATACTTTTCTACCTTTATTCCTCTTTACCCTTCAATCCCTCCCTTACACTCCTTCATTACTCATTCCATTTCGTTCCATTCCATTCCTAAAGAGTCCAATGTATCGTGTCTCAGCCTCGTCAGAGGCTACCCTTCGTCGTCTCTATAGATCTACATGCCATTATCGTGCCAGCTACGTCGCCGATGGTCCAAGCTTTCCATCCCCTATCCGGTCTTTGAGACACTCACGGGCCTTGAGAACAGCGAGTACTCCTCTTATAGCTACACATGCTCCCCGATCGGCTCCAACCATGTTTCAATCAAAACCATGCCAGTTATCACCATTGTCATCTTATATATCTCAACGGACACTATCCAGGCCCATATCATTTGCACGAACTATCAAAAGCCAAAAAACATTGCAAAGGCGAAAGCTTACAACAGAAGTAGAGGCAGGGACCGCAGCAGAGGAAGAAGTAAGAATGAAGAAAAGCAAATGGACACTTTATTACCACGCGCAATGATGAAATTCCTACCCTCTGTCGTCACTTATACGCGGACTCAAACTTTATTTAATTAAATCTACAGATGCCTCTAAAATATGGACTGCTCTACTTTGACAATGCATATCCACTCAAAATGGGTTGGTGGGACATTCGCTATTCTCTCTTGCGTCCGGGGTGGCGATCACTTGAGCGCAAGGCTAAAAACGAACTTGTGCCTTCTGAGAATGACATGCCCTTTCACTTCAAGATCGGAGGTATTGAGCCTAGGTAAGAGCCTTTTTCAGGTGATTGGTTTGTATTCTGCTGAAGAGATATACCAATGACTTATTTCTTTTCATCTTTGCATTTCCCTATTTCATTGATACTTGGAGTATTTAGACTGAAGGACGGTGGAATGTTTGTACATTTTTCATATGTACATCCGAGCTCATACACCACAAGAGAAGCACTCAAGGAAATTGAAAGCAGATGTGAACAATATCTAATGAGTCATGGACACTACATGTGGTTTAATTTTCAAAAAGTTCGGGCGTTCCTTGTCAAAGGTACACCGTTCCTTGAAGATATGGCCAGTCGATATCCCAACAAACGGATCAGGATCGAGTACTCAGGAGATCTTGGCATTGAAGGTTTATACGAGCTCTTCCGCAAATATGGCAAGATAGTGGATATCGTGCAGGTAGCCCCTATTAAGGACATGCCCAGGCAAGCGATTGTGCAGTACCAAATTATGCGGTCCTCTACTAGCGCCAAAAACTGTCTTCATGGAGCAGATGTCAATGGTGTCAAAATCCATGTGACGTATGAGCGTACGTTGAAAGGCAATGCTATCTGGACCTGGCTTCAGAACCATCCCAGATTGAGTGTCCCATTAGGAGGTTTCATGGTGGCGGGAGTGTCATTCATCATTTTCGATCCGATCCGAGTGTTCAGCATGCATGCAAAGATCACAAAACTGTTCAACGTCAATGAATATCCGATTTTGAAGTGGCTAAGGAAAGAGACTATTGGACGTCTAACCAGGGCACCCATAGATTCTCTTCAAGCCACTGGATGGCGCGAAAGGGAGCAAGAAGAGGAAAAATTACGTACTTGGCTGCGTAACCCTCCAGGTATGCATCGACATACTTCAAATGCATGGGTTAGTGTAGAGAGTTTTAATTCTTTTTTTTTTTTTATTTTTTTTTATTTATTTATTTATTTTATAACAGAGACGTTTGCGATTGTTCAAGGGCCTCGTGGAGCAGGCAAATCAGATATGGTAGAATACGCGATCAAGGAAAAGAGTCATAAAGTTATTATTAGATGTGAAGCACTCGCCAACGCTAGAAGCGAAAGCGAAATCTTGACCAACTTGGCGAAACAAGTCGGATACATTCCTCTCTTCCAGTTCATGAATAACCTTAATAATATGATGGATATGGCCATTACTGCCACTACAGGTCAAAAGGCTGGTTAGTAGAAAAGAACTATGATCAAGGGTGATTTTTTTTTTGTTCTGGGATGAATGTAGAGTTTACTAAAACATCTCTGTATGTTTTTATAACCCCTTAGGCCTTTCTGCAACATTTGAAGGACAGCTGAAAAAGATCCTGGATACTTTAACCGTCGCTATTCAGCAAGCATCCCCTACAAAGGACATGTCCGCGACGTCGCCAGAAGTAATTATGAAGAAAATTGAGGCAACGTTGGAGCAAAAAACCCAGAAGGAACAGAAGCAAGCAGCAGCAGATCCTTCCAATCCTACAACGCAGCCTACAAAACCCAAACGTGCTAAAGCTAAAGGAAAAAAAGGGAAAGAGAAGGAGGAGGAGGAGAAAACCTGGTGTGATCCTGGCGATATCCCTGTTATTGTGATCGATGGATACATGTCAAGAGAAAAAGGACCCCATGCAAAGGAACTTTGGACATTCTTGGCCGAATGGGCTGCGGTCTTAGTAGAGAATCACGTTGCACATGTGATATTCATAAGCAATAACGTTGGAGCTGCGAAACCACTTTCAAAAGGTTGAAAAAAAAAAAAAAAAAAAAAAAAAAAAAGGCTCGTCCGATATATTGTCACTAAACCCTGAGAAAAGTTTTCTCGACTAAACCTTGCTTCTTTTTTTCATTTATGATTCGTTTTAGCGCTGCCTAACATGACGTTTGAGACAATCGTATTGTCGGATGCAACGATTGACTCTGCATTAGAGTTTGTTCATAAACATCTCGACCAAGAGGTATACCCCAACCTAATTAACTCTGTTGAGGTTATTGGAGGACGCTTGACTGATTTGGAACTGTTTGTGCAAAAAGTCAAGAGCGGCATGCGACCAGAGGGTAATTCTTGTGGCAAATTCGCTTTCCCCTCTCCATCTACTATGTCATGGATTACACTTTCAGAAAGCTGTACTTTACTAAAAAAAAAAAAAAAAAAAAAAAAAAAATTGTTATAACTGTCTGCAGATGCTGTCAGTGACATTTTGGGCAGGGCAGTGATCGAAGTGCGTAAAGGCGCCTTTGATTTCGATAATTCAGACAGCAAGTCTTTGAGCTGGACAGCAATCCAGTTCTGGGCCGTAATGAAGCAATTGGCTGCTCATGACTCTGTAAGCTATTTTCTTATATAAAAAAAAAAAAAAAAAAAAAAAAAAGAGAGCATAGGAATACGACCGCCGGTTTTCAAACTACCTGGGTTGTTACTCACTAGGATTCATTGTTGAATAATAGATAAGTTATGATGAACTCAAAATTCATCCCCTCTTCAAGAGCGATGAGGCACCATTCAGCGCCATGGAGCAAGCAGAGTTGATCAATATCAGCCATAAAAATGGTAAGCGCACAAAGTACTGTACCCGCTTTAAACTATACCATGATTACAGGTGCTAGCTCATAATAACAATAATAATAATAAAAAAATTGTGGTTGTATAGGGCGTCCTTTTTCCGTACGGCCCGGAAAGCCGATCTATCGTGCGGCATTCCACGAGATTCTGTCAGATCCGGGATTTGCGGCTCTAATGGAACTTGAGACGACCACATTCTTGGAAAAGGCCGAGTCGGCGAATGTGGCGAAATGGGAAGGCGAACTCAAGGAGCTTTCAAATCTTCTGCATCAAGACGGGTCATGGATCTTTGGTGGAGGCAGGGTCCCGAAACAGGTTGATATGCGTGTCAAATGGCTCATGAACAAACTGGCCGACAGCCATACTAAGATTGAGAAATATGAAGTAGAGATGGCTCATGCTAAGAACGCTATTGCAGCCCAGGCTAATATGCCCAAGCATTAAGGCTGTCACTGTTGCCATTATTCCTATTCCTATTACTATTACTATTACTATTACTATTATCATCCCTGTTACCATTACCGCTATGCTCTGTATAATTCAATGAAAATATAATAGAGCCAATCTATCGACCTTGAAAGAAACTTCACTTTAAGGCCTGTGTGCAATGCTACACTCTCCTAAGCATAATATGTGTTACCGAATGTGGTCTGTGCAGTTGACAAAAGTGGGAAGATCCATTCCTCTAGTTGATTGGACGAGAACTAAATCATGATAAATTAATTGCCTAGAACGGCTTTCTATTGCACGAATAGTGTATTTTCTTGTCTGCGTTGGATATGGCTGTACATTATAAAAGTAATGAAGGCTAATAATGTTTACTTCCGCGGAATATATAACAAGCAACAATCTTTTTTCCCTACTTTCTTTCCACTGCCTTAGTGACAGATGGATAAATAAAAATATGCATAAGATGCCACCTTTTCGATTTTTTTTAATGGTGCATATGCTCATATACTTTTTCATCAAGAAGAGTAATAACAGTGAGATGACAAAAAAAAAAAAAAAAAAAGAAATAAAAAGAAAAAAAGATATGCATGTTCTAATAATTGTATAAGATGGATATATAAAATAAGTGATGGTAACAAAAAGATAATTTAAAGTAGCATGTCGCCGACACGTATGCCACAGATTTCAATGGGTGAAGTAACCTTATCCGTCATTTCAAAGCGGAGGTATTGAATCCCCCGCGTGTCCAGCTGAATACCAACATTCTTTCCTACATCAGTACAACTGACATCCGTAAACCTGACTGACCCCTGTGTCCTTTCCACCTGGCCTCTACATGTCATCTACAATAAATAGGCATCCATAAAGAAATGTAAATGGTTCGTTAGATCGCAATCTCAACAGAAGGAAGTGAAATAAAATAAAATAAAATAAAATAGTCGCACGTTTGTAAGCTAAAAAAAAAAAAAAAAAAAAAAAACTTACCCACTCATCGCCATCCACACTGGCTTTGATGAGCATATTAGACTCAAGAACCTGTAACGTCGAATCCAATGTTGACCAGATTTCGATTGAATTGACATTTGCACCAAGATCAAGCAACGGTAACACAAACTGAAGACCGAAGAAGTCGCCCCTTGCCAAGGCATGATAGCTGTGCCAGCACGTTGACAGATCCTGATCGACCGAGTAATGATACGTATGCATCGCCACAAATTCTGGGCTTGGGTAGTCCAATGCTTTAAACCGTGCCTCATGTGCATGAATATCTCTACTATGAGGCTCTACCGACCACTTGACCTGATCTGGTGCTGGAAACATGTCGACATTAGTTTGGAAAAGGCACTTGTCATTGGCACAGCTTGATCTATCGTATATAAAATTAAGATGGGTGGTACGTTCGTCAGTTTTTTTTATTTTTTTTTTTTTTTTTTTTTTTTTTTAAAAAAAAAAAGGTTCATCGAGAACAGCAAGTACCTTGTGTGACGATCCTTGAAAAGTGGTGTTTCCTCCTCTGTTTCAAAATCAGACTTGGCCCCCACTCTGTGAGGTGATCCATTGACTAATCCAAGTCCTGACAAAACTGTTGTTATACGCACTATGGCATCTGTCTATAAAAATCATGTGTTCATCAGGAAGAGTGAGTTCTCAATGTAAAATTCTTGTAATTCTTAGTTCCAACAATAAGCAAAGCATATGGAAACTAAAAGTGGTAGTGGCAGTAAATTATGTCTGACTCAGTCTTTGACTTTTTTTTTTATCCGTTTACCATATGCTCATAGACGACACTCCACTGATCGATCCTGCCACTCCAGCTTGAACTTTGATCCAGTGGTGCTAATGCATGGCTGAGAACGATCGGATACTGATTTCGCCATAAAGAAAAGAACAGATCCGAGAGCTGAACTCTTTCCTTCCATAGGTTGCTTCCTCCAAGCTGTAACAGGAAGTTGAAGACTGCACTCTTTGGCATGAAAGATCCAGCGCCCAACCATGAAAATCCTGTATGCAATCCCACCTGTGCGTTCTGGAACATCCAAGTACGCTGCTGAGCATACATGGCTGGAATTGTGCTCGTGACCAGACTGTTGGGATGGTCTATAAAGAGTGTATAGAGCGAGTCCAATGACAGATTGATCCAATCGTCATCTTGGATATAACAGTGATCATACTTTGCAAGTGAACAAGTTGTGTACTTTGAAAAATCGTGAAGATTAGCGACAGAGTTGAACACTATTATAGATGGCCAACCATTCGCTGCTTCTGCTGAGACTGTGGCATTGCCATTGTTGTTGTTGTTGCTATCAGAATCCTTGGCGCGATCTGTAAATTCACTTGCAGCGATGACAACCTCGGGATTATTGTTCCAGATGAGGATCTCCTTAATGAATGGGTATTTCCGCAGATGAGCCACGACAGTTTTAGCACCTTCTTTACGTTTCCATGATAGAATGACAGCAGTAACAGGAATGTATTTCGAGTTGGAGGACAAAGATGAAGCAGGATGATCTCGATCCGAGGATGTAGTGAAGAGACTGGCAGGATATGAGCTGATGCGACTTGTCCCAACTTCCGCTAGATCTGTCCTGTAATTTGAACGTGAATCCCATTCGATCATCATGCGCTCGTGCTCTTCACGTAATTTTCTTTCCTTTAGTGACATCTGTGACTCTGGATGATTGTTGCCTTTGCTGCTACCGCTATTCTTGCTTGATGAAGGTGAACGTGAGTCCATACCGTTGTCATCGTGTGCAAGTGAGGTCGTGAGGACATAGAAGGCCAAGATGGAGAGAATTACTAGGATAGCACGCGATGGTGAGAGGCGCCTAGCCAAATTGCGAATGTATGACCGTGCTGTATGAGCATAGTGACCAAGGGATCCAGCCGGATGTCCGTGCAACGGCAGAATCTCTGAGTGGCCCAGAGGCATTCTTCAGAGCTCACGATAATGCTGGCCTGTAAAGAGCTGACGAAGAGTTGATTAGATGGAGGAATATAATTAAAGTTTTTTCGATAAAAGAAACGAATGGACGATAGAAAAGCGGAGATGAGTAAGGGTGGATGAGAAGGTGAATGGGAAACAAATTGGGTCAGACAAGGTTGAAAGATTGAAATGGCAGAAAAGACCCTTTTTTCCCTTTTTTCCATGCAGGTTGGGCCACTCAATGCAGTTGTCTGAACGGGCTTTAAACAAGCCACGTTCCTGTGAGAGGAGGGAACCAGAAAAAAGCCTTCAAATCAATTCATATCAATTCATGTCAATTAATACCAATCACCATCTTCGAAGGTGGGCAAAAGGACCATGGTTCGACAAAGCAAATTGCGATTTAATTGGCCCTGCAGAAGTAAAAATGCAAAACCTGAAAATCAATATTATCAACAACAATTGAGTCACATTGTAAATGGAATATCTCTGATCTTTGCTCAGAAAAGCTGTGTCTAAAGAAAGGGCACTGTGATTGTTGAATGCAATGCAATTGAACAATGACTATCTATGAGAATGAATGAAAAATCTAGTTCTGACGGATACGCTCCTTGACCCAGCCCTCAAGACCCCCTGCCACCCACAACTCCTGAATGCTCTTGCCAAGACCACCAACTCTGTAGATACGGTCCTCTTCACCCTCGCAGCTAACTTGAACCTTGCCACTCGCTAGCGATACAGTGGCCTTCCAGCCAGTACGATCCGTTAACTTGGTTGTGCCACGAACCTTGGCGAGATCACGGACTAACTCTGGACTTTCCATGAGCAAAAGTCCGTTATTGATAGAATTGCGCTTGAAAGTCTCAGAGAAGGAGCCTGCAATAAGAAGCTTGATTCCGGCGGATAACAATGCTGTTGCAGCTTGTTCACGACTTGATCCTGTACCAAAGTTGAATCCACCGATAAGAATGTCACTAGGCTTGACGATGCTAGCAAAGTTAGTGTCATAGTTTTCCATCACAACTTTGCGCATTGTCTCAGGTCCAATGTCATCCTGATAAGTATATTTGCCTGGATAAATTCCATCTGTATTGAGATTGTCAGCAGGGCAGAACAAGAGTTCGCCAGTCAGTTGAGGAGGAAAGTTGGGAATTGTCTCCTCCGAGATGTCATCTGCAGAAGTCTGCTTTTGGCTTGACAACGTCGTCAAACTGGTAGCGGGAACAGGAACCGAACTGGTCTCCAATGACGCAGGAGAAACAATCTTTCCAGAAATTGCAGAGGCTGCCACTACGGCTGGAGAAGCGAGATAAGCAAGCGCTTTCGGTGACCCCATACGGCCCTTAAAGTTACGGTTTGTGGCAGAGATGCCGATTTCACCATCCTGTAAGAGCCCTGTTCCCAGACCTTAATAATGGTATAAAATATAAAAGTGAATGTTTTTGGCCTTAGTTGACTATTGGTATGAAAATGCAGCTGTGAAGTCAGACAAAAAGAAGACCTACCAACACATGGTCCGCAACCCGCGGGTAAGGCAATAGCGCCAGCATTCATGAGCGCCTGCCAGTCTCCACTCTCCTCTACCTCAGCTTGTACCTCACTACTAGCGGCAGCAATGTAAAACTCGACACCATCCGCAATCTTCTTGCCACGCACAACTGCTGCAGCCTGACGTAAATCGCTCGCACGTGAGTTTACACAAGAGACAAGGTAAGCCTTATTAATCTTGACGTCCTTCAAATCCTGCACCGGCTGAGCCGCCTTTACTGAATTAGGTCCAGAAATGTATGGTGAAACTGTGGCTAGATCCAGTGTCAGGTGCTTGGAATAGAAAGCTCCTTCATCTGGCGCAAACTTGTCTTTGAAGACTTGCTCGATCCTCTCCTTATTGACTCGTGGATGAACAAAGGGCTGACCAGTTGGTACTGGTTTGATGTTCTTGTTGGTGAATCGAGTACGCTCCAGAACATGGATGCGCTTCTCGTAATATGCACGAGTGACATCATCAATTGGGAAGACACCAGCGAGAGCACCCCACTCTGTGGTCATATTGGCGATCGCAAGTCGATCCTCAATTCCTAACGACTTTACACCTTCGCCTGTAAACTCGATGGCAGTGTTAAGGACCTCGTCCTTATTGAAGACAGAACAGAGTGTGATGATAACATCCTTTCCAGTGACTCCGGGGGCCAACTTGTTCTTAAGTTCCACCTTAACCACAGGAGGTACCTGCCACCAGGTCTGGCCAGTGGCCCAAATTGCCGCTGCATCTGTGCGGACGATGGGTGTCCCTAATGCTCCAATGCCACCGTACATGTTGGAGTGTGAGTCTGAAGCGACCGTAAGTGTTCCAGGAAAGGCATATCCTTCTTCCACCATGACTTGGTGGCCAATACCACGTCCCGCTGGATAAAAGTCGACCCTATTTTCACCTGCGAACGCCTCAATTGTTGCATACTTTGCAAGATTCTATACATCGGCATGAGATAAGTCAATCTCTTGATATGTATTCAAACTTGACTAGATAACCATGAGCATGAGACAAAGTTGAATGCTTTTTCAATTTAGACACAAACCTTTTCGCTTTTATTTTGGACATCATGATCCAATGCAAAGACGGGCTGCTTAGGATTCCTAAATTGCGCTGCCCCAATGCTCTTGAATCTACAAAAAAAAAAAAAAAAATGATAAATGATAATCAAACATTAAGAATCGTCTCGCATCTTGATTGGGTGAGAAATATCCAGTCATGACAAGATTTTATTTCTTTTGCTTTGACTAATATGGATATCAAAGACTTACTTGGAGATGACAGCGCCGGTGTTGTCGTGGGTCAAAATATGTTCTGGACGGATGGTGACAAAATCCCCACTCTTGACGGTGTGGTTTGGCGCCAAATCTACTGCATATCGTTGTGCAATTTTCTCGATCATGTTTTGTGGCTGAAATGCTGTAGTAGTAGCAAGCATTCTCTTGAATGTGGGTGAGCTACGAAAGGGGCTATTGCTGTATAGTGAACCAACCCCTGAGAGTGGATGGCTCCTGAGGAGCGATTGTGTTTTGATTCTGAACATGGCTGAATTATGGGCTTTTATATTAAGAATAATTAAAATGGAATCCTTGATAAACTTGAATAAAACTGAAAAAAAAACAAAATAAAATAAAATAAAATAAAAAAAGAATTAAAGATGAAAGAGAGGAAGAGAGGGAGAGAGGAAGTGAGGATGGAGAAGTAGGAAAAGAAGAAGAAAAAAAGTAGATTAGGGAGAAGAATTGGACGATCTGTTACTTTTCTATGTTTTTTTTTAAATGTGATATCGGATTCATCACATTGTTTCGGACATCTGGTCATCTTGATTGATAAACTCGAGCGCGCTGCATCCATCTACGACACATGGTGTGACTGTCCCTGGCCAGAGTTCGGGACAATCTTGCCTTTTTGTCTTTGGCTGCTCGTGACGATCTGATGTGATGACATTTAACGGTTGACAATTTGCTCCTTATTTTTATTTTGGTGTTGCTGATCAGGGAGACTTGACTCAAAGATGCATGGCATGGCTCACACTCTTTCTCCTTTTTCAATCTTTCACTTCATGATTTTTTACTTGGGTGGATTTTCGAGTCTATTGAGAATAAATCTCTCCTAACCAGACTGCTAGATTCAACGACGCTTTCTAAAAAATGGCCAACACCAAGAGTGAGCATTACAGATTAGCAGCAGGGCGAATAGGATGGCTAAAAGGATATGCTACAAATGTTCGATGCGGAAGTTAAAACAGCATACGAGACAATGGATAGGCCTTCTAGTCCTGAACGCTGGCTAGGTTCACAAGCATTTTATGCACAGAGCAACCTTGGGTGAGCTATGATAGTATGTGGTGATTGGAACTCAAGCTGATGGCTGCATCGGTAAGGTCGCACCTAAAACATTTCTGGATGCTCCGTGGACTTATCAGATTTCGGGTGGTTTCTCGGGTTCGGATGTTCGCCTACACAAGAAAGAGTATTTTTGTGTCCATGGGTCGACATTTCTTTGTTGTTTGTGTTGCTGTTTATGTTTGTAGTACTTTCTCCAATCCCGCCTCCCTCTTTCTCCACTCTGGCTGTTCGTTTGGTTATTGCTGTCGCTGTTAAAAGATTAACACAAAGGTATTGATATTTGATTTGGATGTGTTTCTTTTTTCTGTTGCTTTATTATCCCCTTGCTCTTTTTTAAAAAAAGGAGGGCGTCCCATGTCGATTGGCTCCTTCTACAAATGCAATTTATTCAGTTAAATAATCTGTGTGTGACCAACCTTCATTTCTCATAATCTCATAATTCAGATGTCCCATTATACATTTAAACTAATTCAATCGATCGAGAATACAGACTTGGATCGGACAGGGGACCTCTTTCAATTGCACCTCAGCTGTGTGTCTGTGGAAAATCAAAATCAAAATGAAAAAAATAAATCCACTTGCCTTGTGCGCTTGGTGTGGCGTACCATTTTTTTTTTTTTTTTTTTTAAGTCCAGGCACGAGAGCTTTTTTTATTTTTCTCACTCGACCTCTTTTATTCATCTTTCATTCATCACGCTCATTTTGCATCCACTGTTGCATGTTCTCATCAGTACATTGCTCGAATCATGGCCATTTGAACCCATCCTCCATCCTTTCAATCATTTGCACTTGCTAACACTCTACACTTTTAAATCCTATTCAGTCTATCATTTTATTCACTTTCAACATCTCACTCACTAACCTCGCATTTAACCTCGTCTTTTTTGGCTCCCTCTCGCCCGCTCTTCTTTCTCCTCTTGCTCGCTCTTATCCCTCTTGTTCGCTCCTCCTACCCTTCCTCTACCTCTGCCTTAGACGCTATCCTCTCCTCAAGCTCCTTAGTCCAGCTTCACTTGTCTGCTTACTGCTTTCCTACACCTTCATTTCTTCTTTCCTTCAATTACTCTCTTCCTCGACCTATTCCTGTAAACCCAACCTAAGCCTTTCTTTCTTCCGCTCCTTATACACATATCCGCATCAGAACACACCGCATTCTTTGTTCGTATCCTTCTCTTCAGACACATACATCTGAATAATCGTTAGTCAACCGTTGTCTCATCATCCTCTCGACATCCGCTCCTGCACCTTTCCTTCTCTTTTCGTCCACTTGAGGGCGTATGACTGATTGAAGTATGGTTATGGCGTCCGCATCCCCTGCACAGTTCCGTCGCTTCGACACTGTCCCGCCATCGCTTACGCGGCCTGACTTCAGTCTCAAGTCACGCACGCCCATACACCTTATTCATATATCTAGCGCAAAACTCAATGACCAGATTTATTCCTCTAGATCTCTTTCAATCGAGCGACGTATCCTTCTCAAGAACTTCCTGACATTCCTCTATCAGCTACAACCCCTTGAATGGAATGAGGAATCTTCTGTCGACAGCCAGGATCACTGGGCAGAGAACACTCATTCAGCAGTGAGCATTGACCACTCCGACTTTGAGGTTCGTAGTTTATTTATACTCTGATATGTGCTCGACTTTTCATTTCTAATGCACTGTCCAAGCCAAGGGAAAAAACAGTCTTCTCACTTTTTTCTAAAAAAAAAAAAAAAAAAACTTGATTTTTGCAGCAAGAATACAATTATGATCATGATTGTTCGTCCTCTTCGTCTCGTGAAGAGTTCTTTGAAGACGCTGCTACAACTTTCGGTCTAGACTGGGCAGACGAGCCCATCCTGTCCCCTTCAGCCGCCGCCGCCGCCTCAGTCGTGACCTCTCGCAGGCGACCCCAGTTCTTACGCTCCAGCCATGTGCCACTACCACGCCCTGTCTCAATGGAGCTGCCCATTGCACTGCAGTCCTACCTCTCGACTGTGTTTGATGTTGACTGGTCTGTAGGTTTATCCACAAAAGAAGACTCACTGTTTACCTTCAAGCCAGCGCAGCAATCGCCACTGCGTTCCACACTTCCTCCATCATCCCTAGTGTCCTCTATCTCTGAAGCAGCTGATGATGAGAGCTCTCGTCTACATCAGCAATTTTCTTCTCAGAATCCGCCTGCTGCTGGAGACCGTCAACGCCTCCAGAGCCATTCACAACCTATATTGAACAATCGCAACGTTTCGTCAGGGACGAACTATAGTAAAGCCGAATATGATGAAAGCCAGAGTAACTTAGTTCATCAATACAACCAACAGCAACCTATCCGCAAAGACAACTATACTCAGCAAAATCTGGCACGATCCGCCTCGGAAAAAAATTTCCCTTCACAGTCTGCATCTCAGACCCATATCCATAATCATATTCACATTCACATTCACAACTATTCACCTGAAAACCAACAGAGTAGCCAGCATATTGGCAGTAGTAGCCCTAGGCTGAGTCATTCGGCACCCATCGTCCGGTCTGCACGCTATCCGAAACCAGAATCTTATCATGGCTATCAGTACCAGGTTGAGCCTATGACTGTACCCCAAACTGTTGGTAGTGGATCATTACCCCACCTTTCAGACTTTCCTGCGCCGCCAGAAACACCACCTCATACCGGACTCGTGGCGATGTCAGTAGCCAGCACACATGCCCCAGTATCTTTGTCCTTACCATCCAGCTCATCCTCCGGAGTATATCCACCTGAAAAGACCGAAGCGTTTGTGTCGGGCGTAGATGAAGAGCAACCCTACCTTGCAGTCGCACCTTCTGCCTCCTCTCTGTGCATGCATTCGTCTCTTCCACCCCCACCTTACACTCAGTTGTCTGGTGATGAAACATCATCTGTATATGGTGGACTCGCTACCTGTTCTCGAATAACAAAATCTGATCCAATCCCAATTGTTCAATCACCCCTTCTTGCACCGTCCAGGCCACAGCCCCCACCATCGCTACCAATTTCAACGTCTTTATCTAGTTCAGACAATCAGAAGTTGATTGAATATCAGCAATATGAGGAACGCAAGAAGATGTTTTTGCAAGAGAACAATAACAAAGAGAACGGACGATCGTCTGATGGTCTAGGCTTCATTAAACAACTATTTAAGCACGGCTCCAAAAAGAAGACACAGTCAATGGCGGTGATCAGTGCACCCTTGCCAGCAACTTCATCACTCTTACTGGGTTCAAAGACGCCTTTCCTGTTGCAAGATCTGATCAAGCAGGATTTGATGAAACAGATGTCCTCTCTCCCCCGATCCAAAGCAGGTTGATTATGCACATATAGAATAGTTATGACCCTATCCATTCTCTCTCATTAAAAACAAAAATAATAATGGGAACAAATGTTCAATTATGAAACAGACATCCACAGTTTTCTGCAAATGAAAATTCAACCTTATTTGCAAACCTACTGTTAATTTTTAGAAACAATCCCATCCAGTGTGTGTTCCACAAATCCTGGGGGAAAGGGGTCAACCTCTCATCTTTAACTCTCATTCTTTCTCTTTCTCTCCCTCAACTTTCACATATCCTGTTCATTTAGACTTCACCAAAACAGCCCTTTTAATAAAATACCCATTTCATCACTGTCGCCATGACTTCTGTCATCAAGTCGCTCCATGACCGTAAGACAGTTTTTAAAATGTCTCGCTCGGACCCTAAAAGCATGCATGCATGCATGCATTTCAATTCATCTCGTTCTATTGTATGAATATAAGAAATGCAATTTATGCTTCCCTTATTCGTCTCTCTCAATCTCTTTCTTCCCTCTCTTCCTCTTCCATTCTTCTGTTGCCTTTTGGCTGTATATTGTTTGCTAATGACATTTCAACAGGTATCATGGACACCATCGACTCTGTTCAACCTCCAGAGCGATACAAGATTGTTGTTTTGGATGCAAAAACAAACAAGATTGTCCTCAGTGCATGCAAGATGTTCGACATTATGGACCGGAATGTCACATGTAAGCAAGTCCATCTAGTGATTCAGAAGCTTTGTAAAATTCACGCATAACGTTACTCACTCCATTCTCTCCTTGTCTCCTTGTCTCTCTGCCTTTTTAATTTTATCTCTGCTTTTATTTTGCTCAGTGGTTGAGATGCTGGAGAGCAACCGTCAGGCATATACTTCGCTCGAAGCTTTGTATCTACTGACGCCTTGCATGGAGTCTGTCCAACGCCTTATGGACGACTATCCTATAGATAGTCCAACAGGCAAATATAAAGCTGCTCATGTCCTCTTCACAGCTCGTATGTGCTTCTCGATAGTTGATCTCTTTTGCGTTGAAAGTTTGATTTGCTTCACAATTTGCTCTTATATCTCACGCTTTTTTTTCTTTATAGCTCTTGAGGACAGATTATTTGATCGCCTTACAAAATCATCAGTCTCAAAATACATCAAGTCGCTCAAGGAGTTGTTTATTGACTTTACAGGTACCATCTTCTGATAAATCTTGGTGTCTTTGTAAAACCATGTTACTAGACGCCAATGCCTAACATTAATTACCAATCGACACAGCTATTGAATCGCGAGTATTTTCATTTGAGTCACCATCCAGTTTCTATACATTATACTCTCCATCAAAAAAACTGGATCTACCGGCTGAACTGGATGCAATTTCAAAACAAGTACGGGTTTGCAGCGTTTTTTTTTTTTTTTTTTTTTTTTTTTTAAAAAAAAAACATTGTTGCCTGTTAAAAAACATCAAAGCATTTTAACTAATTTTTTGTCATTCCAACATTCTAGCTCGTTTCAGTAATTGCAACATTTGGCGACTTTCCATCTATCAGATACTTTCGCCCCCCAGAAACTTTAGACGGGAGGAGAACCCAATCTATGAAGTTGGCAATGCTGCTTCAAACCGAGCTTGAAGCTTACGTCAGATCCAACCCAGAAATGGCAGTATGTCTTCTAACTCCACTTTATCAACATTCAACCGCGAGTTCGTTGGAAAAGGTAGCTTGAACGGATTTGCTAATGATTGGATTATACTTGTCAATAATAGGGAAAGTCACAAGGCCAAGGGACGCTGCTAATCCTGGATAGATCAATTGATCCAATTGCAGCTATTGTACATGAATTCACATATCAAGCAATGGCTAATGATCTTTTGCCGATTGAGGATGGCACAAAATACACATACGAGATCGAGAACGCAGCAGGCGACATGGAATCAGTGTCAGTTGTGATTGATGAATCGGATGAAGTCTTCATGGATATCCGTCACGCACACATTGTGGAAACAGCCAGCACATTGACTGCAAAATTCAACAAATTTGTGGAAGAGAACGAGGCCCTAAGGGGTGATAAAGATAAAGTGGCGAGCCTCAGAAATATGAAGGATCAACTTGCCAATCTCCCAAAGTATCAAGATATGAAGGCCAAGTACTCTACTCATATTCATATGGCAAAGGAATGTATGAAGATCTTTGAAAAGTTCAAGATCAACGAACTTGGACTCGTGGAACAACAACTTGCCACAGGAGAGACTGTAGATGGCCACTTGCCAAAGCAGGTTCTTGCAGAAATGGTACCGTTCCTGGATGACCCTCAAGTCAGCACCATGGATAAAATCCGGTTGCTGATGTTGTACATGATTTGTCGCGAAGGTCTGCGCGCAGAGGATCGCGAGCTGCTGTTTGAACATGCCAAGATCTCGGAAGGAAATGCAGAAGCTATTCAGAATCTAGGATTGCTTGGCGTTAATGTAGAAAGAGTAAGAATAAATATTATAATGGATCACAGGAACGAGCAATACTAAGGAGTCAAAAAAAAAAAAAAAAAAAAAAAGTCTAATTGAATCTTTTTAATTCATAGGGTGGCTCAAAACCAAGGACAAAAAGGAAGCCATTCTATCCTCGAAAAAGAGCAGAGGACGAGGAACAGCCTTATGACCTGTCACGATATATTACAAAGTTAAAAAGGGTTGTGGAGGATCATATCAATGGTTCTTTAGACCCCACCCTTTTTCCATATACCACAGAGGCGCCTACAGATTCAAGCGAGGCTAGTAGATCACTCCGCAAGACACCTCAGCCAGCATGGGAAACAAGGAAGCCAAACGTGAAAGGATCACGTCTCTTAGTTTTCGTTGCAGGAGGAGTAACTTACTCTGAGATCCGTGCCATGTATGAGCTCTGTCAATCAATGGGACGTGACATCATCATCGGTTCGACTCATATAATCACACCAAGGCAATTTATTTATAACCTTCGATACTTGGCCAGAGGGCCACCAAAGCCCACACTACCCATCATTCCACCGTACAAAGCCCCAGCACCTCCGGCCTCGGCATTGGCACACGGCCACTCACCCCAACGACCAGGGCCAGGACCTTCCTCTCAGCCACCTAGATCAGGACCCACTCCTCCAAACTCAGCTCCAGGTCGACCAGGACCAGGACCACCACCGTCATCTTCACCTCATCGACCCATCACACCGGATCACAGATCCGGCGGCGGACAAGCTCCTGGCGGTATGAGGACCATTCAGAAGGATGCCTCTGGCCGCTTCGTTGCCCCGCCTACTCCTCATGCAGTCCCACCGCCTCGATCCCCTGCGCCTCCGCCCATGCAAGCTCAAGCTGCTGAGCCATCTGCTGAAAAGAAGAAGGGACGCATGTTTGGTTTTATCTAAATAACATTCTTTGGTTTTAATAAAGTATAGACTTTTTAATTGGCAAGCAAGGAACATGAAGTATCAAAGTGAAATAATAATCATTTTAACAAAATAAAAAGAGGTAGAGAATAGCGGTAAATGAGGATACCATTTCTCCATATAACTAAGGGTCTACCAGGAGGAGGTGTATAATCGTGCAATGGATAATGTCTATTTAGGCTCTTTAATATACGCATATTTTTTTATGTTCGCAACGATCTTAGCTGTTGGTGACGACAGCGGCTTCGACCACACTCTTATACCAAAGCACATGTCATCCTCATTGGGTACTCTATTGACATGTCTGACTCTCTTGATAACATTACATCAAAGGCTCGTCTTCATCAACATGGTCCAGTAGGGCAGAGAGAAAGGACTTTATTCCTATATTGAAGTTGATAGTACTGACTGAATGTTCAAGAAGTAGTGGTTTCAAGAAGTGCAAGTGTATTATCCCACTTCGCCTGCTATTTTCATCGGAATGGAACGATAAATATGAATAATCAGCCAACACTCGATAAAAAAATCCGGGCCATAAAATAAGATATGAGTGCGTTTAGAGAATTGATTAAGAAGGAATGTGAAGAAATATGGCTTTCAACTCATCTCTTTCATACATGCTTTACCATACATAGCTTGGCCCCTTCCGTTCTTCCTATTATATAAGGTCATTGCCATGAAGGATCGTAATGTCATCATGGCTATCTTGAAGGGGCGGCCTTTTGACAAGAAGCTGAGCTCAGAAGGAAGAGGCTTCCTCCACATTTCCTGTCCCTCCCTCCACTTCGCTCCATCTCCGGTCATAAAAGTAAAAGAAAGCAGGTAAGTGAAAAGGCTTCCTCTGCCTTGGTAAGGAGATATTAGTTATTTTGTACGGCTCCTAAACTACGGAATGAGAAATTCAAACTGATTACCTTTCTTTCGGCTACTTTTGAGAATTCTGTGGTGTCTGTCTTTGCTGTTCTATTCAAACCCTCTTCTGTACTCGGATGCATGTACTGCCAAGTCAAGTAATTGTTCTCTCTGCCGAAACAGGTCAGGAAGCCCCAGTGCTTGGTGTGTGGTATGAGATTAATCCAAGCAATTCAGGCTCGTGTGGTACTATCAAAAGCGCTCCATATAGTCATAAGGGCGCTTACGAGTAGGAAGTAAGCGCGGCTTTGGATACTTCTGAGGATTCCTTTTTTTTTTTAAAAAAAAAAAAAAAAAAAAAAAAAAAAAAGTAAAATAAAATAAAATAAATGGGTCTCGGCCGGGTATTTTAAGAGTTATCGACAACTGTGAAGACACACTTCTCAGGACATGATAATCTAGTAGATGCTGTGATGACGATCCAGGATGAGGCGCCTTGAAGACTGCTTCTCGAGCCAAGAGCATATCTAGTGTTGGCTGATTATTCATATTTATTGTTCCATTCCGATGAAAATAGCAGGCGAAGTGGGATAATACACTTGCACTTCTTGAAACCACTACTTCTTGAACATTCAGTCAGTACTATCAACTTCAATATAGGAATAAAGTCCTTTCTCTCTGCCCTACTGGACCATGTTGATGAAGACGAGCCTTTGATGTAATGTTATCAAGAGAGTCAGACATGTCAATAGAGTATCCAATGAGGATGACATGTGCTTTGGTATAAGAGTGTGGTCGAAGCCGCTGTCGTCACCAACAGCTAAGATCGTTGCGAACATAAAAAACATAAAAAGGTATTAAGAGTCAATTATGAGAAATGACGCAAGAATCTACCATGTACCTTATATGCTTCTTGTCTAAGCGACATACACAGAAGGATGTCGTTGTTGTTGCCCTTCTTTCTACCTATTTGACATGATTGGTATATCGCTGTGCCAATTGCACCAACGTGCTTGTCACCAATCTTAACATCCATCACAAAGCCGTCAAATACTAAACATTGATGGATAAAAAAAAAAAAAAAAAAAAAAAGTCAATATCATGCATAGCCTTACATTGATGGTGGTAAGCTCGATCGTATCAAGCAACAACAGAAAATCAAGTATCGTTGCCACCTTGGAAAGGGCTGGCGAAGGCAGTCCTAATAGCAGGTCGTAGTAATGATCCACATCTTAGTCAGTGTGCGGGAAGATGTTGCTACTTTCCCTTAATACCTCTCTCTAAAAATGAACTATATGCGTAACTTCAAGATTAATTAAAAGAATACGAGTATCGAGTGGTAAGACAAAAGGAAAAAAGAAAGAAAGAAAGAGTAAAAGGGAGAGGGAGAAAGGAACAAAGTAGACAAGGGCATTCTGTGGGCTAAAAAGAAAGAACAAACCACATTGAAAGTAAACTCAATTGTCTGAATTGTATCACTGAGGTTGCCAGCAAAGCGTCAGAAAGAGGGCCGATTCAATTGATTTGGGACATGTCCTTGTGTGTGTATGTGTTTGTGGTTTCAGAATGTAGGAAGGATAGGTACAATGAACATGAAGAAGCTTGGAAGGAGCCCAGTGCATTGGGGTCACTGTCGCCATGGAAATACATGCAATGTATTAAACAGATCATTAACTGTAACAATCTTGTGCAATCAATAAACATTTATTCGTACTATTGTATTACAACCATAATGCAGTTTATATTGTTTTGAAATGATATGGTCATGCTTAAAGAGCGCATGTGCTTTCTGAATGCTGTGTCTTTGTGGATATTTCAGTAACTGAAGGACTGCAGATGACACGAGTGTAGGAAAAGGAATAATTGTGCACCCTATTTTTCTCATTCCCCTAATCATTCCACCAAAACTCATTGCGCTCTCCTCTTCCTTCTCTTTCTCTCTTTCTTTCTTTCTTCCCTATTCCTCTCTATTCTCTCTATTCTCTCTCCCCTGTCATTATTACTTCCATCAATCCATTCAATTCATTCCTACTTTCTATTCATTCCTTTATTTCTTCAAAGGTGAGACCACTACACTCTTGCACTCTCTCTCTCTCTCTCTCTCTCTCACAATTCGTACTTTTTGCTTTTTGGCTCTCATTGCATCACTTTGCTTTTGCACCCACAGCCACACTGTAACTTCCATGCTTCACATGCTTCACAATGTTATTGTCATCCTCTCACGCCACCATCCTCTATGCCAGCTACTTCATGTAGATAAAGAGTAAAGATTACCATGGCTTGTTACGACCATGGCACAACATATTCCCCAATGTCCTCTCCTCATGTCAGTCATGGACTCTTTTACACACCCACATACATGTTGCATTCATCCCTTTTCTTCATGTTCATGTTCATGGCTGTAAGCTTAATACAAACGGATACTTTGCCGTTATTGTCTCTTTGCTCTGGTCTTTGTTGATGAAGAATGCAATCAACATATTTTTGATAAGCTTCATTTATTCCGCCTTTTCGTCATCCAAAATACCGACTCCTCCACCTCCCTTTTTTCTTCTTCACTCCTTTTGTTGTCTCTTTCCCATCATCATCAAGCGTCATCGTCTGTCAACACATTCGGATATTGAGAAGCATCCTTCCTATCAATTCGTTAATGCTCACTCACAAAAAAAATTATCACATTCAAAACGACAGTTTCATCATTTTTTTTTCCTTGTCCAGGAGAACTATTGGTGTGCAGCAGTGTAGTGCGGCCGGCTCCTTTTTTTATTGTGTCGGCATTGTTCCTTTTATTTACTCTTTCTCCATTCTTCATTCTTCATGAAGCTTTTCATCCTTGTCATTACTCCCATCCATTGGTTCTTTGTTTCTACTCTTAATTTATCAACAACCGGGTTCTGTGCACCACTTGTTATCTCTGTCTGTTCCCTATTCACCAGCTCGTCATCCTTTGCTCAACTCAAACAAAAAAGTCAATTCTGTGCGACATTTCACACAAACGGACCTCTCACCACAAAATCACACAATCAACTTTTTTTTTTTTTTTTTTTTTTTTTTTTTTAAAAAAAAGTCATTGCCACCTAATTAGCAACTATAAATAACCGTTATGGCCTCTAAAGACAAGGATATTGTCCGCCGGAAGTTGGTCATTGTTGGAGATGGAGCTTGTGGGAAAACCTCATTGTTGTCCGTATTCACGCTAGGATACTTCCCAAAGGTGAGTTTGTTCAAAGCTTGACTTTTCTTGTTTCCTTTCTTTTTCATTCCATGCTATATCACTCTCCCTTACAATGGGGAGTCATTCCTTTTCAAGCTCACAGAAGGAGAGGAAGGAATAACTTCAATTGTTCGCTCTTCCTCCACCACCACCCAGTAATGGCTAACGAATAAAAGAAAGTAGTAGCATCAACAAGCAACATATTCTTAAACTATTCCCACCTAACAGCTTCTTGGCTGCTTTTTGCAGTAGCGCAATAATAATATCCTGTGACTTGACCGGAAACAGGAGAATAAAAAAATGGAACGACTAATTATGAGAGTAATCTCAAGTGACAGCAACAACAGTGCTTGGGGTCTTTGCTGCAATAACCGGCGGATCTTTGGATGACCGAGCAACACATGGAACATTCCTTCTTTGGCAAGGCAGCAGGTGGACCAGGTGGACAGTCAGATTGAGGCAGTGCATCCAATGAAGGCTGTACCTTTTTTTTTTTTTTTTTTTTTTTTTTGGGTTTTCTACTTTGAATGAGGACTTATCAAACACACTGCCTCTTTTTTTTTTCTTTTTTTGGAGTTTATAATCAAAATGACAAGATTGGAAGGGCTCCGAGGGATCAAAAAAAAAAAAAAAAAAAAAGCAGATGTATGAGTGTATAAGAAATATAAGAAACATAAGAATCAATGCCTTTGCGGGGAGGAGTCAGTCCAATCCATATTCTGGATGATATGTCGAGCTCAACTATTGTGTTGCCTTTTCTGTTGGGTGTAAGGGAGGTTATGTAATCAAAGAATGAAAAAAAGATTTGGTCAGAACGCATCCTCAAACTTGGACATCCTTACTAAAAGTGGACGAAAATAAACATGGACAGAGATATTTAACTAGGATGTGTCGGTGTGTACTTGAGCATGCTATCCTTCTGCTCCATTGTCTGTCGTTTGTATTCCAGTTTTCCCACCGAGGAGCTGCCATCTATAATTACAGTGCAGCAGCATACATATTTTTAGAAATTCTTTGGATACACAGAAGCGGATGTGGCGGCGAGCAAAAAAAAAAAAAACGCCATAGGCGCAATTTTAGTACTATTACCTTCAGTACCAATATTACAAGACGCCTAAATCTAACCATCACCCCCCATACTCTATGATGCCACGGAAACTTTTGATATATATTGTCTTGTATCTGACCCTCCTGCATGAACACGGCGCCAAATGGATCTCTCATTGATAGGACTATGTAAGTAACAAAGGATTGTAAGAATAAGGTTATGAAAATCGTTTTATTTTTTTCCATACCAGGAACTTATGATACGATTCTCCCTTGTTGATGCTCAATGAATAGAATCCGACTGTTTTTGAGAACTTTGTAACGGATGTCAAAATTGATGGAAAGCCTGTACAGTTAGCACTATGGGATACAGCGTACGTGTATACAGAAATTAGAGTCAAATGACTTGCTTCGCTCAACTGCTTATTGCTCTGTATGCCAAAGAAAGGAAGAAGACAATAACAGCAATGATAAATATAATGGACTGCAGCAACAAAAACATTAACGCTTTTACTGAACTTTTTTTTTATTTACCTCTGCTCCTCTCTTTGTACTGCTTGCTGATAGTGGACAAGAAGCATATGAGGTACATGGTGGATTCTGCGTTATTTCGCATGATTAACTCTAAGAATGTATCATACCTATTATTACACACATTAACTCTTTCATTTTTTGTGTGTGGAATGGAAAACGACCTTTGCCTGTTGGCGACGATAGCGGCTCCGACCACTCTCTTATACCAAAGCACATGTCATTCTCATTGGGTACTCTGTTGACACGCCTGACTCTCTAGATAACGTCACGTCGAAGGTTCGTCCTCATCAACATGACCTAGTAGAAGAGAGAAAGAGCTTTATCCCTATACTAACGTAGATACTGGTTGTCGGATGTTCAATCTAATATAGTGGATTCAAGAAGTTCAAGTATATTGTCCCGATACACCTGTTATCCTCGTCGGAATGAAGAAGGATTTAAGAGATGAATATGAACAAGCAGCCAATACGGAACAGCCTAAGACCACTCGATTTGTCACCACAGCTGAAGTAAGCCTTTTTTTTTTTTTTTTTTTTTTTTTTTTTTTTTGAAAAAGCCCATCCTATTCCACGATCCTTTTTGGGACTCAAGCTAAATTTGCTTTCTTTTTTTTTTTAGGCCGAGCGTGTAGCACAAGAGATTGGAGCACGGAACCATTTAGAATGTAGTGCATTGACAGGTGATGGTGTGGACGACGTGTTCGAAGCAGCAACACGTGGAGCATTGACGCAAGGCAATCAGTCTCAAGAAAGCGGGTGCTGTGTTATCCTGTAAAGAATTATGCATAGCGCAACGCGTTCTTAACATACTACGGCACAGCACGACACGGTACAGCGAAGCACAACACAACATATCACAGCATAGTACATCACTTGAATAGGAAAAGGGTGATGGAAAAAAAAAAAATCAAGTTTTGAAGAGACTACTGACAAAACTATACAAGGAAAATAAGGATGATTTATGAGTAGTAAAAACAGACAAAAAAAAAAAAATGAATGTATAATCCTCAGACTGAACATTTTACAACTTTACAACTACGGTATTAAAAAAAAAAAAGAAAAAAGAAAAAAAAGATCGATCTATTTATTGTATGATGCACTTAAAAAAAGTGAGCGGGTGCGGGTATCTATTTCTCTCAGAAAAAAAAAGTCTAAAATTCTACTGGAGATCAATGATGGACGTTCAATAATATCCAATCAACTCAAGATCATCTCGTACCAAGGGGACAAGACCGAGCTTGCAGATTGAGATACCATTTCTGGGATGACAATAGCTGAAAAAGATCCCCAACGAGTCATCTGCAACGTTATCTCTGCCCAAGAACTTGATGGACGGGCTTGAATTGGAACCACCGCCGTGGCTGGTAGAGCTATTATTGTTATTTTGACTATTTTGGATGCTTGTTGCTGCAGGAACAGATGGGATCGCCGGTATTCCAGACCCACCTTCTCCACCTCCTGTTGTTTTATCTATATTGTGATTAGTTGTTGTAGAATTAGCGACATGAGTGTTCGATGCTGTTGCTGTTGCCGCTGCCGCTGCCGCTGCCATGGCGTCTGCAGCCGTAACAAGATCCTTCTTTGTGATCTCCTTGACTTTACTGCCTTTTGACAACGAAAATATGACAATTGACGTTTTTTCAAACCCAACGACATAAATATCTTGTGGTGTCTTCAAAAAATCAATCTTTTGAGGAGGGAATGATTCCCAATCGAGGATGACGGATGACTGGGGTTTGCCATGGATGTCAACGATCCGAGACTGGGATCCACAGGTGGCCAAGAAGAGTTGATTCATTGTCCGTTGATTGAAAGCCATGTTCAGGACCTCATCTGAGGTCACCATCCGGGTCTTTTTAGGAGACTTGAAAAGTGGATGGTTTGTCGTGGTGATGGCAGCTGTAGGATTAATAGAAGCATTGTTATTGTTGCTAGATGGTGCCTGCTGCTGCTGTTGCTGTTGAGCCCAATTGATAGATGCCGAGGAAGAGGAGGAAGAGCAAGGTGAGGTGGAGGATGATCCAAACGAAGGTTCGGGGGCGGATGCTTGAAGTTGCAATAGTTGCAGGGCCTTTAATGCCAGTGCATCAGCTTCTGCCCGCTCTTGTTCCTCTAATTGCTGTTGGTGAATGCTCAGCTGATCACAGGGTCGCTGGATGATATCATCGTGGGATCGTCGACCTGCATCCATTGATAGGATAGGCTTTGCTGCTGAAGTAGAGACGGATGACGGCGATTGCTCTGGTGCAAAAGTGCTGTACTGCTCCTTCGAGTCCCTATTGCTATGACTGCCATTGTTTCTATTGCCACCATACAACCCTGTAGTCGCTTCAGGATAAAGAATATGAGGAGGCACATCAAAAGGGATTTTCTCAAACGAATACCAAAGTGCGTTGCCACCACTACCGCCACTGCTGCCACTACCGCTTCCGCCACTGCAGCTGTTACCACCATTGGTATTACTGCTGCTTCGGAAGCCCAATCGCTTTCCAATTCCGTGAAGGATGCCACCACTACTGGTCTCAGGCTTGTGAATGTCTGTGACGGACATGGTATCGACGTTGACGATCCATGCCCGGGGTCCCTTCCCTAAAACAATGTCTGTCACATCCTGTGGACTCTTGACGACCGTCATAAAACTGGGCGCCTCTGGGTGATAAAACTCTTTGTAATGCCTCCACTCATACGGATTGTTGTTACTCTGATCATCGCGAGATCCTGCATATCCATAGTTGTTGCTGTTATATGATGCTGCAGTGACCATCCCGCCAGCACCCCCGGTACCTCCGACAGAACCATTGATTAAAGAGCTTGATCTGGGTCGCCCAGAGGTTTCAGCATTAGAAGAGGAAGAGACAGCTGACCAAGAAGCTGCTTTAAGACCACGAGCAAACTTGGGTCGACAATAGATATCAATCCCGTTCTTGGAAAGGATGGTCATGTAAACAGTTGAGTAGGTATAATGGAAATCGATGCTTAAGACATCCTTTGTCTGCTTCAGTTTTGTAAAATCCCATGCCCAAGAGATTGCTTCCTCAGAGGGTGCATCTTGACCGCTAGTGACATGAGCAGCCATGTTGGAGTTGACGGCAGCCTGACTCAGATAGGATGCCATTTGAGAAAAGCGTTTGTTTTTGGTTACACCGAAGCCACTTCCAGCACCTGTGCTCGGGGAAACAGGGGTAGAGGCGGCCTGTTGTTGGTGTTGCTGTTGTTGACTCTTCTTCATGACGTGTTCATGAGCCAACGAAGCTAATCCACCAAAACTCAACGGTCTTTGTTTGTTTTTCTTGTAGGAGAACGCATCATGATCGAGCCCCTTTTCGTCGAATGCTCCGCCCGAGTTATTATTCATTCGAGCAGGAGGTGATAACAATGAGGATCTATCGATACTACGGGTGTGCTGATGATGATGATGTGATGATGGCGGCAACTGTGGAGGATAAGATAAAGCTGTTGAAGAGGTGGAGGAGGAGACTGGGGAGGCAGCGGAGGAACCCTTGAGAATACGGCCATTGGTACCACTGGCATTGGTTGCGGTCATGTGGCTCTTAGGGCTCGTGTTAGGGCTGTTGTTGTCTCCATGCGGATTATGGTGGTTTTCATCCTTTTGGAAGGCGGTCTCGACTCGCAACTGGATCATGTTCTTCATCGCTCCGAGTCTTCCGCCTTCAACAATACGATTATGACCTTCTTTGGAATGACCATACGAAACCAGCTTCTTGATCGAATCATAATCGTAACAGCGTACACGGGCATTACGTCCAGCAATCACAACAATCAGGCCAATATCTTCGAGACAATGAATTTCTTTAAAGGCAAGGCCTTGGATATGAGTACGGATACTTTGTTTCTCAGCAGGTAAAGTCAAGTCGATGGAGTGTAGAGCGCTTGTAGAGCCGACAAGAAGGTATTGTTGATCGTGCATGGGATTGGCGCAGATGAATTGATAATTATGGGGCTGTGGTGGTGGCGTTGATGTTGGTGTTGGCTGTGCAGATTCTCCAGCTCCCACTCCTGGTCCTGGTCCTGGTCCTGATCCTGGTCCTATCCCTATCCCTATCCCTACTCCTCCTACTCCCCCTCCTACTACTACTACTCCTCCTCCGGTGTTTGCCCCTACTGAGCTCGACCCATAAGCATAGTTATAAATGGAGGAGCGTATTGAAGTTGTTGATTTTGATGTTGCAACAGGTTGTGGGGGAGCCATTAGTTCCTGAATCTGGAAAAGATGTTCCTCTATGGGGAAAGAATAGGCTGAGTTAGGGGTTCCGGAAATGGGAATGGGCACATAGTTTCCAACAGGGAGAGAGAAGGAGTAAGGTGGTGGCTGCTCCATAGAGGTTTGAGGAGGAGAGGGTTGGTCGAATGAGATTCTGGGAAGAGGGAGAGGTTGCTGTTGTTGTTGTTGATGTTGATGTTGTTGATAGTCTAACGATAATCTTGAAAGGTCTCCTTGGATTTGCTGGTCCTGTGGTCTTGAAGGTGCATGGACAGAGTCATGCGTTTGTTGAGGAGGAAGAGGAGGAGAAGGAGAAGGAGAAGGAAGAGAATTGGTCATGACAGGTATCTATGAGATGGTAAAGAGAGAAAGAGAGAAAGAGAGAAAGAGAGAAAGAGACGGAGAGGCAATGATTTATCCTGAAACGTTAATGATTAAAAGGAAAAGGAAAAAAGGAAAAGGAAAAAAGGAAAAGGAAAGGAAAAGAGAAAAGAGAAAAGAGAAAAGTGAGAAAAGTGAGGCGGAACAAAAACAGAAAAAGATAAAAGTGTTATTTTCGGTACAGAACACAAAATATGGGCGTTTTGTTCTTTTATTTTTTATTATTCTGATTTTGGCAAAAAAAAAAAAAAAAAAAAAAAAAAAGTAGAGGCAGAGGGTTGAAGGAACGAGTGTAAAGTGGAAGAGGAAGAAAGAAAGAAAGAGAAAGAGAGTAGTAATGAAGGAAGGAAGGAAGGAAGGAAAGGAAAGAAGATTTTTTGGAGGGAAAATGGTACAAGAGAACGGCCAAGCTTCTTTCTATTCGTAAACGTAATTTAATTGACGTTGGCTGTGTATGAGTTGTTCAGAATGGGATAGATTCATTACCATGTCATGTCTGTCCACCATTGCATCAGTACCATCAGTACTATTGATTACACTATAAAATAAAATAAAAAGTGCAGTCATTGACATTTGGATTTGGCAAGGACACGCACGAACAAGTCTTGCCCATCCAATGTGTCAAATTTTATTTGTTCTCACACAATCTTCTTTTACACATCAACACATTCACTTCATCTCATTCGATCCATGTCATCCTTCAAGGCCACCGCTGCCTCTACAAGGGCTTTTTTTGCTTTGAAACAACGTCATTTATCCCTGGTCCGAAGACGACCCACCTGGCATCCTCTTGTAGGTGAGTTGTTATCTCTTTCTACTACTACTACTTTTTTTTTTTTTTTTTTTTTTTTTTCTTTCATTTCTTTACCTTCAATATCCCCGATACAAATAACTTCTCCATAACCTAACCTCAACCATGTTTCTCTGTTCATATATTGCCTTAATCATCTTATTCATTAATCCATCAATCCATCAATCCATCAATCCATCAATCCATCAATCCATCAATCAATTGATCGGATAAAATAATAAACTAAAGGCTCGCGATCCTATACACAACGTGGACTGACGACTTCAATTGAACAAAATACTCCAACAACGTCGATAGATCAACAGCACAAACGACGCGATGATTCTGTTGAAGGACTCCTCACCGGATTGATCAATGGAGACCGATATGCATTAGCAAGAGCAATCACTCTTGGTGAGTAATTCTTTTTTATTTTAAAAAAAAATTTCTGATCAGGAGAACCGTGGGAGAAATTCGCTTTTGCCAATGAAAATCTGGAAGTGAAGATCGGTCTCGTTCCTGTATCCTTCTTATCTTATAAGACTTACTCGTTCTATATGAAATGCACGATACATCTTTAACAACACCATCAATAACAAAAAAAAAAAAAAAAAAAAGTTGAGTCTTCCAACCCCAAACACCGTGTTCAGGCGCAGCGTCTCCTCTCTATGATCCTGGAACGTGAATCTAATCTTGCCTCAAAGCAGAGTACATCCCTTGCCAGCATAACGCCTTCCTTGGATGATAAAGCCATACTATCAGTAGAATCATCCTCAACCTCATCTGAAACCAAATTAAATGACCAACAGAAGCAACAACCAATTCGACTCGGAAAAAGCTACAGAATTGGACTCTCTGGTCCTCCTGGCGTTGGAAAATCAACATTCATTGAAGCCTTTGGCATGTATCTTCTTTCGCTCGGACACCGTGTCTCTGTTTTGGTATTTCAAAAAAAAAAAAAAAAAAAAAAAAATCAATTTGCAAAAAAAAAAAAAAGCGCAAAATTGAAAAGATTTTTTTTTGTATGTGGAGGGGAATAATTTAGGCTGTGGACCCATCTTCTGCACGGACAGGGGGATCTATCCTTGGTGATAAAACCAGAATGACAGAGCTCTCACGCAACACAATGGCCTATGTCCGCCCATCACCAAGTCGTGGAACATTAGGTAGGAAGACCAATCACAAAGTGTTTCTTATTTTTTATCTTTTTTTTATCCTATGGACCATTGTCTAATTGCTAATCCCCCCGTCACCCTGTAGGAGGTGTATGTTGTCAAAAAAGAAAAAAAAAAAAAAAAAAAAAAAAAGAGAAATACATTAAACTATTAGAGCATTTAGATGACATAGTTGAGTTGGAACCAAACAAATTAATAGGCGTTGCAAGATTATCCTGGATGTCTTTGTTCCCTTTCTTAGGTTGCTAGGAACACAACAGAAGCAATTACATTATGCGAAGGTAAATACAAAAAAAAAAAAAAAAAAAAAAAAAAAAAGGCAAAGATATTTCATCTGATCTGTAAACTTCTTCCTTTCTTTCTTTTCTCTGATTAACATATTAGCGGCAGGATATGACATTTGTCTTGTCGAGACTGTTGGTGTTGGTCAATCTGAGACCATGGTTGCAGACATTGTTGACATGTAAGCATTAAGCATTTTTTTTTTTTTTTTTTTTTTTTTTTTGAATACTATAAAGATTTTATTTTTGCTAATCGTTTTTTTGACTGAGGGTAGGTTTGTTCTCTTGGTTCCTCCAGCTGGTGGAGATGAACTTCAGGTAAAGCGGAAAGAAGTGGGCAAACAGTTCTTTTCAATTTGTCACTCAAGATGTGTTCTCTCTTCCTATCATTATTATTACTATCTATATATCTAAGGAACTGAGTGTTTATAATAATAATCCTCATTATTTTAGGGTATGAAAAAGGGCATCATGGAACTATCAGATTTAGTAATTGTCAACAAATCAGATGGAGCATTAGTAGACTCTGCACGTAATGCTCAGATCGAGTACACTAGTGCCCTTAAGTTTGTCAAGGCCATTTCAGAAAATTGGAAACCAAAAGTAATTCGTGTGTCGTCGATGGGTGGGCCTGAAGGCGGAATTGACAAGGCATGGAGTACCATGAAGGAATACTTTGACATCATGGAGGTAAAAAAAAAAAAAAAAAAAAAAAAAGACTTGCAAAGAGACTTTTATGTCATCACCAACCACCGACCTTGTGTAAAGTAAAAAAAAAAGTGGCTGTGATGGAAGACATTCTTATTAATATTTGGCATGCCACTACTGATAGTCGACTGGAGAACTACAACGGAAACGAGGTCACCAACGTAAGATTTGGATGTGGCGGCAAGTTTCATCGGAATTGCTGGACTTGTAAGTCAGTCGATTGGAGGGTGTTGAATAACCTGGTTAGCCTATAAGGTTGATCAGCCAAGTAAAGAGTGATGCCTTTCTTTCTAACGTTGAAAGCTTCTTTTTTTTTATGTCTCGTTACTATGACATTATCGCGTACATGAATATGATATCCCTTAGACTCAATGAGGATGCACAAGTGCGAGAGTTGGCCAAGGAACTGGAATCCAAGGTTCTTCAGAACGAAGTCATGTCTGGCGCAGCAGCACATCAAATTGTAGAACGGTTCATGAAGGGCATGAACAGTTCATCTTGAGAGACTAAAAAACTAAACGTACAAAGTTCTAGAAAGACCAACAATAAAATTAAAATTAGAAAATTATCTATTACACATTGCTAAGACATAACAGAAACTCCACAGGCACCAGGTACCAGGCACCAGGAACAACAAACAGTCATCTGAATTACGCTTATTTACACATTTATACATTTACACATTTACACATTTACACATTTACAGCTATAACAAGCTCATGATATTAAAGTTCACAAGTTCCATTGGGCTTTGACCTTCCACCTCCGAATGATCAGTCACATTTCCTTTCCTCTTTTTTCCATTCTTATTCTCATTCTCTCCATTCATTAGTCCAATTCTTATCCTTTGACTTTGACTCTGCTATTGCTCGCATTCCAGTTGTTTTATCTTCTATTTCCGCACATTCCTTGTAACCTATCATGATAGACATCTCTCCCACAGAAAATGTTTTCACATGTAGTGCATCTTTTAAAGACCCCAGCACACTATATCCTACGACCCTCGAACTCTCCTCACACCAATTACTTTGGTCCGCACGACATCCAACTAAAGATAACCATACTATTCAAGGTATATTAATACTAAATATATAAATAAAAAAATGTGTCCCGGATCATACTCAATTCCAATTGATACATTTTTTTTTCTTGTTTTCTTATTAGTTCCTTACTGTTGCATCTATGGATATGAGGCTCCAACGCCTGCTGGACTAGATGTGAATCATCAGGATTTAAAAGACATTGTCCAAAATACCTGTCGAGACCGGATGATCAAAGTCCATTTTGTCGAATTCCTCTTCTCAGACTTGAAGGCCGTCTCATCTCCACAGTGCACAACAGCATATTTCTTGTTTGAACGACGGGCGGATGTGCAACGATTCCTCAATTTGGCACACCAATTAGGAGGTAAACACTATGTTAAATACAAGCAAAAGGGGTAGAATGGAACAGAATGAGATCCCTCATTATTTTAACTTCACTGTTGTATCTTTAACAGTTTTTCCACGACCGCGGCGGATATTGGCCCTCGTCAATCCAAACGGCGGAGTCGGTAAAGCAAAGACTATCAACGATACTGTCGTCCAACCAATGTTGGAGCATTCTGGACTTGATGTTAAAGTACAATGTATGTCGACTGGAACAAAACGTAGCTTTTCTTTTTTTTTTTTTTATTAAAAAAAAAAAAAAAAAAAAAAAAAAGACTTATACGACTTACTCTTTTATCAATTAGACACAGAATACAGCAAACATGGAATCGATGTTGCTCACAAGATTGATTTGAAGGAGGTAGACACGTTGGCTGTTGTGTCCGGTGACGGATTACTTCATGAAATTGTCAATGGGCTCTTGTCGCGTTCGGACTGGGATCATGCTCGGCGACTACCAATTGCTATCATTCCAGCAGGATCAGGCAATGCGACTGCTACCTCAATAGGTAAAAATGATTCAAGTGAAGGGCGTATTAGGGATTGAAAATCACAGAATAGTAAGAAGAAAATGACAAAGTCTTCTCTTTCTCAGGAATACGTAGCCCAATAGTCGCGACACTGGCACTAATTCGAGGCGACACAGTCAAGCTGGATATCTTTTCATTATCACAGCTGGACCGTCCTAGAATTTACTCCATGCTAATGTTCAGTTGGGGCATGATGGCTGATGCTGACATTGAGTCTGACATGTAAGTGATGATACTCTACCTAGCATTGAAAAATTGATCATACTTTTATACTTCACAAACTTTGTCGTTTTTTTTTTTTTTTTTTTTTTTTTTTTTTGTTTTCTGTCGTCCCTAACATCCATTCAAAATAGATATCGATGGTTAGGTCCTTTGAGGTTCGAAATTGCAGGCTTCATACGCCTGATACGCCTTCGACGATATCCTGGGAAAGTCTATTTCCTCCCACCACATCACAAAGCAAAGCCTAGCCCTGCCTCAACCCTCGATTCTTCTCGTAACAGTAGTCATAAGCAGGATGCTCCTGTTGTTCAATATGGACATTTACTCAAAGACATTCATCATAAGCCCCCAGAGCCCTGGAGCCTGCTCCCCAATATGCCATTTTACACTATGCTCCTGCTGCTTAATTTCCCCTCAGCTGGAGAAACCATCTATTTCACTGACTCGATTCGATTCAACGATGGTGTGATGAAGCTATGGTATTCCTGCGAAACACGCTTCTGGAAAATTATATTACCATTTGTACTAGACCTGACAAACGGAAAATTAGTAGAACGGGACTTGATGCAAAACAAGGATTGCGGTGGTCTATTAATCATTCCTGGTGTAGAGGGTAAACCTAACGATAAGACGACGCATGAAGTGGTGGATCATGAGCAAGTGCGGTCCGAGTCAGCAAAGAAACTGGGTATCTATCAAAAGCCAGGGATATTTGATGTTGATGGCGAGGTCATGCCAACAGCACGGACATTAATTGAGGTTCTGCCGAGCTTTATGGATATTACAATTCCTGAATGGTTTTATCATGAAAAGGATGTAGACCGGGAAAGAACTGCATTAGCAAAGTTGAAGACTGAGCTGATCAAAGAAGCCAGCAAGCGACAGCACCCGCAGCAAAGAACAGATGGCCATAACCAAGTCCGTGAGGTTTTTTTAGTGCTATTCACCTTGGTCACTGTTGTAACAGCCTATGCTTTGTTCTTTAATGAGGAGCATCGAGCCCGGGAACGGATGGCGCAACAAATATAGAAAATATTGGCATTTGCTCAAAAAAAAAAAAAAAAAAAAAAAAAAAAAATTACGAGTCGATGTAATAAAAAGTAGCCACCCCCATTTGCATCGCGAGCAAAGAGGAAAATGCATCTCGTCTATTGTATTTAGCTGCCATATTTATATGAAACTTTGCTATAGTTAATCTTCCCTATTACTTATCATGATCCAAGCATATTTTACTTTTTTAACGTTAAAAACAAACGCTGGGATAGACGGGGACCTGTTCAAATCATCTCAACTGCCATTCCCTGGACTAACTCCATCTTGAGCTCCGAACTAGACAAGTAAAAAAGGAGAGACGAATGAGACATTATACCAGGGGTCTGCTTAAGTAAAAACAATAAATTAGACCTTCTCAGACTTGGTTCAATGTGGGGCCAAGTACAGTTCCCAAGAGCCTTCCCATTAATCTATTGATTTCAAATACTTCTACACTTAACTCCTGTGCGTCCCAGATGAGGGATTCATTACGGCTACCAAAATTATCAAGCTAATTATCAAAACGTAACTATACATCTGTCTATGCGTAGCATGGATAGAATGCATCCATGTTAAATGTATGTACATGTACATCAATATTAAAAAAATAAAATAGTTAAAAAGGATCTCTTTAACTTCTTTAGGCTTGCAATGCAAGGTCATAAGGTGCCATTCGCGGGTAAAAAAACGAAGCACTTTATTCAGATTTTCAACTTATGTATAAGCATCCTGAGCACACTCACTACTCGCCTCTATGGTCACAGAGATGGTTCATAAGAAATGAAAAGGCAAAGTTGTTGGTAGGAAACATTGAGACAATATTACCCGATGAATATTTATCCGGATTAAATCCTTCTTTGATGTATGTGGTGAGTGCAACGAGGAGTTTTTGCAAAACTGTGGAACGCAATATGGACTTAAAGCCCATCGGGCCTTCAGAAAATAAATATTTTTCACTTTGCGACCAGTAATATTTTGGACTGAAATCACTTTGTACACCCTATCTATCTCAATTTTTGATTTATGCAAAAGATTGAGAAAGGAGTGTGTAGCTCTAACTGAGATGCCAAGATATTCATGCAACAATGACGCAAATCTCGCCAAAAAGCAGAATGAAATTCGAATGCATATAAAAAAGGGATGAAGTTTTTTTTTAGAGTGCTTTCGAATCCTATTCGATTATCGAATAGGAGCCCTGGTCTAAAATGCTGCCCATGACAACTTCTGGACGTCAAATAATGCAAGTAAAAGAAGGAACACTTTCTTAACTCTTTCTTAACTATATCTTCACAGAATATGAGACCAACTCCACAAAGGGAAGTCAACGAAGCCATGACTTCATATTTCTTGAATACAGTCCTCCTTTACATTTATACGGACTCTCCCTTTTATCTAGGTATTTTCTTGAGCACAATCAATTCAATCGATATTTCTCTTATAGAAAAAAATATTTCTTCCCTTTCTCAAACAATTTCACCATGACCCCTTGAAGATGCTCCAACAAGGGCATTAAAAAAAAAAAAAATAAAAAAATAAAAAAATAAAAAAAAAATTATTGGATACGTCTATAAAGGAAAGTGAAATATATTTGTTTATGACTTCGGCTAGGACTCTAGATCATGTGCAAAACATTTTTTTGTGTTCCTTTGCGGTGGACCGCAACATATTTTTATTTTTCCTTTGTGGTGGTGCAATGCAACAAATTTTGTTGCGTTTCTCGGTCCAACACAACATAATTTTTTGCGTTCCTTTGCGGACTCACGCAACCAGCTGCATATTTCGAGAAAAAAGTATATGTTATAGCGGAGGGTCAAGCTTGTCGCTGAGGAGTATGGCTGATCAATATGAATATGGATAGGAAAATGAATGAGAAACGTTCATCCCTTTATTAACCACCTGCTCTTACTCAGTGCTCCTATTCGAACCATTCGAATCGAATCTCACTGATATCGAATTCGATTCGAATTCGAATAGATATCAAAATTCGAATGCTATTCGAATGGTTCGAATGATTCGAGCCTTCGATTTATTCGAACTATAGTGCGTGCCAAAACTGATGCAATAAATTGCATTTTTCAACATTCATTCCTCATTCTCCTTCTTCCTCTTTATGATCTTCCCTGCCACCACCGTTTCTCATTCTCATTTGTCTCACCTCCATGGAGTCTCATCGTCATCGCCATCAGTGGCCTAATTAGCATTTAATTGCAATTTGCTTTCAGCATCTCATTGCATCTATTATGGCAATTAACAACTTCTTGTTTTTATTTATTCCTGTTACTTCTCCTTTCCCCTAACGATGTTCCCTCCTTTAGCCTTATATAACTCCCTCATCCTCTTCGGCATACCGCAGTATAGTTTGTGTAAGAATTCAGGAGGGATATGTGTCCATACGTCTTGGACTCTCTCCCAGAGATCCTCCATATTCTTTGCCTTGTCTGGATAATGATCCAACTGCACCTTCATGTATGCCCATATGTTTTCTATTGGGTTGATGTCAGGAGAGTTTGCTGGCCATTCCATGAGAGGTATCTTAGACTTTTGGATATAGGTCATTGCTATTCTTCCGGTATGAATCCTAGCATTGTCCTGCTGAAATATAAATTTGTCCTTATCCATCAAGTAGTAATCCCTGGACTTAAAGATATAATCCTTGAGAACGTCGACGTATGTTACCGAATCCACCTTCTCTTGGAGCCAGCAGCCATCGCCTGGTCCGTAGTAAGTTATACAACCCCAGAACATCATTTTGCCTCCACCGCCTTGCCTTGTCTTTTTGATATGATGTGCTCGTAGAGTTTTATCCCATCGATGCTTGTAGTAGTACTTTCTTCCGCAGGACCCAACTCTGCTAAAGATGGTCTCATCTGAGAACATGACGTTCTTCCAGTCTTCTAGAGTCCAGTCCAAGTGATCCTTTGCAAAATTATATCGAGCATAGATTTGCTTCTTCGTCAGATCAGGCTGCTTCTGTTTTACATATGCCCCCATATCATCCTGCATAAGGAACCTCCTGATGCTCGATTTACTAACCTGCACTCCTTCCCTCAATTGAACAAGTTGTTGGCCATCTTTTAGGGTCTCCAATACACCCATGTCAAAAAATCTTGATAAAAGCTGTTTCGTTTTCTTAGTAACTTTGCAGGGTCGGCCCCCTCTCAGCACTGGAATACTTTCTTTGCCTCTTTTCCTAATCCTTTGAGCTGAGGTAACAGATATCCCTAAACTCTTTGACACTTCTCTGGAAGACTTTCCCTGATGAAGTAGAGCAGTTGCATTTTGGATAGTTGATTTGGATAATGATTTCATGTTATGATAAAGATATGGCAGATATGTAGAGTGTCGCTTGGTGTATCAGTGGTGATGGTGCTATAAAGAAAGAATAAAGAATAAGAAAGAAGTAAGGGATGGACAAACCTGACATGTACTTTTTACCAAAACTGATGCAATGAGACATGACTATACAAATGGCGATTATTCGCTAATTGCGTCATTGATGAGAACAGCGATGACAGTCTACGAAGGTGAGACAAATGAGAATGAGAAGCGGTGATGGTAGGGAAGATCATTAGAAAGGAAAAGGAGAATGAGGAATGAATGTTAAAAAATGCAAATTATTGCATCAGTTTTGGCACGCACCATAGTGGCACAATGGTAAATGCTAATTTTAAACCTTTTTTTTTTTTTTTTTTTTTTTTTTTTTTTTTTTTTTTTTGATCGGGTGTAAAATACAAGGACCATACCTTCGCTACGCGTAACCAGTGGTCCTATTCGAACCATTCGAACCATTCGAATCGAACCAGGATATGGCTTATTCGAAGCTATTCGAATTCGATCCGTTCGAATCGAATAGGAGCACTGGTCTCATTCATCATGGTTTTTAATTGACAAAAGTATTTAATGTCATTTGGGCAATTATATAACCATCACTTATTTTACGCACCTTTGCTGAATTTTTTTCAAATTATCTCCCACACACTTGAGTACAGTGGTCATCAAAAGTCATTCAATGATTTTGAATTTTTAACATTCTCATTCCTTTTCTTCATTCTCATCTAGCATATGGCTAGTATATTTGGGGTAGTGCATTTGTTCCCCAGACCTCATGATTACTTTCATGTCTCATTCCTAATTATGACTTCATTGTGAAATAAAACCAATTTCAATTTGACCTGTCTATTGATTTGCTCACTTCTCTTTTTTCTACCAAGGTTACCTTCAGCTATATCTTCATACACCTCTACTTACAATTAACATTCCACATCGTTTAGTATTTATTATGAGGAGGCTTTCTATGGAAAAGGTACAAAATGCTCAGGCCTTACTTCGACAAGGGAAGTCTACAAGCGAAGTGGCAAGGCAACTTGGTATCTCTATTTCATCGGCAATAAGGATCAGGAGGGACGTCAAGGACAATATTCCTAAACCCAGAATGGGCAGACCCTCATTGGTTTCCCCTGCTACCAAGAGGGTAATTGCACGCGAGGTTGATACGGGGAAACTTAGATCCATTCTGGCGGTTCAAGAATACATCAGATCGAGCCATGGAGTGCATGTCAGTGTAGAGACTGCCCGACGCTATGTAAAATCAGAGGGTTTGAAAAACTATGTCCGCCCATTCAAGCCTAGGCTGACAAAAATGCAGATTGCGAAAAGGAAGAATTTTGCCCTCAACCACCTTGACTGGACTGTTGATGATTGGAAGCGAGTGATGTTCTCGGACGAAAAGCTTTTTGAAAGGCTAGGGTCCTTAGGAGGAAGAACACAATATAGGCGACCCGGCCACAGGACTTTAGAAGATCAAGATGTTAGGGAGAGATCAAGGGGAGCACATAATAAACTTATGTGGTGGGGCCGTTGTCACGAACAGCAAGCAATGTCTAGCTCATGAATTGATGAATGACTTTTGTCTGATTCGAATCTGAAAAAGATCACGTGTGCTTGATTAATTTGTTCCGCTCATTTCCTTCACTCATTCCTCCATGCATAGTTTGCCTGTCAAGCC